ATTGACCTGCTAGAGCTCGAACGTGAAGAGCAAAAGTACATCCAGGAATTATCTATAGTTCAGTCACGAGTCACGTCAACACAGTTTAAGATACAAAAGATTGCAGCAAGAGTTGGAGCAATTACAAACGACCGAAGCAGACCTTAAACGAAGAATCGATGTTGTTCGAGGCAGAAGAGGTTAGGATCCTGACTGACGCTCAGGGAAAACACGGATTTCAAAGGAAGAGAAATCTTCGCCAAAGTAAAATCGCCGGCAAGAAAGCAAGAATGTTTTAATGAAACAAGACGAGGAAGAATTGAAGCCACGCAACGAGTCGAGATATGATGGTGGCAAAAATGACGGGAAGAAAAGAAGTGACAAATTTGATTCAATGGATGATAAAGGTGGATTTCATCATCACCATATGGAGACTGATGACGCTATGAAGAAAATGAGATTGTGATGATGGTGATGGGAAATTACGGGATGTGGGGATCTAAAAGTCACCTCGGTGGGACCGTAAAGGATATCGATAATTCAAGCAAAGGTTATCACAAAATGAATCATAATGAAACTCGTGCTGTATCCCCGAATGTAGTATTACACAATGCCTATTTTCAGTGATCCACGAAGTTCCGGATTTCCCCAGTGTCCCCACTGGCAAGAGGAAACGTTCGAAGGCAGCAACGGATCGTTGATAACACTAAGAAGCGATGGAACCGTGATTCTAGGCAAACGTCAAACCCATCATGCTTCCCTTCACAGAAACACACCCATTCTGCTGTATTAAAAGACATAAAGGTGACGTCATTGGATGTAGAAGTACTTCCGGTGACGTCACCGAAAGAAAAGTGCCGTACTTTCGGGATGCGTAGAAATCACAAGCACCGAAGAGCCGGTTTTGAAAGCGAACCACCAAAAGAGGTTGGTATGAGATGTCGATGACTTTGAAATGAGAATTCGTTGGCTTTACTTACATGCTCAAAATGCATTTCGTTGCTATTGTATATAATTACGTTTGTATTATAACAACAACACTACGCGTGCGCCAATTGGTATAAAGCTGAGTTTGCATTGGCGTGTGCTAACCGATCTGAGCTCGAGTATAAAGCTGAGTTTGCATTGGTGTGTGCTAACCGATCTGAGCTCGAGTATAAAGCTGAGTTTGCATTGGCGTGTGCTAACCGATCTGAGCTCGAGTATAAAGCTAAGTTTGCATTGGCGCGAGCTAACCTATCTGAGCTCGACTATAAAGCTGAGTTTGCATTGGCGTGTGCTAACCTATCTGAGCTCGAGTATAAAACTGAGTTTGCATTGGCGTGTGCTAACCGATCTGAGCTCGAGTATAAAGCTGAGTTTGCATTGGCGTGTGCTAACTATCTGAGAGCTCGACTATAAAACTGAGTTTGCATTGGCGTGTGCTAACCGATCTGAGCTCGAGTATAAACCTGAGTTTGCATTGGCGTGTGCTAACCGATCTGAGCTCGAGTATAAAGCTGAGTTTGCATTGGCGTGTGCTAACCTATCTGAGCTCGAGTATAAACCTGAGTTTGCATTGGCGTTTGCTAACCGATCTGAGCTCGAGTATAAAGCTGAGTTTGCATTGGCGTGTGCTAACCGATCTGAGCTCGAGTATAAAGCTGAGTTTGCATTGGCGTGTGCTAACCGATCTGAGCTCGAGTATAAAGCTGAGTTTGCATTGGCGTGTGCTAACCTATCTGAGCTCGAGTATAAAGCTGAGTTTGCATTGGCGTGTGCTAACCGATCCGAGCTCGAGTATAAAGCTGAGTTTGCATTGGCGTGTGCTAACTGATCTGAGCTCGAGTATAAAGCTGAGTTTTCATTTGCGTTTGCAAACCGATCTGAGCTCGAGTGTAAAGCTGAGTTTTCATTGGCGTTTGCAAACCGATCTGAGCTCGAGTGTAAAGCTGAGTTTGCATTGGCGTGTGCTAACCTATCTGAGCTCGAGTATAAAGCTGAGTTTTCATTGGCGTTTGCAAACCGATCTGAGCTCGAGTGTAAAGCTGAGTTTTCATTGGCGTTTGCAAACCGATCTGAGCTCGAGTGTAAAGCTGAGTTTGCATTGGCGTGTGCTAACCTATCTGAGCTCGAGTATAAAGCTGAGTTTTCATTGGCGTTTGCAAACCTATCTGAGCTCGAGTATAAAGCTGAGTTTTCATTGGCGTTTGCAAACCGATCTGAGCTCGAGTATAAAGCTGAGTTTTCATTGGCGTGTGCTAAACGATCTGAGCTCGAGTATAAAGCTGAGTTTGCATTGGCGTGTGCTAACCTATCTGAGCTCGATCAATTAAATCAATCAATCAACGAAAATTTGCAAATCAACATGAATACATGGTTGAGGAATAATTAAAACTTTGTTTTAAATTCATCTGTTTTGCAATATTGTTATTTTATAATAGAAATAAAAGATGAAAATAATTAAAGTTAGCTAATACCATAGTGAATGGTAAAAGTAATATAATAAGTTGATAGTTCTTAAAAGAACTGTTTTTAGTAAAGAGCACTTTAGAACTATTTTCAGATTTGTCACCACGACAAAGTCTCTATTTTATTATTTATAAAATAATAGACGTTATGCTAAAGTCAGAGACGTTTGTGGAGAACTCTCGAGCATGCGGTTTGCACTGATCTGCTCTAGAGTTCTCCCGAAGGTCTCCTCGGTTTGAATAAACCTTTGCAAACATAGTAAACATCTTTTATTTCTGAATTGAAATCTCTTCTAATCAATGCATCGTAATATATTTTAGTTTTTTCTTAACTTTACCTTTGTAAATATGTAATGTGTATTATACTTGTTCATTTCACGCCATTCAGCATTGGCGGCTACGTGATTTCAGATTTAAAAATAATCTATCTATGTATCTAAAAGGTGATTGCTGAAAAAGAAAGGGCAAGCTTGGCTAGTGCAATCAGGTAATTTTGAATTCTGAGTTGTGACTCACATAGCTCTAATCAAGAAAATCATTTTTTTGAACCGATTCGTTTTCTCAGATGTGATCAAGACAGTATCTCCAGTACGGTTCACAATTTCGATAGGGACCAAGGTACAAATATGGGTAATTAACGTGAATATATAAGTACCTGAGTACTCAACGTGATATATTAGTACCTAAGTAGGTACTCAACGTGATAAATTAGTTCCTAAGTAGGTACTTAACGTGATATATTAGTACCTAACTGAGTACTCAAGCGATATATTTGTACCTAAGTTAGATACTCAACGTGATAAATTAGTAAGTAGGTACTTGTATTCTGATATTACCTTTGAGTACTCAACGTGATATATTTGTACCTAAGTTAGATACTCAACGTGATAAATTAGTACCTAAATAGGTACTTAACGTGATATATTAGTACCTGAGTACTCAACGTGATATATTAGTACCTAAGTTAGGTTATTCGGCAATATTTTTTCAATGCATATATGTATTTTTGTAGAGATGAACATGCAACCATTAACTGTTTTTGCTTAACTAGCTCAAAATGAAAATGCTGTTGCACTGGAAGAAATGGATTATGTTGGGCACACGGACGCAGTTGGTTGCATTGTGGGTATAATTGTCGAATATTGTTTCTGTTAAACTTCAAAGTTCGACAATTGAATAAAACCCATTTTAGATCCCCGGTGGTACATTTTCCCAAGTTATTTTAACGTGAAGTACCAATAAAGTGGAACGTTTGTCGTTTTAGTCAAATGTTCAACATTCGTCTGGCGGAAGAGACCGATAAAATTAAATTTGAATTTGAATTTAAGTCACGGTTTTGACGACACTTGGAAATCTACGAGAATTATCTGATATATGTGTGCTTTGATCTTTTGTAGCCCTTCAAAGGAAAGCTATACAGCGCCTCAGTCGATAACACTGTCCGCGTGTTCGATCTCAAGGTAAAACATGTGAACCCAAGCTATAGATTAGATGTTGTTAATCTGGCCATAGGAAAAAGGCCTGGGACTAGCTATCTATTAACCCGTGCATTGACGTTAAACATTCGTAATAAAATTTTCGTAATGTTTTCTCGAGCGTAGCCCAAATTTAATAGAAGTGAATTGAATTACATCGCGCGAAATGGAGTTATTATATAGTTAAAATAGATTCATACTGGATTTATAATTATACTCAGTTCTTTGTTGTGGACACAGATATTTGCTCGAAGCTTGAATTGTGCTATTCACTGGATATGTTTTTCTTACAATTGTTTGAAATATCTCGTAAAAGACAAAACGCAACGATGTAAAATGGACAATCAAAAGATTACAACGTTAATTCAAAGAAAACGAAGTTCTGTTTTCTTGAATACAATATGGCAACCATAATTACTTTCATAAGACTGTATGCAACGAAGAGCACTATCCACGCTTCGTACAAACGCCAATCTGGCCTCGTTTGTAAATCAAAAAGAAGGCCCAAAGCAACGTAAAGTCAACACTACAAGTTCAATTTGTTTGCCGTTGCGTTTATCATCTGTATTTTTTGTACGTAGACAGGCGAATGTTTGCGGACTTATGAAGACCACCGACTAGCCGTGAATTGTCTTCAGGTACAGTCATTAAGAGAAAAGAGAAATTATATAAACATACCCGTATATTTCCTATGTTATGATTGCTGTCATTTACCAATACCGTTAACTCGACATCCATTCAGCTCATTCCTGAAATATCTGCAAAGAGAAGTTAAGATGGTTTGAACAAAACGATCATTTTTTCCTTCTTTTAAGCACGCCCCTCGTGGAAATCAACCCCAGTTGACGAGGCCAGCGTGTCAAAATAAAGATTTTGATTCCATTCATTCATTCATTCATTATTCATTCATTCATTCATTCATTCATTCATTCGTTCATTCATTCATTCATTCATTCATTCATTCATCCATCCATTTATTCATTCATTCATTCATTCATTCATTCATTCATTCATTCATTCATTCATTCATTCCTTCTGTGCTTTATAATGCAGATATCCAGGGAAAATAACCGCATGTATACCGGCTCCAGTGACCAGACAGTCTGCGCATACGACATTAAGGTGAGGGTATATTTAGGTGTACCACGGTATAACACGGGATCACCTAACCATTATACATGCGCTTTGTTCCCACAGTCAGGATCATGTACATACAAGTTTAGTTTTCGTGGAAGAGTAATGTGCTTACACGTTGCGTTTGGTAAACTCTTCGTTGGACTCAGCAGTGGCTATGTAACCGTTGTTGATTTAAAGGTAGCGTGATGATTTGATTTTCAATCCAAAAAATGCTTCCGTCAATTGTCGTTGTTGTCACGACTTTACTAAATCTCAAATGTTTTGTGATCATTTCCATCAGACCAACGAGTGCATAGATCAGTTCAATTGTCACGTGCCGAATAAAATAAGCTGTCTGTCATCAGGCACGGAAGGTCAACGTTCCTTGCTTTGTACGGGTTCTTTGATGCGACGATCACCATCCGGGATCAAATGGTAAAAATCATTTTCGCTATGTATTGCGTATAAATCGAACTTCAACAGAAATCGTGCATTTGATATTGTGTTTTGCTCATATTTTCACGTAGCGAAATGGGCGAGCTTTAAAGCTTTTAGTGCTATGTTTTCATTTCGAAGCTATCAGAAATGATCGTGTACTACCTTAAATAAAATTTTGAAGCTGAAATTGCATTTCTCCATCGTTTGAAATCGAGTGCAGTTATTGAAGATTTCAACGTTTACGATGCAAAACCGCTGACACGGATAAATCGCTGTTTCATTTCATGGCAGTAAAACCTCAATATTCGGGTTCAGTTCGCAGCGGTAAAAATTGCAATTTCGATGTTCAATTTTTATTTTAAGACGCCTCGATTATTTCTGATTATTATGAAATGAAAAATACATCCTTAGCTGGAAAGGATTCATCTTCTTTGCCATGTGTAAAGAAGCGTGAAACACAATGTCAAATGCACAATATTATATCAAAGTTCGATTCACTTTTTGATGAACACTGTACAACAAACGGAATAGCAAACTCCGGTTAGCAGCCAACAAACAACGTGTACGAAACATAACTACATGACACGATCTTGCCTGTTTGATTTGGAACTGCCGATGATTACAATCAACTTTGAAACTTCTACTCCATTAGACTGGCTTGCTCATACGTCATATAAAAGATCACAAGTTGACAGTGTTGTGCATGCAGGTCGTGGAGAATGTACTGTACAGTGGGTCAGCGGATACTGTTGTGAGGTCGCATAACATCAACACTGGAGTTGTTGCGCTCTTACAGCGGGCACACAATGAGTGTCAGCGGTCTGCAGGCGCTGGGAGGCGTCTTGGTGACGTCATCTCTTGATAAGATTGTTCGATGTTACGATATTGAGGTAATTTGATATGCTGAGCCAGGTATATAAGGATAAGCAATTATATCATAGGATAGACTTGGATGGAGATGCAAGTACATCATAGGATAGACTTAGATGGAGATGCAAGTATTTAAAGTATATGGATATTCTAGTATGCCAATGGATTGAAAATGTTATTGCAATATTAATTTAGACTGGCGAACTTCTTCAACTTTATGGCGGGAACACTAACATGATATTTTCCTTATGTGTTCTTGGAAATATGGTAAAAATATCTAAATTATATTCTTGTTTGCCGGAACATCGCGTTCATTTTTGTTCGAAAATTTATCATAGTTTGAAGTGGTTAAATTTGTGCTCTGTCCAAACTTACAAGCATCAAATGTGCATCACAAAGACGTCCCTCCTTCATATTGTAAATTTCTTTTGAGCAACAAATGTATATCACACAGACGTCCCTCCTTTGATGTGTAAATTTCACAAGCAACATATGTATATCACACAGACGTCCCTCCTTTAATGTGTAAAATTTCACAAGCAACATATGTATATCACACAGACGCCCCTCGTTTATTTTGTAAATTTTACAAGCAATATTGTAACATCAATCTCCTCTTTATTTGTAGATCTACACGGGTTGTCGAGATGGTCGTTTATCAAGTGTGAAACTAGATCTTAGGAAATATCACAGTTGTAAAGTACGCATCAACAATCGTCGAGAGCCTTGAGGAAAGTGTTGGTGTTGATGTTGACTGACGTTTCAACAATCTTAGCTGTAGACAGTGACTTGATTCACTTTATTCTGAAGATTACAACCGCTAGAGATGTCGAAACGTCAGTCACGGCCAACACCAACAGTCTTTCTCGGGGTCGGGACTCCACAAACATCTAACGATACTCCCGGGTTCAAACAATTCACTTTCAACGCATCTTCGAAGTGGTTGTAGGAATTAAATTATTTTCCACTCGGAAAAATCACATCAAACTTTTGCTTTATTTTAGTGGCGCAATTGTTCGCTGAAATTTGGTGTGTTGAGTCATTTTAAACAACACGTTGAAGGTAGTTTCAACTTTCAATGATTCTTCGATGTATTTGCGAGGAAATGTATTGTATAACATCACACATTTTACCACAGATCACATCAATGAAACGGTCAATTTGAAAGATTGTTTGGCGGGAATGTCTTCATACGTTCTTCGGCCACAATCAGTCGGAGGTAAGTGTGAGCTTCACTGTCAATGACCTAGAACCCAGTCTACTAGATATCTGACGGAGCTAAAACTCCATGGTTACGAGTTAGGCTAGCCGCCATCTTGAAAGGTGGCCAAACTGACGATACACTAAAATCCGCTTTTCCCGAGTTTATATACAGTTGCAAATTTGATAGTCTAAGTTCGCTTTTAAAATGTTTGATAGGATTTGTTTTTAAGCTTACTTTCAACTTATTTTCTATTTTGAGTTTCGCTTTGTGCCACCTTTCGATACGGCATCCTTGCCTCGCCTTGACGCGTAGTTAGATATCTAGGGAGTGGACTGGGTTCTAAATCATTGTTCATAATTTAGCGCGTGTTTGCTGCTTAGAAATACTTTATGATTTGCCGCTCAGGTAATTCAAGCGAAGAAACACATATTAAGTCATGTCCAAATGGCCTAAGGTTACATTGCTGTGAATGGAACTTAATTTACTGTTGTCGTGTAAACAAATACGAAAAGCCAAAGTTGAAATCGGAGTTACTTGGTGCGATAAAATATCAAAACAATAATTTTAATGTTATTATAAGTTAAAAGGTTATAGAGGAAATATATATAAATATATACATTAAATATATCGAAAGTTTGGTATTATTTATAACGCGTAAACTCGCGAGCATTGTTCAAGTTCAACTTACAATGCTCTGCTCATCTATATCATAAGCTGGTCCATACCATACTAACGATAAAGCTGTGTTTTGGGTTTAACGAAACTTACCCCGCATATCCTAATTATGACCCGAACCGCCACCCTGCGTTCCGCCAGCACCTTGAAATTGTCGCATCATACTTTGCAAACCTTGCATGCCACCTTAAAACCAGGAAAATATATTTTGAGAAAGAGACTCGAGCCGAAGTACACAACAAGTTATCCCATGAACGTCAAAACAGTTATTACGTACGCGGGGGTCCATCTACGTCTGTAAACTTCAGGGTCACTTTCATGCACAAATCAAACCTTCGGCAGTGAAGCCAGCTCGAAGCCAGTGCTACTAGCTTTTTAGTTAACTGATTGTACTCCTTTGGTAAACACATTAGCACGTTGCATGGAACGACTACAAATCGAGCTGGCCGTGCCGCTATTCGTAGTTCATCAATCCACCTTTCCGACGGTAGACACACGTGTCAAAAATACGAGATAAAATTACAAAATTCGGACATTCAAATGGTCGGAAATAGTATTGTTTATGTAGAATAGTGGCAACAAAATGGTTAGGAGATGCTTTTGAGTTTTGGGGTGTTTGTGAGTGTGATTCTTGTTATTCAGAGCGAGTATTTATAAAAGTATAAGGCATAACAGTAAGTATGAACTATTTTGCGTTAGAATAAAGCAGAACGATCAAAGGAAAGCTTGGTCGCTAATGTCTTTTGTAAGGGTTGTACGGGTCTTAAAGGCCTTACTTAGATGCAGCCAAAATCGGATCTGGATATTCTTTGGTTGTGTGGTTTCTTGCAACGAAAGGCATACTGCATGTATGTACGTAATAAAATGGACAACTGTCTCTGTGCGATCAAAAAAATTCCTTTGAATCCGAAAGGTTTACTGGTTTAAACACAAAATTACTCGAGAAATGAAGTTACTTTCCAGATTGAATCATGAAAATATTGTAAGATAAAGAAACTTGTTAAAATTTTATGACATAAGGGTTCAATTTAGACGATAAAATGGCAGCTTATCAAATACTATCTCCGAAAAACTATTGTAAAAGTAGATAATCCCTTTCTTCCACGAAGCTCATGGATGCTTTCGTTCATGCGAGAGTGAAAAAGGTAAAAAAACGTATAAGCATGTTTAGAGTTGGCTTAAATTGTAAGTTTTTTGAACGTTTGCAGTATCCTTGGATGTTCTAGGTCCTTTATGAGATAAAATAATAAAATTCAAAAGCAAAACCCGTTTCGGTCCATGCTTCCGATACCTTCTTAAGCGTAAGGCACTAGAACGCCGCATGTTAACGTTTCGGTAGGAGATTTCGGCCCCTCCACGCTATCCTACTTGGGAGATGCAATAGCAAGCTTCCGCCCATCAGACCCCGAGATCACCTGCGATAGGCTTTGCTCGGGGTACGCAGGGAGAGTGCGGTCGCGACCGAAGTGTGGGCCCCTAAGCCACTGCATACCTAATCGCACCCAGCTTCCACTGCTAGTTGACATCCACTTTACCTTATATTGGCTTTATATATATATACATAATTTCAACGGCTTACGAAAGTTGTGGTATAATTAAAGTCCTTTGATATGATGGAAAATGGCTTTTATTTACTCCTACACCCTCTGTATTTATAATTAGTATTTCTGTATTTCAAAAATAAGATTTACGAATGCCCCAAGAGCATCCTCTTTCTATTTTATTGCCACTATTCGACATACACACCATGTCCGACCATTTGATTGTCCGAAATTTGTAATTTGATCTCGTATTTTTGGCACGTATGTCTACCGTCGGAAAGATTCAAGTATTAAGGGGAGGTTAGTTTGACAAAAACTCACCCATTTGTTGTAGAACTCTGGGATCCATCATTCTTGCCATTTGTTGATTGAGACGTTGGAATTGCGAAGGATTAATATTTCTCGACATATCTCCACCTTAACGCGAGAAAATATTAAGTATTTCTCAAGACATCGCCACTACACTTACTTCGTCACAAACTAATTTATTTTTCATGCAACTATTTCTTCACCAACCTTTGAACAATCCTTTAATTCCACCCATTTTCTTCACCATTGCTGCAAATTTATTATACTGCGATAAAGTTCGTCGACTTCGCGGATGGATGTCCCAGATCCCGCGCGACCCTAGCGACACGCCCCTTTCACGCGAGAATAGTTTCGAGCCCTGAAGATATCGAGTTCTTGAAAACAAAGATGAAAATTTGCAAGTGTCGCTCACTACGAAGGGCATACCATTATGTTAGGGATTTAAAGGTACAATTACGGTTGTTTTACCTTGATCATTCATGCTATCCATAATAGTCATGAGTTTCTTGAGTCTTGCCATTGATTCCTGCTCGTTGCCTTTGCTGCTCATAAAGTCGCTGCCAAAACCAGGTATCATACCCTGAAAGAATACAACCACAATGGGTGTTCATCCATTAAAATTCCATAAAAATTTTTGTTGAAAACTTGGAATTGAGGGTCAGATTTGCTAGCTAGGTATGTTGCAGCAAAGTTTGGATTGGATTAAGCATTAGCTTAGGTTGAATTAGCTAGGTATATTGTCGAAAAGTTTGGATTGGATTAAACATTAGCTTAGGTTGAATTAGCTAGGTATATTGTCGAAAAGTTTGGATTGGATTAAACATTAGCTTAGTTGAATTAGCTAGGTATATTGTCGAAAAGTTTGGATTGGATTAAGCATTAGCTTAGGTTGAATTAGCTAGGTATATTGTCGAAAAGTTTGGATTGGATTAAGCATTAGCTTAGGTTGAATTAGCTAGGTATATTGTCGAAAAGTTTGGATTGGATTAAACATTAGCTTAGGTTGAATTAGCTAGGTATATTGTAGAAAAGTTGGGATCGGATTGGATTAGGCAATAGCTAAATATATAGACATTAATTAAGGTTGCTCAGCCATTAGCGTAGAGCCTTTGCCATTTGATATTATCAGCAAAAGGACTGGGGCGAGCTTTCTGTAAACGTTAGTCGATAAAAACGAATTGAAAATTTTGAAAATCCATCATGAACGTTGTGCGTAAACTTACCATGATCTGATTGAAGGGACCCATTTTCATGATATTTTGAAACTGCTCGTACATGTCTCTCAAAGTAAATTGTCCTGAAGTAAACGAAAGAAAAATATTTCATGGTCTTTAAAACATAAACATAAACAGTTAGAAGAAGAAGAAACTTTATGTACTCAAAGCGACCCGAAAAAGCTTGTTATTTTTCCTGTTCAATTAATGAGTTTGTAAAAACAACCGTTGGATAGAACATATTACTCAAACAACCGCTAGAAATTCTCGTTGAAAAACTTTCACCAACCTTGCTTTAGTTTCCCAATCAATTCTTCGTTATCTTCCAGTTTCAGCTCGTTGACCTTATCAATAAGTCCTTCGATGTCACCCATTCCTACAAGATGGACCATGAACACTAAGGGTACATTCGTGTACTATGAGATACAAAAGGAAGTAACTGTTCCGCCATCTCTTCATTTACACCAGTAGCTACAAACGTATCATAAATAGTTAACGAACCCAACAATTTGCTGATAAATGGTCGTGTTTTGAACGGCTCGAAGTCGTCTATATGTTCTCCAGTTCCAATGAATATGATGGGACTCTTGGTCGCAGCAACGCTTTAAATGATACAAAAGGTCACTCGTTTTAAGTCTTACTCAACGATCTCATTTACTGTTCATTTTTATGATATATGGCATAAAGTAAATGGTTTGAACCCGGGAGTATCGTAACATGTTTATGGATGAAGATCGTCCAGGTTAGTAAAGTCCTGAGAAGGACTGTTGGTGTACACTGACGTACACTTGATGTACACTGACGTACACTTGGTGTACACTGACGTACACTTGGTGTACATTAGTGTACACTGACGTTTCGACAACCTTAGCGATAGTCATCTTCAAAGATATCGCATGTTGTAAAGATATTTGACGACGGCTATACCATACTTCTTTTCTCAATGAAGGTTTTAAGTTTGTTTTCACGCAGTACTGAGCATTTCTAATGATCAGAATACGATACTCACGCACTTAAAGCTCCACCGCCTTTAGCATGACCGTCTAACTTTGTGACAATAACAGAGGCGACATCGACCTTTTCTTTAAAAGCTCTCGCCTTGAGATGAACAAATTAAAATGTATGTTACATGTCTGGATGCTTCAAACCAACCCACTAACTGTTGAAAAAAACAGAAATGTGCGGGTATACGGGGGGGGGAAGGAAGGAGTTAAAGAAATCGTTCATAAGTTTTGAATGTAGAAAACTTCAAATGTTTCACATAAAGTTGCCTCGCGTACGGGGGAGAGGAAGGAATTAATTAAATCGTTAATAAGTTTTGAATGTAGGAAAACTTCAAATGTTTCACATAAAGTTGCCTCGCGTATTGAAAATTGTACCAATGTATCAAGCTACGTAAATAAACGCGTGAAAAATAACAAGTTTTATCTCTTCCTTATTTCATGCAACATCAAAAACTAGAAGGTTTTATGAGAGAAAGGAGGAGAGGTTTTCTCTTAAATCTCGTTGTTTCAAAACAGAAGTTACATAAATAACTGGGAAAAAAGCTGCATGATGAACACACAATATCGGTTAGAATCAAGATTTCTCATCAGTTATTCATATCGTAATAAATATCAGGGAGAGCTCGTTAAAATGTAAGAAAATCATAGGATGAACGTGTGTTAGATGTGTTTAAAGCAAATTTCGCCTGTTTTCAACAATGTTTGACCTCCGAGTCCCAAATGCAGGAGTCCCCATTGCACTATGGTGAATGGTATAATACCCAGGAGAGCACATTTTAAACTTTTGTAATTATAAATAATAATGCGATTTTAAACCCACTTTTATCGCTACACTGTACTCCGCGATCCGCTAGATGCACAACCATAACACATAACAAGGAAAATATAAAGAAGAGCCTGTGTTAATACCTGTGACTCGCAAGCCTGGCCGATCGTTGCGTCCATTACAAATATGATGTTATCAGGATCCTTAAGTTACGAAAACATTTTCATGAAAGGTTTTGCGGTGCGGAAGTGCTCCAAAAATAATTATTTACACATACTATAGCATTTGACACTTGTAACATTTCCTCAAACAAAGACTCTTCTTGTTTGTGTCGTCCACTGAAATGGTTGAAATGTTAGGATAAAATAGCAATTTACAATTTGCAATTTGCAAAGGAACAGTACAGCTTTGCAAAGCGGGGTTGTCAAAGAAGTAGTATCTTTGCAAATACATTTCGTGAACATCATAATTCATGAATATGCACAACAGAACAAAACACACAATTCACATAAAGCCAGGCTTCGGGCTGATGAATTGACAGCTGTGGTGTTTGAAAATATCATTTTACAGAGTTTTCAATTCCTTTACCTCGTGTCAACTATGATTATTTCAAATTTCTCTGATTTGAACTTTTCCACTCCTTCTTGTGCAATGATCACCGGATCCATTTCAGTGTAACTGGAATAAAAACGCACAAGCAAAACAAAAAATTACCTTCTATGATTTATGGCTTTCTTCGTGCATCCAAAGCTACAGAACAGTCCTGTCCTACCTTCCATAAAATGGAATCCTAGCTTTGTCGCATTTTGCTTCAATTGGTCAAAAGCACCTGTTGCATGATGGGTATACAGTCAGGGATTTAATCTGAATAAAGAAGTAGTTCTACGGCAAACTTTTCAAAAATTCTTCTCATACCTGCTCGAAAAGTGTCGGCTGGAGTTAAGCATGTTTTCCATCCTTTTCGTTGATAGTAATAAGCCAACTGTGGAAATGCCCAAGCGATAAACAAGGTAAAGAAAAAGTTTCATTTTAATCAAAATAGCGACCTATGCTATACTTGCCTTTGTACAAGTTGTAGTCTTTCCACTACCTTGAAGGCCAACAAACATGATAATATTAGGTTTGCCTTTGTGCGGCTGCCATGTTTTCACACCAGGATCAACTAGCTAAATATTAAAATGGCATACCACAAATACAGTTGAATTGCACAGCACTGAAACAAAGCAAGGTAAAAATGACCATGTTTCCAAACTTTGCTACCTTACACAACTCTTGAAAGACAGCATGCTGTATCATTCTTCTCTTGTTCAATCCAGCAGCCATGTCATCAAAATCTATGGCTGACCTAAAGAGATGATTCATCGTGAATCCTTTGCTCTGCACTAAAGGTTCAGTACAGATATATTTACCAATGCAACAATAGTGATAAACTTACTTAACATTTTTCCCTCAGCTTTTCACCAATTGAACATTCACATCAGCCTCAAGCAAAGCTTTGCACACTTCTTTAAGTAAGGAATTTAAAACCTAGAACCATCAAATCCAGGAAAGATCTTAAATCTTATAACTTAGTGATTGAGTAAATCCAAGCCCATAGTGAAGTGAAAGCATTTTCCGTGGGTAAAACAACATTCAAAATAAGTTAATTCAACGAAATCTTTTTCAAAAGCTTTCAGAATAAGATAAAAAATAAGTTACAAAATATGTTATATAGATATTAAAGCACAAACTATACCTCTTCGTTGATAATAGTTGCATTACTCAAGGATCGAAGAGCCTCTGTAATTTTACGACCAAGGTCTGCTAACACCATTATTGAAAGTAGCGAGTTGTTTCACCAATTGTTTAAAGATATATTTATTAATGAGAATACGGTCCTATAGAAAGTATGACAGTAAGTACTTGCTAGTTTCTCTTAATAAAGAACGCTCGGGAATACTCGTAAAGATTCGTTGTATGCTCGGGAATGGCCGGAGTCGAGAAAGATTTGCAGAGTGAACTATTGAGTTATATTAACTATCTTCATTTTAATGAAAGACGTGAAAAAAAGCATAGAATACCACGTTCTCGCTCAGCTGGGATAACATATTTCATATGTTAGCCTAAGGACAAAAGGGAATCAGAGGTCAAAAAGAGGCAGCCAATAAAAATTCTAGAGGCTCATAATCAGCCAATGAGATAAGCAGTGGAAATAAGTCCATCAAATGATCCTAAATCATAACACACGTCAATCACTTTGCTACTCCACTAGTGGCCTAGTGCTTGATGCCCTAAAGACTCGAAGGTTTGTGAAATTTTTATTAATTTTTTAAAAATGTACTTGAAATATCGACAAATTCTGTTGCAAAAGTTTGATGTATAACTACAAATTGCTTTATTTGTGAATCTTTTCGTCGTTTATTTTTTGTACAATTCTGCGTTAAACTGCGTATTTTGTCAGTGCCCAGTGTGTTTTTTCAAGAGGATACTTGATATGAAAGACAGGTTGTAATCTTTTTAAATTTTTCTTTATTTTTAGTGTGTTGCCTACTGCTATTACCTACTTCTATGTTGAACGTTTTCGAAGCAAAATTTTTGTTGAATACTTTTAAAATATATATTTGTGAATCGACATATTTTCTCCGACAACTTGTTGCGCGCCCAACATCTTTTTCGTTTCAACGCAAATATATGAAACAAATTTTGAGGCGAAAAGTTACAGTGAGGCCATGTGAGAGATAAGCAAGGAGTTTCTTATTCGGGTTGATTTTCGTCTGTAAAAGCGTTCTTTTGAAAGGAAATTTTAAAGGTATTTGAAAAATATGAAAAAGTTGGTTCATGTTGGACGTTGGACTTTCTATTAAATTGGCGCCTCTTTTGTTCCGCGTGAAAATGAAGAAAACTGGGCACGAATTATGCAAAACTAAAAAATTTTGACTGAAAACACAGTTAAGGGGTACAGGCAAAACCTTCACCTTGGCAATTGAAATAAATAAATTCAAAGGTGTAAGCCTCGAGTTGCAATGACGGCTACAGGCTCTTCTATTAAATAAGTTCGAATGATAGCCATTTCAGTCAGATTGGGAAGTTACCGACTATTTTAGAGCTTTTGCCAATAAACGTGTTTAAATTCTGTAGGAAAAGATGCTGATTTTCTCTTGAAACTTGACAATGAGCTATCGTGAAGAATGCAACTGAAATAGTATCATAAAGTTGAAATTTGAAACAAAGATAGCATGAATAGTTATGGCGACAATTGGAAGAGAAATAAAGAAAGTAAGAAAGGAAACTCAAAATTTCAGGTCGCTAAAACTTTTATTGATTGCCTAACCTGCTTTATATGAAAACGCTTTGAAAATTTTTACTATTTTATTCTACAACGTCGAATGGATGAAACTCATTTCGTTTAATTTGAATTGATATGATACTCAAATGAAACAGACAATCAGACTGAGAGTATTTTTTTGATTTAATTGTGCACAATTTTGAAATTGTTCGGCTCTTTTCTCAAAGCTTTGCACAAGCAAATTTGTCAACTTGACTCTGAAGATGATTCTACCGCTAAGGTTGTCGAAACTTCAGTCAGCATCAACACCAACAGTCCTTCTCAGGACTTTACTAACCTGGACGATCTTCATCCACAAACATGTTACTTATGGTTTTATTATTGATGAAGGATATTTAGTCTAAACGTCCCTAATGAATATGAGGGATATTTTAAAGTAAATATTGTCAGTAAACATCTCTGTGATAACAAAAGATCCCGAGGAAACCATGTGATTACAGTTTTTAATGGAGCATGATGGAAAGGAGGACAATATGTGGATGCATGTTTGTAAATGTAGATCGTCCAGGTTGGTATAGTCCTGAGAAGGACTGTTTTTGTTGTTGTTGACTGACGTTTTGACAACCTTAGCGGTAGTCATCCTGATCAAATGAGGAGTAAACGTCAGGTTAGCCGTATTTATTATCTGGTTCTTACGTCATTGTATTGTGTGTAGCCTCTTGTGTGTTCAACGGGACTTAATTCTAAGTCCTGCCGGGACGAGACCAAAATCCATGTAGCGGTGGTTGAAACAGAGTGGTTGGCGTATGCGTCTGACGTTGCTTGCAAAACGTATGTAGTCGTTAGCAAGTTGTTCGCTCTGTCGTCCAAATGATCGTAATGAAGTAAATGGTTTGAACCGGGAGTATCGTTACATGTCTGTAAATGTAGATCGTCCAGGTTGAGTATAGTCCTGAGAAGGACTGTTTTGTTGTTGTTGACTGACGTTCCGGCAGGACTTTTAAGTCCCCGTTGAACACACAAGAGGCTACACACAATACAATGACGTAAGAACCAGATAACAAATACGGCTAACCTGACGTCTACTCCTCATTTGACTCTGAAGATGAGTACCGCTAAGGTTGTCGAAACGTCAGTCAAGAACAACAAAAACAGTCCTTCTCAGGACTATACCAACCTGGACGATCTACATTTACAAACATGTAACGATACTCGGGTTCAAACCATTTACTTTAATGTGTGGATGCTTTGATAAAAGCTATGGTGAACTTTAAGTTTAATATGGTAACAAATCACGCATCCAAAGACCTCGCACTGGCTAATTTTTTTGTATAAAAGTGCGTGTTCCAATTGAAATGCTTAAATTCAATATAATGCTTGTATTCATATACTGCAATAAATACAGCGTGTTCGTTGTGGATTGAATGATAGTTAACATTGATAGCAATCATCATCGTAGATTTATTTACGGCTGTCGTGGTTTTACATTATAGTTGACGTGGATTTACATTATAGTTGACGTGGATTTACATTATCGCTGTCGTGGATTTTGTCCAAATAATCTTGGGTCAATCTGTTGAGGATTACGTTAATCTACGAATGAAGATCAAAGACGGCGTTTCAGGTTTATAGTGTTTTAGTTAAAATCCTGGTCATCAGCAGACAGCACTCGCAAAAAGATGATTGCCTTTGCTAAATAACAAAGTTGTTCTTTTGATTCCTGTTAGTGTTTTTTTATAACCGAAACCTTTTGTCGTAGTCTCGTGTAATGTAATATCATTGTACAGGTAAAACAGCGAAAATGGTATTGTGTGGTATACATGTGTGATGTGGCAGATGTCTGATGTCTGTTTTCATAAGTTTTTTATTCGTTTGATCACCAGGATGCACGATCCTAAGTTCAAGGAAATAAGCATTGGTTTCCTTGAGTTTTGGTCGCGTGTATTCGTTTTTAAGCATATGTATTATTTAATTATAGTATTCATATATTGGTATAACTATGTATAGTTACTGTTTGTAAACAGTGAAAATCTAAATGCATGAATTAAAGCGCGACGTTTGCTACTAAGCTACGGATTGCATGCTAAAATCAGTGAGATAATTTTGTCCAAAATATCCGAATTACCTTTTCTCGTTGAAACAGCAAGAAAACTAGCCACCGCCCGAAAGCCTTTAAGCGCAATCCAGCATACAAGCTGCTTAGCGTAAATTTAATTTCTTTAAAATTATAAACGCCTAAAATATTCTTGCTTTGTTATATGTTCTATGAAACTACTGTTAACAAACAACATATATATACATGAATAACTAGGTATGTTATATGTAATTATTGGAATTGATAGTTACCCCTAGCGTAACTACATTGAATGACCCTGACAAGAGACTGAGGCGAGCATACAGAATGACATCATAAATCACCAAGTCATACCCGTGCGCAAGTGAACGAGATCAAGTCGTCAAGGCAGGCAAAAACGTTTTTGGCTGGATTAACCGATAGTGAAAATAACAACTCCAGGGTTATTGGAAAAAATCCTTTCTCGTTATAACATATTTACTTTACATCAAATTTTACATCACAAGAGCAATTTCATTAATTTTATAATATCATGGAAACTAGCATTATATCTCCTTGCTAATGCTATTTCGAGGTGTAATGATTGCGTAACCACGACTGAAAGCATTTTCTTTGTTGATCTTTGAACCAGTTAGATGCGATGCAGGTTGCGACAAGAATAAGGACATCTTGTTTGTAACCAGGAAGTCGTGATACATTTCATAGCAACGCTTTGCCGAGTAAAATCCGATTTTGGTCGATGTAAACAGGTCTTTCCAGCAAGTACTTGGAGATTATTCGAGACAACGACGAAATACTCTGTGGAGAATAGCCATAATTATAATCAGGATCCCAGTCAATATCATAGGATGAAGGATCGCATTCCCTTGCATTCATCTCGTCACGCAACTCGCTCCTCCTTTTCCACTTTCTGCAGCTCATTCTGGGAAAACTTCAAGGCTTTTTTCGTCTTCTTCAGGTCTGCTTCAAGACTTTGATCGTCTTACGAAGTTTGTCACTGTTAGTTGGTCGACATTTTCCCTCGCTTTATTTAGCTCACTGCAAACTTCGTGGTGTTCGGCAACTTCGAATTTTCTTATCTCTTCGCAGCAAGCATGACATTTGATTTTCGCGAAATCGCATTCACGAGCATGCGCTGGAAGATTTTCAGCGTCATCACTCGTTTGCAACCATTTTCCATATTGACGCAAACCGTGTGAAGATTATTCCATGAGTGTGAGCACGGGAATGAGATCAAAGAGAAGCGTCGTCGTGCGACAGTTTGGACACGAATCTGTTTCAGATATTTCCAGCCACATTTCCAAACATTTTTGACAAAAGGAATGACCACAAGGTGTTACTACTGCAGCCTCTAGGACGTTTGCGCAAATACCACAGATTAAATTCGGATCGATTCGACCAACGAAGCGCTGAACGGGAAAACCCATGTTTCGTTGAACTGTCTCCGAGCAAAATTGGAAAACGATGCTCTACTTTATCTATTCGAGGCTTTAAGCCCTGCTAATTTACGACTCTCAAATAACTGACGTCACAATGGAAAAGTAAACAGTTCTTTGTCATATTTGCACTGTGACTATTTTACAGTGTTCCATATTGTTCATGGAGATTATCCTTTTATGTCAAATTTCCTAATCATGATTGAGAAGGATACAGGACTGGAACATTCTGAAGATATTACAAGATCAGTCTGAAATTACAGAGAGGACTAGCTTTTTTATAGAAACTTTACTTGTCATTCAATGGAAATCGGCTAATATGTTTTTGTACATATTATTGATTTTCAGTCAAAAGAAAAATAGTTTTATTACAATAACATATTAAGGACCAGCTCAACAACAAGGATCATTTCACTCAATTAAGATATTAATCAGTATTTTTATTGATACGTTGTGTAATCAGTGTATTGATTGTCGGCTGCCAGGATTTGAACAACAACTAAAAGCTCAAGCAATATATTTCCACAACAATTGACTTCACATGCATTTGAACATCGTATTCATATACGAGAGACTTCTATGAATGGACTCGCTCCTAACGACGATATGAAGACAGAAGTTTTTAGATTGGTCTTAAGGAATTGTATTTTTTCAATCATAATAACACAGAAGTGTGAAGGTCTATCCTAACCTGAAAGTGCCAGATGAAACTGCAAAAGAAAGTCATTTCTGATTGCAGTTTTGTTGATTATCGAACGAGTGGTCTCTACGGTGCTTAATTTGGTTATAAAATGTTATCGTGGCTCTGATCCAATTTAAAAGCAACAGATTTAAGAGTTTGTCGAAGAGATTAAAGATTTCTTTAGCTTGTTAGGCAGTACGACAAAGTTCACGCTACACGATCTTTACTAATGAAGCACCTGTAAAGAGCGCGCTTTTGTCTATCTTCTTTGTTGCTATAAAGCAGCATTTTTTGGACAAGGTCATTGGAAAAACTACAGCTGAAATAATAAAAATAATAAAAATCCAAAAAGTGACCTTGAATCATCAAAGGACATTCCAATGCTCCAATGAAGATAAAATGGCAAACGTTTTATTTCTAAAAATCATCTCGAGCTCGGTAACTGATTTCATAGACAACTTCATTCCTTGCTTGCTGTGCTTTTTATAAATGTGCTGTTTGAGGAATGGCTAATGGACTTTCGTGCCTATTGTTGAAATGTGGATTCTAGGTGTTACGACTTTAAGTCTATTTGCTTTTGTATTCAGTATTGGTAAATCTTCCTTGTGCTACATTTAAAGCAAAGAACAGTTGCTCATTCTCAAAGCAGTTTAAAATCACAAAGTTATTACCGGAAAAATAAGGACGATGATGAGAAAATTCTCGAGAAAACTTCACTAGCAGATGAGCAAAAGAAAGTTCAAAACGAAACTGCTTTCGAGGGAGACGATTCTTTACAAGCTAAAGCATAATTTTAAGAAAAACATGGAAAGAACATCTTGTGAAAGCAAGTCTTTGCGTGAGATGTATTCTAAAGAACAAGAGCATCCTAGTGCTAGGAGTCATTTAAATGCAAGAAAATCGAACAAAGTATCTAAAGAAAGAACAGATCTTAATCGAAAGAAAATAGCCGAACAGTCATCAAAGGAATCGCTAATGTTGAAGCTAATTGGTGATAAAGTAAAAATCCACGGACATGAAGCGAAAGCTAGCATAAAAGAAACAAAGGACAGACTTAAGACCACGAAACCAAGTTCTAAAAATGAAAACATAAAGCATGGACAGAAGTCAAATTTCTTGGACGATGAAGGTCAAGTGAAATTGCGAAGTGCTTTACTTTTGTCTCCACTTCACATTTGGAAATTTAAAGATCGTTTCAACTCAGCTGAATCTCTAGGAATCCACGAAACTTTGCTGCATCATGTTATAGACAACAAGTGGAACAAACGACTTAAACACAAACTTTACAAAGTCTTTAGAGGCGAGAATGTTCATGTATCCGTTATAGGAGGCTCGAACACAGCCGGAGGGGGCATACAGAAAGACGAAGGCACAACAGAGGGCATATTTTTTCGTGTTATCTTAGATTGGTGGCAAAAAGTCATAACGCCTATCACCGGTTCGCATCTTAAGATGCGTCAAATTGCCATGGGAGGGACCGGAAGTGACTTTTTTCAGTATTGTTACAAATCATACGTTCAAGAAAATGTTGACCTTATTTTTCTTGAGATGTCTGTTAATGACCTTCATGACTTACCGAATCAAGCCAACCTTAGCCTGCCTGCCTCTTGAGCAGCTACACGAAGTTGCTTGACTATGACACCGAGCCAGCAGTTCTATACGTCAATCTTTTCAGCGGTCGTTCCTACTATCAAGGCTGCGCGAGCCTGGAAGATTTTGGCCAGCGGCTGCTCTCGGACGTCTACAACATCACAACTTTTAGCTGGCGCGATGCAGTTTGTCCGTAGTAGATGGGAAATACAGAATTCCTTTAAATACATGCAAAGTTGTTTGTAGCGACGGACATCACATAAATCAATTGGGGCATGCGCATATAGCGCTTATGGCGATAAACCTATTTCGTGATGTTTTTTTGGACAATTTGAATCACATGATGAAGCTTCGTGGTCTCTTATTGGACAGCTCAAATCACGTGAGCAAATTGCTTCCGCGACCGATGTTCATTCAGACAGAGAAAACAAGATTATCAGACATCCACTTTGTTGGACGACATTGACTCCGAATTTCAAGAGGAAAATCATAAAAAACAGTATGGAAGTTGGAGTGATGGAAAATTACGGTTTTGATTATTTACATAACAAACGTATTGGTGATGGAGAATGCTGGACAGAGAGCAATTGTCGTGCTGATGCATACAGTGGATGGACAGGAAAAGATGTTGGGGCCATACTTGTAATGTCATTTACAATACCTCCTCTTCATTATAAACCTCGCACTGGGACGAGATCGGTTGTCTTAGCGACACGGACATGTTGGAATTGCGGCATTGCGGAAAGTTGGCTGGACGATGACATCATGGGAAGGAAACGGCTTCAAGGACACAGCAAATACGCGCAAACATTGTTGCAACTTGTTGGTCTTCGCGTAGAGCCTGGGGACCACACAATGAGCGTCAAACTTGTGCATCCGGGATATTTCACAGTAGTGGGGGTTATGCTGGGACCGCCAGATGGGCCATATTAATGTTAAGATAGTCTATGTCATATTTGGAATGTAAATGTGACAATTTATTCTAATTACCTCGAGCTACGATCCTAAATACCGTAATTGATACTTTAAATCCTTCCAAATTTCAGATTTCTTCCTTGCAGCATGACCTAATGACGCTTCACATCGCTCCCTAATGAAAAAAATACTATATAAAGAAAGCAAAATCAAAAGTCAATTTATTACAATGTAAATGTGAATAATGTATATATCAATATATGGTAATCATCATTTGTAGCTATAAATGGGTATGTAAATCATCAGGATAATATTGCTTGAATTGTTGTAATAATTTGTAGTAATAGTATACTAATTAACTCATTACGTTCCTACGCGACATGACTTTGTTGTTTAATGAACTAATTAATGCATGCAGTACAATCAAATTTTAAATGAAGTCGTACTTCAAGTTGGGAGCTTCGTTATATCATGGTCTCAAATAGCAAGAGGTTATGTGTTTGTTTTGTTGTAATCTTGTCCGTGCTTCCAAGTATCAGGTACATTTAGCTATTTAAGAATATTTTTCATCCCCAACGAACGACACAAATCTGAGTGAAAGAAGGAACTAGGAAATTTTCTTTGATTTCTTACAGAGTCAAAGCTGGTGTGGGGTGATTGTCGCAAATATCGGCATTATCCTAGAAGTTTATATTGTAACAACATCAGAGCAAGATCTGTCGTACGATCTATTTGAGACACCTTATACATCGATGTAAGTCAAACTAGATTAATTAAATTCGTAAGCGTTTTAAGAGCCTTTGATGGTTTTTTTAAGTTCGAATTTTTTCCAGCTTTAATCGTTTAGCGCAATGGAAATGAAAGTTTAGCCAGGATAAGGCAAATCTTTCACAATTGGTATATTTTTATCGCATTTTCTTTTTTCAGCTTTCTTAGGAACAATCCGTACGTTTGTGATTGTAAAATGAGTTGGTTCCTCAAAAGGTTACGTTTGAAAGATTACACACAATTACTCGTCGATGTCAGAAGGATGAAATGTCATGAACCTGAAAGACTGCGCGGAAAACTGATCTATAAACTGAAAGAAGACGATGTTTGCTCCAAAAAAATGATAATGAATGAATGCAAACTTCAGATTGATCAATGTCATCAACATGCAGACTGTCACGATCAAAACAGAGGATACAGGTGTTCTTGTCGAACTGGTTTTACCGGAAGTGGATGGAACTGTTCTGGTACTAAAGTAGTATAGATTTTAGTTTGGGATGCTTCTCATGGGAATATGTCTCTTTAGCAGCACAAACTTATCATTTATACGATGCATACGTATTCAGATATCGATGAATGTCGACAAACTGGAGTATGTTCGAAAGCAAACACAAAATGTGTGAACACAATGGGAACGTACTTGTGTTACTGTGACAGAGGTTTTATGCTAAAAAATTCAAAGTGTGAAGGTATAAGAAAGAGTATATGTATAACAAATTAAGAAGAAGTACTGGAAAGTTTGAGTATATTCAAAGTACTTCTCAATTTTAATGTTTTCTTTAGACATAAACGAATGTAGTGAAGGTACAGCGACATGTCCGCGTCATGCTATTTGTAAGAACACAAAAGGAAGTTATACTTGCAATTGTAAAAATGGTTATGTTGTAAAAGGCAGTAAAACTTGTGTGAAAAAAGGTCAGTATACATTCCTTAACGTAAGATAATTATTCTGTTTTAAGTTGACTGGCGGCAGTTGCCCGAAGCTTGTATTGGAATTTTTTATATTGTATCAAACCTTTTTAGGAAGGCAAAAAGCCATGATTTGAGTTCGCAATTTAGATAATATAATGTTTATTCAAAGACAAAAAAGTTTCATTATTGTAAAGTTAATACAAACCTTAATACGAACTAAAGAGTTATGAAACGGATAGCTCTTTTCTGACTTTGCGTAAACTAGTTACCAGCTCAAGATGTATTTTCGCAGTCATCATCATTGTCAGTAATCTTAACGATTTTTCAATGTTATACAGAAATCGTGACATGCAGTAGTTCACCTGGCCCGTGTGATTTTTTGACGGAGGATTGCATACAAGGACAATCTTTGGGAAGATATAACTGTCGTTGTAAGAAAGGTTTCACGAGATCAGACAACGGAGTTTGCACAGGTATAATTACAGATTGTTGCTTCTATGTCTTCTCCCATAACTTAGCTCTACATCTATACAGCTTTTTGTGCTTGTCTTTTATAGACATCAATGAATGTAACAAAAATCACGAACTATGCGAATCGATTGCTGAATGCAAGAACACACCGGGATCTTATAAATGCATTTGTCCCGAAGGATACGAAGCTGCAGATGAGGATACTTGTGACGGTCGATTAAAAATGCAGTTTTGTTTTTCATTTCAATCGCCAAGCTATCCACTTCTTAATATACAAAACTAAATTTCTATTACACTGCAATATAATATAGTATTATTTAGCTACTTCATTGAAATGTAAGCTATTTTCAAAGATTGAATGAGTGACACTCTAGCACTTCAACAGTATGAATTGTGCCTTTTTGGGATGGTACAACAGAAGCTATGGCTGCAGTCCTATCTTTGGCTCCTCCCTGTCTTTACAACTTTTGGATCTTCCACAATTGAAGTGAACCATGATTTGAAGTTTGCTTTGAATCAGTGAAGCGTTTTCCTTCTTTGAGTTCTGCACGTTTTCGTTCTTTTACGCGTTTGTTGTTTTCATTGTTTTCGTCCTTTTGTCAAAAACCCGTTCTCTTTCACAACGATTTTCACTTGTTTCTTATTTTGGGAAATTTGGATCTTTCTCTTCTTGTTGTAGACATTGACGAGTGTGCAACAGGAATGGACAACTGTCATCGCGATGCAGTTTGTATCAATAACATAGGAGCTACTCTTGTCTGTGCAAGAAAGGATTTCTCCAATATAAGAATGGAAGACTTTTCTTAAAAGGATCAAGGTAATTGTCATTTTAGTTCGAGCACAAAACAGTCCAGTTTGTAAGAATAGGGCTTTAAATATGTAAACATTTTGTAAGTTATCCAGAAACTAATCCCCCGTTCATTTCACAGAGGATTCCATAACCTCCCATTATTATCTTACCATGCGTAATGTTTGTTGGAGTTCTTGGTACCTTCACTTGTTGCAAATTATGCAGGTAAGAAGGATGGGTGTATGTGTGAATTTTTCTCAAAGGCAGTGGCTCCTGACGGGGGGGGCACCCCCAAAGTGACACTCACATATATTGTGCACTATTACATATCACTGTCATTTTTAAGTTATATATACAAAAAGCTTTGTATGGAAAATTTCTGGGGAAGGGGGCAACTGCCCCACCTTTGTCGCCTTTGCCAGCGCCACTGCTCAAAGGTGTTTTGATCTCTGCATCATGTTTACTGCAATCGTACTCGGCTCATGGTTGACATCAACAAACTTCTGAAACAACGAAACCCAACATTCACCATCTTTTACTTGAAACAACTCAATTTTTCACATAAACAATCACGCAAAACTCATCCCTGGATATATATTTATCTTTTTACACATTATATAACTTTTCATCGTGAAGGGGGACGAGTAAAACAGACCAGAAAAAATTGATTAATGGCAAATCAAGATTCAACTGGCTTTCCCACTTCAAGTTTCCTCAAGCCAGTATGTACGGCGTACCAACGAATGAGTCAATGATAAGTGTTTGGTCGGATAGTGACGATGAAAAGTAATTTCACTGTAAAAGAATTCAATTTTGATCAAATGAAATGTTCTCATAGCGAGGATATTTAATATCTATGTCACTGATGAAAATTAGAGTTAGTTTCTTCTATTCAAATCCAACACAATCAAATCCTAGTAATGAGAAATAAGTCTAACGCTCGTGGAATCATACGCAGGCAAGTTAACGAATATGCTTTGGACCGATAGACATCGATTGACAAATACCTCCATCATTGTTTTGACAAATCAGAATTATAGGATGTGCCTGCTTGATGCGAGTTTGACAGTATTCATTATTTCCATAATTTCGTTTTAGCACGATTGAAATGATGCACTTAGCGTAAACCATAAGTTTTTAAGTTTTTATTGCAGTTACATGTTGTTAATTAAGATATGATTTAATTTTTTAGGAGCGCAACAAGTAATTAGAATAAAATTGGTATGTATTAAAATCTTTACTCAAGCAAACAACATCATTTGAACGAAATAATGAACGATGCATTTAACGTAGACGACAACTTTTTTTTAAATTTTTTTTTATTGCAGTCATGTTTCGGCAAACTTATGCCATCTTCAGTGCGGTATAATGAATGAATGTATGAATGGAGTTAATATATAAAAAAATCTGATACAAGTCTACATGTCTTGTATCAGATTTCAAAGATACATGTCTTGTATCAGATTTCTTTATATATTCATTCATACATTCATTCATTATACCACCTGAAGATGGCATAAGTTTGCCGAAACATGACTGCAATAAAAATTAAAAAATTGTCGTCTACGTTAAATGCATCGTTCATTATTTCGTTCAAATGATGTTGTTTGCTTGAGTAAAGATTTCTATAAACACCAATTTTATTCTAATTACTTCATTACGCTCCTAAAAAATTAAATCCTATCTTAATTAAGCAATTAATGCACGTATTATAATCAAGTTTTAAACGAAGTCGTACTTCAAGTGGTGGAGCTCATTATATCATGGCCGCAAATAGTGAAATGTTACGTGTTTGTTTTCTCATCGTGTTCTTTGTTGCAAGTATCAGGTATAAATATATTTAAAATATTTTTATCCACAACAAGCGACACAAACATGAGTGAATGATGGAACTAGGGAAGAATTTCATTGATCTTTTACAGGTTTCTCTTGGCGTAAATGTCCGAGTCGTGATTGGTTGTATTCTGTACTCTTAAGATGTGATAAAACCGGATTCAAATCTGTTCCCACCGATATATTCAAGCTCCTATACAGAGATGTAAGTAAAGTCAAAGTGAATTTTTCTAAAATCGTGTCTGTTTAAAAGGCCTGATGATAGTGTTCGAAGTTTTTAATTTTTTCTTACTTTTAACATAATTCAAGTAAAAGTTTAGGCAAGATAAGGAACTTTTTGCTTGATTTGCTTTCATCGAATTCTCTTTCCAGCCGACTTGACAATAATCCATACGTTTGCGATTGTAAAATAAGTTGGTTCCTAAGAAGCTTACGTTTGAAAGATTACACACAGAAAATCGTTGGTCTCAAAAAAATGAAATGTGATAAACCTGCAAGACTACGCGGGCAACTGATCTATAAACTGAAAGAAGACGAAGTTTGTTTTAATAAAACGATATTGGATGAATGCAAACTTCAGATTGATCAATGTCATCAACATGCGGACTGTCACGATCAAAACAAAGGATATAGGTGTTTTTGTCGAACTGGTTTTACCGGAAATGGATGGAACTGTTCAGGTACTAAAGTAGTATAGATTTTAGTTTGGGAAACTTTTCCTCAAAACATGTCTCTTTCGCAGCACAAACTTATCATTTATACGATACCTACGTATTCAGATATCGATGAATGTCGACAAACTGGAGTATGTTCGAAAGCAAACACAAAATGTGTGAACACATTGGGAACGTACTTGTGTTACTGTGACAGAGGTTTTATGCTAAAATTCAAAATGTGTAGGTATAAGAAAGAGTATATGTATAACAAATTGAGTATATTCAAAGTACTTCTCAATTTTAATGTTTTCTTTAGACATAAACGAATGTAGTGAAGGTACAGCGACATGTCCGTCATGCTATTTGTAAGAACACAAAAGGAAGTTATACTTGCACTTGTAAAAATGGTTATGTTGAAAAGAGTAAAATTGTGTGAAAAGGTCAGTATACATTCCTTAACGTAAGATAATCATGACCTTTTAAGTTGACTGCTTTTCATGAAGGCTAACAGTCATAATCAAAGCTGGAAAATTAAAGATAATGGTGTTTATTCAAAGATAACAAAGTTTCATTTCTTGAAGTGAATATATAAATCTTTTAAAAGTTACTATACAACGAACATTAATATTACAGTACGTCATGTAATGAATAGCATTAGTACGACGTCGTACAACTAGCTCTCCCCAGACCAGCAAAATTCTTAGTATTGTTTAATGAAACCTGGAGTTGCTTCACTCATCAGATTTAGGTTTTTGACTCTACAGACTTAAGAATTACCATTCAGATTATTGGTTTCGAGTTATACGTATCGTATATTTCATAATCTGTAAAAGGTGCGTATATATCTCAAAAACAAACTTGGCATCTATAATCAGGAATCAAATTGTAAAGTTTTTTATGATAGACTGACCACTGAGTTTTTCATTCTCTATCAGATTCTAGTGTTTTTTCATACATATTTCCCTAAAGTTGGGGTCACACCTCCCCAAAGCCTCCAAATCTACCGCTTTGTACCTCAGGGTAGATGATGTATGTTTGAATACTGCTCTAAATTTAACGTTGACTGTTTACCATCTTGATCTTAGTATATTAACTTTGTTGAACGTTCATGGTTGGTCATTGTTAAGTCTTAAACTATACTACTAATCCTTATTAGTTTATTGATGCATGGTCATTATCATCAATAAAGAAATGCCTATCGTACGTTTGTAAATGTCGATCGTCCAGGTTGGTATAGTCCTGAGAAGGATTGTTACGCTTCGACAACCTTAGCGGTAGTCATCTTCACGAACTGGACGATCGACATTTACAAACATGTCATTATCATTGTTAGAAATCTTAACGATTTTCAATTTTATATACAGAAATCGTGACATGCAGTAGTTCACCTGGCCCGTGTGATTTTGTGACGGAGGATTGCATACAAGGACAGTCTTCGGGAAGATATAATTGTCGGTGTAAGAAAGGTTTTATGAGATCAGGAAATGGGTTTGCAAAAGTTATAGATTGTTGCTTCTAGGTCTACTCTCATGACTTAGCTCTATATCTATACAGCTTTTGTGCTTGACTTTAATAGACATCAATGAATGCATGACAAAAACGATCTATGCAATTCACTGGCAAAATGCAACAATACACAGGGATCTTATGAATGCATTTGTCGTCGAGGATACGAAAACAAGAGGATGTTTGTGCAGGTGGGTAAACAGGTGAAGTCTAACAGTTCTGTTTTTCGTTTTCATCGCTATTCTTTTGATATCCAAAGTTCTCTGTCGCACTTCTTTATTGAGACTTGTGTACTTTCTTTAGAGGCCAACAAATTTTAAATATTAACACTCTTACATTCTGCCTGATAATATGAATCACTTTTGAAACATCAGAAACATCATCTGAATTATGCCGTGAATGAATGGAGCGTTTTCCTTCTTTAAACTCTGCACGTCTTCGTTTCTGTTTTCATTGTTTTGTTTTGTGAAAAATGCTCATTTTTATAATGATTTTCACTTCTTGCTTTCGGCATATTTGATCTTTCTCTTTCTTATTGTAGACATTGACGAGTGTGCAGCAGGAATGGACAACTGCCACCGTGATGCAGTTTGCATAAATAACATAGGAAGCTACACTTGCAAGGCAGGATTTCTGCAGTATGAAAATGGAAGACTCTGTCAACAAGAAAAAATTGTCTCTCTAAATGGAGCGAAAAAATTTGGTTTGTTGAAAAGAGCTTCAGATAAGTAAAGCTTCGACATGCAGAACAAAGCTCCAGCTGCTAATTTTCGTATTTTACACCGTTAATTTCACAGAGGGTTTTATAACCAATCCAATCATTATCTTACCATGTTTGATGTTTGTTGGAGTTCTTGGTACCTTCACTTGTAGCAAGTCACGCAGGTATAACGAGGGTGTATGTGTAAATTTCCCACAAAGTTGTTTATTTCTCAAAGATGTTTACTCTCATCATTTGAATGCAATCATGCTAGGCTCATAATTTACACCTACGAGCAAGCGGCCATACATCCACTATCCTCATCTCAAACTTCTCCACTTTCCTACTACAAAATCACGGAGAATCCATCTCTATATAATATCATTTTTCAACATATTCTATAATTCTTCTTTATCGTGAAGGGAACGAGCAAAACAGAGCAAAGAAGTTTCTTTAATGGCAAACCAAAATACAACTGGTTTTCCAATTTCACGTTTTCTGAAGCTAATATGGACTATGAACAGATAAGTGTTTGGTCGATAGTGACGATGAAAAGTAACTGTTAGAAGATGGATCGAAAGAAATATGTGCGCGTTGTGCACGAATAGTCGCCGCACTAGAAACCGAATCATACTCGTATGAGAAGCAGTACTTGCGACAAAAGGCTAACGAGGATGCTCTATGTATACTTTACTGATGAAATTTAGCGAGACTTTCTACTACTGCCAATGCAATCAAGCCCAAACAAAGGAAAACATTGTCCAAAAATTTATTTCGACTTAAGGTATTTCACAGTATGTAAATCTGAGATAGATGCGTTACATTAAATTCAAATACAGTGATGGAGATCTTCTTGGGCGAAGGGAGTTGTGTCCGCTTTAATGGAAGTGTTCGTTGAACAGAGTTCTCATCACCAGGCCCCTCTACGAGAGCCTGCAGTTGAACCAAGTTGAACAGAGAAATCTCATTACCAGGCCCCTCTACGAGGGTTCACACCTGCTGAGAGGTTTGCATAAGCCAGTGTAAACATGAAAAAACTTACTTCATTTATAAAATGACAATAATGCAAAACATACTAATAAAAAACAAACGTTTTAGTATTCCCCCCCTAACATGTATTCATGATTGATTTTGCAAATTCTTTTTGATTGATTTGATTGGTAAAGCTCAGATCGGTTTTCATAGGCTAAATGCAAACACAGCTATCAAGCAATCTCCGCACGCGTTTTGTTGCGTTTCTTTTATAAATATGAATATTAGACCTTCCCCAATTATCAATATTCCGCCACCTTTGAAACTTAGAAATAACTCATCAGTTTGACAGGAATGACACAATTGAAAAACGTCTTTGCACTGAATCCCAAAGACCTTTGTTTTTTTCATTGTAAGACAATGTCAATGAAAACTTCGACTTTGGGAAGTAAAATGAAAATAAACTTGATGTTTATGCGTTCTTATATCATGCAAGGAAAACAAAAAAATACTTTGAACGCCGACCAACGGTTACTTGCATAATTTTTTTAACAATATGTTTGTTACTGATTTTATGTCTGTAAAACTTGAAAAATATGAAATATTTGGAAAATTTTGTCCGTTAAACACAAGTTAGTGTCTTTAACGATTTCGGAGTCAGCGCCCGCTTGATAGAGGTTTGATCATTAGGAATTACACGAGATTAAATTCTGGTCTTTAAGAAATGTCCGCCAGCAAAGATTTATGATTTACTATTCTAATTACTTGTCACTAATTAACTAATTAACGCACGCAATACAATCAAATTTTAAATGAAGTCGTACTTCAAGTTGGGAGCTTCATTATAGATGTCATGTATTAGACTTGAATTGAATTGAATTGTAATAATAAAGACTTGAATTGTAATAATAAATTGTAGTAATGGTATACTAATTAACTCATTACGTTCCTACGCGACATGACTTTGTTGTTTAATGAACTAATTAATGCACGCAGTACAATCAAATTTTAAATGAAGTCGTACTTCAAGTTGGGAGCTTCGTTATATCATGGTCTCAAATAGCGAGAGGTTATGTGTTTGTTTTGTTGTAATTTTGTCCGTGCTTCAAGTATCAGGTACATTTAGCTTTTTAAGAATATTATTATCAACAACGAACGACACAAATCTGAGTGAATGAAAGAACTAGGAAATTTTCTTTGATTTCTTACAGGGTTTTACATGTTTCCATGGAGAAAATGTCGGAAATTTGCGTTTAGTCGTAAAAAGTTGTTTTGTGACAAAATGGGAGCCAAATCTGTTCCGTACCACATATTTGAAGCACCTTATAAAGTGATGTAAGTAAAGTCGAACTGGATTTAAAAAGTCGTTACCGTTTTTAAAAGCCTTGTACAGTTTTTGCAGTTCGAACATTTTCGAATTCTCTACGTCTAGTAAACTTGCCGAAAATCCATACGTTTGTGATTGTCAAATAAGTTGGTTCCTCAGAAAGTTGCGTTTGAAAGATTACACGCAGAAAATCATCGATCTCAAAAGGATGAAATGTCATAAACCTAAAAGACTGCGCGGGCGACTGATCTATGAATTGAAGGAATTTGACGTATGTCCATATAGAGGTGCAGAGTATAAAAATAAAGATCAAATTAATAGTATTTCGATGACTCTTAACAACAAATTCCATTTTCTGATTTTTTTACCGTTTAGTACCAAACAGGAATGAATGCAAACTTCAGATTGATGAATGTCATCAACATGCAGACTGTCACGACCAAAGTGTAGGCTATAAATGTTCTTGTCAAACTGGGTTTACCGGAAATGGATGGAACTGTTCGGGTACTAAAGTAGTTTTGCTATTAGTTTCAGAAACTTTTCCTGAAAACATGTCTCTTTCGCAGCACAAACTTATCATTTATACGATGCCTACGTATTCAGATATCGATGAATGTCGACAAACTGGAGTATGTTCGAAAGCAAACACAAAATGTGTGAACACATTGGGAACGTACTTGTGTTACTGTAACAGAGGTTTTATGCTAAAAAATTCAAAGTGTGAAGGTATAAGAAAGAGTATATGTATAACAAATTAAGAAGAAGTACTGGAAAGTTTGAGTATATTCAAAGTACTTCTCCATTTTAATGTTTTCTTTAGACATAAACGAATGTAGTGAAGGTACAGCGACATGTCCACGTCATGCTATTTGTAAGAACACAAAAGGAAGTTATACTTGCACTTGTAAAAATGGTTATGTTGTAAAAGACAGTAAAACTTGTGTGAAAAAAGGTCAGTATACATTCCTTAACGTAAGATAATTATCATCTTTTAAGTTTACTGCCTTTTTATGAAGACTAACAGTCATGATCAAAGCTCGACAATGAAAGATAATGGTGTTTATTCAAAGATAGCAAAGTTTCATTCCTTGAAGTGAATACAAATCATAATTTTTCAATGTTATACAGAAATCGTGACATGCAGTAGTTCGCCTGGCCCATGTGATTTTGTGACGGAGGATTGCATACAAGGACAATCTTTGGAAAGTATGTTTGTCGCTGTAAGAAAGGTTTTACGAAATCAGGAACAGACTTTGCACAGGTATAATTATAGATTGTTGCTTCTATATGTTCTACCTTATCGTAGCTCTATGTGTTTACAGCTTTTATGTTTGCTCATGTAGACATCGATGAATGCATTGCAAACAACGATACATGCAATTCCCTGGCAGAATGCAAGAATACACATGGATCTTACGAATGCATTTGTCCTGAAGGTTATAGAAAAGACGAAAATACTTGTGAAGGTCGGCTTGCTCTATCTACCACTTTTGTTTATCATTTCGATTCCAAAGCTATCCACGTCTATTGATATACAAAACTACATTTTCTGTCACACTGCAACTTCATGCAGTATTATTTACTTGATTGAAATGTAACCTATTTTCAAAGATTGAATGAGTGACACACTTTCCTTCACCAGTATGAACTACTTTTGGGCCTTCTTCAGATGGTAATGCTACGTATGTTTTCGATGCAGTCCTATTTCTTGGGTTTTTTCATCCTTACAACTTTTTGTATCTTCTGCAGTTGAATAGAAACGTGATTTGAAATTTACCATAAATCAATGAAGCGTTTTCCTTCGTTGAATTCTGAACGTCTTTGTTCTATGGCCTGTGTTGTTTTCATTGTTTGTGTCCTTTTGTCAAAAATGTCGCTTTTTCAAAATGGTTTGTACTCCTTGCTTCGAAAAGCTTTCGACATGTCCGGATATTTTTGTATCTTGTTGTAGACATTGACGAGTGTGCAGAAGAATTGGACAACTGTCACCGCGATGCAGTTTGCATCAATAGCATAGGAAGCTACATCTGTATATGCAAGGCAGGATTTCAGCAATTTGAGAATGGAACACTTTGTCTGAAAGGGGAAAAAGGTAAATGGATGGGAAGAAAGTAGTCGAGTTTGTTTAAACGTTTAGCAGAACCAAAGTCCGGCCAATAATTTTCACATTTTTTTTGTCATATTATTTTACAGAAGACGAATTCCTTTTCACTGCAACAATAATCTTAGCGTGTCTGATAGTCTTTGAAGTCCTGGGTTCCTTGACTTTAATTAAATTGACCAGGTAATGAAGGGAGAGGGGGGGAAAAAGAGCGTTTAATCAATCAACCGTCCTCTTCTCCAAACTAGACTTTTCCCCGTCAAAAAAAAATATACAAACTCCATCCCTGGATAAATCAATCTTTCAACACATTCTTTACATTTTTGTCGTGAAGGGGAAGGAACAAAAGAAAGGAAAAAAAGATTGGGTTAATGGCAGGTTGAAATACAACTGGTTTTCCAACTTCATGTTTCCTTAAGCTAATGTGGACAGCATGACAATGAAAGACGCAAGTGCGTATTTGATCGGCTGGTTATAATGAAAAGTAATTTAGACCGTAAGAAGATGTGATTTTGTTCAAAGGAAACATAATCTTAAAGCAGATGCTTCGTGTCTTTTTCTTAAATGAAACTTAGCGTGATTTTCTTCTATTATCTACACAATCAATTATAACAAAAACACAAATGTTTGGAAATTCATTTCATTTTAAGGCATACAGTAAGCAATGTCCTCTTAGTACAAATTTGACTGTATTCATGTTCTGTTCAAATCATGCTGTCAGCTAAAGCAGTTAAAGACTTGTAATATACCAATTTTATTCAAATACCCCTTGCACGTTCCTAAGAAACACAATTTCTACTTTAATCAACCAATTACATCACGCAATACAAACAAGTTTCAAATGAAGTCGTTCTTCAACTGATTAAAGAACTTTATTATATCATGAATTCAAATAATCACATGTTGTGGGTTTCCTTTCTCGTAATTTCGTTCGTGTTTCAAGTATCAGGTATATATTATATCAAAGAATATTTTTAATCGAAAATGTACGACACTGAAACGAGCAAAGAAACTAAAAGTTAAACTCGTTGATTTTAAAGGGAATTCCGGAAATGCCATAAGTTGGCGCTTTGGTAAGTGTTTGGTGAGACGAAATCGTTATCGATGGATGAGTTGCAGCAAAAAATCTTCCTCTTGTACCCCACGATGTTTTCAATCACCTTATAGATTGCTGTAAGTATTAAATCGAACTTAATATCCTCATGTTACTAACTCTTATGCCCTAGTCATTTTCGGGAGTTTTGAGATTAAGAGAAAAGAATTGATATAATTTTAAAACAGTCAAACTTTTTATTTAAGATCGTATATGCTGAACATTTATTGAGACACGTTTTAAGATCCTTCATGATCGTTCTTTAAACTTGTTTGAATTCAAACAAAGTTCATATAACATGGTTTCGGGCTTTTCTGAATGATACAGCAGAATTATATGAATGCTGACACGTTTTCATTTCATTTATCAAATCTTTTATTTCCTTTATCGATTTCAAGTAAGCTTGCCAACAATCCATACGTTTGCAATTGTTCAATGCATTGGTTCATTAGAAAGTTACGATTGAAAGATTACACACAGAAAATTATCGACCTCAAAAAGATGAAATGTCATGCACCTGCAAAAATGCGCGGAAAACTGATTTATAAACTGAAGGAAGCTGACGTCTGCCCTGAGCAAAGTACAAACTGTTATAATAAATCTTTCACACTTCAAATGCAACGATTTCAATCTTTTTGATTTTTTTATAACTTTAGCAATAGGTACAAACGAATGCAAACTTCAAATTGATGAATGTCATCAGCATGCAGACTGTCACGACCTATATGTAGGCTATAGATGTGTTTGTCGAAGAGGTTTTACTGGGGATGGATGGAACTGCTCAGGTACTTATGTAGTATGGGCTCTAGTTTGGTACACTATTAACTAGAAGATGCCTCTTTGGTTGTACAAACTTAACAGTAACTTAAATTGTCTATTTATTGAGATATCGATGAATGTCAAGAAGATGATGTATGTCAGAATGATTTGAGAAAATGCGAGAACATATTGGCAATGTACGCTTGTCCATGCGATAGAGGTTATAAAGAAGGAGGTTCAGGGTTATGTACAGGTAGCTGTAACGAAGAATAAACGAGTTAAGTTAGATAGAAGTGCCTGAAAGTTTGCAGATATGCAAAAGACGTTTCTATTTGATGTTTTCTATAGACATAGACGAGTGTTCTGAATTCACAGCAACGTGTCCGCGTCATGCTATTTGTAAGAATAACATAGGGAGTTATACTTGCACTTGTAAAAATGGTTATGTGAAAAACGACGAAGGCAATATCTGTACGAAAAAACGTATGTAAATTTCCCAGCTAGCGTAAGATAATCATGATCTTTAAAGTTGACGGATGACAGTTGCACGAAACCTGGATAGGAATTTTTTTGTATTGACAGAAGCCATGATTTAAGATGCCAATTCGGACAACATAATGTTTGCATCGTTACTTTGAAGAAAATACAACAAATCCGCAAATCTAAATAATCCTCAACACCACTTTCATTTCCACTTTCACGTCTTTCTTTTTACACTTGCTCGTCACGCTCATTTGCCTCAAAATCCGTATTAAGAAAAAGACAACCTAATTGAATGCAATCAACTCCATTAAATTCAACTTTAAGATCAATTCATTGGTCGGGTGCGTCTTTTATAGATTCTTCTACGCTTGCTTTTAAAAGTTACTTTGCCACAGCTAGAAGTAGGACTATTCAGATTTCATGCCACCCTCCCCACAGCCAAGCCAAAGTGATAGCCTCGTTTTTATAAAACTTGGAATCTCTTTAGCTGTCATAATGGAGCTGGGCTCGACAGATTTAGGAATTGAGAATCAGCACATTGAAGCGGATTTAAGTTTTTAAAATCTAAGCTTTCCGTTAGATTTCAGATTCAAAATGTCCTTTTAAATATTGCATTTCATTTTCTGTCCATGGTATATCGAGCTTTATTACTGGAATTTTCGAACCTCGATTACATTGTGGTCATTCTAAGCTCTTAAAGTGGATCTAAGCTATACTAGTTCATAGATGTCTGAACACTTTCATCATCTTTGTTAAAAATCTAAACAATATCTAAATGTTTTACAGCAAAGACATGCAGAAGTTCACCTGGCCTATGTAATTTTGTGACAGAGGATTGCATACAAGGACAATCTTTGGGAAAGTATGTTTGTCGGTGTAAGAAAGGTTTCACAAGATCAGGCGACGGAGTTTGCACAGGTATAATTACAAATTGTTGCTTCTAGGTCTTCTCCCATAACTTAGCTCCAAATTCATACAGCTTTTGTGCTTGTCTTCAATAGACATCGATGAATGCATTTCAAACAATAATCCATGCGACTCGCTGGCAGAATGCAAGAATACACAGGGATCTTATGAATGCATCTGTCCTCAAGGATACGAAACGCAAAATAATAATTGCGAAGGTCAGTGTGATTTTTAACACTTCTTTTTGTTTTGATCGTCAAGCTTTGAAAGACGAACAATTTTCAAAACTTAAACGGACGACACTGTAGCTGTTGAACAGATTGAATCACTTTTGGTGCCTTAGAGAACAGCAATAAAACAACGAGTGCTTCGGATGCGTACTAACCTTTTATCTTTTGTCTTTACAACTTTTTCGGTCCACTTAAACAAACAGTAACATAATTTGAAGTATGCTGTGATCAATGAAGCATTCTCTTTCATTGAATTCTGAGCGTATTTACTCATTTTGTGAAAACATTTCTCCTGCTGTTCTAACGATTTACACTCCTTGCCTCTGAGAAATTTTGATATGACTGAATCTTTTTCTTTCTTGTTGTAGACATTGACGAGTGTGCAGCAGGAATGGACAACTGTCATCGCGATGCAGTTTGCATCAATAACATAGGAAGTTTCTCCTGTCTGTGCAAGGCAGGATTTCTTCACTATAAGAATGGAAGACTTTGTCTTAAAGAGCAGCAAGGTAGATACTTTCTTCTGTCTTTTCAGTTTACTCCATCTTTGTTCAAATTGTTTGAAGCACGGATTTTGACGACATTGTAATTATTGCAAGAATGAGCATTGGACATTTTTTTGAAGATGTTAGAGCGATGTTACAACTGGGTTTATTAAAAAGGGCTTTAGCTACTCATTTCTTCTCTTTTTATATTACAGAGAATTCCAGCACCTTAGCAATGATTATTTTAGCCTGCATGATGTTCGCAGGACTTCTGGGTACAATCATTTTATTCAACCTGTGCAGGTAATGAAGGCTGGAGTGCGCAGTGTATGTGTGTGTACATGTGGGAATTTCCCATAAAGATTTTCTGATCGCTTTATAATGATTCCTGACTTTCTGCTGCCCGCAAATTTCAAGAACAACGACACATACAAAACTTTGGGCATACATGCGCACTCCCTACCACAGACTAGTCTTTTTCCCTCCTTAAAATTAAGCGTAATTCATTTAATGGGCCTATTCGTTTTCAAAATTCAATTATTTTTTTGTTGAAGTGAAAAACAGAAACAAAGCAGACAAGAGTGAATAAGGTCAAATCAAGATTCAACTGGCTTTCCCACTTCATGTTCCCTCAAACTAATGTAAACAGCATACCAACCAATGACTCGATGATGAGCGTTTGGTCAGAGAGCGACGACGAGAAGTAATTTTACTGTAAGAAAGTGCAATTTTGTTCAAAGAAATTAATAAATACTTAAATTAATGCCAATGCTCGATTTCCATTTTGCTGATGAATTTCATTACACTAGCATAAATAGCGAAAAATTTTAGTAAAGTATTTCACAGTTGGTAAAGCTGAGATTGGCAGATGGGCTATACTTATTAATAAAGTCCAAGTTGTATTTAAACTACACATGTTTTGTCCAGATGATGTGACAATCAACGTAAAAACTATTTTAATTGCCTCTAATTATCTCTAATTAACTAATCAAGGCGCGTATCACAATAAAGCTTTTAATAACATTTCGTACCGTCAAGTAAAGGATTTCATTCATGTGATCGTCTAATTCTGTGGAATGTCATGTGTTTTTGGCTTATAATTTTCTTCGCGTTGCATGCAACAGGTGAATACAATCATATGAATACTTTTCATTGAAAATGCACGACAATAAAGTGTGCAAAGAAGGAGGATATTGCATTGTGTTGATTTTAACAGGAGTCTTATCTGGTAAGATCAGCTGGCGTAACAGATGTACGGAACTAGTACCAAATCTAGTGACCTGCGAGAACAGAGGCCTCACTAGTATTCCGTATGATCTGTTCGAACCACCCAACGAAAATCTATTGTAAGTTTGTAGTCAAATTTTAAGCTATCTTTTCAGATTTCCTAGGCGATTTAGGAGTCTTCAACATGGGTTTGAACAACATCAAAGTGAAAACGTGGCTGTTATGCCAGGAATGAATGAAGTGAACATACGATTTTATTTCAATTGTATATTTTTTCAGTGTTCTTTCGACTAATCCTTACAACTGCAACTGCAAAATGCATTGGTTCATTACCGAAGTTCGTTTAAACTATACCAAAGTAAAAGAGAAAGTAGGGTATCTCAAAGATATGAGATGCGATAAGCCTGCAAGATTGCATAGAAAACGTATTTATAAACTGAATGTTAGCGACGTTTGTCCTAATGGAGGTGAGGACCTGAATCGATCGACATTGAACTGAGTGCTGTGTTAACAGTTAGGTTCCAGTCAACCACAACGGTTCATTTCAAATGTTCCTTCTTCACTTTAGTACCAAATAGAGACGAATGCAAACTTCAGCTTCACGAATGTCATCAGCATGCGGACTGTCGTGACCTACCGAGAAGTTATAGCTGTTCTTGCAGACCTGGTTTTACGGGAAACGGAAAGAGCTGTTCTGGTAATGAAGCGTTGTGGGTTCTAGTTTGATATCTCTTACATAATGCAAAATTTGCTGTTTTAAGAATCATCCATACTGTCGAATGAATACCACAATATGAACGTAATCTTATTATTGTGACAGAGTCTTCACACAAGCTAAAGTACTTCGATGAAGTTTGAGAAATTGCAACACGCCTCTCGATTCCATGTTTTCTTTAGACATAGACGAGTGTAGTGAAGGTACAGCAACGTGTCCTCGTCTCACCGTTTGTAATAACACTGAAAGTGGCTACAACTGTACTTGCAAAGCTGGATATGTTAAAGACGACACTGAACATTGTGTGAAAAAAGGTCAGTTGACTTTATGAAACCCCAAATTTTAGGTGGTTCTAGAAGGAGCATGTTTTGCGTTCATAATTTACTGCGTTTTGCAATGGATTTCTCACTCCATTTTCCGAAACTGCAAATCTTGGATCCGGAAATCCGAAGTTTGTAGATGGTTTATTTCGGGATCATTTTGTGGAGAGGAACAAACTCTGTTAGCGTAAGATCTTAAAGTGTAAGGCTATAGCTACTATTAAAGTGAACTAAGTTTGTAAATGTAGATCGCCCAGGTTGGTATAATCCCGAGAAGGACTGTTTTTGTTGTTGTTGACTGACGTTTCGACAACCTTAGCGGTAGTAACCTTAGCCTTATCTTCAGAGTCAAAAAAAAAATTTTTTTTTTATACCAACCTGGACAATCTACATTGACAAACATGTAACGATGCTCCCGGGTTCAAACCATTTACCTTAAAGTGAACTAAGCTTGGATGATCGATAGCTGTTTAAAATCAGTGTAGATCGTCAAGGTTGGTAGAGTCATGAGAAAGACTGCTGATTTTGATGTAGACTAACGTTTTGACAACCTTAGGCCTTGGCGATAGTCATCTTCAGAGTCAAGATGACTGTCGCTAACTGTGTCTTCCGCTAAGATTGTCGAAACGTCAGGCAATATTACGCAACACCAATACCAACAACAATTTTCAATAACTGAAATCTCTCAACCACATAACCGTTTTGATCTTATCAACGTTGAAGTTTGTAAGATCGTTTCCAATACGGACTAGCTTAAATAATCAGAATAGGTAAGAAAAAGAACAATTTATACAATCTTCAAACCTAAACGATTCTCTAATGATAAACAGAAATGTGCAGCGGCCTGTCCAACCCGTGTGATCGTGAGACAGAGGAGTGCTTTGAAGGAGAGTCTTTGGGAAACTACGTTTGTCGTTGTAAGGAGGGCTTTAAATTAACAAATAACGGACTTTGTGAAGGTAGACTAGATTCTAGGCTGTCTTTCCTATATTTCATTTGCCTTTTAGATTATAAATCTGTCTTTCGCTGCATGTTTTTCATTATTTTTTTGTTTAGCAGAAGAGTCAAAGCTTGAAGACACACCTATCATTATGTACATCGTCGCTGTGTGCGTCTTGATCATTTTGATCCTGGCGATGATCATTATAATCATATGTCTGATTGGGTAATGCTAAAAATGATAAGTTTTTTCAATGCTTGATCTACCCTTCTTTTGAAGTCATAAAATTCTACTTTTGATTGTAGAGTGAAAATGAAAAGAAAGAAGAAAGGTTCCAACAATAATGACAACTCGGGGGAGTCTGACTCGTGGTTTTCCTATCTAACGTTCCCCGAAGCTGACATAGATCAAATTCGAAACCACGATTACGAGTCTATAACGACTTTGTATCCAATAAGTGACGATGAGCGATAATTTTCACTGTAATAAGTCTTAATTTTGTGTAAAGGATGAAGGGATTTCAATTCACAATGTCAAATAAAAATTGTCCATTTCGGTGATGGAATCCAGTATGACGTCCATCTTGTTTGTTATTACTTCTGTTGTGTTGTCTTGGCATTGATAATTTCGAAAATGATTTGAAATTCCTGTTATTTTTGTGATAAAAATCTCTTGGAATGGACGAATTTTCCACTGCACGGGTACGTAAGCGATCGCCATGCTGATCTATTTCATTTTCACAATCGAAAGGCGCAATGTTAGGTAAAACACTAAATGTCCATGCGAAATATTTTTCATCAACAGACGGCAAAGAAGGGAAGACGAGCTGCAAATATACGGACAGATAGCGAGCTAGATGGCAAAGACAACAGCTTGAATGAGCAAACGCCAGAAGACGTTTCCGTCGGTACTATTTCAGGACAGGTTGAAAGCCCAATGAACGAATCATTGACCGTTCTCTACCATTCAAGTCACTACTGAACAACTGGTGTTATTTAGATTGGCGAGAGACCTTCTGTCACAATGAAAGGTGGATGGGCTAGTATGAGTCCCAAAGATAAACGAAAAAAGTATTGAACTACATTTATTTCTCAATGTATACCTTTGTGGGAAACTTTACTTTATGCCTTTTCAATTTTTTGCCGAGTATGTAGGCAAAATGATTGTTTTAATGATTGTTTTACATTCAAATTGTTTTATCGTTGTAGTGCTGTAAGAAAGAAATCCAGCAACACCGATGTTACGAGTATGGATGAGTAAGTTGTTGATGTAGTTAGGTGGTTGAAAAAGTAATAAATTTGTGTTGATGTTATGTCTTGTTTCAGCGAGCGACTAAAAACTGATCACCATGTTGATGAAGGAATTGATGGTAATGCCAATTTGTTGATTATGAAGAATGATTTCAAGACAAGAGAGGGTCGGCATTGCAGGGGTTCACATATGTGTCATACATACTACAATATTTTGTTTGCTTAAAATGGATGTGTCGTTACATTTAACAGGGGGGGGTTTGCCTTTCTTGCAAAAATAGAGCTAACCCCCCTGTTTTTGATGCCCTTGTGGTTAAAACAGTATGCATACAGTTATTTTATTGTGTTGAACTAATGACATTTCTTTTCAGAAATTCCAGTCTTACCTGATCTTGATGACTTCCAAGAGGAAGATCTAGCCAGTAAAATTGCTGCCCCACCAAGGTTTTCGTGTTTGTCAACTGATGATTGTGCCCTAGATAGGCAAACAAACAGGAAATTACGTTGTGACAATGTCTATGTCAAATTTTCTTTCTCTTGTAGCGTTCAAGTAAATCGTGTGGCAACATATAAAGAACTTGACAGTGATCTTCAAAAGCATTCATACCTCATGACCTTGGTAGGTGGGAAAAGAAGATCTCCTTCAGAAAATTTACCATACACCTCAAACACATTATATTGCAGGGCGCGGGCAAATCTACTGGCATGTGACTTCTGACATCAAACATTTTGACCAAGGATGAAATTTTGATTCTTGTAGACAATGTAGGACATGCCAGTACAGTGTAAACTGCACTTAAGGGCTATTTCTGCAAGTTTTCATTTGCTAAAACATGTTGTTACAGTGAATAGCGCCGCTACATAGCATCAAACTGATTACGTAGTAGAAAGTCTATCAAATTTAGATGTTTGTAGATGTAGATCGTCCAGGCCAGTAGTGTCATGAGAAGGACTGTTGGTGTTGACGTTGAAAGACGTTTAGACAACCTTAGCGATAGTCATCGAACCAGGACTATTTACATCTAAAAACATATAACGATACTCTCGGGTGCAAACCATTCACTTTATTAAGGTACATTTGTTTGTACTTCGACGAAGCGAAATATTAACTGACGCAGCTAGTTTTCTTTCGGCGGTACCTTGGAAGAATCTCACTAGGCGTATTCCTCATTTCAATTTCTCCCGGAGCTAGCCGTCCAGTATATATTCAGTTCAATTCACCATATTCTGTAAGTTTTCAGATGATCTATAATTGGTCCAGTTGACTATGGATGAGCACCTGCAAAAGCATGTTATTCGTTAGAAATACAAGCCCTGTTTTTCTTCATAGATTTTGAATTACAATATGAGAACTATAGCTCAGCCTATTCAAAGATATTTACTGTCGCGCAACAGAGATTATTCTCTTCTGAAATTGAGGAATACCTGGGGGTCGTTTTGTATTCATGCTCGACGTCAAGTCCTCAAATTTTGCAAATTACTAATCAGGCTAAACAGCTTTTGAAGGAAATCTTGACGAGTTAAAGTTCCACAATCTTGTGTTTGTCATTGTCCCATAATTTCTTACTCCGTTACTTTTTATCTAGGATAATGAAATCGACCTGAAGTTATTGGGAAAAGTTCTCGCTCCCGAATCAACAGTTTTAGAAGTAAGTCATTTTAGTCATGGCTAAAGCAGCGCGTTAGCCATTCCCGCAAGTTTGATCTTGCTGTTTAAACATTTCGGTGTTCATCGGCAATAATGCTCACGATATTAAATATGCACAGCATGACAGACCTTGCAGGCTGGCTTGAGGCATGAAGAATCAATTAAAATCACGTGACCCAAACACGTCATTTCTACATTTCTCGTTTCTGCGCTTGTTTCCATCACGTCATCATCTCGCATTCTCATTTCTAGGAAGACAGAGCGTGGGACTGGGACCGACTCTTCACGGAGGTTTCATCTGAATTACAAACCGAGTGGGAGATGAACAGGAAAACGAGGAAAATGTCGAATAAAGTTGTAAATATGTGTTTATAAAGTGCGATTGTTTAAAGTTATATTAATGGTGGTTAAGTGTAAAAGTCTTACTCATATTGTTAAATAATTTAAACAAGTTACATTACAAAGTTCCTACATCCTCTTTTATCTCTTTTTTTAAGATTTCTTCCTTTATCGTGCTTCCGACATCTTCGTTTCCAATGGTTATTTTTAACCGAATTTTCCTCCCTCGGTCACTGCAAACCCCCAACGCTTTGGGCACTTCAAAATCTTTTGTTTCCTAACGATTTTTCTTTTCAAAAATTTACATTTCTTTTCTAACTTCCATTGACTTCAATTCATTCTTTCATATCCACCATCCTGAATTTTTGGCAAATGCGCTATTTTTATTGGCTGAAATTATCCTGTCAGTTATTAGCTTGGAACGCTTGGAGATTTTACGGGATTACTACACCGTGTTTCCTTTCTTATCCCAACCAGTACACTTTATCCTATTGTGCCCCCTGACTATTCATATAAAATCCAATATGGTGGATTGGTAGAAGAATTATGAAATGAGATGATATTTTTTGTTGAGAAATTTCAGGATTTCTTCTTCGTCAACTCTGTCAAACCTACAAAGAAACATTCATTTATCTTTCGAGAGTGAAATCCTGTTATTTTCTTCAAGTCTTTTGATGTAAAGAATGGTGACTATTCGTCCATTCAAGTGTGACGATCTATTTCATTTTGCAAATGTGTAAGTGTAGTAAGTCTAAAAGTAAGATTGAATTGTGCGTGAACGATGTGCATCTGCTTTGAATTTTGATTATTATATTTGACTTTACGTTTTTTTAGCAACTTGGATCCTCTTACCGAAACTGTATCTTAAATCATAAATGATATTGTTCATAATTCACGGTAGAATAGGCTGATGGTGGCAAGCTAACAGTCTCGTTTATTGCCATTCTGTGTATTATTAACCATATTTGAAGGGAAACTAGTCATCATAGGGGCCGTTTTTGTAAATGTTTGTAGCTGCATCATTCTCAGTGGCTGTTTATGTTAATGTTGTCCAGCTCTCCTTGACTTCTTTCGTGCAAAGTATGGCATTCAGTTCTATTTGCAATATTTATCGCGATGGCCAGAATATTTTCAAGTTGCAGAATCTCCAGATGGACAAATAATGGGCTATAGTGAGTATATGTGCTTACACTAATGCACTTATAGAATATTTCTGAAAGAACCTGTCGTTCCCCTCCCCCTCTGACATATTAGTTACCAATTATATAAAAGTTTCACAGCCTGCATTGTAAACTATTAGTCTGATGATGTCTTTGGAGAAAAGACGAAATATTACACCATCTTTTGTTTTAAAACTCTTGTATGATCTTGAATATCAAGAAAACGAGATGTCTGTTTTCGGAATTTGTTTTGTTTTGTTTTACTTAAAATTGTCTGCTTGTCCTGGTTATTAGTTACCTAATGGGCCAAAGGACATTAATTTTGTGGTTCTTGTATGATTTAGGTTATCAAGTTCTAAAGCTATCCGTAGAAAACTTCTAAATCTCTCGTTGTATTTGGACAGCACTATATACCATGTAGACATGTATGATATTAGGAGGGGGATTTAAGTTTTGAGGAGAAAGGAGAGGGCAGCCCTAACTTTACACGATCATACTAAGAAAGGGTATTATCAATGGAGAAGTGTTCCTCATGATGTATATGTTTTAGTAATGGGGAAGGCTGAGGGCAGTGTTGAACGAGAACAGTGGCATGGACATGTGACCGCAGTGACTGTGGCTCCAGAATTCAGGAAGTTAGGAATTGCTCGGACTCTGATGACAGGTCTTGAGGATATCTCGGAGAGGTAAGCAAGATAAGACTCGATGAATGATTTTTTGAATTTTTTTGATGTCGATGAAATTCACTTTTCTATTGAAGGAAAAATTGTTTCTTTGTTGATCTCTTTGTACGTGTTTCCAATGATGTTGCTGTGAATATGTACAAGCGTCTTGGCTATTCCATCTACCGAAGGGTGCTGGGTTATTATTCGGGTGATCCAGATGAAGATGCCTTTGGTAAGAGTGGAAAGTTCTTGCATGCATTGCTTAATAATTGTCATATTACAGACTAAAATTTTTCATGTCATTATAGACATGAGAAAAGCATTATCTCGAGATCATGAAAAAAAGTCCATAATCCCGTTGAAACATCCTGTGAGACCAGAAGATGTAGAGTAGCTTCACGGGACAGGACATTCAATCAATGTATGTGCTACATGAAGTTAATGACGCATTGCAAAAAACAATAAATTTATTTTTGCTGACACTGCCATATTTTATCATTTGGCATACTCCAAATAGTACCGAATATTGTTTGCATTTGATGGGAAAATTGGTAGCATCCCAAAATTTCGCGAAATTTCACGCCTGTTGCACGAAGGTATGATTTTCGTTATCCAATGGATGGTGAATTTTTTGAACGTTTAAAAAATCTCTCAAAATGGAAAAATATACGATTTGACTTCTAGCAATCATTGAATCAAAACATTGCTTATAAGATTACAAAATTTCTTTGTCGTAAGGAAAATATAAACTCCTTATTTACAAGTTTGAAAATTTTACTTTCCAATGGATAACGCTATCCTGGCTTCGTGCAACCTGTCTAGTATTTCATTCATGCTTTGACTTGATACATAGTTTACTCTTTTTCCTTCGTGAGTGTTGCACAGCACGCATGGCGCAATTGTTTCCTGCCGAAGTAAAAGATCTTGTGCAACAGGTGTTAAATTTCTATTTAACATTGAAGTTTGCATGCTTTCTTCTGGAGCTGTTGAAGTTTGCATGCTTTCTTCTGGAGCTGTTGAAGTATTTTTTGATTTGTAAACTTGAGAAGCCTTGTCGCTGTACAACAAAATAAAACTTGATTTCATGATCTGAAAATTAGAAAAAGAATGACCATGGTTTCTCTTATTTACTTTTCACAAGTACTTGAATAGTTCCATTACTGGGAATGCCAACATTGATGTCAATCAGAAAGTTTATTTCAGTTTTGGGCTATCTTTTATGACAGAATCAAAATTTCCTGTCGTGACACTTTAAGCTTGCAGTATTTCGAGATGAAAATGTCTGTTTGTCATTGAACACGAGGTCTCTCCCTATCTGAATGGTGAATCAATATTGTATTACTCTTAGACAAAGCGTGATCTATGTATTGTTGAATCTATATCAACACAGAGGTCGTCTAAAGTTGACCTCTTAATGGCAGTATTATTCTGTGCTGATACCATGTAACTGTCTGAGAGACAGAATATATATGTATATACATACATATATAATACAATCCATTGGGCTGTATTATAATATATATTATAGATCCTTAACAGTTAAGTATAAGTATTGCTTGATCAACTCGTCTTGTACAGGTTTGTGACATTCTGCCTACTTTGGTTATCTTAAGAGCTCATCAAGTTCGTGTGCTAAGATATTTATAAATTTGTTCATCGGAGTGGATATTCATTTTAATTTATCAAATGCTGATAATGAGGCGCTAAATTCAGAACAACTTGGAGGTGTATTGGTGTTCTTCTGCGTGATCTTTTCGATGGACGAGTTTTGTCCATTTCCAGAAAGTGCTTGACAAACTAATTGTTGTGTGATTTGACATTTTCTAATTTTTGATCGAATTGAATATATGTTTTTGAAATAGGAAATAGTTTCTGTTTAATAACTCGTGTAATGATTTCAGTTTTAACGTTAATCACTTTCTACTTGTTTCGTGCTTTCTTAACAGCTTTCTCGTGACGTTTGGAAGCAGTTAATGTGTCCTTATACCGATTGTGTCTTCTTTTTTGCGCGGCGAAATGATCTTTTTTCTTCCGCATTTCGGTAAGGAGAAATACAATGTCCGTTTTCTCTGAACCGTGTCGAAACTATGCGGACTGACTGGGGATCTTTGTTATTCGAAGAATGTGTGTCATACTTCGGTATTGAATTTCAAATCTTCTTTCATGTTTTGCGTGTATTCGAAAGCCGAATCGTCTCGTGTCGTTAACCCTAGGGAACATATGGTTCTTTAAAAACGGTTGACTAGTCTGACAGACTCGTGGGCAAGTCACATCTTACAAAAATATTTGTCGCGTGGTTGCAAGCAGTTGGTCTTTGCTTGTTTTAGCAATTTATGTCAACAGAAGACAAAAGATTTAACTAAGAACTGAGGAGGTTTGGATTCGTTGACGTCTTCTGTGTCTTAGTTTGTTTGGATCTGGTGTCATGTGGAAACGTCTAACCTCTTGTTTCATTTGCAGAAGAGAAACCGACAGGTATAGTTAATGTTCAATTGCCTCAAGTGTTTAAATCGTATATTTCTAATGATGAGAGTTGTGCAAGACATGTGTTTTGTCGAAGTCTGTTTCATTGGGTTATTTGATAACCACTTATTGAGATTTCACCCTTTCTGTTTCATTTCGTTATGATTATTCGGCTCATTGTGGCAAGATAAGTATCCTTCAGATTACAATACAATCAGAACACAACGAGACAAAGCACTTCATTTGTCGAAGAAAAGATGAAATTCTTTCTGCCGTGTTTTTTTTGAGGGATAGATGAGAGCTAAACGAGACTAGCAAAAATATGTTTGCTTTATCGTTGAATTAGGTCCGATCAGTGATTTCTTTCTGGCATTCTCGCCTCTATTTATGGTTTGTGGCAGTATTCGCTTTGGTGATTCAATTGTTTTTTTATGATATAAATTAGCCAATTCATGTTAATTACCCAAAAATATTTTTCAATTGCCCTTAAAAAGAAACAATTATCTACACAAATATTCCTGTTACAAATGATTGAAAGTTTGCAAGGATCAACAACGTCGAGTAAAAGTTTTGATATGTAAAGCCAGTTTTGAAAGCAACTTTAGCGATCTACTCGACTAAACAAAAACCAAATTTTGTTTTCTCAATAAACATTTGGAAATTTTTCTACTTGCTGCAAAGAATCGAAATACCGTGGGTGAAAAAAAATTCGAACTTGCACGTCAATGGGAAAGCTGTTTTCTATTAGAAATCGGAAAGATTGAGCGCATGCATTGTATGGCTTATAGTTCAGTACACACAATTTATTTTCAGCGAACAGTTTGCGGCGTAGAAAAGCAAATAAAACTTCCAACTGTTGCCGTTTTTAAAGAAGCAACTACTTTTCATAACTACATTAGCATTTTCAACCTAGACGTTTCTATCATTTTTTGCAATTACGCTTGATAAACGGATGTGTCAAAGCATCGCATCTGGTGCAAGCTCGGGTCAAAGATATTAATAACCAAACTGTGGTTAATCGCCCTAAAAAATTCAACAAATTTTAAATAAATATCACGCAGCCAATTTTGACAAGAGATTATGAAGATGAGAAGCCAAGATACGGGCAGTTTAACCCGCAAATACCTTAGTACTTGTACACAAATAGAGCTTCTTCGCGATTTATCTTTTAATGGGTTGATAATTTCGTGTGAAAATTATTGATTCTCGTAAGCATTTTTCGGCATGTTCTTTCCCCTGTCTATCGGCAGTGCTGTGCTGCTCTTGGCGAGCCTAATCATCGTGTATTTTCTTTGGTTCAGGAGCAGTTCTCCGGTGAAGTTGACGGTTTCGTCAAGCCATGACCTTGACGCCGACAGCAAGGCAAACGAAGAGAACAAACCAGAAGACAGAAACCGCGTACAATCTTCTACGGTAAAAAATAACGAGAAACAAGTGCTTGGGGATGTCAACGAAGGTGCACAAGGGCTTGAAAGCGAGGTGTTGAGATATCGTTATACCGCTAAGTCTTCGACCGAATCCATAGATGATAAAGAAGCGATCCCGGACCCTAAAGGCGCCCATAGTTCATCGTCTCTGAAATCTAAAGGGGTTATTGATCTTTCTGAGGTATCCGATGGCAGCGTTTGCGATAAAAAAGAAGAGAATGTTCATGGGGAAATCAATGGCAAGTTTTCAGCGGACACATATTTTAGACAAAGTAGTACAACGAAAGCTGAAACTTCGAACGGTATCAACGACATCCCTCAACAATTTCACGAAAAAAGACATTCAAGCAGTAAACAAGCAGCTGAGAACGAAAGAAACATTGACAATAAACAGGAAGACAAAAGCCTGAACAACGCCAGTCATTCGGAAAATGAGCTGTTACGTCAAAAGCAAAATGTTTTAGAGAACTCGTTTGCGGAGAATAAAGCGGTACCCACTGTTAAAAAAAATATTATACCAAACAATTTACGCTACAAAACCGATGAGGGTTTGACAGTTGATAAAAACGTGAAGTATGAAGGAGAATTGCAAGATATTTCTGGTGAAAAGGATGAAGTGTCTAGCACTCGCATTGAAGGAACTATTTCAAATAATGAATCCCATTCAGATTTGGTGATCGAGAAGTTTTCTAAAGACCTCTCAAAATGTATTGTTGATGCAGTTGTGCATGATTCGAAATTGGCTTTTGTGCATCATCATCTAATGAAAATGATGTTTCAGTGGATAAAGTAGCATCACTAAAGAAGTTTGCAAACATTTTGTGTCAGTCTATTGTTCAGTCTGTGCTTGATTCCAACTGTGACAATGATTGCGATATACCAGATGTTGATAGATATGAATGTTACAGTTCGAATAATGGGGACACTGCTGTTGAGGGTGACAAGGATCTCCTTGACGAGGAACAATTGCTTTCAAACGAGGGCTTATTTATTGCTGATGAGCCTATTGAGAAAGAAAAATCTAACGAGGACTTGAATAAGTTGGCTAAAAGATTATCAAATGAAATTTTATCAGATGTCTTCCATTTAAAGAGCATTTCAGAACAAAATACATATGCATCAGACTTGAAAAGTACAATAAAAAAAAATGCCATAAGCAAGGCAAGTTCATTGAATCTTGACAATAATAACAAACTTCATGGTCAACTTAAGGTATATATTGGCGAAATTGTCCGCAATGCAGTGGACAAAGCATTTTCGACCATTCAAAACACACCTACAACTTCAGTCCACATCGATGGGACCTACTTAGGAAAAAGACAGTTAAATGATGTCGAAATACATTCAAGTGATTCTAGTTTCTTGGCTTCACAACAACAAAGTGACAGGCCTCAAAGTAAGAGGTCGAGTGTTGAGGTAGGTCACGATGATTCATCTGATGAAGAAGATGATTCCAACTTCTTGTCACCGCAAAAGGTTTGCAATGAAAAAGAATTTTGGCGGAAAAGCTTGATTGATGACCTTGAAGACGATTTGAATTTTGATGAGACAGAAACAACTCATAGTTCAGCGCCATCAAGTCCTGGTGCATCCCAAAATTTGGAAAGTGGTATGTTTGATGATAATCCTGAAAGCGAGGAGGAAGCTTTAGGAACATTGCCCAATGTCAAAGTACAAACATCAACCAACAAGAATACAGATCACCGCAGATCTAGGTTGAGGTCAGGTAGGTACATGGTTAACAATGTTGGTCTTTGAAAGAAAGCTTTTTAGCCAATTGTAATTTTTCATATTCATTTGCGAGGAGGGATCATTAAATGTAAATTAAAGGTTTAACCTATGAGGAAAATGGTGTCTCCTTTGCTGACAGGCAAATTATTTCGGGGAAATCTAAAATTCCAATTAGAATTTAGAAATAGCACTTTATTGGGAACTATTTAATGGATGCTATGTGAATCAATTAAATTGTATTTTTGGATTTTTGTAGTTGATAGCACTCCTGTCCTTGTCCTGGATAATGGCTCAGGATTTCTCAAAGCTGGTTATTCAAACGAAGCAGTACCAAGCCAAATAGTATCGTCTGTTGTTGGTACTCCTCTACGATATTCTCAGGATATATCAGGCATAGAGTACAGTGCCAAACCAGGATCTGTATTTGGTGACCAGGCCACAGGAAAGGCAGGAGTACTTCGTATTGGTATATGTTTATTTTTTCATTGTGTAGCAAGTTACCCAACCTAACATTACAATAATAACAAGTTTGTGATGCATCAAGCCTAAGAACGATTCTCAGGTGGGGGGGGAGGGGAGTTGTACGGGGTTGCACCTCACGATATCAGTCCCCCCTCCTGAAATTTATGACATCACCATAACAAAGAATATATAGATAGGTTCATGTCAACAAGATCAAGTTTTAATAATTAGTTCTCATGTTGTAGATTACCCACTGAAATGTGATCTCGTGGAAAAATGGAGTGATGTTGAAGGGCTTTGGGATCATGTGTTTAATGGTCTAATGGTGATTCCTGAGCATCCTGATTTTTCTGTTCTCGTATCACAGAGTGCTCTCAGTCCGAAGAAAAATACTGAAAAGATTGCTGAAGTAAGAGTACAGTTATGTGATATACATCTCATACTTATCTATTTTATTAGGATTGAACATAAACAAGTGCTGTGTTGTAGTTTGAAGATTAAATCACTGCCAAGAAGCCATGATCTGTTTTATTTTGTGTAAAACTCAAGTTACAACTGTTTAAGGCACTCTAGACTGGAGTATATAAGAACTCAAGTTACTGCATCAGATCACTCCTGATGAAGACACTAGACTGGAGTACATAAGAATTCAAGTTTCAACATCAGATCACTCCTGATGAAGACACTAGACTGGAGTATGTAAAGACTGAAGTTTCAACATCAGATCACTCCTGATGAAGATACTAGACTGGAGTATATAAGAACTCACGTTACTACATCATATTACTTCTGATGAAGATACTAGACTGGAGTGTATTAGGAGTTAAGTTACAACATCAGATCACTCCTTATGAAGACACTAAACTATACTATGTAAGAACTCAAGATTCAATGTCAGATCACTCCTGATGAAGACATTAGACTGGAGTATGTAAAGACTGAAGTTTTAACATCAGATCACTCCAGATGAAGACACTAGCTATATAAGGACTCGAGTGTCAGATTCTGATCACCAACATTGTAAATGAACGCCGACATTTCGCACGCGATAAAAATAACAATTCATCGTCTCTAGACGGAGTTTTTAACAAGTAACACGAGTTTTTTGTCGCGTCAAACTGATAAACTAACGACAGTTTTTACCGCACTTGACAGAAGACAAAACAGACATGATAACGAACGAGGTCTAAAAAATGATTTTAAATTGATTACTTGCAGATAATGTTTGAACACTTCCACATGCCTTCATTGCTCATCGTCGATCAACTGACGCTTTCTCTCTTCTCAACTGGATATACTTCTGGACTTTCTTTTAACTCCGGTTTCAAAAGTACTCAGGCTGGCGTGGTTTACGAAGGTCACGTGTTACCTCACACGGTGAAGCAATTGGACATCGCTGGATATCAGCTGACGGAGAACTTAAAGAAGCTGCTCATGTCCCTTCAAGGATTTGGTTTTCGGAGCTCGTCGCAATGGCAGATTGTCGATAATATAAAAAAGACGATGGGATATTTTTCTTTAGGTTTGTCCAAGTTCTTTTCCTTATTGCTTTTTTTCTCTGTTTCTCGATAAGATATTTCTTTCGTAAAGTATGAAAATTACAAGATGAAAAGTTTGTTTGGTTATGGCTGAATGGACACTTATTTTGTGAAACAAATACATGGTTTTGGTTAAAAACTTAAGTATTATTCAGAACAGAGTATTTGCCGTGGTTAATGACACTTGGGTGGTCGTTAAAGATAGCAAATATTAGTTTTAGGAATTACCCCCAAAAAACTTCCTATTTATAAGCAGTTCCTTCCTTTTTTGCCCTGCAGCAATAGGTAGTGTTACATAAAATGATAAGGGTTGAAGCATCAGTACTTCGAGACATTTTGAGCGAAGGTAAAAGACCTGTGGAGAAGCAGTGACATTGCCAGCCTGAAAGTTTGGTCGTGCTATGTTATTGTCAGGTCCATAAAGTAAATGGTTTGAACCCGGGAGTATCGTTACATATTTGTAAATGTAGATCGTCCAGGTTGGTATAGTCCTGAGAAGGACTGTTTTTGTTGTTCTTGACTCCAACAATCAACAACAACAACAGTCAACAACAACAGAAACAGTCCTTCTCAGGACTATACCAACCTGGACGATCTACATTTACAAACATGTCAGGTCCTTGTTGTGAGTGTGTGTTTTTAGAAATGTGTTGTTTTACCGCGAATGAACGCCGAAATATATACATACCACGACCGATCTTAACGAACTGGCTATGACAATTTGGAGAAGTTCTGCTTTGAAATTCTGGGCAGCCCGCTAATACACAAGAGCTCCATTACCAAATAGAACTTTATTTTCGTGTTGTAATGTGAGTTTGAATAAGGGAAACTCGCCCCTTGGGTCCTACGTCTTGGTTGTGCGGGAAAATATACTTTGAGCCCTGAGTAAAGTATTTCCACTTCAATGATTTTGGAAGTTTTGTATTTAGCAAAAAAAAACAAACCAACGAACACTGACAGCTCACTCTTCTCTTCACGTAGATTTTGAGGGTGATTCCAAGAGGTTTAAGAGTCAAGCTGAATTGCAGAAACCATATGAATTACCCGACGGTCAGGTCATTGAGGTTGGATTGGAGAGATTTGGTTGCGCCGAGTCCCTGTTTCGACCCATGGAGATTGGTCTCACTCAGTCGCCTGCTCATAAACTGATCATTGATTCCATTAACAGGTGACTGGCAATAAATGTCTTTTTTTTAACGATTTCATTCTCTCTCGTCAGCTTCTCTTTTGAGACAAAATTTTTTTATGCCAACGGTGTTAGCATAAACTGCCGACAAACGAAAATAGACTTGAATAAACTGCCGACAACGAAAACAGTGTTTGTGCAAGCAAAGAATATAATTTAGATCAGTGTAGGCAGTGATGAATGAACTAGAGAGAACAAGAACGGTCTTTACACTATCTAAAATATAAACTAAGATAACGTGTGTCAGTGTAGCTAGTGATGAATGAACAACAGAGAAGAAAAACAGTTTTTACACTATCTTAAATATAAACTAAGATAACGTGTGTCAGTGTAGGCAGTTTGAATGAACATAAGAGAACGAGAATAGTCTTTACACTGTGAACCTATGTCAGTTGTATCCATTACATTTGCTTCATTTTTCATTTACAGCTGCGAGTCTGAACTTCAAGAACAATGTTACAAAACAATGAGCGTGTCTGGCGGTACAACCTTAATGAAAGGTTTCACGGATAGACTAGAGCAGGAGCTACGAGCTGACGACAGGAGATTCAAAAATTTCGTCGCACCTGAAAATCGACATATCTCCACGTGGCTGGGAGGCTCTGTAATGGCGTCACTTCCAACATTTCAAGAAATGGTCGTTACAGTTGACGAATACGCCGAGGCTGGTGCCCGCGTTGTTCATTCGAAATGCTTTTGAATGTTTAAGTATTCCTCGTTGCTGTTTGTGCTGTCTATATTTATTCAAAGCTCGCTTCTGTTCTTCATTTGTTTTAACGTTTTCTTTTGCGAGTCGCTTGGATTCTTATTTACGATGATGGCATCCCTCCCAACTTTCTTATTCAACCTTCATGTTTATGTCATGTTTATTTTAATTTCCGTTGATCTTTCCCCTTTTAATACGTAGCTCAACTTACAACTCAGGCTATCAGCGGGCTTGTACGCAGTAGAAAGTATTTCTAATTAAAACCTAGGGTCGTTCAAAGTCAAGTCGACTTAATCTGAATCACGTAGTTTCCCAATGTACGCCGAATGTGAAGTTAACACTGACAGATAAACTCTCTTGTATTAGTGTAGTTATTAAATATTTTTATCAAACAAATGAGCGTTTTGTAATAGTCTCGTTTCCTTGATCACTCTATTATCAAACCATTGTTTTATTGTCTTTCAGTTTTTGTGCTATCAACTCCTTGGCTTTATCGATACATTTTAACCACTCGTTGACATAATTAATAACCTTTTTACGTCATAAATGGGAAGTCTTTCTCGAAGTTTCTGTTCTGCTGTTACACATCTGGATAATAAACACAAACCATAGGTTTTTCTTCGATATTAACATTTTTTTGACGAATAACTGCGACTCCACTCGTGCATTGCAGTTATAAAAAATCCAATTTGATCAGCGAACATTTCTTGTGTTAGTCAAATCTTCGTTCCAGTGTAAAGGTGGGATGTAAATGGACGTTAACAGATGCGTCCTATAGAGAAGTTTTTGCTTTTAAAAAAACCGCGTGTTTTAACTCAAATTGGTGGAAAACCAAGAACTTATGTTGTTTTGTGAAGAGAGGCATCTGCCCTATAAAAAGTCAATCTCGAACTCGCTATTGTAAGCAAGAGGCAGAGGGACAGCTAAATGAGACTGACATTATGAACTATAAATTGAAATATCTCGAAGAAAAATAGCAAGCGAAATTATGTGACATATAGAAGAAGATCCCAGCTGTGACAATGTATGAACGTCAACATTCAGCTCACTTGACTGGTGGCGCAATGGATATCAATTGAAGGATTTAGGAGTGGGGGGGAGGGGTAATCTATATCGCAGTGTCACGTCTTTCGAAATATAGGTCTACTATCTTTAGAATTCCATAAAAGATTGCCTGTATTCCTTATTCTTGTTCATTTGATTTTTACATAAAGTTTTATTATTCCTAATACAAAAGATAATTCCGAGGAATTTCCACAAAAATTTCACAATGGAATCGCAGTGTATTGTGGGAACTCATTATAAGCCATCGTAAGCAGTTTCATAATATTGAGCCGCGTAATGACTTGGATGAATTGGGCGGTTGTGTGTGAAATATTAAAAAGAAAAGGTTTTTAAAACTGACATGAGGTTCTAAAACAACAGAAACCTATCAAATAGAGTCCTAAATTTTTGGCCAAAGCGTCGTGGCTTGTAATGAAGGACTCTTTTTCTTGTTTAAGCGTTGTGACAATGCTGTAAATTTAGGGAAGCGCACCCATTTCGGATTCCAGTCACTGATGGCTACAACTGTCAACAAGAACTCTTCTGTAATTCAGGTATTATTTTATTTTGTGTTTATATTATAAGCATTGCGTCCACTGGTCGACATGGAACATTCTCCGATGAAATCTTTGCTCGGCTAATTTAGTCTTGTTAGGTTCTTTATTTACTCGAGTTTGAAGTTCCGGAGATTTTTCTCAGAGGTCGTTGCCTATTGTCCCTCCAACGTGTCCTGACGAATGTCAGTATTGAGTTTTAGGTTTTTTTCCGATGTGAGATTGAGCTGAATAAGCTGTACGTGATAAACTACCCGATTTTAAATAATGTTGCTCGCGTATTTTTCGTGAAATTGTGAGAAAAGTTTTCCAATTTTAGATGGCTGAAAAATGAAAATGAACTTTTTTCCGTTTTCAAAAGAAACGAAACTCTCAACGAAAGAGAATTGCTTCATTAGTTGTCAAACTGTCTTTTTACAAAAACCACGAAGGTTTTCTCTTTCGTAAAACGATTTGCTTTTTAGAAAATGAAATGTCTAATGTTTGAAGATTGAAAAAATCACTAATTATTGAAAACTTGTGCAATTGAGATTATTTTTAAAGTAATTAAAACTTAATTGCAAGGGCAGAATAACTAGACATACAAAAGCATCATCCCTTGAAGACATTCAACAAATTAACACAAGCAATACGGCCAACCTGGATATGCACTTGAGATCTCGCGTGGGAAACCGCATGTGAATAATACATACTTACCACACAAATTCCATGGCAATGGCAGCCCAAGTGTCATGGATCACGAGGATAAATTAGATATTAATTGGGAGAGTAATGGACAGCTTACTCCTGCATGTAAAGCTAATGACAGTAGTGAGAAACATAAAAAGATTGTAAGTCGACTCAACCCTACAGCGGGCTTTGTCAACAAGGATTTTGTTTCATCAGATCTCATGACACGTAGCAGAGTTAGACGTGAAGCCAGTTTGAATGCAGCAGCAAAAGTGAATGTGTATTATGAACCTTCAAGTTCCCTAGCTGGCCGTTCCATTGGCGATAGAACGTCAAACTCAAAGAAACCACAAAATGTGAACAGTTTGCCTGATTGTGGCAATGAGGTCAATGCACCTAAGGAGAGATGCAGACCAAGACTTGCAAATATTTCAACTAATAATGAGAACAACTTTGTTCGAACTACAGAACTCCCTGGCCCCGCAAATTCAAGTAATGCCAATTGTGTACAGGATTTTGAAAATTCGACCACTCAGAATCATCTGGACATCGGAGGGAAACGAACATCGGATTCTGATGAAGAGTTGCAGCAAGCAAAGAGGTTGAAAGTTGATAAAGATTCCACAATGAATGTAGATGAAACAACGTACATTTCTGATAAACGTATTCACAAAGGCAAAGAAGTTGTCGATGTTGGCCTACAGGTCAAGCTACCCCGACCAAGATCATCCATCCAGTGTACATGCAGGTCATCAACATTAAAGGAAGTGCCTATCAAAAGTTACGTGAGTACAATTGCCAATGGTACTCTTGTGTCCATACCTCTCACTAAAAAACATTGTCTAACACCTCATGCCCCATCGAAACCCCCGCCAGAGGCAGCACAAGGGCACATGGTCAACCTCAGCCCTAAGGTTGCTGTTTTAAACTCTCGTGCTATGCTTAGTGCTATCCTTAGCAAGGAAAGATCAGCCAATCAGGCTTCGAAATCCTCCAAGCAACAAATGGCACAGCTAATTCAGAAAAAGGGTCCTTACGAACACGGCCTTGGGAATACGGTTCCGGGAAAACTCAAAATTCCCAAAATAAATTTTGCAGCAACATCAACATCAAATTTTGGTGGCCGCAAGATGGTCACCAATCCAAAGACATCCAATAGCTCATGGTCAAAGTCAAGACTTGTCAGCCATGATGGACCTAAGGTAATCATCTTTATCCATAGACATATCAAGGGGAAGAGAGCTGGAAGATATGTTTTTCCTACAAAGTGTGTCTATGACCTTTTTCTTGCTTATGACAATAGTTCTATTTTATTTTTATTCTTTAGAGGACAAATGGTTGGTGTTATCTTGGCTCTCCAATTGTTAAACCTTATTTTTATGTAAGTTACCTGAACATCACAACTGAAGCATCAACATTTTCTTCTTTTCTTATTTTGTCAGCAAAACATGGCGCGTATGTAAATTTGTGGAAAAAAGCGTTTGGTGCTTCTCAGCACCGTTTTTAGAATTGTCGAATTATTTTTCATTGATCTTTGAAAATTTTCTTGACCTTTTAAAGGATCTCTCAACACACGAACGTGTCATAAAATAGATATTCGTATGTAATTTTAATCTAGTAATTTTTTATTTTGTTGAGTTGATACTTATTGCAAAACGTTTTTCTTTCGGACGATTTCACGATGTATACGAAAAAATATGCTCTTGTCAAATCTTTACATTTTTTCAACTCAAGATGACGAACTTTTATAAAACAAGAAAACGATTTGCTGTGATTTTGTGGTCTTGCTTTATGAAAGCTCGTATCTTGAGTTTTGGAGCAACTTTCATCGTTTACTTGATGAAAAATATGAATAGTTTTTATAAAATGAACGGTTTGAACCCGGGAGTATCGTTACATATTTTAGATGTAGATCGTCCATTTTAGTAAAGTCCTGAGAAGGACTGTTTTTGTTGTTGTCGACTGACGTTTCGACAGCCTTAGTCATCTTCAGAGTCAATGTCAGGGTCATCTTAGCGGTAGTCATCTTCAACCTTAGCTGTAGTCATCTTCAACCTTAGCGGTAGTCATCTTCAACCTTAGCTGTAGTCATCTTCAACCTTAGCGGTAGTCATCTTCAACCTTAGCTGTAGTCATCTTCAACCTTAGCTGTAGTCATCTTCAACCTTAGCGGTAGTCATCTTCAACCTTAGCTGTAGTCATCTTCAACCTTAGCGGTAGTCATCTTCAACCTTAGCTGTAGTCATCTTCAACCTTAGCTGTAGTCATCTTCAACCTTAGCGGTAGTCATCTTCAACCTTAGCTGTAGTCATCTTCAACCTTAGCTGTAGTCATCTTCAACCTTAGCTGTAGTCATCTTCAACCTTAGCGGTAGTCATCTTCAACCTTAGCTGTAGTCATCTTCAACCTTAGCTGTAGTCATCTTCAACCTTAGCTGTAGTCATCTTCAACCTTAGCTGTAGTCATCTTCAACCTTAGCGGTAGTCATCTTCAACCTTAGCTGTAGTCATCTTCAACCTTAGCTGTAGTCATCTTCAACCTTAGCTGTAGTCATCTTCAACCTTAGCTGTAGTCATCTTCAACCTTAGCGGTAGTCATCTTCAACCTTAGCTGTAGTCATCTTCAACCTTAGCTGTAGTCATCTTCAACCTTAGCTGTAGTCATCTTCAACCTTAGCTGTAGTCATCTTCAACCTTAGCGGTAGTCATCTTCAACCTTAGCTGTAGTCATCTTCAACCTTAGCTGTAGTCATCTTCAACCTTAGCTGTAGTCATCTTCAACCTTAGCTGTAGTCATCTTCAACCTTAGCTGTAGTCATCTTCAACCTTAGCTGTAGTCATCTTCAACCTTAGCGGTAGTCATCTTCAACCTTAGCTGTAGTCATCTTCAACCTTAGTGGTAGTCATCTTCAACCTTAGCGGTAGTCATCTTCAACCTTAGCTGTAGTCATCTTCAACCTTAGCTGTAGTCATCTTCAACCTTAGCGGTAGTTTACTTCTCATTTGACGGCTAGAGATGTCGAAGCATCAGTCAACGTCAACACCAGCAGTCCTTCTCGGCACTTTACTAAACCTGGACGATCTACATCTACAAACGTGTAATAGTTTTTATACGATCATACTTAGACAGTAGATTTCGTTTCTTCTTTTCATCGACAACAGAACGAGACCAAAGTCATGCGAAAGTATTACATTGGCATAAAAAGGAACGACGAGGTTATTTATGTTCGCGATTCTGTGTTGTTGAAGTCTGGACCGCGACGTAGAGATCTTCCGTTTGTCGCTCGAGTTTCTGGTTTTTGGGAGGAGGAAATTGGTAAGGATTGTAGAGGGGATAGCGTGGGATTCTTTTTGGGTTTTGAGGGATAAAGATTATTGCACCGCGAAGAGCATTTACATGGCAAAATGATGCAATTCAAAGCTGTTTAGTTTCTGTGGTTGAACCGCTCCAAACTCGATTCTTAGGGGCCGATTACATGGAGCAATTTCAGCCCGGGCCTGTTATAATATCCTATCAAAATAGCGTACGGGATTACACGAGAACAATTCTAACCCGGGCTGAGTTTCAGTGAGCTCGGGCTGGAATTTCAGCCCGACTAAACTACCCGGGATGAAATTTCAGCGCGGGCTGAAAAATCTGTCATTTAATCGTTTCAGTCCTAGCTGAAATCACCGCTAAAATATTCGCGCATGCGTAATTGCGTACCTATTGCTTATGATGACAACAACAAATTAACGACAACTGGCGATCATGCCTCGGACGAGCTTCGTAAATTTCAGCCCGGTTTATACACCAGGGCTGAAACTCAGCCCTGTCTGAAATTGTTCCAAGTAATCGGACCCTTACCTGGCCGGTTGAACAGTAATCATTTTCTACACATCAAACCTCTGTTATTGTTAATAAGTGTGATAAATTGTGCCAAGTTCCGCGTTTCCTTAAATCTATTGCTGAATTTATATTTCTAGAAGATATAATCCCCTCTTCGGAGTGTTTTACCGAGTTTTTGAAATAAACACACTATTGTAAATTATAAGTTTCGAAAAACATTTTATTGGTGGATCTCGGTTAAACAAACGTATTTTTTAAAAGGTCGCGTTTTTTCGTTCCAGGTCCCCACTCCGGCGAGATGATGATGAGCGTTTTATGGTATTATCGTCCCGAACAAACTGAAATGGGGAAACAAGACAACATTCATGGCGAGGTAAGTGTGAACATTGGAGTACATAATGGTCATTCATTGGTAAAGTGTCATACCATTTAAATCTACTCAACTGAGAAAAAAGTTAGCGACGTTGAAAGTCTGGGAACGTGACTAGACTAAGATTTATTTTGTGGCGAAAAACTCGATAATGGAGTACATGGAAGTACATTCTAGTGCAAGCTAATGTTGGTACCTATATGGTACCTATAGGCTAATTATGGTAGCTATATGGTACTCATGGCAACCTAAATGGTAACTACCAGTGAGCTAAGAATAAATAATGAATGTGTGATTGTGTGATATCTTTTCAAGCATGAAGACAGCGGACATTAGATTCAAGCGGGTGGATTTTGCTTTCAGACTTGAGTTTGATTAAAACTTGGCGAAGGTAAAAGTTGCTTTCCGATTCTTCTTTTACAGAATGAAATTTTCGCATCGCGACACAAAGATGACAACAGCGTGGCGTGTATAATTGACAAATGTTATGTTATCAGTTACCCTCAATATTGCAGGTGGGTTTTATCATTTAAGAGTATGGTTTGGTTTTGAGCTGGGTATTTTTTATGTTGGGTATGTAAGTTATGATGGCGTATATATGTCATATGTTTGTATGCATGCAGATACACGATGAATATATATAGTACATGAGTGGGTATGTATGGATATATATGTATAAATGCTGATATATAATTCATCTATTGTACATGAATGGGTATATATGTATAAATGCTGATATATGATTGATATATGTAGTACATGAGTGGGTATGTATGGATATATATGTATAAATGCTGATATATAATTCATCTATTGTACATGAATGGGGTATATATGTATGCATGTATATATGTTTTGTTTCCTCGTAGGTATAGAGCCGCTATCAAACGCTCACTGTATTCTCGTATGTCCCCTGCTACCCTCGTCCCACCTGCGGAGTCCACGCGGACCACAAGAGAAAAAATACCATCAACTTGTGACCCCAAACTCGTGTTCTTTTGCCGTCAAATTTACGATTATCGTATGGGTAGAATATTGAAGAATCCATTTTATGTTTAAAATGTATATTGTTATAATATAGACTTTGGACTATCTACTATTTTAAATGAAATAATGCTATTTATCTCTTGCTTGAAATAATTTATAACAATAAAGGCAAGGATCGTTTTCGTCGATATTCGACGAATTGCAACTGATATCTCTCGTTTCCAGTCCCCCCGGTAACGCTTGTGCCAACTACAGGAAATCTGTACAGGAAAATAGACAGGATTATACAATTTATAATGGATTGAAGTATTTTTAACTGCGGTGCGGTAGTCTAATATGCGTCTGTTTTTCGTATGTATACTGGTAAATTATGACTTTATTTTGGCATTGTATGTAATATTTAACAAATTATTTACACAATTTTAAAACATTTGGAGAAGATTGTGATTCTTGTTCAAGTCATGTTTGCCCTTCACATTTTTGCCATCGTCAAGATAAAAAATCGTTTATGCAAAAGAATTCAGCGAATGAGCAAAATGTTTTACTTAGACTTGCTTAGAGAAAATCTTAATCTCTCTGGCGTGGTCCTAAGCTCTCTATATATTTATGCAGTTATTAATTTGACTCTGTCCTTTTAGCTTTCATCACAATATAGAATTTTAACTCCCTCGGTTATGTGGATTGTAATTCTGTATTCAGAAGAAGGTTCGAAGAACCGAGTTGAAAGCTCGATAGATTGAAAAATTTCAATCCGGAGAAATGTCCACTCATCTAATAAATGGAAATACCTAGATTAACGATATTGTAATATTTATATGGCTATATATAGTATTGAGCTATATATAGCATCGTATGAGGCAATGGTTGACCATACTGATCAATACAGTCTGTTTCATACATACTATTTTCATCTCCATGGGAATCGATTCACGGCGCTGGCGTTGTGATTCATATGCGAATAAAATACTACGAAGTGATGAAATTTTGACCAGATTTTTACTGTTATATTTGTTCAATTGATTTGGTATTTGGTGGGAACTTTCTTCTATTTTATGAAATATATAGGTAGCAGGTCAAGTTCTGTGGTTGAAACTAGTTCTTTCCAGTTGAAGCACAATGGGATAAATGACAAAACACGTTGTTTAAAAATTTTCATACTCCTACGCAGGGTGGTCGATTCATTATTGCGACTGTCTTCGTAGGCTGTTGGCTTTCTTTGTTTTCCCTTTTGGAAGGCTTGCAAGCCAAAGCACTTTCAGGGAAAAGTTTGTGTTCGTTTCCATTAAAGAAACAAGATTTTTGCGTGATAAATGAAAAGATAACGCTTATGTAACGTCTTTATGAAATCGGATAATGGAGTAGGCGGCTTTCATTCCGTGTTTCGTAATGCTTTTAATTCTGTCCTGAACTTGTACGATTAAAATAAGGCCTTCCTACGTTGCATTCACATTTTCTTTAATCTTCTCATGTGCGACTACAATCTTTCATCGATTAACATCAAGCTTTCTGAGCACGGAGTTGTGTTTTGACTGTAAATACTCAATTACGGTCAAGGTATGTCGAGTTTGCAATTGATTGATATACAATCCTTATAAAGAAAGCGATTAGTGTTAAAAAATAACAAAATATTGGACAGGTCTAGGGAATAGGGGCTTAAGTATCAGTTGTATGTTGTTTTTTTTTTGAAAATGATGCGTGTTCCAGTGAATTCCAACGAAAGAAATGATAATTAATGTGCCAGACATAAAACGCCTCCTGACAGTAGGAAACCTTTCTTACCTTTGTCATATTTGAGGTATCGACTTTATTCCTTGATTTATTCAACAGCTGTTTTGTGTGTGACTGTTCATTTTCAATAACAGGTTATTATTATTGTATTGCCATAATATCTATACATTTCATTAACATTCTTGAGAGGCATGGATTCTTTAATCATTTTATAAACAAATTCAATTGTGTTGTGTTCGTCGCATGAAATTGAGCACGAAAGATCTTTTAGTAAAAGCTGTTGACTTTAGTGAATCGACAAAGCAATAAATTAGCGAATTTGCTTTCTTTTGTTTGCGGTCGAACTTTTAAACTATGCCGACTTCTTGGTATTTGACATGCTAGACGAAAATCTTTACTAGATGGCATTGTTTTGATGACGAACGAAGAATGACTGAAAGTGGAAGTGAGACCGAGAAACAGGATTATGTCGTGACGCTGGAGGACAAGAATTCCTGCCATGAAGTGCTCAAGTCGAAGAGTAAGTTATGCTGTAATGAATTTCAATTGAAATGTTTTAAAACAAAAATGCCAAACATTAACGAGAACAGGAAGCGTAATTGCTATAACGTGTATTGTGTTCGCTTTGAAATTGCAGCGAAGGATGACATCAAGACTAACACTTCCTCCGTTATACTATGGATTAAATCTTTGAAAGAAGATAACAGAGCACCTTCGTTCGATGATCCCACGTCTGACCATCCATTGCACTCAGGTATTCATGATCATATTGTTTTGAAAAATCTGTGAGGCTTTCCAGGAACTTGAGTGGAACGATTTGTGCATGATTTGATTTCATTGCTTTTCACGAACAAATTTTCTTCAAGGCTTCGGCAATGATTCAGATGATTTACAGCTCGGTGCAGATGCTGCCACTCTCCATGAGAAACGCAGGCCTTATAAGCACTTGCCTCCTTTATGGTAAGTTAACTGTTGTTGCCAGATAATTGGTAGGATTATTGTGCACTGTGTATATAACCATTTCCATAACATTCTGATTTGCCAGTGTTTGTGGTTTGTAGTCATTGTACCATGAACCCTTGATGTGTCAAATATTATAACAGTTGAGTTTATAATTTCAATATTGTACTTTGTTCTAGGCTTGATAGTGACTCGGACAGCAGTCATCCCAGGTTGCATTCGTGGACTGGACGTCAATCGTTGCTTTTGAGTCGACAGTCATATGACAGATCCTTGGATAGTGACACTTCTGGCTTATCATCTGTAACGAGGTGCTTAAACTAACAACTTCTTAAATTGTGGTACTTTTTAATGCGTTTTGCATGGTAATATGATGTTTTCGAAATTCTGACTTAGATACGGTATAGATTATTTCATCAGAAATTTGGCCAATATTTTTATGAAAGATATTCTTTGTCCCAAGGCTGTTACAGAGAAAGATGTAGTGTAGCCAACTAGTAACTTTGGTCCTGCTATGCAAGGAAATACTAATAATAATTATCTGAAATGAACATGACAGAACAAACAGTTACAGGCGGGCTACACTACTGAAATAGAAAGGGTTGTAGGTTAAGCCATAGCAAGAAAGATGGTTTGTGGGATGGTGGTGTATCACAATTTTCATATATTCAGTTTTGCCCAACTGAGTTCTTTTGTAATAGAATTTCCCCCCTCTCCTCCGAATCAACCTTCTAGCTATGGCTAAGTTTTCATACCTATTCTACATGTACCAATGTTTTTGGCAAAATAAAACTTTATGTCTATTCTGTTGTTCAAAAGCGTAACAAAACTACCCAGTTTTTGATTGACAAAGTACGCAATATCCATTTTAACTGACAAGGAAGAACCAATTAATGTTTTCACAAGTCATAAAGGAGATTTCTCGCCTTTGAAAGACTTTATGTTAGTAACTACATCCATTCCATACGTAATTTGCTTTTGAACACCCTGTATATAATGAGAATCCCTTATTTACAATTTTTACAATTTTTATTAAATGAGGGGATAGTTACAATGTTTCCACACATCTCCTTTGATCAGTGAGCATTTCATTTTTCTTTGTATTCTTCTTCTTTTGTGATAATTTGATGATTGAATGTACTCAAATTGAATCAATTTGTTTTTTATGTATTTTTCCAACTGTGATAGCCTCACTAACTTTTTACTTTCAGGATTGTATATTAAAGCATTGCAACTATTTACATCCGTTTTATGCAAATTAGTGTAATTGCACAAATTTACATTAGCCATTACGTGGTAAAAATCATCTGAAAAACTTTGCGAAAAAGGACCGAAACCTCATGTAGAAGCGTGATGATTGAAGTTCACACTTAGTTTGGACCTGCTGTTTGATATTTTTTGCCGTTGTTTTTTTCAGCGTCTCCAGTCTCCTAACCGCGCGCGAAAGTGACCCGGAAGACGTGTTGAGGGGCTTGGGTTTTCGCACTCCAGGTGTTTTGAACAAAATCCCAGACAGGTTCATCAAAACCGGAACGGTCTGTTACGGTGTTGATTCACAGCAATTTCTTGCTGACTTAAAAGAGGATTCAGACGGCTCACCGCATTCTGTGAGTATTTTTAACCTCCCGCGTCAAGCTAAGTTGTGTTTATCAGATTGAGAGATGAATATAAATGTTTATGTAGAAGATACGATATACCTAATCATCTTCATCCAACATATTGCAAGAGATTTTCATAGACTTTTCTTTTATAAACGTCGGCGACTTCATAAGTGCGTCTGCCTTTTCAAAGTTGTCGCTTTTCTTTGAATGACGCTACTGAGAATGAATGCATTTTCTCGTTCCTTAGGAAAGAGAAATAACAGAATGAAAGTACTAAATCATTATCATTTAGAATATCAGAATATTGATCACGTGTGCACTTTCATATGTAGTAGATAACACCGAAGACTTTCGCTTATCGATTTTATTCCCACTTTTCATATTTCTCTATCTTTGGATTTTGCTAGAACTCCGAAGTGCCTCCTTGGATTATGGCGAGGATGGGCGACATCCCCAGAAAATTTTGGTCCGACGCCGAAGAAAGACACGACACATTGCCGATTTTGAGTAAAATCCAATCTCCAGTGATAGAATCTACTACACCTGACGAACTTAAGAGCGAATCCCCTTCGCGCTGTACAAAAACCTATCCGCCGTCAAAATTTGGAAACTACCTCGAACCTGTCACGGAAGAAGTGGAGGGCGGCTCAACAAGTGGAAGTTTGAGTCCGTTGAAGTCGTTGAGTTTGGAAAGTCGTTCGACCTTGAAGTTCAACAGTTTGGAATATCCCGGGTCAGATTTATCTCAAGTCCCTTCATTGTTTGATCTATGGCAGACAAAAGAAGAAGTAAATGAAGCATCGAATGACGACGGAACGAGATCCGGTATTATCTCGATGAACAGCGGAGAACATTCTCCGAGAACGCCCACTACGAGTTATGTCCCCGAGAATATCGAAAACGGTAGGTGATGCTAGTTGAATGTGATTGGCCTTTTTCATAGAGCTCTTCCCTGTTTATAAGTAGTCTGCATTTTAATCCTTAAATCAGTTTGGTCTTTCTGCATTACAAGAGGCGAGAAAGTCTGGAATCACTGTGATCAATCTTCATGTTGGCTTCGATATGTAGCCAACTCGTTTTCGGCCTCACTGAACTCAATCACTTCAAACGACCTGCTACAAACCTACATAAGCTTCAGCGATGTATTCAAATATTCTTTATTTTGCTAATCATGCAGATTGGGAAACATGCGTGAAGTCGGCTTATCTTATAAGATGTTTTAATCGTCACATTATGTAAAATCGTGCCGATAAGTTCGAAGGACAGACCACCAAATGATACAGTCTCGTTAGTTAAAGAATTTAATGATGATTGTGTTTTGAAATTTACACAGCACTACTCTTATACACGGTTGAAATTTGTTTTTGCGATAGAAGGATTCTTTAATCCGTTCTGCATTTCATTTTACAAAATTTCGAATGACGAATCCTGTGAAAAAAAAAGGGACTTTCGTTTACGTTCCAGAAATCATTGGTAATCAGAAGTCTGTTTACGTTTTTGTCTCCAGACCAATGAAATGTCATAAAATTCTTCCTCAAAAAGATCTTTAGAAACATATGGGTCACGCACGCTTTTATATAATTTTTACTTTTTAAATATGCAAAATAACAGATGGCTTTATGGAAGATATAGCCCAAAGAAAGCCTTCTTCACAGAAAACAGCCATTGGGTGCATTTTATGGAATTTTTATATGAATATATCTCGGTATTCTTTGATTTCTTTCACACTGTAGGCCACAGCGAAGATTGGATCGACAGATCTCGTAATACTACAGTTCCTCAACGGAGATCATCTGCCAACGAAAGTACTTGCGATTATTTGAGGTCAGAACGCGAGAATCCAGCCGTACCGTCGTTATCGGAGTACACAAACACGGGACCAGTCGCAAACGTGGCAATAGTCGACAGTCATATTGACAATATGGAAAGTAATGTTGAAGTTGATCGTGAAATGAACAGTGAAAAACGTGTAAAATACCCGCTTTCCTTACGCATACCGACTTTGACGATTTCTGAGCCGACTGAGAACGCTCGCAAATTATCCTCAGTTGAACCTCCAGATACTACCAAATTATTGCCTGTTCATTTGGAGGAGAAAGCTGGCAAAGTTTCAGAAACTTCTTTCGACAAATCATTTTCGGGAAATGGGCATCGTTGTTCTACACTTATTCAACTAAATTCCTCAACATGTCTGTCGTTGGCCAACAGAAAACATTTTCAAATACAGTTTACGTGCCCCGCTCCCAAGGCAAGACGTTCTAGGAAGTTTTTGAGCAGAAATCGTAAAAATAGAGAGTCGAAGCTTTCCATAATGAAGCCCAAACATCGTGGACAGTTAACTCTGTTTGATGGGGAAAGTTCTCAAACGATATCCTGTTTTCTTGATGTAAAACCCCAGAAAAACGTTGTCCGTTCTCAGGACACCGGTGAAACGGTCATTGAAGTTTTTAGAAATGAAAACGAGACACTTACGTCGTTGACAGGGAGCTATTCGGAGAATTCAGTTTATTACAAGGAGCGCAAAGATAGTAGTCTGAAGTGTGAAACTATCAAAACGTCGGAAAAATGCGAGTTTGAAGATGATCATAAGAATAATAAATACGGTTTGCACGACGATAACAGCGAGTGCCTACGGAATGACCAAACAATCGAGGTACTTATGACGGCCTAACTTTTATAGTTATTAGTGAGAATTGGCAAACACGACGTATCCTGTAAGACGCCGTGAAAATGGCGTAAATATAGCGTGGACCCAACCATATATGCGAATATCCCGCAGTTTTTACGCCATTTTCACGACTTTTAGACGATACGTCGCGTTTGCTAAATCTCTCGAATGTTTCTGTCGTTCCTAACTTTGACGATTCTTTCAGGACAGGTTAGATGGTCTGGAAAATACTCTCAGAGGAGTTAAAATGTATAAAGCTGGCGTTCATTTGATGCAGTTGGCCTCGTCTTTTGAAACGGCTTTACACTCAAGGTAGTTATGCAAACATCTGCCTTTTTGCGTTATCTTCCATTCGTGATGTACCAAGACCCAAAGACGTACTGGAGTTATATCTGCTGAGGGAGGTTATAAATATTTCCCCCAATTCGCAATGGAATGCCAAACTTATGCAAAATACCCATCGTACTGTCTTGCTTCTGTATTTTCTGCCCGACTAATGTTAGGGTTAGTGCTCTAGGAACTTCAAACTTTCTTACAGCTGCCGGTTCCTGTGAGAACTTAATCAAGGTCCTCTAGGGATCTTAAATACGATCTTATCTTAAGATCTTGTGAGATCCTGTAGGATCGTAAAGGATCTTAATTAAGATGCAAGATGTTCGTTAAGATCTCGTAGGATCACATGCGATCTTAAAGAATTTTAGCCAGGGTCTTGTAGCATACTTTGAGAACTTAATGGATCGAAATTAAGGTCTCGTAAGTTATGAACACGATCAGGAATTTACTCGTTCATGTAAACGACCCTTTTGTTTTGTATGAAGAAATTGGGCGCAGTCTTGTGAACAAGAAGTTATTTTTACATTGAAAAATCCTTTGATGTATTCATTGTATCGATTTAAATGGTAAACGGGATAATTTAACTGGTATTTAACGATCGCTTCCCATGTTAATTGTGGAATGTTATTCCCAGCTGATAAAATGTTTGAGATAATATTACGAAGTTGAAAGAACCAAGTCGTCATAATTCAGTATATTTAATTGCAGATATGATGCAAAGCGCTCATGTGACGATTTGTTGAGTAGCATACAGCAAGAACTGAAGCGACTTGAAGATTACATGTTACGTTTACAGAACGAACTGCAAGGGATTGTAAGTTTGTAGATAGAAACGGTTGCCGTGTATGTCCACACGAGGATAAGTGTTTTTGGTGTTTTGTTCTTCTTTAAAGCAGAAAAAACTGAAGGATAGCTCGGGAAAGAAAACGAACGTCGAAGAGAGAAGAGGAAGCGATTTCTCGGATATTGTAAGCCATCGTCTTTTACAAGTTTTTTTTAGTTTTCTTTTTTTCATAATAAAACTATTGCAAACAGTATTTTAATGTCAGATTACTCCTGATGAAGACACTAGACTGGTGTACAGAAAGACTGAATTTTGAACATCAGTGGCCGGTTGCACGAAGCCTGGATAGGGTTATCCATTGGATAACACAAATTTTCAAATTTGTAAAAAAGGTGCTTGTATTTGTCTTGCGACAAAGAAATTTCGTTATCTTCGAAACAATATTTTTTCCTTGATTGCTCAGTTCGAATCTTATATTTTTTGCTTTTTAAAAGTTTTTATAAAAGTTTCAAAAAAATTGCTATCCAATGGATAACGCTATCCAGGCTTCGTGCAACCGGCCCAAGATCACTCTTTATCAAGACACTAGACTGGAGTATATAAGAACTTTAGTTTCAATAACTGATGAAAACACTAGACTGGAGTATATAAGAACTCAAGTTTAAACATCAGATCACTCCTGTTGAAGACACTAGACTGGAGTATATAAAGACTGAAGTTTCAACATCAGATCACTTCTGATGAAGACACTAGACTGGAGTACATAAGAACTCAAGTTTCAACATCAGATCACTTCTGATGAAGACACTAGACTGAAGTATAAAAGAACTCAAGTTTCAATAACTGATCACTTCTGATGAAGACACTAGACTGAAGTATAAAAGAACTCAAGTTTCAATAACTGATCACTTCTGATGAAGACACTAGACTGGAGTATATAAGGACTCAAGTTTCAACATCAGATCACTTCTGATGAAAATACTAGACTAGAGTATATAAGGACTCAAGTTTCAACATCAGATCACTCTTAATGAAAAATCTGTGAAAGTTATCTTTAAACTGATATATACTGTTGCCAACAGACGCGGCAGTTGCTTCAGGAACAACTGAAAATCTTCTCTACCATTTCGAGTGCCGCTGCAACGCCATCGTCGACACCAAGCTTGTCACGAGAGCCAAGTATATGTTCGGATACCCCGGATGTACTACGTAATACTGACGTCATGAAACTGCGCAAAGAGATGCAACAGTTGCGTCAAGACAGTTTGGGGCACAATGCAACGGTGGGTTTTATAAATATCATCGTTCTCTGTTGTTCATTCATCACTTCTTACACTGATACACGTTATCTTAGTTTATATTTTAGTCAGTGTAAAGACTGTTCTCGTTCTCTGTTGTTCATTCATCACTGCCTACACTGACACACGTTATCTTAGTGTATGTTTTACTTTGTGTTAACACTGTTCTCGTTCTCTGTTGTTCATTCATCACTACCTACACTGACACACGTTATCTTAGTGTATGTTTTACTTTGTGTTAACACTGTTCTCGTTTTCTGTTGTTCATTCATCACTACCTACACTGACACACGTTATCTTAGTGTATGTTTTACTTTGTGTTAACACTGTTCTCGTTCTCTGTTGTTCATTCATCACTACCTACACTGACACACGTTATCTTAGTGTATGTTTTACTTTGTGTTAACACTGTTCTCGTTCTCTGTTGTTCATTCATCACTGCCTACACTGACACACGTTTTCTTAGTTTATATTTTAGTCAGTGTAAAGACTGTTCTCGTTCTCTGTTGTTCATTCATCACTACCTACACTGACACACGTTTTCTTAGTGTATATTTTAGTCAGTGTAAAGACTGTTCTCGTTCTCTGTTGTTCATTCATCACTGCCTACACTGACACACGTTATCTTAGTGTATATTTTAGTCAGTGTAAAAACTGTTTTCGTTCTCTGTTGTTCATTCATCACTACTTACACTGACACACGTTATCTTAGTTTATATTTTAGATAGTGTAAAGACTGTTCTCGTTCTCTGTTGTTCATTCATCACTGCCTACATTGACACACGTTAACTTAGTTTATATTTTAGATAGTGTAAAGACTGTTCTCGTTCTCTGTTTTTTATTCATCACTGCCTACACTGACACACGTTATCTTAGTTTATATTTTAGTCAGTGTAAAGACTGTTCTTGTTCTCTGTTGTTCATTCATAACTACCTACAGCGACATACGTTGTCTTAGTTTATATTTTAGATAGTGTAAAGACTGTTCTCGTTCTCTGTTGTTCATTCATCACTGCCTACATTGACACACGTTATCTTAGTTTATATTTTAGGTAGTGTAAAGACGGTTCTCGTTCTCTGTTGTTCATTCATCACTACCTACACTGACACACGTTATCTTAGTTTATATTTTAGATAGTGTAAAGACTGTTCTCGTTCTATGTTGTTCATTCATCATTACCTACACTGCCACACGTTATCTCAGTTTATATTTTAGTCAGTGTAAAGACTGTTTTCCTTCTCTGTTGTTCATTCATCACTGCCTACACTGACACACGTTATCTTAGTGAATATTTTAGTCAGTGTAAAGACTGTTCTTGTTTTCTGTTGTTCATTCATAACTACCTACAGCGACATACGTTGTCTTAGTTTATATTTTAGTCAGTGTAAAGATTTTTCTCATTCCCTGTTGTTCATTCATCACTTTATCTTTGTTAAAATGTCAGCTAGTGGAAATATTTATGTACAAAGTGACCAACAAAACACTGTGTTTTCATCTTTCCTTATGTATATTTCAGTTAAAAGACGAAATTCTCCAAGAAGTAAGAAGCGAGATACGCGAATGTTTTAAAGAATATTTCAATGAAAAATCCTTGAGAAATTCAAAATGATACCTTTGACTATTACAAAATCTTATTATTTATTAACATATTACTTATTTAAAGTTTCCGAATGAAAATAATAAAAAAAATTTAAATTTTTGTCCATAAAATTAATGTCCAACTAAAGCAGTAACATAAATCGATCTTCCCTAACTACTTACAATAAATATGTTTTGAAACTTGAGTATCTTATAGGCCGGTAAACTTTTTTACATTAAATTTCAAATATCATACAAATTTTTTTGTACAGAGTGAAGAAAGGTGGGTTTAGTCAAAATGTCTGCTATCTAGCATAGAGATCAATATATAGAAGGACTTTTTTCTCAAATTCCTCCTAGATACCAAAAAATTGATGAGAAATGGCAAGGTTTGTTTAGAGCAATCACTTTATAAATATTAGGTCGTTTACCTTTTCATTTTTATGTTGCTCTGCCGCTTTTGTGTTCAATGCATCATCAAAGTCAAGCAAATCCTTATTTTGATGAAGAAAGAAATAAACTTATCCATATCTTGGATACTAAATTTGATAAATAAGCCTCAATTCGACAAACATTCAACTCACTGTGAACAATGAATTGATTCCCCATATCAAATCCTACATTTAGAAAGAATCATAACTTTGTAGGTAAAAAAATACTACAAGTGGGAGATGAGACAGATAAGAATTTGATCTTTTCAAAAAATACCTTCAATTTTCTAGTTGGTGCCCACCCTGATCCATCGATTGTGTGTTCTCTCAATAAACTGTAACGAAAATGATTTAACTTTTGTTAATTTAGTAATAGGTGACATATTTTTCGCTATGTTTCACCTTAAACATATTTGTCCTTCTTCGTTGATGTTAGGATGCCATATTTTAGTTTTGCAGCTTGCCATTGGTGGCTACAAAGTAGAATAACTTCACAATATGAGCTTAAGTATTCTGTATTGAAATGCATAAGATCAATCTTTACAAACCTTTATGTTGTATTCTTCAGGAATATTTATGTGAAAGCAAAATTTACCACCCAACCAAAATCCTTCGTCTATATAACAGTAAGGAAGCAAGGAAAGATTTTAACTTCAAAAAAAGATGAATTGAACCTATGTATCGTTATGGATATTTGCCAGGCAGAGAAGAACTGAATGTTCCAGTGCAGGCTGTGTTTGAAGGTAAGTAAACTTGTATTACCTGGAGTTACTGAAAGATCAAATACGCTCAAGACATCTGGATCCTTAAAACAGACTGTGCAAGTGTCTGAAATGAATGCAATGTTTTTGGAGCAAAAATCTGAACTATATAGTCGATCTTTATGAATGATAAACTACCATTCATAATACACACGTATCATCACTAACCTGGCAAATTTTCCATCATTTCCGGCACCTCTGTAAGTACAAAAGCAGAAATGAACATTCAAAGATTGCAAAAATATGTACGAGCAACACATTCAGCATCATTCCGACAAAATGTACATTTAGTATATTTAGAAATATCACCTTTTGTTAATAAAACGTCGCGAACAGATAACACGTTGCTGCTTCTTTGAGGAGACTTTTTCTCCTTTTCCTCGCGAATTTTTTTCGACAAGGTAATCATGCTATTAATCAGATCACTTGTCAAAACTACTCTTCTATATTTCGAGTTACTTTGTTTATGTTTTCTGTTCACAATGCGAAAGAGCCGGCGATGAAACGTGGGCATTCTAAATACACCCCCCTTGTTAAGAAATTTAAAGGCAATATTTCAGGGGTGGAAATAATATCAAATAACTCAAATACCTAAAATTGTTCAATAAAATGAGAAAAACGTTCAGCATTTTTTCATAGTCCAGGTTATGTACGTATCTGAGTGTGCATTCGTTTTTAATGTCAATATAAAGAAAGATATTCAGGAAAATTCGAAATCAAAAGAAGCTTGATAATTTATATTGTTGACTTTGTATGAAATTTATAGAACAATTAATGGGGTAATAAACACAAATTGCAACTCTGGCGTGCCGCTGACTTATACAAATATTACAGGCTCAGATTTGTATGTTCCTTCTTTACCATAAAATTGTGCTGACAGACGAAAATTTGGCAAATCTTTGCTCGCAAATGGTTAAAATACGTAAGGAAATTATTCTTTACTAATACTTTAAAAGTCTTGAAAGGTCGCAGGGAACTTTTTCCAATGATTTCTTTATACTGTACTTTTGAAAGGTGGGTTTTTCTTACTTGTACAGGTACAGTTAAATTTCGTACAAATATTCGAATTTAATGATCGAGAATTTATTCGGAAAGAATGAAACGATGGCGCAATTTCCAAAAGACATTTCTTTTGCATATAACTATGATATCTTATGTTATTATTAATCACTAGCTTTAAACAAGAAAGATGATCTCTTTATCTCTCTCTGTAGGAAATTATTTTTAAAGATTGAGGATGACTGAAGCTTCAAGTCCAATAGATTTGGATGGAAACCCTTTTGCGGCTCTTTTTCCATCCATGGAAGACGCTGTGCTTTGTGCGACACTGCTCCATACTACAGAAGAAACTTCAAGTTGTTCGAAGAATTTGATTGATGATGATTCTTCCATGCTCGCAGAGACTGACGATCAGACCTTCGATGTCAATTTAATCTTGAATAACCTACTGCAAAGAGTATTTTTGATAACATTGCAAAGAAGTATGAGAATTTATTGAATAATTGAGGTCTTGATTCGGACAAGAAATCTTAGCATGGTGTTTGCTTGCATAGTTGTAAGCCAACACTGTTTCTGTCATCTAACACCATCAAGATTTTAATTTAAAATATTACAATTGACTCAGCCAACTATCTATATTTTACATAATACAATATACAGAAACATACCTACAAATTTTGCTGACTAGTAGCAAAATGTATACCTTTAAAATATCCATGTTTTTTGATAACGGCTTTTCCTTCCACACATTGTTTGATTAAAAATATTTTTTCTTTTAGATCAGTCCGAGAGTGATAATGATCGACAATATGGAGGCATCCCCCGATCCTGTGTATATCTTCCTGGTACAGTGGGGGATCTTAATGGATCAATGCAATACCTAAACTGGGAGATATTGGATCAGGTGAGATAGAGCATGATAACAAATGGGAAAGTTGTGATTGTTTGCTTTCGGGTTGAGGCAATTCATTGCAGTTTTAAAGCTGTAAACTGAAGATTGATCATTTTAAAGTATGGTTGGTATTGAATTTAAATATTGCATGTTTAGGCCCTGTTAGAAAGGTTAGTGATGGAAAATCCTGCTGACAAAATTGTGGAAGCATCAGGATGCAAGAACTCTCCAAAGTATCTATTAACCTCGGACGCAGCGGACAGAGAAGTGATCTCCTATCTCTGTGGGTGCTTTCATCGAAGACTTCAGGAGGGTAGAAGATGGAAGGTCAGTCTCTCTAAATTTTTTGAGCTGTAAATAGAAATGGTTTGAACCTGGGAGTTTTGTTGGGTGTTTGTTGATGATAACAGTCAGGTTAGTGCAGTTCTAAAGATGAAGATGAATACTGCCAGGGCAGTTGAAATGACAATCAACATCTTCAGTAACACCAACAGTCCTTCTCAGGTCAACACTAACCTGCACAATCAACAATTTCGAACATTTGTTGAGCTAATATATAACATAATTTTCCAAGTCTCCGTAGGTCGTTGTATCTGGACATTTTATGTCAACAAATCTTTTTGCAATGTGCAAGCTATTAACTCAATTTAATAGCAAGTTGAAAACTTTGCAATGACATGCAGCTACCCTTTTTAGGAAGAGTACGATTTATTGATGTACTATTTGCAACAATGTGAAGACTATATCATTTCTTATGTGAGGTGGGTATTTGTTGTATATTTTTAAGGTACCTATCTCATTTATCTTGCCCCACAACCATTGGCCATAAGCTGACAAGGGGGTGATATTTGAGATGGGATCTGAAATTAAGTGTAATTAACTTTCTCTCTATTGCCATCTTTAAAGACATCATCGAGTTTCTGATGGAAAGCTTTTTTTATTTTTTAGAACATGTTTGGGGCAGCCTGATATCTTTCCTGCCCAACAACCGCACGAAGAGTTTTTCAAACAAATGTTGAGCATGACAGAAGGTAGGAAATGAACTAGTAATATCGCTTTACTAAAAATTGCGGGCTTTTCGACGGATATATGAGTTTGTTTAACTGTAAGCTTATGCGGAAAACCAAATTATTTCATTCATATAAAGTCGATTTTTCCGATTAGGCGATGAGTTTTTTCAGTTGTACGAAAGCCTGATTGAAGATGATGGAACGAAGAAAATGGAGAATCGTGAGATTAAAGATATGTTTAATCCCGTTGTTGAGATGGCTGTCAAAAAGATAATGTCGACCGAAATAACCATGATACAACCGGAAGTTACCCCAATGTTAAACTTGTTGTTTGTCTTTTCTCAGAATGAACATTTAGCTGAGGTATTTAACAAAAAACTTAATTAAAACCGAAACAATTTTTTACATCGCGATAAATAACATGTATGTTTGCTTCGAATAGCTCAAAGCCAGTCTTTTTAATTTTTTGATTAAGTAACAATTTTGTGCATGGTAAATTTATGTTCAAACGTTTTTACAGCTTCTTGTGAGTTCTCCTTCCTGGATTCCGTTCAATTCATCAGTTCGTGGGCCTGGTGGTCGTTTTGCAGAACCAGAAATGGGGGGCGTCCAATTCGAGAGAAACTCAATATTGGGTCTTTTTCTTACAGTTTCTAGTATTCCTCATCAATTTGTTAGACACCAGGTACGTTGCTGCGAATCTTTCATACGGAGAGGGGGTTTCACGAGAGATATTTGTATTCATGTTGAAGCATTGAATTGTGGATAGTGAAAAATTAACTGCAGTGAACAAGAACAGTCTTGAACTACTAAAAAGACAAACTAAGATAACGTGTGTCAGTGTAGGTAGTGATGAATGAGTGGCAGAGAACGAGAGAAGTCTATAAACTCATTAAACTATAAACTAAGATAACGTTTGTCAGTGTAGGTAGTGATGAATGAACAACAGAGAACGAGAACAGTCTTTACACTGACTAAAATATAAACTAAGATAACGTTTGTCAGTGTAGTAGTGATGAATGAACAACAGAGAACGAGAACAGTCTTTACACTGACTAAATTATACACTAAGATAACGTGTGTCAGTGTAGGTAGTGATGAATGAACAACAGAGAACGAGAACAGTCTTTACACTGACTAAACTATAAACTAAGATAACGTGTGTCAGTGTAGGTAGTGATGAAAGAACAACAGAGAACGAGAACAGTCTTTACACTGACTAAAATATAAACTAAGATAACGTTTGTCAGTGTAGGTAGTGATAAATGAACAACAGAGAACAAGAACAGTCTTTACACTGACTGAATTATACACTAAGATAACGTGTGTCAGTGTAGGCAGTGATGAATGAACAACAGAGAACGAGAACAGTCTTTACACTGACTAAAATACAAACTAAGATAACGTTTGTCAGTGTAGGCAGTGATGAATGAACAACAGAGAACGAGAACAGTCTTTACACTGACTAAATTATACACTAAGATAACGTGTGTCAGTGTAGGCAGTGATGAATGAACAACAGAGAACGAGAACAGTCTTTACACTGACTAAAATACAAACTAAGATAACGTTTGTCAGTGTAGGCAGTGATGAATGAACAACAGAGAACGAGAACAGTCTTTACACTGACTAAAATATACACTAAGATAACGTGTGTCAGTGTAGGCAGTGATGAATGAACATCAGAGAACGAGAACAGTCTTTACACTGACTAAATTATACACTAAGATAACGTGTCAGTGTAGGCAGTGATGAATGAACAACAGAGAACGAGAACAGTCTTTACACTGACTAAAATACAAACTAAGATAACGTTTGTCAGTGTAGGCAGTGATGAATGAACAACAGAGAACGAGAACAGTCTTTACACTGACTAAATTATACACTAAGATAACGTGTCAGTGTAGGCAGTGATGAATGAACAACAGAGAACGAGAACAGTCTTTACACTGACTAAAATACAAACTAAGATAACGTGTGTCAGTGTAGGCATGAATAAACAACAGAGAACGAGAACAGTCTTTACACTGTCTAAATTATACACTAAGATAACGTGTGTCAGTGTAGGCAGTGATGAATGAACATCAGAGAACGAGAACAGTCTTTACACTGACTAAATTATACACTAAGATAACGTGTGTCAGTGTAGGCAGTGATGAATGAACAACAGAGAACGAGAACAGTCTTTACACTGACCAAAATATAAACTATAATATGGCATTATTCATTTAGAATTATTTTGCTAATCCGTCAAAACAAAGCCACGGTGAGCTGGAGGCCACAACGTCACAATTGAGAGAGAACATTCAATTGTACTGTAACAAACTTACTCGGGTAAGAATGTACAAATAAAATCCATAAATTGATTAGAACTGTGCGCTTAACCGAAAAACCTCGTTCTTTCGGTCCTTTTTTACGCTTCTAAAAAGTGTGATTTCCGATTAACTAAACAGTTCAGCTGCTTTTTTCTATTCAAAACTGCATGAAAGAGTCCCATTTGGAAATGCTCCGCACAGCTCTAAAATTGATGACAATAAAGTGTTTTGCTCGAAATCCTGAATTCAGTATGATTTTGTCGTAAGGTGCCCTAGTTTGGACCAGGTTTTTGGTTTGTGTATGCGATCGTTCTTTTGTGGCCATCAGGCTTTCGGTTGAGCATGAGAATTGTTTGATTGCTGTAGACTGAAAATTTGAAAGAGCTTTATCTAAGGGTAGGGAAATATGAAGCCCTATAGCTCCCTAGCTGCACTCGATCCATGGTAGATGTAACGATGTGTTTCTTCCTTTGCCTTTTGTCAATTCCATCCTTGCCGGACTTCCTTGATCTTTATTGTTTTTATGTTCATTTAGATATTTAAGAACCTACTAAAGGTATGTCGAAAATCAAAACACGGCATTCTTCAATGGATTTGTCTTTGTCTTTCTGCGAACGGAGATCGAGCGAAGGTAATCTCGCCCTGATGAATCTACATGCGCTGTTTTGTCATCTGTAAAAAGATCGGGGAGTCGCTTCCACGAAGCTCAAATAGCATCTTCCATTCGATAGCGGTTCTTTGAAGCTCTAAAATTATTAAACTTTCATGATGAGCGTGGCATTCAATTAACTGTAAAGTTCAATTGATTTTATGGATCTTCGTCCGTGAATACGGTGAAAAGCACTTCCTGAAACCGATCATACTTTCTAACACAATAAAACGTCATATATTACTGCGTCATACATAAATGAGTGCAATTTGATTTTGTGATTTTCTGTCACAAAGCACTAGTTCTCTGCATTAAAACATTGAATTTTCGATATTGCGTACGAGCGTTTGGAAAAACAGTGCATGCTTTTAGCTTTTGGTGTCTTTTTTATTTTTGTCACGTTGTTTTTCGTGAACCGCGAATTCATTCGAATCATTTCATTCGAGTTGACGTCTGTGTTTTAAAGTTTGGTGAACTGGTGATCAATACTGAAAATCCTGTTCTTCTGTAACTCTTAACTAAGCTTGGTTGTCTAGAGGTTTATTTGAGGCATGCGATACAGTTATATTGCGCTAAAGATGACCTCGCTTCAAATGTTGAAATTTTCTGTTGCTTTCACATAGATGGCGAGCAATCCCGACCTTTTAGCCGGCGATGGATTCTTTTTGAACTTTGGGATGGTGCTTTTATCCCTGTGTCAACCGATTCTCGATCCTAAATCCTCTAAACTCATGAAAATCAATCCACGGATCGGTAATTCAAGCACATCGCGGGAAAATGGCCAAGACGAAGAAAACATTCTTGATCCTCAAGGTGAAGCTCACTGGATAATTATAACACGTTTGTAGATGTAGATCCTCCAGGTTCGTAGAGTCTTGAGAAAGATTGTTGATGTTGATGTTGACTGACGTTTCGGCAACCTTAGCTGTAGTCATCTTCAGAGTCAAAAGATGTCGAAAACGTCAGTCAAGATCAACACTAACAGTCCTTCTCAGGACTCTGCTAACCTGGACGATCTACATCTACAAACATGTAACGATACTCCCGGGTCCAAACCATTTACTTGATAATTATTACTACAAAAGTGAATATTTTATCGCTAAATGTGCAGTAACTTTAGGTTTGAATCCATTTCATTAATGGCACACATTAGAATTAGTGCTATCTACACGCACTGACTACCACTTTTGTGCTGTGCGCAGGAGCCTGAGTTGTGATGTATTTTGCCGGCAATGAGATTTTCGTAAACGTCTATTTAAATAAATGTCCTAACTACAAGAAATCTACGGTAAACTTACGAAGTTATTGTAAAAACTTCTTCAGAAACAGTATTTTACGTATGACAGATAACATGCACGACGCTTTATTATATCTTAATTTATAAAATGCTGATGGAGTCCTATTTTATAGACTTGCGTGTAATGGAGGTTCACATTGATGGTCCTGGTTTTACGAAAGAACTCTTCTACATCACCCATCGCTGTCTTGTAATGGGTAAGCTTTAAAATCCGGCCTTTATTTTTGCTTTCAAACAAGCCGGGCATGAAACGTTTCTTTCCCGACTGAGCAAGAAGTATTTTCATTTTCAACAGGCTTGCATGTAACCATTGAGAAGTACCAAACTTTATCCCAAGAATTATCTAAGGTGAGATCATTTTGATGGGAGAACAATGTGGATCATATTTTTCTCACCTATATTGCATGGGCACAACTCGTCGTTTGAGTAACTGCTGACCAGTATGGATTGTTTTAAGGAGGAAGAAAGTACAGTTACTGTTACAAAGAAATGAAATTTATGAATATCTTCCATCCCTTTTATATAAAACATTTCCGTATGGAGAATTATTTTGAGATGTTTATGTATAAAGTATGGTTTTGTCTTCGCTTTTTGAATTTTGTATCATTTACGTGTCAAAGGCTTGAGTTGATTGATTCAAACCATGGTAAGTACACGGGCGAAATTGAACCTACCGGTGTTATTTTTATGCGCTCATAGTCATTTGTTTTGTCTAACATTTAATACTGAAACATTTTCACTCCATAAGATTTTCGAAAACTATCCCGGATGCGGAAGTAAACGCGGCATAATCCTCCACTAAGGTCAGCACAGTGGACCCGTTGACAAGCTCTAATGCGAGAGCTTCCTCTTCTTTGCGTCTTTTCTTTTAAGCCTGCTTATAATGTCGTGATTTTTTATCACTCGTGACGTCATGATTACGTCATATATATAGGTTCAGGAAGACTACGATCAAGCGCTTCAAGAGGTGCACGACAGGGGAATTCGTGACAGATTACGCGAAAAATTGGAGGAAGGTGTCGAGAAACAACTGTCTATAAAGGTAGCAGGAACAATTGTCAATAAAGATGGCAGGAACATATCAATGTGCCGTCGAATACACTTTGTATTGTGAAATATAGTTCTGCTTGCCAATCTCAGCTTGAAGCCAAACTGTGAAGAAACGTGTCGATAAATCGATTGATGCTAGGGATGTTCACATGACCTACTTATCGGATATCGAGTTTAACTGAGTATAGATTTATCGGATATCGGATTTTACTGATTATAGATACTGACTGGATCATATCGAATACCAGATTATAAGGATGCAGTACATCCCTACCAGTGTATACGCTCTGTACAATTGTGTTTCTCTTGTCCTAATAATCGAATCTTTCCTTTATTTAGTGTCATTTGTTGCATCCGGGTCTCCTTGAACTTGCTTTGAAATTTTACATCACCACTTCCGTTTGGTTGATCCAAGTACTGATTGCTCAGGACGATCTCGAGCACATGGTTTATCACGAGCCATCAATGGCTGTATCATTAGAGGTCAGTGGTTTTGCACGTGAAAGCTTTTGCGGGACATTCCTCGCCTACGGTGGCACGAGTCAGCGGCATGAAATCTATGGTTACAATGCGTGTTTTTTGTCGTTTTTTAGAAGGGTATTGGATTGCGCTATATTCCAGATTTTATTATCGAGAAAATTATTGACATTGTTGTATTTTTACGGTGCGTGGTGTACAAGTCTGTTGAATGATCACATCTTCTGTTTGGTTGTACGTATTCAGAGCATTGACTAGTTTTCTTTTTCGATTTGTAGACGTTTTAACGAGGAGACTTTGGAAAGTGCTGGCGAAAACCTGGAGCATATTCTTCAGTTTGCCACCATTTTTATCAGGTATATTTGCGCGGGACTTTCGATTTTTTTCCCGTTCTCTGCCAATGTGGTCCTGTTATAAAGGATGCGTTGATAAATTAGCGACCGTCTCAAGTTCATCTATTTCTTGATTGTCTATTTGTTTTTTGTTGAAAAATTATAACAGTAGTTGATTTGGTACATTCTCTCGAATACTCTTTCAGTATGTAGGCCATGAATTGTATGAATTATATGAATTATACAGCTTGCAGTACGACCTGAATGTTGATTTGGGTTTTTTGTTTTGGTGCATGCAGTTTTTTCCACCGGGGGTGGGGGGGTGGGGTGGGAAGGCCAGAAATATTTTTGAATATGGTATAATCAAGAAATACTAGAAGAAGTGATTTTTATTGATTACTGTTTTAATATAATTTTTCTCGGGTCACCTCACGATAATTGATAAGGGGGGCGGGATGATGGAGGTTGAAAAATTGAACGTGGAGATAATACCGGCTTCTGGTTTATGGTATCGATGCTGAAGTACATTTTCTTTGACATCTTTTCACATTTTATCGCACAGTAAATCCCAATGCATTAAGAATCCACATTTGCGAGCGAAGATTGTGGACGCTCTGGAAGCGTTACTTCCTATAAGACCGGAACAAGAACTTGAAATGAGAAGATATTTTCCTTCAATGGTAAGGACAACTTCTATGTATCTATGTCCGGTCGGGTTTTAATTACCGTTAACATCGTCCGTTTCGCGTCTCCACATTTAATTTTACAGCACAATCGACGAAAAATGTTTGAGAATTGTGAACTCGCCGCGAAAGAGCTCGGTCCTGGTTTGTTGTCTATATTTTGTGATATCGAAAAGGGGGATTACTTTGAACAGAAATTTGGTAAGCACTTAAGCGCGTTGTGCTGTCATGAAAAATTATTAAAGCGTTGAAACAATGGATTGTATTTCGTTTTTATTTTTTAGGCTATCGACATCGGATGTACACTGTTCTCGAGTTCATTTGGTCGTTGCCTCGTTATAGATCCAGTATCATAGAGCTAAGTAAACAGGTATAAACAGTGGGTATAAATAGAAGCGGGCGATTTTTTTCTTGTTGAGGAAAGCGAACTCTGTGAAAGTTTAATAGACTCTCCTCAATGGTCATGCTTACCATTAACCGAAATGCATTATGGTAAAATCAAAAGTAGAAAATTTTCAATTTCGTTTTCAATGATGAATAAAACATATTTGGGTTGTGTAATTTATTATATTGTGAGCAAAAGCTCTCAAAGCGTCATTGCTAATTGTTTATTGTAAGCAAAGACGTGGACGGGCTATTTGCCTCTCTGAACTTATTGCCTTTAGTAAACTGGTTTCCTGGAACAATCTGATCGGCTTGAATGAATGGATTGGCTTTAGCAAACTCAATTGACCTATGTAAACTGACTGGCTTTAATTTACTGATTAGCTCGAAAAGCTGATTGACTTCAATAAACTTATCGGCTTCAATAATATGAAATGCAGGAAAATTCTGCAAGTTCCGATGAACTGAAAAGAACGTTACGTCTTTGATATCGTGAACTTTGTTATTTTTTATTGTAGGTAGAGGATGTCGATGGCGAAAGCAAGCCAGCCGTATTTTTATTCTTTATCAATATGCTCGTTAACGATGCGACCTTTTTATTGGACGAGGCTTTAACCGTAAGAGCTCACTAATTGTTATCTTCATCTTTCAATTGCAAAGCGTTTATTTTGTTCCATGTACATCTGTCCGGAATCTCATCTTTCGTTGTTCTTTCATAGTATCTTACAACCGTAAGAACTTTGCAGATGGAGCGTGAAAGAGGGGAATGGGACAGTCTGCAAGCACCGTTTGCCCGAATGGAAGTGAGTGAATTGGTTGACCAAAGTTACTTGTAGAAAAACTGAGTGTCTAACTTGAAGTAACGAAAGCAAAACGCTGATGGCCCTAGTTAAATTATTGAATAATATACATATGGTTTTTAGAAAGAGCGACAATTAGACAACTCGATGAAAATGGCTCGCACTCACAATATACTCGCAAACGAGACGGTGAAGACCTTGGCTTATCTCACTTTGGATATCAAAAGGTTTGCATAGATTAGCATGAAATATCTAAAAGTTTGCATAAATCAGCGAAAGGAATGTTTAGCTCAGGGGGCTGCTCACCATTGCCACTGACAGGTAGGGGCCTGGTTCACGCGAGTAGAATAAGCACGAACGTCGAGACTTTTGTCTATTGCTTTAGAGGTTTATAAAGACAAAGAAATTGGGATTTTCTTTAAATTTTTTTTTGTTCTTCTTTTGTTCTTCTCTTAGCTTATGCTTGAATTTTTTCCTTATGCCTGCGCTTATGTCGATGCTTATGTCACATGCTTTGTTGATTATCTTTGTTTTATCTTTTGTCTACGCTTGTGCTTATCCTTATTTCACTTGTGTGAACCAGGCTTAAAAATTCAAGTTGGGGCATGCGAGTTTTGTGAGTCTTTTGAGTTCGTGATGAAAAGCGAGTTTTCATATATTATGTGATCGAGGAGGTTCTCACAGAGAACTAATTTCACTATATGTTGTGCAGAAATAGTATCAAAACTAGTTTTATGATTTTATAAACGGAAAACGCGCATGCCATGCGCAAACAATAGTAATGTCCGCCATTATTGTATGCGTAAAACGATGGAGAAATCCCAAGGTGTTTGGCATTCAGCGTTTCAACGTTGCTTCAACGTTTTTCGCTCGAGCTGCGTTACAAATTTTACTATATATGAGAAATAATGGTTCGTCGGTCAGATATGAATTTTTTCGGCGACGCAAAGTTTAAACATTTCTTGGACACGATTGACGCTGATTAACATCCTAACACGGTTTTATATGCACATGAAAAACATGTGACTTAGACCAGATTTGAACTCGCACCTTCGGGATACTAGTCCGCTTGGTAGCTCAACAAGTAGAGCGGCGGACTAGTATCCCGAAGGTGCGGGTTCAAAGCTCGTCCTAGTCATATGTTTTTCATGTACATGTAAGAACCGTGTTAGGATTTATATTATATTTAATCTCTGATGATGGCTTTGGAATATTGACGCTGAAATGAAGCGTTGACAGTACGAGATATTGATTCAAATGTAAAGCAAGCTAGACCGTCCAACGTAAGGAAGCTAAACTCTGGAGTTTAAGTTGCTTCGGAATCATACTTAACGGCGTTATTAAGTACGATCATCATGAAGTATTTGCGCTAGAACTTCGTTTTTTTGGAGTGGTCTAGGGCACAGAAATACTGAGATTCATTTGAGGGAGGTGGTGAAGCGTGCGAAATATTTTCTCGTGGAAATGTGAGGGAAATATGACTGTAAACTAGGTCAGATTTAAAACATGAAACATAGGACTGTATCGGAATACAATCTTTGGAACAAGAAAACCGACTTAATCGTATAATAAGAGGTAAATACAATCATACAAATCAGCATTTTCACTGAAGGAATTTAGCATTGTGTGAAACGAATTATGGTTGTTAAATTCGAATTGAACGCGATGTCTTAGCAAAGAATAATCTTATACTGACGCATTGTTTTGCATCATTGCATATGTTAACACTAAATTCAGTTTATAAACGGTTATAAAAAATCTAGATCCTTAGTGCGCATATCTTTATTGCAGCACTCATTCTGACAGTGTTCGATTTTTTACTACGCATGCTCATTATCAATTTACTACGCACCGCAATTCAATGAGCTTAATTCTTCATATAAAGAATATAGAAACTCTGATTATTATTCACAAACTCTGGTTTTCCTTCAATCCGCGTATAAATCTTTCGCCTTTTACTAAAGATTTCCGTGGAGGAGAACAACAGAATGAGTCTATAGACTAATTTTTCTTCACCCTGCCTAACGGCGGGTATATCTTCTATTGAAATATCAAACACGTTGTCTGATCAACTGTCCAGTCACTAATCAGACTTTTATACGTGGTGTATATGAAGAATCATTTGCGCACAAAGGTCAAGCTTACTATGAGTTCAAACAAAGAATAACATGTGCGCTCTTCATCAAATTTTCTGAAATTTGCGTACTTTGTAAAACAAAACCCAAACTTTCATACCAAGAAAACAAAATTGATTTGTATCACATATCATTCGCGCTTGCACATGTCTTCAAATCGCGGTTTCTGCAAGTTCCGTAAACCACCGTAATGTTTTTCGAAATTGAATTTTCTGGTACCCATACTAGCAGAAATCTATAAGATATTTGGTTAAATTTATAGCACAGCTGCTTCTCATCTCCGTTCTCTCCTTACCACCTATCATTTGGTTGACATATGGCGCACCCAAAATCCTCAAGACCGCTTTGTGGCGTAATCGTATGCACACGATACGCTGTCGGTTGACCGGTTCTATATACCGTCGTCCCTCTCTCTGGCCAATGCTTTGTCTACAGATATTGTACCGTACCCATATTCTTACCACGACGCAATAACCCTTTCCCTGCAACTTAGAACAGACCATCTCAATGTTGGTCCAGGTCTCTGGATGAAAAATAGAATGGTGATGTTTGAACGAACCCAATGTTTTCCTTTTATAGACCGTTTCGTAGTTCAGCGATGGTTTCCAGAATAGCCGAAATGTTAAATTACTTTCTTGTTAAACTTGTTGATAGGAAGAAAATGGGAGCCCTCAAGGTATGGTGAAAAATCTACATCGAAATAGATAGCCTAGGCTCCCAGCAAGATTTAAACGATGGTTATTTTGTGAATAGTAGCTAAAAACGACGTATAACAACAGAATTTCATTAAAGGTAAAAAGTTTCGATGAACTTCATTTCAAACCAAAGCAACTGGTCTTCGACATCGTTTCAATCTACCTAAACCTTTCTGATGGCGATGAAAACGACTTGTTTTGCAAAGCTATCGGGGATGATGGTCGTTCATATTCGGTCACCTTGTTTCACGATGCCAAACGGGTTCTGGGGTAAGTGAGCAAGATTGTTGACATCCGTTTATTTGTACTGTCGAATCGGTTTTCTGGTGTGTGTTTTGTTCTCTTTGTAGCAGCACAAGTGCTATAGTTTCATAGTTAATCTCTTATGTTGATCAAATCCAAAAACTTAAGTATTTGCCGTGAAAATAGTGTTTTTATAGATGTGGTTTTCGATGATTATATTATAGACAGATCGGGACATCCGTTGATGTCATAAAGAATTTTGAAAAGCTGGATAAGAAGATACAAGTAATTGTCAAAGAGCAGAAGGAAATTGATGAATTTCTTCCCGAGGTGAGATAATCGCTACATAATCGAATAAGTCCCAGAACGGTAACTTTAACTTTAGTATTGAGATGTTCCAAATGTTGTGACAGCTTGAGGAAACCATTTCTCGCTTGAGATTATCTGAAGTTTTTTTTACAAGGCACCAGAAGAATTTCTTGACGCCATCTTGTGCACACTGATGTCGGATCCGGTGAAGCTTCCTTCCGGGAAGATTGTGGACAAGGCTGTGATTATAAGGCAAATCTTAAGGTAAAATATGCTTGGTTTGCCAAACTTTCCCAAATGGAGCATTACTTCACAGCTATATATGCTTGAAAAACAATGGCTTTGGTAGCTCTAAAAGTTATGGCTATTCTTTGCTCACTATGCTTGTGATAAACTAGTATCGAAACCGTTTGAAAAAGCCGCTTGACATTACTTCCAAAAATTTTAGATGTCTTGACGAATGATTTATAGTCTGGACTCATGGCTTGCCAAGACCCTGTTGAAAATCATTTCATTTAACTATTTACCATGCAAACTATTCTTTTTCCCCTCTATGGTTTTGCTAAAAATATTCTTTAAATTGAATGTATTTGTGCTTGATCACATGATCCCGGTAACCAGGATACAGCGAGGCGTGAAATGATTTTTAAGCGCAAATCTTACCACTTTTTCTTACAAGCGTCATATGTCATTTTACTTATAATTTTCAAATCATGCAAATTATTTGTTTTCATTTTAAAGGTTTTGTGAATTTTCAAAGTCAGAACATACAGAAATTGTTCAGTTAATTTTTTGTTGTAAAGTATATAGTCTTTTCCATTTGCTAAAATGATTTAACGCTTCGCTGAATCCCGGCTACCGGGCTCATGTAAACAGCCCGGTTTGATCTGAAAATTTTACGTACTTCTGCGAAACGTATAAATGAGATCCCATTATGATTTCAGCGATCCTATCGATCCGTTCAACCGGCAACCGCTGACAGTAGAGATGCTTGAGCCAGTGCCTGAGTTAAAGGAAAGAATTGAGCAGTGGCTGAAAGAAAGGAAGATAAAAAAATAACAGGATGAAAAACTGGCTTTCATTGGCAAAATTTTACCTTGCAAAGCAACTGTTCAATTGCCTTAGCACGCCTGTACACATGGTCCAAGTTTGTGTCGGAAAGAAATCGACCGATGTCTGGTAGACAAAGGAATCATAAACTTTACTGTGTACATAGTTGAATGATGTACACTAAAAGCGCATCTGATTTTATTTCATTTCAAATGTACTCCCTACTTACTAATGATACAGTTTATTTTAAATTCTTCAGACAAGTTAATCTCTGTCTGTTATTAACGTGTTGGTAATCACTGTCTGTTATTAACGTGTTGGTAATCGCTGTCTGTCATTGCCAATATGCTGTTTGGTTAATGAAAGTTGACGTAGAAACCTGTTCTTTCTCCTCGATTTACTTTGAAGTAATCGCTGTTTTTGGTGAAATTAATTTAAGCGCAATTCGTTTCTAATGGGACTGATGCATGTAGCCCGTAGTCATGTACTTTTTTTTGTTTTGGCCAATGAACAGATTACTCTATGTCAATCAGACATAACTCCATATGTGTCTTGCATATATATTTATTTTCTGCTTGACTTCAAATGAATCAACTCAAACCTGTCGATGTAATGAATGCATACGACGGAACGTTGGAAGATCTTTCATTACGTGCGACTCATTTATAAAATGAAGCGTGAATTGTTTCGGATATTGAGTGGATTAAAAACTCTTTATCAAAACGTTTTTGCGGGCAAACAGTCCTCGAATGATGGATGTTTTCGTCGTTATATTTGAGCTTATGCATTCTTTTACTAATGTTGTGTGCTGAATGGAAACTGACTGCAGTTGCTTTTCCATTTCGCCAGAAGACTAAGCCACTGTGCACTGGCATGGTATGAGAAACTTTATAACAACAAGATGCTGTTTTTAAGAAAGGATGGAGGAAAAGTGAGTCGTTGATTGCTAATTGAAAAGCAAGATGGCAACGTCTAGCATATCCGACGACAAACTGCAAATAATTGTTAGAGTTTAAAGTTTATTGATCAAGACCTATTTGGATTTATCGACAAGACACGATTTTCATGAAAAACTTCGGTTAAAGAGCCTTGGCGACGATATCAAATGAATTCAAGAGCGATGGGTGTCCTTCGTCGGCGAATTCAAACATATGTTTATTAACTAAAAATTTTTCTCTTGGAGTTTCATTGCAGAGGCGTTGTCTTTGAATTCTCGGTAATTTACTAGTGAAATAAGAAGAAAGAGAATTTGGAACTCACAGCATTTGTCAAGTTCTTCAAGTTTAAATAAAAGCGCTTGTGATTTATACATCGTTTTTTACACCTTTGTGAAAAAGTTAGAAAAGAAGGAGGTGTATCGAAATGGGTGTGGTCCTGAGACAAGATGAATTAGAAAGTACTACTTGACGTAACCAAAACTTTGAACAAGCTGCTGTGCTCTATGTACCGGAGGCGTTTAATTTCAATCACCTCCATATAAGGAATGATTCGTGTTTATTATGTGCGTAGAAGAGTACTATGGCATTGTAAACCAACTCCCAGGTATTTTAAGCATTTTAATGTTTTACCCCATCAAAGCATTGTAGAAGCTGCATTTTCCTTCCCAACAAGATATCAAGGATGGCGAGCAAACGTACAAGCAAGAAGGTCACAAAGAAGCGTGGACAACGAGCCACTTCAAACATCTTCGCGATGTTCGACCAGTCGCAGATCCAGGAGTTCAAAGAAGCATTTAACATGATAGATCAAAACCGAGACGGTTTCATTGACTCCGAAGATCTAAAAGATATGTTTGCATCGTTAGGAAAGGAGCCTGATGATGCCTTGGTTGATAGCATGATGGGAGAGGCTCCTGGTGCTATGAATTTTACTATGTTTCTAACACTGTTTGGCGAGAAGTTGAACGGAACGGATCCCGAAGATGTGATAAGAAATGCGTTTGGTTGCTTCGATGAACAAGGTAGTGGGAAACTACACGAGGATCATTTGAAACACTTGCTGATGACCATGGGTGACAGGTAACTTTTTATTGGCGTGTCGAATTATGACATTGCTGTTAAAATTTTACGAATTGCAACACGCTAGCTTTGGAGTTCTACTGCAGTTTAATATTTTAAACAAAACAGCTTGTGCTTGCTGGAGAGAACATTCTTATACTCAGTTCATACTGCCTTTCTGTTGTGAGTAAAAGTGCAAAGATAGGTGCCTTTTAGAGAAATATGCAAATTAGCTTTGAAAGTACATTCCTCTGTTGTTGGTGACGCTCAGAAAAGTCGTTATTCATTGAGACTTATTTTTCAGGCTGGGATTCCGAATCATCTCTTCAAAATGACACCAATTTATGTCGTTTTGCCCATCTTTTTTGGTTCATTTGTAAACAAATCATTATTTGGTTAACTCCTGTCAAACAACACAGATCAGGTCCTTAGATAAATACACAAACTCACAAACAGAAACATCACTTGTTGTATCTCTGGCATTGCGTATCAGATGACATTGGATTTTTCTCAGGGCAGCTGTGTTGTAAAATTCTTTGAAATGTATCAATTCCATGCCTAAATCTGAGTAGTCACCAAACTTTATTGTTTTTTTCACTTTTATCCATTGTTGTGAATTATTTTCTGATAGTAAAAGCTCCCAGCATTTTGATAAATAGCATCTCCTTCACTAGAACCTTGGTCTTGTCAAGCAACTTTTATTTCTCAAATTTCTAAACTGTCTTTTCAAATATCGTATTTGCCAGATAACATTCAGCAAGATTGCCTTTTTGGTATCATCGCCATTTTTGAGATGGATAAATATGTTTTGTGAGAGCTGATCTCAATTCACTTATAATCTGGACAGAATTAATTTTGTTTATAGCATGCATATATCCTACATTATTCCACATTAACAAACTGCATGTGTACCTTGTTTCAATTTATGTTATTATGTGTATCTATTTTGTAGGATGAGCCTTGAAGAGGTTGAAATGATGTATCGCGGTGCCCCAATTGATTCAAGAGGAAACTTTGACTATGTAGCATTCACTAAAGTGTTAAAACATGGCACAAAGGACGAATGAATGCTGGTCAACTTTATGAAAAGAATATAGAGTAATATAATTCAATGGACAATATGTTTCTTATAAGCCACATCAAGTGTACACCGCACATAGTTGTTTTATAGTAATTGTATTAGAATTTGTTTTGTAAAGTTTGTACACTTTTGAAGAGATATTTGAGCATGCATTCTTGTGTGTGTTGTTTTCATTTTTCTCAAAGATAAAGACATTGCAAATGGAGTCAAAGATCTCGAGGAACTTAAGAGGTTTAATATGTACTTGCAATGGTACTTCTCGTCTATAATGCCCTTAACCTAACTAGATATTTGGATACATTTGTATAAGGAGCAACTTTGAAAATATCATTCAAAACATCTGAGTTGACAGAGTCAAACAAATGCGTGATTGAGTTTGGTCAACCTCCAAGTACCATAGTTGGCAATGGTTGTTACATAACATACGTTTACCATAACCTCAAAAGGTAATACATACCCTATAGTTTCAATACATATTTAAATTATTCATTATCAAAGATGGAGGACGGATTTGAATGGCCCTGGCATTACAAGTTTCCTCCATTTTTCACGTAAGTCTTCGTCTATACTTTTCAGATTATTCACTCGTGTTGCAGGAAGGATAGAACTATCGTATGTCGTGTTATGTTTGCAGGATTCAACCAAATTCCGACACAAGAGCGAGGCAATTGGATCTTTGGTGCAGCCTGGTCTTGTCATATTTTAAGCACAAAAAAAGTTATATTATCGACGTCAATGAGGCGCAAACGTCTCCGCTATTTTCTAACAAAGACATCAACAGTATCCTTCGCAAATGCAGCATTTCAAAACTACCCAATACTTGCATGTTGAATGGACTGACTAAATTATTTTCGTTTTATTAAACCTTCATGCACAAATTAGGAAAGCTTTCAGCTGAAGGCATAAACTTGGTGCTTGAAACTCTTCAAAAGAAAGGTTAGGTTTCTTCACTTTTGTTGAAGTTGCTTACTGGTTATGTGATGGGTAAATGTGTGGGTGAAGAACTGAATAGTTGCTTGAGCTAATGTTTGAGAGTTGAGAAAATGCAAGGTGCAATGCAAGACAGAGAGTTTATTTACTGTCATGAGAAACATTCTTTGTAATATAGCTTGGCTAATATGTAGGTGAATGTCCCAATTGAGCACATGTGCTGGCAACATGATTGTAATGCTTTATTCCTTTGCTGTTGTAATTGTAAATATTTCTTACTTTGTGGTAGTGTTGTGTTGTACTTGATCAGTATGTTTCCACTTTTAACGTATTGAAAATATTTGTCATTGCAGGAAACTTTGAATGGGAAAGTAAAAAGGGTGATAGAGGTTATGTAATGTGGAGAAAACCAGAGGAATGGGGATCGCTTATATACGAATGGGTACATTTATTTGCATTTATCAAATATGTATGGTACTGTAGTTCTTGAGTGTAACATATTCTCTTTGTGAATATCAGGTGAAAGATAATGCAATGACAGGAAGTGTTTGTACATTATTCGAGCTACAGCATGGTGATGACACAAAGAAAGAAGGTTAAGTTACAAATTATAACTTACACATAACCTGGGTTACTCGACTTGTGCTGAATATCAAATAAAAAAATCAAAATAGTTTAACTGCTTATCTGAACAACAGCCGAGTTCATTTGAAGGTTCACATGCTATCCAATTATAATGAATTTTGGTCATGAATTTTGATCTTGAAAAGAACGGCTTCAGAACACAGCTCTTGAAAATTAGACTTGAGTTGTTTTTAGTTCAACTTTGTTTTACATCCACCTAGCAAATATTTTGACTTGCCACCCACAGAAATTGAGTGCCATTCTCAGTGGCAAATTTTCAGGCAATGCCAATTGATAACAGTTGCATAGCCAGCTTATGTCATCCATCTTGCTTGCTCCTTCATGTTTTTGTTGATTTTATTTTGAATGGCATATTTTTATGCATTAGAATTCCACGGTATTGACATGTGGATGTTAAAACGAGCATTGAAAAGTCTTGAAGTGAAGAATAAAGCAAAAATATTCGAGGGACCCACACCTGGGGATGATAACGGTCTGGGAGTAAAATTCTTTTCCTGATTGAATGGTGAAATTGATTTATGGCTCCGGTGATATGGTATGTACTATTATGATCACGGACCATACTGATATACAATACAATTTTAAAATCATCCTGGATTTTACATAGGCACGCTTTACACCAGGTGTGTGCATGCCATTGATCTGATTATATAACTGGAAAACTACCTTTAGGTTTACATATGCCTGAGTTACGTTCATTGCGGTAAATTATACATCCACATACATTGACTTTACTGATAATAAACTTTCTTTTGGTTGTGCCTTGTATCCTTCCAGTTGTATTCAGCTCAAACGTTCACACATTTGTCGTCTTGGTAAAGATGCTATTTTAATTATATATTTTATGAAAGGAAGACCCCGCCATTAGGCAGGGTGAAGAAAAATTAGTCTATAGACTCATTCTGTTGTTCTCCTCCACGGAAATCTTTAGTAAAAGGCGAAAGATTTATACGCGGATTGAAGGAAAACCAGAGTTTGTTAAATATTTACAACGTTCCTACATTCTTTATAATAAGAATTAAGCTCATTGAATTACGGTTTATGAAAAGCGTGGGTTTGGGCTTTATGAGCATGCGTAAAAAGTGAAACAGTGTGCGGTATAGAAAATTATTCTCGTCAAGCGGACATCTCACAACGGGCACTCTTGACGTATTTTTCATTGAGCATGACAAAAATCAACGACTTTTAAAAACAATAACTGCGACATACAGTTGGAAATTGGAAATATTTCCATCGAACCTCAATGAACGGACATTAAATCGCGGTGCTTCGGCTGCCCGCGATAACTATAGAGCTTTTCTATATAGAATAAGTCAAAGCAATGTTTAATGGGTTGCATTATCTTTCAACCAAAAGCATTTTTCATGCTTACCATGACAAGTAGAAATTACTTCATTTTAGCTGTGTTGTAGCTTGAATTCAAACTTTTCTACTGAGTAAATGTTGTGTTTGTGTGTATTTGAAGATGAAGACCCCGCCGTTAGGCAGGGTGGAGAAAATTAGTCTATAGACTCATTCTGTTATTCTCCTCCACGGAAATCTTTAGAAAAAGGCGAAAGATTTATACGCGGGTTGAAGGAAAACCAGAGTTGATGCATATAATAGGCATTTTTTGGTTTTTGTAAGAACAAATTAATGGCTTGTGGTTCAGTATAGCGTGGGTTATACTGTTATTAGGCATGCGCTAAGAGCTAAACAGTATTCTTTCCTTCATAAAAGCGCACAAACTTCAGGCGGGCCATGGTTATTGCGAAACATTAATGTCATTAAATAAAATTTCAATTATAACCTTTACAACTCTATTCATAAACCGTAGGATCGACGTGTACACGCGATCATTCCTTTTCTCTGGTGGGAGAGAAGTGTGTCATCACCACGCGACCGATATGCAAGCACTTGCTAACTCACATGACTATACGTGACTTGCACTGGTGGGGTTATAGCGTCGCTGAAGATGAGGACGTCTTAGTTGATGATGTAATGTTCTCGAACGTCACGTCCAATTCTTCGCGTAGTTTTGCCAAAATATGCGTGTACAAGGGAAACTCCTTGATCTTTAGAACGTCGTATTTCACGGAATTCAGTCCGTCTTCATACATTCGCTTTTTGGCAGTGTTTAACAGCATGTACCTAGGTATATTTATGTTATGATCTCATTGAGTTGTTAAAATGTTGTTTAACAAATAGCCGTGATACCTGTGGTCTGTGGGTTGCAATTTCTGCGTCGCACTCTCACTACTCAACTAACCGGTGCTGTAGAATTGGGGGGCGCTTGGGGGAGGAGCCGCCCTTCTACCTTTGAAATGGGTAATTTTCATAATTTCATGGCTTCAGCTTCGTCAAGAGAGCCCTCCATCTGATAAATTTAGTTCTACAGCACTGCAACTAACCCCAAGTTAAACTCAATATGTATATTGTACAGTACTATTCCTTTAATCAAATCCTTTTCAAACAGATTCCTTTATCTTCCGTGGATGTTTTTAACCTGTTTCAATACCTACTACGGAACATCGTCATACCTGTTCGCTCCTGGTTTGTCCCTCGTATGATGCTGTTTCAACATCATATAGCGACCGATATTTGCCGGTGGTCTTGATAGATGATAACCGGATGCGATGATTCTTAAAGTAGAAAACGCAAAGTTTTGTTCGCTGAAATTTTTTAAATACTTTACGTTATATAGGCGAGGGAAAGAAGAGGAGCAACGAATATGAACCACGATGGAACAAAGTGATCGTGTTATTTAAGAAAATAGAAATGGTAATCAACAATTTGTCCTAATCATAGGTGACCAGTTTAGAACTGTAAGAAGATTTGCGTGTGTAGCGTCACGTAATTAGCGTTTCAATTGTCAAATCTTTCGCGAATTGTATAAGCTTTAAAAAGTTTAAATCAGTTTACAGGTGATTCACCATATTTATAGAAAACAATATCCTATGCCACATAAGTAAATTGAAACTAACCAATTATTTCTGACTTGCTGAATTGCATGCTGAACTACTAGAAACTGCAGCCTTTTGTGAAACATATTTATAAGTGATTTCTTTGTTACAATGTACCCTCCCCCAATGTGTACTCTATATGCATCATCATACTCACCCCACACTAACCCCAATGTGAACCTTTTATATGCATCATCATCATCCTCACCACCACCCCCAATGTGTACTTTTTATATGCATCATCATCCTCACCCCCAATGTGTACTTTTATATGCATCATCATCCTCACCACCACCCCCAATGTGTACTTTTTATATGCATCATCATCCTCACCACCCCCACCCCCAATGTGTACCTTTTGTATACATCATCATCCTCACCCCCACCCCAATGTGTACCTTTATATGCATCATCATCCTCACCCCCACCCCAATGTGTACCTTTTATATGCATCATCATCCTCACCCCCACCCCAATGTGTACCTTTTATATGCATCATCATCCTCACCACCCCATCCCCAATAAAGATTGGAATAACCATTCATCTTTTCAAACTGTTCTTTACTGAATGCACCAACTCCACCAAAATACCTTTCATAAGGCCATCTATTTTACAAAAGAAATGGTCACATAACCATCTGTGCTAGCGAAAACACTGTTTTACATGTTGCATAAAAAGTTTTTATCATTCCCGAAAAGATTAAACATGCAGTTTTCTAACCATAAATCTTACCTTCTATGAAAGTGATCAACAGAAACACCTAATAGTTTAGGGCTCTCTGGACAGCCATAGTCATTTTTGTCATTTTCCAAGATGTGATCAACATCGTGAAAAACAAAGCATTCAAATTTTGAGATTTTCAAAGCCTCCAAGAATCCAATGTTGATCAACTGAGCTCGATTGAAACTGTAATTCCCAGCCTTAAGAGAAATAACTCACTTGAAAGAAAATAAAGTAAGTTTACATGTTTTTGACTATAATTCAAAGATGAATCTTCGAATCTTAAAAGAAAGTCCACCTGTTCAACAACAATCATTCTGTAGTTGTGCATCTGCCGTTGCATGATGGGATGCATATGCCGCAGGAATAATCTCAAGTGCTCTGAGCGATTTCGATATGGTATGATTATAGCCAGCTGGAATATAGAAAAAATTCTAGTTATAGTTTGGTGCATAAACAAGAATATGTAGGTGATGAGAATTTGGGAACAATGGAAAAGGTAAAGTTGTTAAAGTTTTTGTTCTTATCCCTTATGATACCTTGTTTTTTGTAATGCAATCTGGAGTGAATGTTCCACCTTTCTTCACAAGTCCTCCGTTCCTAACAGACAACTGTTTTATTACTTCATCCATAGTTGGCACGGTCTTATTGCAATACACAGCTCCAACTATAAATGAACATTTGCATATTCCAAAACAAACTCTTTAAGGATAATTGAATCAGATGCCATCTGCATTACTACCTAGCATGTCTGGTTTACAAAACTTTGGTTTGGTTGGTGTTGGTGATGTTGGCTTTTTAGTGGTTAAGGATGTTGTGGGTAACCGAGGGATTTTTGTAAGGATCAAATGAATTGATGGATTAGCAGTTGTAGGACTTATTGGTACAATCCGGTGACGATTTAAAGTTACAGAAGGCCATACGGATGGGAATTCGTTATCTGGAAATTAAATTAAAAAATTTAACTAAAAATTAGTAAAATATAACAAGCACCGAGTAATTGAAGACAACTTTTATCCATCACAATCCATTTTCATTCCTTTACACAATGTACAACATTATCAAGCAATGTTATTTGGCAATAATTTTTACATAAAGATATTTCAATACTCTATGGTTTCGGTAGTCAAGGAAAAAAGTTTGAAAACAAACGTAAACAAAACAAAATAGAATCACAAAATGGAAAATACTGGTTGTAGTCATCGGAGGATTGGAAATTGCACTACCTTTCATTTTAAAGTAATAAGGTAAATAAACAAGAACAGAGACGACGGCGATGCACAGAATGATCCACACTAATAAAACACGTCTTCTAGACATGATCATGCTGGTAAATTCGTGAAAGTTTCGTTTCATTTGTAAGTTTTTACGACAATTTCCTGTTCAACGTGAATAAATTTTAATATTGAAAGTTTATTGCATATGAATGAGCATTGAGGAATGTTAATGAGGCTCAAGAAACTCAATGGGCTCAAGCCTCCGGTTCACTCATGAAAAACGATTCATGCCTTCAATTCTCCACCCACACGTTTTCTGGGAAGAAAATAAGTTGAATTAATTGCGTTACAGTTTGAAATGTGTTATTAAAGCTTCGAATTTTTTAAGATTACATCGTACTATTCAAGTGGTCGCTTGCCCACTTGTTACTCAAGTGAAATTAATAGAAAAATGAAATTATTCAGAAGTTATGAACAACTACAGGAAGTCAGAAATACTACACCAGAACGTAGAATTATTTGTTTTGATTCTGTGATCTTGCTATGGTGACTGCCAATTTCCATGCCAGGAAGCTCATTGAGCAAAAACGCAAAGAATGCGAGCACGTCGTGTTCTTTGTAAATGGTAAACCATTCTAAATCATTGGCAGGTGTGAAAGAGAAAAAGCAAACACAGTAAACACGCTCAACTCTCAAATAATCGTTTAATTTAGTGCATGCCACGACATGTTGGTCAGGATAACAAGGAAGGCGATTCTACCGTTTAAAACTTAAGACGATTGAAGAACCTTATAAGAAAGGTGTATAAAAGTGAAGCATGTTCAAGAATCGGAGAGACAAAAAGCACTTTGATACCATTCGACTTCTACTAAACGCAGACGAAGATAATGAAGATTCCTATGTTGAAAATAACTCTAAATGCGATCACGAGTTAAGTTTCATCGAAGAAGACGGTGCTGCGCCATATGACCTTAGTATCAACGAACACACGACGAACAATGAGGTCATTGAATGTACAGATACCGATAAAAGTTGTTGTTCGGACAACGCCAACTCGACTAATTTTTCATCGCAAAGGAGGAAAGAGCTTCAACGACAAGTTTCATGCACCCCAAGTTATTATGAATCCGGCAAACGCTGGCAGTTGATTTTGCATTGTAAGAAAGTTCCACATGCGCGAAAGAAGAAAACTTGGAAGCGTATTGTAGTTAGACTTGAAGGGAATTCTCTGAGTTTTCACGCTGAAGACTTTGAATCATCGTCGCCCTTTAAGGTCGTTCATCTTGATTGGTTTCATTCATTTACCTTGTCAAAAAAGAGCAGGTTAATCCATACCGATTATGTTTTTATCGCTATCTTAGAAAACACTCTCCAGAAAAAGGGGGGAGCGAAAAGTCAAGGAAGGATAAAGCTTGGTTGCACAAATTCCAGCATTCTGAAAGATTTCATCAGAACTGTGGAGGATTGCATCTCGAGCTTTCCATCCTTTCGACCTGCTGGTATTTCATACAAAAGAGAAAAGGTTTCTTTCATAGTGTATGATACTTATGATTATATTCAAAAAGATAGCATTAATTTGAAGATTCCAAAAATTCACGGTGTTGTTTGCGAGACCAAAGAAGAATGCCATTTTTCTCTGAAGCAAGTCAAGATAATGATGAAGGCAAGAGTATCCGCGAGCCCTGAGTGTCGTACAAATTTCAGACACTCAGAAAACTTTTCCAAAAAGCCATGTTTGGAAGAAATACGCTTTCACAAGTGCGTAAAAAGTTTCTTCTCACGCAAACAGACGACAGCCGCTGGAGTTTTGCCACTTGATAACACTTGGTTTCAGTTGATGTCTTGGCAAGGTTGTTCGTCGAAACTACCACCGTTGCGTTGCGAGGTGAAAGTCCACAAAAACGAAAACAGAAAATGCCTTCACATTCTCGCTCAACTATTCACATCGTCGACTCGTTTGGACGTGAAGTCAGCTAAGAATATTGTTATAAGGTATTGTGTGACATGTTTCCTTTGAACCCAACACGTTTTCCGTTTTCAACATTTGCATGTATTTCTGCAACATACAGGCTTCATATTCCGTCGAAATTCCTGAATACGTATGGAAAAGAAACCGCAAGTGAAACTGTAGAAAGACACACGAGAGTTTCAAAAGGAGATGTCTTCTACAATACACGCGAAAGCACGATGTTTTGGCTTCTTCCTAAAATTGTCTTCAAATCCTATCGACATTTTCACCTTGTTGGCAAACCTTTGGCGAGCTTAGAAAGTGATGTACACCTTCAGAAGTTATGCCACGCACAAAGACTCGTGCAGAAACCTTTAGACATGGATTTTTGCGCCAAAGGAAGCGCAGAATCATCCGAAGTCTTTATTTCTAGCTTGAAAATTGGTCTCAAGTCTTTTGGCAAGTTCAGTACTATGCATCGTTCTCTTTACCATGTTAAAATCCCAGTGACATTTGATGCGTAGAGATTTTACCTTAAGATAAAAATACAAGACCATTTTAATTCACGAAATAGTTGATTAAAAAAGATTGCGGCTTAAGAATGCAATTTGGGATCTCGTTTTAACTTCTTGCCGCCTGCGATCAGATTAATCCAATAAATAGTTGATCATTTTCGCTTCTTGCAACAATGGATTCGATTAATCCGATGAATAAGTTGATCATTCTCATACTGCGACTTGTGATTAGATTAATCCGATGAATAAGTTGATCAATTTCAATCCTTGCGATTTTTGATCAAACTAATCCTATAAATAGATGATCATTTTCCTTCCCTGCAACTTGTGTGATCATCTTAATCTTGTAAATCGCATTCATAAATGAATGATCGTTTTCATTTTCTCATGTCTCTGCGAATTGTGATCATGATTGTAATCGGACATTAGATTGGATAAAGAATTTGCGAATGAAGAGCTTACTAATCAGCGGTTGAACGGCATACTACTTAAAACGTGATGTAGATTTTATGTAATGGTGCTTAGAACCGCCATTTTGTTTGTATACGGTCTTCGTTGGTTTGAATTCTACTCTTTAAAATATTTGAATTTAGTTGGAAAACTATGGAGATTGGCAACGAAATCACGCAGAAAATAAAGGTAACTAAGTTTAGATCAGTTACTACGCATTTTTATCGTTTATTTTTGCGTGTGCGCGTCATTCTTGGCCATTATTATTTTATTAACACAACGATCGACTGATCGTGTTGTGGCACCGTGCCATTGTCTACTATAGATTATATTGTTATGGGTAATACTGTTAGAATTTAAAATCAAGCCTTACTGATCAAAGAATAGAACTAAATTTGTAACTATTCACTGCAAGGATTAGAATTACGCCTGCGAAATATGAAAATTTGGGTTTCAACGGTATAGTCTTCAATTATCATATTTTGTAAAAAACATTATTATAAAACTAACTACATAGCTATATAAAAAATGACTAGTATATTTACAATATTAAAAAGCGTATATCCAGACTGGAAAGTTTGTACTTAGAAAAGTAGGCTTTTGGGTATGTAAGTTTTGAATTTGTGTGTGCAGATTACGAATTTTCCAGTATGGTTAGTATCGGATGGCTCTGTGCCATTGACACTGACTGGAAAGTATGGCAGTATTTAATAATATCTTCAGTGTGCACGAAAAGAGATTCAAGTGTACAGGGTTGAAAAGTATGACAAAACCACTTAAGTGTGCACTGGAATTACTGTGCACTAAAAAATTATTGAAGAGCAAAGTTATTCCCCAACCCCCCTGCTTTGTGTTTCCTATATAGTATATGGTTTACCACCACCTGCATGAGTCATCGCTAGAATGTTTATCAAGGGGGGGTCATTCATATATTTAGTTGTGTTGTGCTGATTTTTATAGATAGCCAAATAACTCTGAAAAGCAGTTAGTCAAGAACAAGTTAATATATAAATGAAAAACATCCCCCCCTTATTAACATTCAATCTACAATCCTGACTATCTTTTTGGTGAACCAAAATGTACTAAACCTTTGTCTGTGCTGATAATCTGATACTATAAATCATTCTGTGTGCACTGTTGCATTATGAAGTTTGATTTATCCCTTCACTGTATATATGGTACTAAATTTTGAACATTGGCCCAACACTGGCCCATGTGACTGTATGTTTGTTTCCATGAAAATCACGTCTCTATTTCTCTTGTTATCATCAATTTATGCCATTTTTTCATAGACAGCAATCAAAACAAAGCTGGTTGAGTATGGTTCCTATGTTGGTAATGGAAGTTTAAGTACATTTCATATTTGTATTATTAATTTATACTGTATTCGCTACTGTATTAGCGGGATTTGCCTTAAATTAATCAATTCCACTAACCATTGGTGGAGCAGAAAACCTCCACTCCTAAAAAGACAACATCTTTGATTCGCGAAACCTCATTCTCAAATACACAGAATTGACTTGTTGCACGTTAAATTGATGTTCGTGTTTATTTTTTCAGATGACGAGCTTCCAGATTATATTATGGTCATGATTGCAAACAAAAGAAGTCAAGCTCAAATGATTGAAGATCTTAACCTTTTTCTGGGTGACAATAGTAAAATTTTTTGTGAATGGTATGCAGTTTGTGTTTTTGATTTTCCACGTAACCAACCACTTCTACGTAATACATTTTATGGATGACTTTTTCTTTCTACAGGCTTCATGATTTATTGTCAAAACTACAAGAGGTCACTGAAGGTATTATCATATATTAGAAATTAGTCAGTTATTGCATTAAATTTTAATTGAAAATGGAGTCCTTTGAGGTGACCTCTCGATGGAAAGAACATTCTTTGTTTATTGATGATAGTGAAACCCCATATAAGTGTAAGCAGATGCCATATTGGGACCATGTCTTGGTGTTTGCTAACCACATTTGCCACTTAAGCCTGTTTTCAACTGGCCACGTATCGTAACGCATCGTAGCAAAACGTAACATGGCGCATGCGTGCTTGTGCATTTGATGGTCAATAGGCGCAAGCACGCATGCGCCATGTTACGTTTTGCTACGATACCTTACGATTCGTATCTAGTGGAAAACAGGCTTTACAGTACTGCTCAGAAGTAAGTTTTCTGAAAACGCGTTCCGAACTCGTTCCAAAATGCGTTCCAGTTGCGTTCCAATTGCGTTCAGCTTAAGGTGGAACGTGTATCAAAACGCGTTGTTGACCGCATCCGATCATTGATCGGTAATCATCATTTATACTCCCTATTCAAGTGTTCAATTTCGGAAATTTCCATGTTGTACCGAGTTTTTTTGAACAATCTGGAACGCGTTCGGAAAGTGTCGAAAAATTTTCTTAGAACGCGTTCGGGACGCGTTCCGGCCGCGTTCGAAACGCAACTTGAACGCAAATAGAACGCGAAAGCAGTGTTAAGTTACTTCTGAGCAATTATGAGAGGTTATGAGAAGTAATATTTTATTGACAAGGAGTCGTAAGCAGTGTCTGTTTGGAAGAAAATTTCGCTTCCATGAGCTGTCCGTGTTTAGGGGTTAAACTGAGTTGAGTAATATGTGCGCTGCTCTGTTCATAGGTGCATTTGAAGTGAAGGTGCCCTTAAAGCGAAAATCTGCAGAAAATAAAACTTTGTCAAAGTCCGAAGGAAACAATGCTGCAGCCGCTTCAAAATCTGCTCAAAAACACAGTCCAATAAGGATGAATGTGAATACTAATGATATCAAAGACTTTTCCCAAGACACTTCTTATGATGGTAACTTATATAAAGTATTTCGATGGATTTATAACTTGGCACATTTAACGTTGTAAAATATCATTGAGCAATCTGCACGGTGGTTTCATGACAACACGAGAAGTTTGCACGTTTCGGTGTGTCACATTTGAAATGGAAAAATAGTCTTTAAGTATCGCTTGTTTTTCGAATCTCCTTATTGAAATTTCGTCTATCAAAGGAAGCGGGAAAAAACGTCAAAGAGCTGACAGACAAGATGAAAAGAAATCTGGTCTGGTGCAAAGTGCGATCACCGTGCAAAAAAAGTGAGTACAGTTTGCTTTGGCAAAAATTTTGGTCAAACGACGTTTCTCATATTTGAATGAAGATATGATCTTCGCACTTTGCTGGACAATTTAAGCAATTGTCTCATTAACCTGAAAAATTCAGGTGACTCAACGGGATCCCGTTGAAAAATTGAGTCACCTGAAAAATTCAGGTGACTCAACGGAATCCCTTTGAGTCACCTGAATTTTTCAGGTTCGTGAGACAATTGCTTAAATTGTCCAGCAAAGTGCGAAGATCATATCTTCATTCAATTTCAAAACACCGCACTACATATAACAATCTTTCATGTTTCTCATATTTAATGGTCAAGACTTGGGACTCGTGAAGATCAAGACAAACTTGATGTAGCTTTCTTCAAGAAACACCATTTCCCATCGCATATGAAATTACTGTTTTTTTGACATTTATTTAGGCCAAGCCTGTCACCATCTAAGCAAGCAAACGCATTGTTACTGAAGAAAGCCATGCATGCTGCTCAAGCGTCTACAGTTGAAGGTGAATACAATCCTGAACGACCTTCCACGACCCAGCTGCCCGTGGTCTCCGATGCGGAGACTAAGAAACAGAAAAAAGAGCAACTCATGGCCGAACATAAGAAACTTCAAAGGATTAAATCACAACAGGAAGAGGAAAAACTGGTAACTAGAAACTGGCTTCGGTCGGATGAGGTACCTCTTGAAGATAGTATTGAACATTTGTGCCCCTCACAGCAGGAACCAATGATTGAGCTTCAGGCCGCCGAAGACGATGATCTATTTAAGACGGAAGATAAAACTGGAGTGAAAGACCGACGCATCGTTGTCGAGAGGAGCCCCGAACGTGACACGACGGACGATCACGAAAGCGAAGAACATCAATGGAAAGGCGCGAAGCGTAAAATAAAAAATGGCGATTTGGGTGATATAAACGATGGTGAAAAAGAAAACTCCAAAGAAAAAAATGTTAAAACGAGGTAGGATGATGCTTTTAGTCAGCGATGTGAAGCTTATTTCGTTGCACAAGCGATAATTTGGATTATCACCGATTGACTTGGATTATCGTGGATTAAGTTGCTTGCATAATCCAAGCCCCCAATGCTGTCAATGTAGATTAACAATGTGTCTTTTCTGTTTTAATTTTTGTTGCTTTGCAATTCCAAAACTCCAGTGACCATCCTTGTACTTGTTTCAAACCTCAGGGAGAAACGAAAGAAACCGAAGTTCATCGTGACATTGGAGGGCGTCGAAAGCAAGTTCGAAGAAATGTACGAGAAAGAACACTCGAGAAAGAAACGACGTCGTAAAACAACCAAAAGATAACGGGGAGGTACCGCGTTCTTTTAAGACACATTTAGAATGACCTAGTAGAGAAAATGATGTTAGATTTTCGTTGCTTCATCTTGGATGTTCCCTTTGTACCTTATAAATGATGGTTTATTATTGAGGTGCTTTGAAGGAATCGTTTGTTCGGTTGTAGTGAATTGTTACTTATGTAAATATACTGTCAAACTCGCTATTTCATAAACACTGTATACTGGGAAAGAACTGTGTAGTAGTTAGATAATAATTAGCATAAATGAATAAAATAAGATCATGTGATAATAGTGTATATAAAGCAAAGAAATTGAAAATAAAAGGCAGTTGTCTAAATCAAGCGGGGTCATACTATTAATCGTCTGCAATTGCTAATCCCTTGTGCTTTGAACACGTGGGTTTGAATCCCATCTTTGTCGCCATTTATAGAATATTAATAGTATGACCCCGCTTGATTTAGACAACTACCTTATATTTTGAATTTCTTTGCTTTATATATACTATTATCACAAACTGTTGCTTGTTCTTGTTCTTATTTTCTATATCCCTTATTTAGGATGTTCCAGATGCTGAAAGGGATATTCCCGTTATGCCCGTCTATCCACAGTTTGTACACGGAGTACATCAAGTTCCCGGAATTATGTCAGCTACACCTGTGAATCACGACTTGTTCCCGCCACATATCCAATCGCTTCATGTAATACCCCCTCGTCCTTCGTTTACCTCTCAAGCTCACGGTGCTACGGCAAAACCTTGCAAGTAAGAGATAAACGCTGTTTTATAATAGTAAAAAACAAATTCCGAAAAAAACAAGACATCTTTAGATTACAAAATATGAATCAAAACAAGACGAAACTGTAAATTTGCGACTTTATTTCAAAGTTATTCTTAAACAGAATCGTATTTTGTAATCTGAAGACGTCTTGTTTTTTCGGAATTTGTTTTTTGCTCTATTTTTTTTAAATTGTCGGCTGGTCATGGTTTTTGATAATGGTATGGTTGTGGTTCTGTTCTCGGGATTCAATGGAAAGAATGTAGTTAAGCAAACAACTTTTGTTGCTGACTTTAAGTTGTCGTATACAAGCGTGAAAATCTTTAACTTGTTGTAATGTTGATACGTTAGAACAAGATGCAGCGACTTTGTATTTTACCTGTTGTTCGCTCGCGGCTGAAGATGTCGACTACATTGTTCACTATTGTTACGCAAGATTCACAAAAAAAAGTTATTATATGAAACGTTGTTGTACGAAACATAATTTTCGCACTTATTAAGAACATCGTTCGCCACAATCAAACTTGTCACTTGTCAATATTGCTACACAAGATCCATCATAAACAATGATTGTACATAGTTGTCACATGTCAAGATTGCTGCACAAGATCCATCATAAACAATGATTGTACATAGTTGTCACATGTCAAGATTGCTACACAAGACCCATCATAAACAATGATTGTACATAGTTGTCACTTGTCAAGATTGCTACACAAGATCCATCATAAACAATGATTGTACACAGTTGTCACTTGTCAAGATTGCTACACAAGATCCATCATAAACAATGATTGTACATAGTTGTCACTTGTCAAGATTGCTGCACAAGATCCATCATAAACAATGATTGTACATAGTTGTCACTTGTCAAGATTGCTGCACAAGATCCATCATAAACAATGATTGTACATAGTTGTCACTTGTCAAGATTGCTGCACAAGATCCATCATAAACAATGATTGTACATAGTTGTCACTTGTCAAGATTGCTACACAAGATCCATCATAAACAATGATTGTACATAGTTGTCACATGTCAAGATTGCTGCACAAGATCCATCATAAACAATGATTGTACATAGTTGTCACATGTCAAGATTGCTGCACAAGATCCATCATAAACAATGATTGTACATAGTTGTCACTTGTCAAGATTGCTGCACAAGATCCATCATAAACAATGATTGTACATAGTTGTCACTTGTCAAGATTGCTGCACAAGATCCATCATAAACAATGATTGTACATAGTGGTCAACAACCTTTTTCGCCATTTTTGCACAAAGATTAACTTCAAGCATCAGGGAACATTTGCTTAGCAAGATACTGTTGTGTCCTGGTTTCGCGTAGTACTTTATGGAATGGTGATACTTTAATACTGCACATGTGACATAATAGTTTGTTATTTTTAAGGCATTTTCCAAACTGTCGATATGGAAATGATTGTGTTTATTCGCATCCTCCATGTAAATTTGGATCACGGTAAGAAATCAACTGGAATATTTTCATTCATTTTGGGCATCTTATTGACAATAGAAAAACTCTCCAGTGTGAGTTTTAAAAAAGATAGTGGTTGAAAAAAGCCAATAGTTGGATATTTAGAATAACTCGTGTAATATATTTTCTTTGTAGATGTAGATCGTCCAGGTTAGTATAGTCCTGAGAAGGACTTTGTTGTTGTTGACTGAGTTTCGACAACCTTAGCGGTAGTCATCTTCAGAGTCAAAGCATAGGTCATTTGACTCTGAAGATGACTACCGCTAAGGTTGTCGAAACGTCAGTCAACAACAACAAAAACAGTCCTTCTCAGGACTATACCAAGCTGGACGATCTACATCTACAAACATGTAACGATACTCCCGGCTTCAAACCGTTTACTTTAATATATTTTCTGTTATTTTTCTAGCTGTACGTCGTCATCCTCTTGTCCTTATTCGCACGATAATGTTCAATCATTAAAAACAAACGGTGACTATTTTGAAATTTATGCTCGATTGTAGTTCAGCGGACACCAGTAGGCATCCAGCGGTGACCATGGGGACTGTGGGCGCATGTGACAAAAATGGATGAAAAATACAACTCGTTGAGAAAGCGCGTTTTGCTCTTAATCTTCAAATGTAAAAACCATGGAGGTTTCGAAATCAGTGTTCCGGTTTGAAAATTAAATCCAGCTAACTTCTTTTTGTCGAAGTTCATTTCGTTGGCAATTTGTACTTGTTCGTCCACCGATTTGCACTTGTTCCAAAGTCCTCTCTTCACGAAACTAGCAGCAAACATCCACATTTTGACATAAATTCGTTGAAACACATTCTATTGCTGTTCTTGTTGTCGTTTCTTTAGAAAATGAACGGATCATTTGTCGGTATTATCCTCATTGTTCTCGTCCGAACTGCGTTTTCCTCCATATTGTGGACAAGGTTAGCGTTTTGCTTGTTGTTTTTTTCTCGTCACAAGGCCGCGTTACTGGCTTTTATGACTCATTTTCGGGAGTTTTGTGAAAAAGAGAAAAGAATTGACATAATTTTGAAAAAAGTCGAGCGTTTTCATCGAACAGCGTGTATATTGAACGTTTAACGCGTCGCTTAAAATTGGTCAATTGACTTCGGAAACAAATACAGAACACAGCAGTGGAGAAAATAGTTGTTTTAGCCAAACAACATGACTTTGACTAAAAAGTCAGCAACGTGACGATATGCACCTTAAGATGAGTTAATATGTTAAATATTTGCTTGTCTTTTTTGCAGCCTTGGCAATATGGAAAGACCAGTCATATCACACCTCCACCACGTGACCAGTTGAAGTGGGTCGCCCCTGCTGTAGCCGGTGCTAAAGTTCACATCAGGTACAACGGAGTACTCAATATAGTATATATGTACGCATGAGGACTAGTGACATTCCTGAATTTTGTACATGTTATTGACTTTATAGTGAGAGGAAGTTTGCTGTGAAGGAAACGAGTACGACAGCGTTGCCTGTTCAATAACGGAAATAAAAACGACGATATGGGTACTTTGTGAGAAAGAACGAGGAAAAATATTGAATTAAATCTATTTTATCATATTTTCAAACGCGTTTGAAGCTCGAGAAAACTAAATGATTAAAACCTACAAATGAAAATTTTATTTTCGAATATGTTATATATTATTTTGGTTGGTATAGTCCTGAGAAGGACTGTTTTTGTTGTTGTTGACTGACGTTTCGACAACCTTTGCGGTAGTCATCTTCAGAGTCAAATGAGGAGTAAAGATGACTACCGCTAAGGTTGTCGAAACGTCAGTCGACGAAAACAAAAACAGTCCTTCTCAGGACTATACCAACCTGGACGATCGACATTTACAAACATGTCACGATACTCCCGGGTTCAAACCATTTACTATATATTATTTTGGATTGTTCATTTCGATTCAAGTAATTTATAACTTTCGCTTGCCGTAACGCTGAGATTCTATAATTTTCATCTTTAATTCTTTCATCGTCGTGTTAAAATCAATGTTTATTGTTTTCGCTCCCAACTACTTCCTGGCATTAGAAATCCTTTTGATAAAAATACATCATGTTCTTAGCTTACGCTACCTGAACAACTCTTCGAATTTTTATTGCTATAAAAGACATTATCCCTTCGATACGTCAAGTCGAGAGACTTGTTGCTATGTATGTGTAGCACAAAGAAAAAACACGTGTCTGTTTTACGGCTTAAAAACCTGGAGTGATATTCTACTTGTTGTCATAGAGAGAAATGATTGACAAAAAGAATGAAGCGAAGAATTGCCATTGTAAATGGAGGAAAACGCTGTTTTTGCGTACGTCGAACATTCAGACGTGGCAATTAAAGCTATAAAAATGATCGAGCTCGGTTTTGTAAAGCAAACGGTGGTAGACTGCAGGTGAATCGGTCATATCTTTCAAGAATCTGCTTCATACAGAGAATATTCAGTCACAGGATTATCATTGAGTGGATATGACAAGTTTTAGAGCTTTTTTAGTCTTCGCTCTTGTCTGGTGCTGCACCGCTAAAGGGGAATATAAGGAGAAAGGTTTTGGAATCGGACTCGTGCATAAGCCCACAGTTTGCAAACGAGTCACCAAACGAGGCGATCACATAGCCGTGAAATACAACGGAACCTTTATCGATGGATCGACGTACGTTCCTACGAGGTAATCAAGAGAAATATTGGTTGATTTTGTTGGATTGAAAATAGGTATTTTTCATTTTGGTTGTGTTTGTGAAACAGTAAAAGATGCCGGAACGTAAATGTCGATTTATCGATTTATGTTGTCGATCTAACTTCGTTTTTAGTAAAAAACCGTTTGAATTTACGTTGGGAGAAGGTCAGGTTATCACAGGCTGGGATCTAGGCCTCCTCGGCATGTGCGTCGGTGAGATACGCCAGCTCGTTGTACCGTCACATGTTGCCTATGGTTCCTGGTCTGTGGGCGACAAAGTGCCGCCCAAGTCGACCATCGAATTTTTCGTGGAATTGTTGAAGATAAAGGAAACTTTCTCCGACAGGGAAATGGTCTCCGACACTTTTTCTCGTATCGATACAAATGGCGACGGAATGATATCGAACGACGAGGTTGGTATATATTGATTTCACCTTGAAAAAATTGTGCGAATCAAGAAATATGACTTTCTTGCTGTGTATTACTTTGGATAAACTTCAAAAACAACATGTAGAATGATTTCAAGAGGTTGTAGAAACATTTTGTTATTATCCTATATCCAGGTTGCTCGGTTTTTGAAGAAACAGAACTATCCTAATGGCACCGGAGATAAAAGCCATTCCAGCCTCATCCGGGAGATATTTCTTGAAGAAGATAAGGATAACGATGGGGTCATTTCGCACAAGGAATTTTCGGGACCTAAAAAATACGTCGAGGATCTTTGAACTGAAGGTCAATTGAAAAAAACTTGCCATAATACACAAGCTCGTCAAGTTGAAGTGGACAGTCTTGAAATGGCGGCATTTCACATTATACTTTAATTAACAATTCCGAAATTTTTTTTATATTTTCTTAGTAAATGTCCTTCTGTTAACGTGATGAAAATGTTTGCAACAATTCAATAAATTTGAAATTATTTGTTCAGATATATTTTTTTGTCTCGTGATCATGCTCCTTTTACCTGTAGGACCTGTATTTATCCCAAAAGTTCATCATTATCTCACGAGTCACTGCTTGACTATTGCGCATGTCTAAGTCTATGTGAAGTAATTTTTTTTAGTTAAAAATGCTTTTCGTTTCATTTGTTGTCATCGCTTGGCAAATTCCGTTCAATCCTAGTAATTTTTCATTTTCCCGGGACATGGGAGGGGGAGGGATGATGGTTGGTAGGGGGGAATATGAAAATATAAAATACCAGCTCTGCGCATGTCATGACGTGTCATGCATGTCCTAATCATGCTAAAATGGAGGTTCTCTCCGAAGAAGACAGTAAACTTCTTGGCGAAGAAACGAAAGCGGATTACGAGAAAAGCAAGAGATATCGTCGGTTAATAATTGGAGGAATATGTCTTGTATTTGTGGACATTCTTTGGGCGGCCTCTGCTGAACTTTCAGATGTATTTTAACTTTCAAATTTTAACTTTGCTTAAACTAAATCAAAGTGTTTCGAAATGTGGTCTGCTTTGTATGATTTGTTAATTCACTAAAGCCACACTTTAATGACTTCAGGGATAGATCCATACATATTGAGTTGATGCATTGGGAGTAAATGTTCGAAGAAACAACTAACGCTGCTGCTTCTCTGTTCATTTAGTTCATTTTCCACAATGAAGGATTTGACAAACCCTACTTCACGACCTATTTCAAAACGGCAGCATTTGTCTTGTATCTTCCGTGTGTTATGATCAGATCTCAATACGTGAAACATCGCAGGAAGCATAGAACTGTTGAAGAATCAACGATTCAAACGCCAATATTGACAGCGTCTATCGTCAGTTATTCTTGATACGATTTTCTCATTTGTATTATATCCATTATAGCAAATATCCATATTTAAACCGTTGTTATTTTCTGCAGGACCTGATGCACAAAAGCAATGAAAACATTTATAACGAGTGTCCTTTGCCAGAAGGCCCAGAAAGTTCCAGGTGTAAGGAATTTCTAACAAAAGAGTGAAATATAATTTGTAAATTTCAAGAAAAACAATTAGATGGAGATTCAATGTTCAACTTTAGACGTCAAGGAAGAAAAGCTGCCAGTTTTTCGTATCATGAAGATTGCTTTGATATTTTGCATACTGGTAAAGTTTTTTGTCTTCCAGGGTGGGGAAGGAAGAAGCTCTGCTTATGTTGTTCATTAGTTCATGGATTATTTCAATCTGTTTGTTTCTTCTTTTCTGGTTACTGAGAGGGAGATTGATGGTGTGGAGTGACACAAATCAATGTAGGAAGCAGGAAGGTCATGTGATCAGGTCATGTTATCAGAAAGAAGGGGCAGTACAAATATATAGAGGAGGAAGGTTGTGTGATTACTGAGAGTGGGATAGGGGAGCAGTACAAATGTATAGAGGAGGAAAGTCATGTGGTTACTGAGAGGAGGACACGGGGTGTGTGCAGTGAGAGATACGAGGAAGGTCATGTGGGTGGCTACTGAGAGAAAATGAGGGGGGGGGGCAGTACGAATGTAGAGAAAAGGAAGGTCATGTGATATTATAATTAATATTTTTCTTTTCAGTGGTTCCTTGCAACTCTTTCTTATCAAGAAGCATTGGATCTTACATCACCAGCTGCAGTGAATATTTTATCATCATCCTCAGGTTCATTTCAGTATTCGAACAGAAATATATCTTTTTACTTAAGGCAATTGTAACCGACCCACGGGAATAAATAATTGGCTTGTTAATTGGACAGCAGATATGTCGTCTTGATAAACATGTCATTCAACTTTTTCTCTTTGCTAGGTTTATTTACATTGATTCTATCCGCACTTTTCCAAAGTTCTACAAATGACAAGTTTTCATTCTCGAAACTTCTCGCTGTTTTTATCAGGTTGGTATTGTGATGATGGCACTGTTTGTATTGAAAATAAATAAATCTGGTATAATGCATCGACAATGTAATTTCTTTGAAGTCTTCGAAACTGAATTCATGTACTTTCATAAACAACTTTACGTTTGATGCTGAAGTTTGAAGAAATCTCATTTAACCTTTTGCCTCATGCTCGTAAATGATGATCGTAAATCTCTGTTTATATATAAGTTTGTGATGTTTATCTTATGCTTGACAAGAGTATGGCTCATAAATAGCGAGGGCATATTGAAGGGGGGGAGGTTTGTTCACAAAGTGGGGTTATAAAAGGAACTTTATTTCTGAAAACTTGAGGAATTATACTTTATGTTAGTTCCACATTGAGAGGTTTGTATTTGGAAAGGGGGTAGTTTTCACCAGAACTTTAGTTTGGAAAGGGGAGGTTAGTTTTCACCAGAACTTTAGTTTGGAAAGGGGGTTAATTTTCATCAGAACTTTAGTTTGGAAAGGGGGTTAGTTTTCATCAGAACTTTAGTTTGGAAAGGGGGTTAGTTTTCATCAGAACTTTAGTTTGGAAAGGGGGTTAGTTTTCATCAGAACTTTAGTTTGGAAAGGGGGTTAGTTTTCATCAGAACTTTAGTTTTGAAGGGGGTTTAGTTTTCATCAGAACTTTAGTTTGGAAAGGGGGTTAGTTTTCATCAGAACTTTAGTTTGGAAAGGGGTTAGTTTTCATCAGAACTTTAGTTTTGAAGGGGGGGTTAGTTTTCATCAGAACTTTAGTTTGGAAAGGGGGGGGGTTAGTTTTCATCAGAACTTTAGTTTTTATAAGAACTTAACTTCAACAGTCTTTTTTTATAATCTTTACCGAAGCATCGCGGGAATAGTACTTGTGGTGCTTTCTGATTCGCGTCAAACGAAGGGCGAAGTCAACTATGGTGCTCTCTTTTCTCTGGCCGGTGCAATATTGTAAGTTGCAACTTCAAAGCACATATGATTCAGATAATTTATTATTGATAATTATGCTTTTATCATTCACCGTTTTATTTGCCGTAGATACGCGTGTTATCTCGTTCTTCTCAAGCTTAAAGTACCCAACGAGGAACAGATGGACATTGCTATGTTCTTTGGTGCGTTTATTTAAGTTCTTGTAATAATTAAATTTAAGCGAGTAAGATGCGAGAGGTTCTCGCGCGAAAGCTGCTTCCAAGCAACTTTTCCAGGCTTGCGTTCGTAGTACTTAAAAATGAGGAAGATGAAATTATTCTGAAATTGAACGGAATATGTCTGAGAGCATCCTGTTTTTGAAATGGATACCATCTCGGTAGTCATCTTCAGAGTCAAAATGACAATTTGCAAACATGTATGACTTTACTGTTATGGTAAACTTTCTTGTGCGCATGCCTTGTATCCTTCTAGTTATATTCAGGTCAATGGTTCACACATTTGTCATCTTAGTAAAGATGCTATTTTAATTATATATTTTATAAAATGAAGACCCCGCCGTTAGGCAGGGTGAAGAAAAATTAGTCTATAGACTCATTCTGTTGTTCTCCTCCACGGAAATCTTTAGTAAAAGGCGAAAGATTTATGCGCGGATTGAAGGAAAACCAGAGTTTGTTGATTATCGACAGCGTTTCTCCCTGCTTTATTTGAAGTATTACAATCATTGAATTGCGGTTTGTGTAGAGCGTGGGTTTTACTTGTTTGAATGGTTACGAGCATGCGTAGAAAATCAAGCAGTGGGCGTTAAAATCATGTGGTTAAAATCTACCTTGCTTACATCAATGTTGTGTTGGTTGCATTTCAAGCAATAACATTTCTGATATTGAACAAGTAGAAATAATTCAATTTTGTGTTTCAATGTTATAAATATGTATCCTTTGTAAGTATTCAAACTTTGCTCTTGTTACTATGGAATGACATGCGTATATGATTATAAGATCTTCCCAACGATAGATACTACCACAGCCCAGTCATGTTGTATTTGTTTCTATATTTGAATTTGTGAAAACTTAGTTTGTAAATACTTGGTTGTATCTTTGAACGATAGAAAAATTAGTCTATACACTTATTCCGTTTTTCATCTCCATGTAAATCTCCAGCCGGTGCATTTTCACGACAAACCCCACAGTGTAATTAACACATTAAGGATAAACGTTTTACACTATTTACACACACACAACGCATCGTCTCTAGTTTATCCACATTGGAAACATTTGAAGCAATCCCGTTGAATGTTACTTGTAGGATGGCCAAATTCCCCGCATCAAACTGCACATTTAGGAACGTAGAAGTGGCATTCTATGGCGTTTCCATATAGCACTATACCGATTAGATCCTATATTGTTACCACCGCAGACGAGACTCTTGGAGTACTCTTAGTAATTTGCCAAAACGGTTCATGGTGTCAGCGGCTGCCTTACTGAAGAGTCTACAATGTACATGAGAGCCACCAATACCAGGACCAGTAAAGTTGCTTTTCTGGCTCTGGTATTGGTTGCTCTTATACTATAGTAGAGGACTTACGTGTGAGACCAGCACCGGAAGCAGAGTCAACGGGAGCAACATCATCAGCACTAAGAAAAACAACAACATCACTACCCTTCGACACACAACAAAATTCTCCACAAAGGATCCATGCGTAGGTGTAGGAGAACCTGAGTTGTTGCACATCATAGGCAATTATAAAATAACATAAGCAAAACGCGTGCGCCGATTGCTCGATGCCCGTGTTTAAATCACGCCATCCAAACACAGTAACCCAAGTAGTAAACGTTAATTACTGTACCATCCAATGTCCAAAATATCCACATCTACATCTCTAACCCCATTGTTTATTTAGGTTTCGTTGGACTTTTCAACATTCTGTTGCTGTGGCCTGGCTTTTCGATACTTGATGTAACAAATATCGAAGTATTCGAGATGCCATCTACGTGGGAAGTGTGGTGCTCTATTGGGTTGAACGCTGTATTCGGGACCGTGGTCTCAGAGTATTTGTGGCTATGGTAAGAAAAACACTGTTCCAATTTTTTAGTAGTCTTGAAGATGAAGACAAGATTTATGGTACATTTGAGATAAACGACATGATGAAATGTCTTTCGAATGTGTCTGATTAATTTTGAAAACCGTTTGGAGTTACGTTTGAGTTAGGGGGATTGGGAGGAACCTTTGTGTACTACGGGGTGTATGAGAAAGTAGGCGAAAGAGTTACGTTGGAGGTAGAGAGGGATTGGGAGGAACGTTTGTGTACTACGGGGTATATGAGAAAATAGGTGAAAGAGTTATGTTGGAGGTAGAGAGGGATTGGGAGGAACCCTTGTGTACTACGAGGTGTATGAGAAAGTAGGCGAAAGAGTTACGTTGGAGATAGAGGGATTTTGAGGAACCTTTGTGTACTACGGGGTGAATGAAAAAGAACACCTTTATAAATCAATGTATGGTGGAATGTTAATGTCTGATCACTATGCTAATCCCACTGGTGCATTACTGTGTATGTTTTGCTGATAAAGGTTAGGTGGAATTGCCAGAAGCAGAAAAAGCTTTTGTGTTTGTGATAAATAAAAGTGATTAATGCGCGTAGCTGACAATTCTTTATGCACATGTTGGATTAGGATAGTGTTAGGTGTTGAAATTATCACATTACGTAAAGGTCTCTTGTTACACTCTGTGCTTTGAGTGGAAAATACTTCCACTTGACTTATGGGCATTTTCTCGCACACAAGTGAATGGAATTTTTTCGATCAAATTATTTGGTTGTTCAAATTTTCACGGGTATGAAACACAGTCGATTGGCGCAAACATTTTTGCAAGCGGTAATCCTGCCCAACCGTCTCAAAGTGTAGATTTCTCCATGGTTATCTAGGGGGTGTTATTTGACGTCATCATTGTCCGCAACCTTGGCTTTGGGCATGGTAATGCCGCTGACAATGCTAATGGACATCTTAAGAGGACGAGTAAGTTCGATACATTTCATTGGATCGTTGGTTTTGCACTACTTTGCGATTAACTTCATTCATATTCTTGACTTTCAGATCCATCTTTCTTTCATGTTTGTGGCCGGGTCCATTCCGATATTTTTGTCGTTTTTCGCAATAAATTATTTGTGTCATTATGAAAACTGGGATCCAGTGAGAACAGCCGTGTTTTGGATTTATAATCGCCTTCGAAGGCACATACTTCAGTTTAATCACTACTGAGGTTTCGTGATGCTGCATCCTGCGTTTTAGTCGTTAGACAAAGTAAATTATTGCAACTAAATTTTAAATTCGAAAATCGTCACGATTACATTACACCGTTTGCACATTGGACATTCATTCACTACCTGCACAGTCGCGATTGTTATGTAGTATAAATAAATGTTATTGATTGTCGACTAGTGCTCTTGATTCTTCCTTCGTGTTAATGAATATTCTACATCGCTATTGATAAGTGAAAGCGTGTAATTGAATGTCCAATGTGCTGAAATGATGAGCAAATGGTGTATGAGAGTATGTAATAAATATGTAATATGAGTAAATAAGAGTGTGTAATAAGAGTAGAGAGTATACATACTTCACGCGCATGTAATATAATGACGCATTTAATATGAATGAATTTCGCCCGCGCGCAATAAAGACATTTTTGGCAATCTTGTGCCTACAGAACATGGAGATCATTGACGACATTTCGTATCAGTGGGAGACGTGCGAGACACGGAACTCTTGCGTTCTTTATAACTCTAGACATGGGACTCGTTTTGTTTCAAGTTCTGCGTCAAGTCGTCAAGACTTATGTGGTGATAACACAATGTTGGTTGAATACATGAAACTGGTGAAAGCAGACAAATGGTTTACCATTATTTTCGCAAACGTTTCATTCAAGTTAATGGTTTCCTTTCATAGTCGTCAGCATTCACGAGTCGCCATAACGCAATCTTTGTCCTGCTCATAATCCAGTTGTATATATGTGTCGAAGTCATGGCCATCAATAAATAGTCGTTGGTAATTACCATAATGTTCGACAAATATCGTTATTTTACCGGATTTTTTAAACGCTTTTTTTGTCGCTCGGAGACGTCAGAGACACTGATGGCACCAGTGAACTCCATATAGATATATCTGGAATGATAACTACAATACATTTTATAGATATAAATTGAAGCCAAAGTCCTAGTCTCTTGCGCGGTTTGTACGTCAGTTCCAGTCCTTCAAAGTCGAATATTCACGCGGTTTGTACGTCAGTTTCATTCCCCTGAGTGCCAAACAAACATACACGGCCACTATAAATTTGAATACAAACTGCAAAAGCATAAACATATAAACAACATCACGACAAACAACACGCTAGGCCAACTCTTCGCAAAAGGTTATTTTTTACAGCTAAAACTTTACTACAGTGAGTTCGTTGTAACTTACAACTTGTAACGAGGAAAAGCCAACTGAAAATTACACTGTATGCTAAAAAGGCAATACAATAGAAAATATGACGAGAAAATATTCAAGCATAAATTTTTCTTTCGTCGGAAGGTAAACTTTTAAACGGTGTCAGACAGTGTTTGTCTTTTTTTATCGTTTCAATGGATTTAAAGATCTGTTTTCCGAAGAAAACTTGAATATCCAGGTTCATAAAAATGTTGAGTCTATAACTCGCATTTTACTGTATTTTCATCAGATAGCGAAATGGTTGTCATCTTTCAGTCGATTTGACTTTTGTTCAAATTTAATTCAATGTTATTTAATCAAATCTCTACGAAAATATTTAATTTTGTTTTGATGACTGATCTTACAGTTATAAATCGAGTATGATTTATTTGTCATGACGAAAAACACCTGTGATACGATATCTTGCCAGTATAGCCTTCTTTTGAAATCTTGCTTCGACACCTATTTCATTCATTTCATAGATATCACAACCTTGTGAACCATATTTTCATTCAATGAATATTTCAGGTTCTCTTGTCCAGCAAAGTGCGAAGATCATATCTTCATTTAAATAAGAGTGTGTTATAAGAGTATAGAGAATGAATTTCGCGCGCGCGCAATAAAGACATTTTTGGCAATCTTGTGCCTACAGAACATGGAGATCATTGACGACATTTCGTATCAGTGTGAGACGTGTGAGACACGGAACTCTTGCGTTCTTTTTAACTCCAGCCATGGGACTCATTTTGTTTCAAGTTCTGCGTCAAGTCGTCAAGACATATGTGGTGATAACACAATGTTGGTTGAATACATGAAACTGATGAAAGCAGACAAATGGTTTGCCATTATTTTCGCAAACGTTTCATTCAAGTTAATGGTTTCCTTTCATAGTCGTCAGCATTCACGAGTCGCCATAACGCAATCTTTGTCCTGCTCATAATCCAGTTGTATATATGTGTCGAAGTCATGGCCATCAATAAATAGTCGTTGGTAATTACCATAATGTGCGACAAATATCGTTATTTTACCGGATTTTTTAAACGCTTTTTTTGTCGCTCGTAGACGTCAAAGACACTAATGGCACTTATGACTGTCATGACTTTTGACATTTGTAATGGCCGAAGATGGCAAAGAAATTCCTGTTGAAACGATATCTCCAACTGATGAGATGCCCGGTAGAAATAGCGAATGTAGGGGTGCAAAACCGAGCGATGAGTCAACGTCGAAATTTGAAAGTTATTGCAAGTTGACAGCTTTAGTAATTGTCCTTGTAGCCTTGGTGTATCATTTGCTTCGTGGCTCACAAGAAGGTTCGATTCTATTTCATTCATTTTTCATAGATATCCAAGATAGGGCTGTCTGTGAACGACTTGGACTGGTCTTTTAAAAGTAACATGTTTGGTCATATGTTTTCTGGATCGTCATTTCTGATGTTTCTGTAGTCTTTATACGTGGCAGTAATTATGTCATATGAAGACAATGTACACAAAAGAATTGTGTGAATAGAGGGTTTATGGAAGGTTAGAGAAGGGGCATCACAGTTAATGACACTTGTTTTCATGTAATATTTTATACTTAGCAGCCATGTGCAAACTTTTCTTCTATTTCAGTCATTATCTATTGCAGGGAGCTGTACAAACCTTTTAACCACAGGAAAGTGGAGGGAGAATAGAGGAAGCGAAGAATGGCAGCCATATGGCTGCATGATTCACAAATATCGTTTGAAGTGAGCAGTTTTTTTTGTACACATGTTAAATTTTGTTTTAAGCATGCTGCACAATCAATGGTAAAGTCTCAGTGTTAATACTTTTTCTTCATTCTTCTCTTAGTGAAATTCAAAAGTGTTTGAGAAACAGACCTTTGGCAATTGTTGGAGATTCAAGATTACGTGATGTGTATCACTTGTTGGTGCACGAGTTAATGGATACTACTGATTACGAAAAGAAGAAAGCCGTATGTCTACATCTCAATGTTTCTTGTCTCACTTGTTTCTTCTCAAACACACTTTTGTGCTTTTTGTTTTCAGCATAGTAACTTGGCATATACTGGACAAAACAATGTATCTGTTGTAAGTGTTTGAAATGCGAAACATACTCCTGTAGGCATGGTGTGTTTTGAAGAAATCAAAACATGTTTTTACCTAGAAATTCTTTTGGATGCCCGAAGTCAATGGGTCTATGCTTAATCTCTTTGAGGACTGGCTTAAGGTAATTTGTATGAATTCATGCAAAAATTTGTTAGAATTTGACACAATTAAATTCGAGGACATACCATGTTGAATGATTACATGCTCTAGCTTTAATTCAAACCATCTTTAGTCAGGTGATGTAGCGGGAGCTTAAAGCATCTGCTAAACTATATTCTCTGTTTGCAACCATACATCTTTTGATTTGTTGTTAGAACTCAATGGAAAGACCAAGTTTTGTTGTGGTTGGGGCTTCATTGGTACGACAGTTAGATGTTTTTTATGTTGTTTGTAAAAATTGACATATTTATGTTTTATGGTTTTGTTTCTTTTTCAGTGGACAATCAAAAACAAAGATAATGCCTGGAGGGAATACAAAGGTTTACATATATGATTATTTGTTAAAAAGATTGCTGATAAATTGGGGTAGGTATGGTTTTATGGGGAAAACCACATCATTCTACCTGCCTTCATCTATCTTTCTTACTATTGTCTATCCTTTCTACAACTATCTATCCTTCATACTATTGTCTGTCCTTCCTACCATCTTTTACACTATTGTCTATCCTTTCCACCATGATTTGCCCTTCATACTATTGCCTGTCCATTCTACCACCATTCACTATTGTCTGTCCATTCTACCACCATTCATACTATTGTCTATCCTTCCTAATTCTATCCATCCTTCATACTATTGTCTATCCTTCCTAATTCTATCCATCTTCATACTATTGTCTGTCCTTCCTACCATCTTTCACACTGTTGTGTGTCCATTCTACCACGATTTGTCCTTCATACTATTGTCTGTCCTTTCTACCACCATTCATACTGTTGTCTATCCTTACTAATTCTATCCATCCTTCATACTATTGTCTGTCCTTTCTACCACCATTCATACTATTGTCTATCCTTCCTAATTCTATCCATCCTTATACTATTGTCTGTCCTTCCTACCATCTTTCATGCAGTTGTCTATCCTTTCTACGGCTATCTATTCTTCATTTATTGTAAAGTTTGGAAATATTTTCAGCATAGAACAGTTCATACAAAACGTGCAACGCCTAAAATCATCGTTTTGAATCTTGCCAGAAAATTTCACACGCGTCAAAGACGCAATGAATTCACTGGCGGACGTCAATGATGGGGTGACCAAAAGAATGTTTACAGTCAAGTTGAAGCAAAAGTTAATGGCCAAGTCGCCAATCATCGTATGGAAATTACAAGGTTTCTTCTTGTACCAAAATATGGCTAATCTTTTCATGCAAATGAGGTTCAATTCACAGCGTATGATAATTTTTGTAGAACCTGTTGACGAATCTCTGTTAAGCGCTGCAAGAAAAACAATCACAGTTGAGAAAATCAATCTTTACAACCGGCTGGCTGAACTATTCCTGTAAGCAGTTATGATGACTGCTCCATTGGAAGCATTTGTATTGTAAGGGGAGGGTGTGAATGTTTTCTTCAACTGACCATGTAAAAAAGAGAAGTTTTTGAACTGAATTTGCGAGGGTGATTACTGAAAACGACATTTTAACCTTTATTTACATCGCTCATCAAACTTTAATCAAATAGAAATTTGAGAAAAGTTTTTGTTGAAAATTTTAACCATGCTGCTTTTTTCAAGGGCCACAGCTCCCCTCATTCCCTTCTTGTACGCCCATGATGTGTCAAGGAGAAAATCCGAAGTGCCTCTAACGGCTGCTTGATTTTACATTTTTTATAGTTTTAATACATCGGTGGGAATTTTCAAACCATCAATGTTGGTTAAAACGATTCCTTTATCGTCCACAACGGATGGTTTGCATTATGTAAACGAAGTCGTCGAATGGGTAAGTATATCTCTCACTTTTTTCTTTCATTTGTTGTTCAAAGTGTCCGTATCACCATCGTGGAAATTATCCATTTAGATAGAGTTGACCAGTTTATGAACATTTGCAATATATTTTATGAGATGAAAATCTGATCTTCCTTGACTTTTTGGGCCTTGAAGTTGGCTTTTTTCGTGTTTGACCGTGAGGTGCTGGGACTGGGTCTATTTCACCGGACGTGACGTACATTGGAGAACACGCTGCTTTTCAACGCCGTGGTTTATAGTGAAATTTTTAGCAAAGTCAAGGAATTTATTTTTGTTAAACTTGAGTTATATTGTGCACTTTGTTATTGAATCGCACTGTAGTTCTATAGCGTTGAAAAGCAGCGTGTTCTCCAATGTACGTCACGTCCGGTGAACTAGACCCAGTCACAGTACCTCGCGGTCAGACACGAAAAAAGCCAACTTTGAGGCTCAAAAATTTAAGGAAGATCAAATTTTCGTCTTATGAACTATATTGCAAATGTTTTTAAAATGATCAATTATCTAAATTGATTATTTCCCAGAGGGCGATATATGCACTTCATGTTCATGTTTGTTGCATATGAACTGTTTGTAGGAACTGACGATTTTGCTGAATCGTTTCTGTAACGCGTACATCAGACCGAAAGATGCTTCGTGCTGTATGCCAAAGGAACATACAACTCAGCTGCAGTACAATTCGTTGGCCGTTTTCGTGGCCTGGTGAGGAATCTAGGAACTTCAGCCTATTTTACGTGGATAAAAGTACAGTTTCAAGGAAAAAATCACGTTTTTTAAACAAAGCAATCTTTTAACAACTCACTGGGGAACTTAACCCAATCAACTCAATCAAACTACTATGGCTACAAGTGATATTCTCACGACAGCCTATATAATTTTCTGTAGCAGTATGTTGGAATAAGTTTCATGAACCCCCTCGAACAGCCGAGTTTTTTTGAATTCCCAAGACTGTTAGTCGTTGAGTGAATCATCGTAATTTTACACAATTCCCAAGACTGTTAGTCGTTGATTGAATCATCATAATTTTAAACAATTCCCAAGACTGTTAGTCGTTGATTGAATCATCGTAATTTTAAACAATTCCCAAGACTGTTAGTCGTTGATTGAATCATCATAATTTTACAATTCCCAAGACTGTTAGTCGTTGATTGAATCATCTTAATTTTACACAATTCCCAAGACTGTTAGTCGTTGAGTGAATCATCGTAATTTTACACAATTCCCAAGACTGTTAGTCGTTGATTGAATCATCGTAATTTTACACAATTCCCAAGACTGTTAGTCGTTGAGTGAATCATCGTAATTTTACACAATTCCCAAGACTGTTAGTCGTTGAGTGAATCATCGTAATTTTACACAATTCCCAAGACTGTTAGTCGTTGAGTGAATCATCGTAATTTTACACAATTCCCAAGACTGTTAGTCGTTGATTGAATCATCGTAATTTTACACAATTCCCAAGACTGTTAGTCGTTGATTGAATCATCATAATTTTACACAATTCCCAAGACTGTTAGTCGTTGAGTGAATCATCGTAATTTTACACAATTCCCAAGACTGTTAGTCGTTGATTGAATCATCGTAATTTTACACAATTCCCAAGACTGTTAGTCGTTGATTGAATCATCGTAATTTTACACAATTCCCAAGACTGTTAGTCGTTGATTGAATCATCGTAATTTTACACAATTCCCAAGACTGTTAGTCGTTGATTGAATCATCGTAATTTTACACAATGTACTTTAAGTTTCCGTCTTCTAATTTTACGTGGCTTTTACGCTCGTTACAGTCGATTGAGAGCTTGTTTGGACAAAATTTAAACCTGCAGTATAAAATCATGTTGTATCGTTGCAGTTCATTGTTGTTTTGGTCATGTCCGTCAATCGCGCATGTCGTTGCCCGCATATCGCCGATCAGGACATCGAAACCCAAGTTGCCCATCAAAAATCCTCCTGTAAATGGCTTTGGTCCGAAAGAACATACACCGTATTGAAAGCAATGGCTAAATTAACTTTGATCATGTCTTATTTTTTCATTTGTGACAGGTACGCTTTGTAGTAACCTTACTGGGAGTGTGTGTGTGGGCGGGTGTGGGATGTTTCTATGTTGGGCTTTCCAGTGTGTGTGGGGCGGCGAATGACTTTGCAAGTTCACACGATTTCGATTTTCGATTGTCTATTGTCAATGAAAAACAGGTATTCCCCTCGAAAGCACTTTATCCATGCTCTATCAACAGTTGTGCCTTCGTGCTGAATCAACAGAAGGTGCGATATCAACGCTGTATAAATCCTTTTACAGATATCAACAGTTGTATAAGCAACAGATATCAACAGATATGTTATCCTCATGAAGGAACACAAGCAATACAGCAATTTTGTTTTGATTTTCGCGTTGATTGTCTTCCTTGTATCATTGGGCTCTACAGTATCAACAGTTGTCACCATGTCAAATATCAGGTATAAGTTTTCACTCTCAATTGAAAGTGTGTTAATCACTACGTTATCCTCTCATGCTCTACAGATATCAACAGTTGTATAAGTTATCCTCTCGTGCTCTACAGATATCAACAGTTGTATAAGTTATCCTCTCGTGCTCTACAGATATCAACAGTTGTATAAGTTATCCTCTCATGCTCTACAGATATCAACAGTTGTATAAGTTATCCTCATGCTCTACAGATATCAACAGTTGTATAAGTTATCCTCTCATGCTCTACAGATATCAACAGTTGTATAAGTTATCCTCTCATGCCCTACAGATATCAACAGTTGTATAAGTTATCCTATCATGCTCTACAGATATCAACAGTTGTATAAGTTATCCTCTCGTGCCCTACAGATGTCAACTGTTGTACATGTCATGCCCATATGGTCGTGCTTTTAAATCCTTTCTCCTTACAGATATCATTTCTGAATCGTGATCAAACGGACGAGTGGAAAGGGTGGGCTCAATTGATAATCTTACTCTATCACTATATTGGAGCCAGTAAGGTCAGCGGTCTTTCTTTGTTTGTTGATTTATCTACTATTGGTTGTATAGTGAGTTACAGGCGTTGCATGATGTCATCAATCATGTTGTTATCAGATGAAAAACATGAACATTTTCCTTTTGTTTTGAACATTTTTCTTTTTGTTGTTTCTTTTCCTTTTGTACTGATCATATTGTCGTTTTACGCTGTAAGCTTTTGCGTTTCAAACGCATTTCAATTATCGCAAGTTTGTCGGGAGCATCCTACTTAACATTGATGGTACACAGTTTATATGCTAATAGTTTGATAAATTTGTTAGTTTTCTATCCAAAATGAAATCAAATTTCATAAAATAAGAGTTGAATATTCGCTTAAATTTAGACTATGCTTGGTTTATTAAATTTTATCATCGTGAAAACTTTCAAGTCTTAGACTGTATGAGCTACTTCATCACGAAAGCAGGTAATCCGTGTCAGCCATGAAGCCAACGGATCGTTTGCTCGTTTATAAATGAAACTGTACGTACGTACGTGGGAAAGTTAAATCTTGAAAGATATAAACCAATCAAAAATGTATCATTTAGGCATTTTTAGATTTCCTTCAATTGTAAGTAAAAGATAGAAGCTGTTTGAAACTTTGCAGAAGAACTCGTGTAAACAAAAAGATAAATTTTAGAACTAATCTTGTTTCAACAAATGCATTTTCAAACTCCTCGCCTTATTGGCCGTTGTCGGTCTGGAGCAAAGTAGCCTATAGCACAATACAAAACTACATACTTTAAACAGTGGACGAACAGAAATTCTCTTGCATATAAACCGTTGACTACGAGACAGAAAGTGGTTATTCAGGTTTTATTAAAAATGTTTTTATTCACCGTGAAGCCAATGGATGTTCACTTCTGTATCGACGAGTCAAAATGAAGGAAGTTGAAATGAAATTAATGTATGAAGCATTTTCTGGTTGATTCAAATTGCGAGTTGAAAGTGTTTTTTCAAATTTTGCACTATTCTTGATTCACTATTTGCGTTTTGTCTGATAATATTTTCCTTTTAAGGTGTTGCCTTTTTACGTTTTCGTTCGTCTTCTGGTTGCATCTTACCTCTTCATGTCCGCCTACGGAAATTTCACGTTTTTCTGGAAGAAAGGCGATTTTAGTCTTTATAGAGTTTGTCAGGTAGTACAGGCTGATTTTCATTGAGGGCAAATTGTCGCGATATGGACTTTTTGCGATCACTTTCTTTTAAATTGCCTGCAGCAGTATGAAACTGTTACGGTTCAGAGTTTACAATAGAAAAGAAAGTGATCTCGAAAAGTCGATCGCGCGACAATTTGCACCAAATGGAAATCGGCCATAAAGCATGAAAAAATTATTCAAAAATTTTTTACTTATCAATTTTTCCTCCGTATTTCATCGCTGCAGGTGTTAGTTCGTATGAACATGTTTGTCGTCATTTTGTGTCTCGTCATGGGCCGTCCTTATCAGTTTTACTATTTTGTGCCTCTCGTTACATTCTGGTTTCTGCTGCTCTACGTTGTCCTCGCAGTTTTTCCCATCACCGCAAAATTAGTTCAAGGTTTGCAGATGGAATTTTTTTTTGGGGGGGGGGTGGAATATTTTCGGGATGGGGATGTAGGGAAGTGTAGAAGTTGAAAGTGTTTATGATAACGAATTTCGACATTCAATTTTCTGATGACAATATCTTAAAATGACTTAATAAATTCTTCAATAAAACTAGGTTTTTTTTTGTTTTTTCTTTTGACCATGCAACTAACATCGTTATGACACCCCATCGCATAAATAGCTTTGGAAATAGTGGGTTTTTGTCGACGTTCAGCATCAAAATAACCAACTTTGGCACCTTTACAAATATTCATCTACGCATGCGCTCATTAAACCGTTGTGTTTCTGCGCGAAATGTTTTGAGGATGTGGAAAATTCATAATCTTTGAAATGTTATTATGCTCTGTGATGTCATGACGATGTTGTTTTGCACAATAAATAAAGTTAAATATCTCTAGAAAGAAGTGAAATTTGTAATTTTCACTATAAAGTTTATGAAGTCATTTTACGTGTTCTTTGCATTACAATCTAATAAATTCGTGATACAATTTTATGTCATAAACACTTATGTTTAGTATCTAAACTACTTTAATGAAGAAATAAAAGATGTTTACTGTGTTTGCACGGGCTTATGCAAACTGAGGAGACCTTTGGGAGAACTCGAGAGCAGATCAGTGCATGCCCTAGACCGAAGGTCGAGGATTGCACTTGCTCGAAATGTATTCATGATCGATTTGCAAATTCTCTTAGACTGATTTATTGTTCTGATTGATTTGATTGGTTGAGCTCAGATGTGTTTCGCACAGGCTAATGCAAACACGGCTCTAAACCAATCACTGCACGCGTTTTACTGTTTTTATTTTATAAAATGCTATCAAAAGGCGGAGCAGTAATCTTGTTGCATTTAAACTTTATCACAGATGATCCAAGATATATTTACTGGATGCTGTTCAAAATCGCTTTGATGTTTTGTGGGACATGTGTGATGTTTAGGCTGCCGTATGTTAGTCATTGGATTTTTTCTCAGTGGGCGATTAAAGAACTTTTTGTCGATCAACATAACAGTGTTAAAGAATGGATATTTCGATCAAGATTAGATCGCTATGTAAGTGAAGAAAGACAGACATAATTTCACTTTTCAGAGCTTGACCTAAAGATGTATGTCAGAGCCTGACCTAATGTTGTGTTTCAGAGCCTTAGCTAATGATGTGTTTCAGAGCCTGACCTAATGAGCCTGACCCAATGTGTTTCAGAGCCTTAGCTAATGATGTGTTTCAGAGCCTGACCTAATGTTGTGTTTCAGAGCCTTAGCTAACGATGTGTTTCAGAGCCTGACCCAATGTTGTGTTTCAGAGCCTTAGCTAAATGTTGTGTTTCAGAGCCTGACCCAATGTTGTGTTTCAGAGCCTGACCTAATGTTGTGTTTCAGAGCTTGACCTAATGTTGTGTTTCAGAGCCCGACTGTTTCAAGCAAAATATATGAATTCACCAAAAACTTTCAAATTTTGCTGGTGATTTTTTGATTAAATCTTAGAACTCTCTCTTTTCTTTTTCATATTCATTTTATCACAGATGTTGAGCTACGGCGTCCTCATTGCTCTATTGTATCAACTGTCTCGTAGTTACGGTATTGTTGAAGACAATAACACCAAAAGGTTGATTCAAAAACCAGTCTCCTATCTCGTCATCTTCATTTGTTTCATGACATTATTGGTAAGTTATATGCAAAAGTTCCGAGGATGTCTAACTGTTAAGGTGAAAGCGTGTCGCGTTTTCATCATATTTTCCCGTTGTTTTTGTTTTCTTAATGATTTCGTAAAAAAGTAAATGGTTTGAACCCGGGAGTATCGTAACATGTCTGTGGATGAAGATCGTCCAGGTTAGTAGAGTCCTGAGAAGGACTGTTGGTATTGATGTTGACTGACGTTTCGACAACCTCAGCGGTAGGCATCTTCAGAGTCAAGTGACAAACATGTTACGATACTCCCGGGGTCAAACCATTCACTTTATTACGATCATTTGGACGAGCGAGCGAGCAACTTGCTCAAGACTGTATACATTTTGCAAGCAACGTCTGACGCATAATGATTTCTAGTTATAGCAAATCAATTTATTGGAGATATTTGTGATTCTAATCACCGGAAAACACATTGATATATACGTTTTTCAACTCGAAGCAAGATCTCTTGTGTGCTTATAGTGAATGAACGCTGTTTCGTATAATACTTTGCTCTCGGGGTAGTTAACATTTTTCAGTATTGTTTTGTCCTACTCGTTTTCTATATATCTGTAATTATTTGCCTATAGGGTTACTCAATTCAAGCGTATGGTTGTCCCGGAAAAGTACGATGTAATTCTGTTCATTCAGTCGTTTCTATTCTTCCTGTAAGTAGAATTTATGAATGATGAAGTTTTCTATTGAAGATTTCAATTTTCAATTTTTGCAGTCTAGCATAGCTCTGAAAACGAAAACTATGTATGCGCTTGTTGTCGTGCTTGTAGGGCAAGGATTCGCGGAGAGAATTTTCAAATCGACCAAAGTCAATATCATTTTTGTTTTTTCCTTCAGATCACGGCGTTCATACTCCTTCGTAATATCAGCGGTTTTATGCGTTCACATTTCAGCACTTTTTATGCTTGGGTTGGGAAATTGTCACTGGAGGTAAGATTCTTCGTATGCTGTTATCATCTGCTAGGCAGTGTTTTTATGAGAGATCAGCCAAGTCTCAGCATGAGGGTTAGGTCATCCATTGAGAAGTGTATGTTATCCTGTAGTCAGTCATAGAGAAGTGTAAGCTATTCTGTAATCAGTCATAGAGAAATGTATGCTATCCTGTAGTCAGTCATAGAGAAATGTATGCTATCATGTAGTCAGCCATAGAGAAGTGTATGTTATCCTGTAGTCGGTCATAGAGAAGTGTATGCTATCCTGTAGTCAGTCATAGAGAAGTGTATGCTGTCCTGTAGTCAATCATAGAGAAGCGTATGCTATCCTGTAGTCAGCCATAGAGAAGTGTATTTTATCCTGTAGTCAGCCATAGAGAAGTGTATGCTATCCTGTAGTCAATCATAGAGAAGTGTATGCTATGCTGTAGTCAGTCATAGAGAAGTGTATGCTATCCTGTAGTCAGTCATAGAGAAGTGTATGCTATCCTGTTTTTAACCATGAAAAGTGTATGCTGTCCTGTAATGAACTATAAAATAGTGTGTGCTCTATAGTAATCATCCTCAGAAAAGTAAATTTTTCTCCGCACTCTGCCTCAGTGAAAGATAGTATTCTGCGATCAGCCTTATGGAAGTACGTCTGTATGTGTGTGTTTAATAAGTCAGCTGATTCATGTTGTCCAAAAGCTTCTCTAGAAATCATCCGTTTTTCTCTGTTTGCTTATAGTTATTTGTGGGACAGTACCATATATGGCTAGCTAATGACACGACCGGGATTCTTGTGCTCGTCCCAAACAGACCGATACTAAATGCGATCGTTACGACGTTCGTCTTTGTTTGTGTTTGCAGCGAGGTCAACAAGACAACAGCCGTGCTATCCGACGCACTTGTATCAAAAGATGTCAAGGTTATGATGCGCAGATTGATCATATTTGTTATCATGCTGTTTATCATTTGGTGGCACAAGACTTACCACGATACGGAGATCGGCACCTATCAATGATAACAGGCTGTAGCATTTTGGCGATATTTATAAACAAACCACAATTGCCGAGCCTAAGGTATGACAATATGCAACAGTTTCCGCAGGTTGTTTTCAGTCGTCAGCGGTTTTGAGCATCATTGTCAGGCGCGAATTGTGTGACAATGGTGAACAATATTAACAACTATGTACAATGTAGTACATAATTGTTCATGGTAGATACAATATTGTTGATAACTGCGAAAATTACGTTTCGTACAGCATTGTTTATTGTGTATCTTGCGTAAAAATGGCGAATGTTGGCAACTCTGAACAATGCTGTGTTACGTAATTGTTGCATCTTGTTTTCATCGTGATTACGTCAATCTGATCATTTCTTCACTTTAAGCTCAATTCATCGAGAATTTTTTCGTTCGTGTTTCTAAAACTGTGCCACGCACTTCATTTTCATTCACCGTCTGCGGGCACGATTGTGTCGAAATTGCAAAAACATCATTTCAAAAAATGGCATCTGGAAAGGATGTTCATTTTTATTTAGCAACATTAATCTATCGATTTCTTGTGAATAATTGTATTTATTTAGACATTTAAATTATAATCATACACATCATTCATTACAATCGTTTTATTTCTGTTCCTGACTATAGTCCGGTCTAAACACGTTGGTCGTTAATACACTCCCTGGGGTAAATGGACTTGATATTTGACGGCGATATTTGCATGATTTGCATCACTTGATTTGCATTAATTGCGCGCCTCCTGCGAAAATTGAGCCCGCGATTGTACGTTCTCGTAGGCTTGGATAGTACAATTGGGTGCAATAAAGAAATAAGCACTATTTGTACATGGTAATTTATCATTTTATTGCGTTTAAATTTGTCTTCGAGAGCATGCGAGCAATTATTCAACGTGTTAAAAAGGCGAGTGTTAAAGGTATTCTTATTAGATCGTTTTTCAGATTTGCTCTTTCGCTTGAAATGGTGTGATATTCAATGACATTCATTCATTGACATTCATCGCCTCGACTGTCGTTTGATTTTATTTCAGTCGATGATGAGCTTATTAGCTCAATAAAAGAAGGTCTGTGCGTTTTTGTTGGTATTTGTCGAGATGATACCGAAAAAGACCTTGGGTACATGTATGTATTTGTGTGTATTAGATTTATATTGGAATTCAACTTATTTGTTATGTGTGATTGTCCATAAGACTATAGCAAGGGTTGTGGTGTGGTGGGAGGAGGGAGTTCTTTGGAAATCATGATAAATTAGCCCATGTGAATTGCCTTGGTTTTCTTATGTCTAGTTTTATCGTACGTAGATTTCATTTGTAGAGTCAATAAGATTCTGAAGTTCAGGTTGTTTGATGAAGATGGAAAAAGATGGAGAAAGAGTGTCGTAGACATGGGTTATGAAGTTCTTTGTGTTAGTCAGGTGAAACATTGAGTCATTTTGTTGTTTCTTGTGGTGTGAAACTCTACGGAGGAGTACAGGTTTTTGAAGCACTCTTCAATGCCTTTCTTTCTAAAGAGAGATTAAAATCATACACCTAGTTCACTCTTTATTGTGATGTGAAGAAGAACAAGCCAGATTTCCACAGAGCAATGGGTGGTGAAAGCTCCAAGCAGTTTTACGACAAATTTCTTGCAGAAATGAAAAAGAGTTATGACTCAGAGAAAATCAAAGGTGTATATTTTTTCATACAAACTGTAACCAACTACGATTGTATTCTTGAAATCATGTATATCAAAGAAACCCAATTTGATTCGATTTTTAGATGGTAAATTTGCCAGCTACATGCAAGTAGAAATACAGAATGACGGTCCAGTTACTATACCAATAGAATCACGGGTGGACAAACTTGATGAGCTACAAGAAACAGAGTCAAAAAACAAAGAAACTTTGGTCGAAATGGGAGCTAATCACTCTAATTAAACCTTGTTGAACTTTCAACCTCATGTGGCATACAGTGAGTGAGAAAAAAGTCGACTCTTTTATATTCCAAGCAAATGGGAAATTGGTCAGGAAGTGTTTGTGCAAACACACTGGCTTTCTAACATCCCCAAACAGACTTTGAAGCAATCAACATTTTTTTGCGTCATATTTGATTTTGAAGCCTTAAATCTTGTGGAAATATTATGTATGTTTCAATCACACAGTTTGTACTCTTCAATAACCTTGTATTATGGAATAGCTCGTCTAGTAATTATTTTAATATCCTTCTCAATAATGTAAACATCTGTTGACTGTCATGTGGGCTATTTTGGCGTTATCACATAGTATGGGGAAATCGTCACGTGACATGATGAACCAGTGACACGCGTGCATCCTATTGTCGTATTTCTGCCACAGGTTCCCCATTTGTTTCGATCGTCACTATTTGACGGCATTGTCTGTGAAATTAAATCGTGAAGCGATTCACTTTTCGAAATGATTTAGTTCAAAGCGAAGTGAAACGCCGTAGTATGGCAGATAAAGCGAAGTCCATAATGAAAAAGCCAGAAACGATTAAAATAGAGCGCATGGACGTCGACGAGGCGCAATCTTATGACAGCGATAATGAAACGGGTAGGAATCGTCAAATTACTATTTATTTTATTAACTGATTATTTGATTGAAAGTTGTTTATGGAGGTATTCCTTGATGTTTGCAGAACATGGTATGCGCGTTGGCGACGAGTATCAAGCCGTTGTGCCAGATATAATTTCGGGTAAGTGTCTCAGATATTGCTCTTTAAACTCCGTAAATTTTAACAGGACGTTTGAAGCCACTGGCCGCCGTGTTTGATGCCGAGAATTTGAATATCGCTTTGAAACTGTTGCAGAAGTTTCATTTTATGTAATTTCACCAATACTGGCTAACGGAAAGAGTTTAAAGATCAGTTTGCCGTATTTCAATTGTAACGAATACTTTAGGTTTTAAACTGCAGTCATTCAACTGCGTCTAATTGAATTGACAGGAAATGAGAAAAGTACTCATTCTCGGACGGGCTTAGTTGAAATGAATCGAAAGTCGAGAAAAAACAAAAATTTTTAATTTTTCACATTTTACATATGTGGAAAAATTTTAGTTTGGGCTCCCTGTGGCATGTGATTTTTACCACTGATCTAAAAAATATCCGGAGTGACAGTCTGTCTTTTTTTCTAGAAAAGGACAAATATGAGCCTTCACACAAGGCTTTGCTGGTATGGTCACCTAATCCACTTCTCAGTGATGAAAAATGTAAGGTTTTCCTAACTGTTTACTGGAGATGTTGATTTTTAAATTAAAAATAAACAGCCTACTACATTGCAAAATGCGTAAGGTATGGCCAAACAAAATGGAAAGGGGAGTGCTGTGTGTGTGTACAGCTTAAATTCAATGCATCTAAGGTTGGTCCAAGTTCTGTAATGTATTAAATAATAGCAAAACTCTAAGGAAAAAATTTGAGGGCTCAGGTGCCCTAGTCCCTCCTGTGTGGCACCATGCCTGCAGCTGAATTACAGTCAACAAAAGAGAAATTATTGCCACACACACCATGAAATTTTGCAATAAAATACTTAAGACTTTAGGACCAGCTGAGAATGAATAGCTCCTATATTTCCTATATTTTTTTAGTGGATGAGTATCTACAAAGAGCAAAAGACAAGCATGGTTATAATATGGAGCAGGTACATGTTGAATTATGCTTGGGTATTCTACAAAGTTGAAGCTGATTGATGTAGCTCTTTCAGAACTGGCAAGTAATTTCTGGTCTTGCTTACTGCGTCTTTCTTCAACTGAACTAAGCATGTTGTTTAGTTTCATGTATTTTAAAGTATCACGCAATCAAATAATACATTATTGCCTTTCATTTATCAGTTAAATCGACACCTCCATCCTTTAACACTTCCTGCGAAAGATCTGGGATCAAATCATACTCCATTTCGATAAATCTATCCGAGATTAAAATCCTTAATGATCTTACTGACAGTTTCATTCATTTTTTTCTCATGTATTTGCTTGGCACATTTATAATTCAGATGTGCCTCCTTTTACATATCTTAAGCATTCTTGATGATAGGCTAAGTAGAGGAAATTTGACAAAATATTGTATGCTTTAGGCGCTTGGAATGCTCTTCTGGCACAAGCATAATATAGATCGGTCTCTGACGGACCTTTCGAATTTCACCTTTTCCCGGTAGGTGCATTACTCAGTGTCCGAGCTTTCATTTTTATAGATTATTATCTAATGGTTTGACAATGTATTTTTTCATTACAGATGAATGGAGCATGGAAGACAAAGTGTTGTTTGAGCAAGCTTTTAATTCTCATGGAAAGTCGTTTCGGAAACTCCAAAAAAGCGTAAGAATTAAAACACACTGTATTATTTAACATTTTATTCCAAGGCCATCATCAGAGAATATATATACATAAGCCATCCAGAAAACTGCTACTGTGGCAAGAATCTCTCGTCCATACACAGTTTAAAAAGATTTGACTCATCTCCAATCCCTGTGGGCTTGGTAGCTCAACAGGTAGAGAGGCGGACTAGTATCCCGAAGGTGCAAGTTCAAATCTCCTCCAAGACACATGTTTTTCATGTGCATATAAAACCGTGTTAGGATTGATAATATTATTTAACATGAATATGTGGTTTCCATTTGACATTCTGACTTTTCCATGTTTCATAGCTTCAAGATAAACCGATCAGCAGTTTAGTGAAATTTTATTATTCATGGAAGAAAACAAGGAGCAGGACTAGTCTCATTGATCGTCAAGCTAAACGAGTTGCTCTTCAACGAGAACAAAGGTATATTTGTGTGTGAAAATTGTTTGCGTGTTACATGTAACCTTACTGTTCTATGTAACCATAGCGACAACGAAAGTGACAAATCAGATACAAGTGACAGCGATTTTGAGCCCGAAAAGGAGGGAAGGTCCAATGGAGCTGTTAAACGTAATGCACCTGGCAAGCAGGTGAGTGAGCTATGGTGGTGTATAATATGTTGTTTTCATGACTAATAGTGAAATGTGGAATGTCCAATGTGGAGTGTGGACTATTATGCTTGTTTGTTGGTAAATGTCATTTGCTGCATTCAAAAGTAAACTGTCATCCTTGTTTGATGGTAAATGTCATTTGCTGCATTCAAAAGTAAACTGTCATCCTTGTTTGATGGTAAATGTCATTTGCTGCATTCAAAAGTAGACTGTCTTTGATGGTAAATGTCATTTGCTGCATTCAAAAGTAAACTGTCATCCTTGTTTGATGGTAAATGTCATTTGCTGCATTCAAAAGTAAAAATGAATTGTAATATCAACGGGAACGATTGCTTCCTTTTAAATGATTAAATTGAAGCCACGTAATGCTCTCAAAAGGCCTGGGAGACGTAAAATTTCCATGTCAAGTTCACGCGGGTATTTAAAAACAAAAAAGGATGCTGGAGAGCAACCTGCATGGCTACCCTTATATTTATTCGTAAGATGATGCCGAAGTTATTGTTCGCTTGATATTACAGTCACTCCTGAGTAAACGCGTGAGACATTCTGAGGGTTTTGTTGACGTTATTTTCACTTTCACTCGCTTTTTACAAGGTTTACTGAAAGGATGCATTCTATTATGATGATTTTATATAGAACTCAGTCCCTCAACCAACTCCAGCTAGCCTCTGTTTTCACTGTGGCACTCAGGCCGGCCAAATGCATACTACATCAAAAGGAATAATGTGCAGCGCTTGCTATCAGTTCTGGAGGTAAGATGTATAAATCTTCACGATGACTTTAGTTTGCGAACAGAGATGTGTCCTCTCCCAAAACGTTGCGAGTTGCTTTTTATGAAAATAGCCTTTAAAAGCTAATTTAGCTGCGTAGCTACGGTCTTCTTGGCGTTGTCAATGTGTCTTATAAAGGGTTTACGACGCGAAATTATCACGAATTTATTTGATTTGATTGTATTCAAAGAATATGCGAAGTGACTTCATACCCACCTTTTCAGTAAAACTGACTTATTTTACTTTTTCTTGAGGCACTTATTTTTTAACTTTATTCTTTGTGCAAAAAAAAAACATCGTTAGGACATCAAAGAGCTTAACGGCATTTAAAGACCATGAATTTTTCACGTCGTTACATATTTTATGGACGAGTAAAACAGTTTAAGGAACTCATTTGTTGATGTACATATTTGTCAAAGTGATAAAGTTGAATATTCCAATGTTTACTGCCTACAAAAACTACCATTTCCCGTTGCTAATTATGCAATGCGATGTCATGACGATGTCGTTTGCAAAGTGAGAAAAAGTTGAATGTCTCAGTTCTAAAATAACCACAGTTCACTCGAAGAATTTGTCAAGAAAACTTTTCATTGCGACCACGAAACTCTACGGTGAAATTTGGTGTAATAAACACTTGAAACATTGAAGTGGGGATTTCTATATTTTCGGACATTACACCGGGGAAAGTAATTCCTTTGTACTGTGCTGTAGAAAAAATACTCAAATTTTTTGTCCAAGGACGTCGAGTATGTACTGTCTAGAAGTTTATGGTCAAAATTAAATCAGTATTTAACATCTTTGTCTTAATATGCGTCCATGTTATTACAGGAAAATTGGCGCGATGAGATCGAGGTCGTCCAATCATGCACGAAGTGACAGTCACAACGCAAGGTCTCAAGGGAAGGGAAAACGAAAACCCCCAAAGGTACGTCTTTGTCCCACGTTATCATAAAAGGATTTTTGATTTAAGGAACGTAGATTACGAATAAAGGATTATTATGGATTATGATTGAAGGACTTGAAAAAATTAAACATTGAGTCGGATTTCTCTTGCGATAAAGCGTCTCAGTTGGGCTTGCCTGATATTTCGCATAGACCTGGAATTCTCGAAGCTTACCAACTTGTTTATGTTTACAGGGCATGACGATCACTCAAGAAGCGCTACTTGCTGTCAGCGGTCTTCATAGTAACGCTCATTTGCGTCCCCTTGATATGGATCTTATAAATCTGAAACGATCTATTCAGAGTAACAAGCAGGGCATAAGTCATGATCGATTTGATCTTCAGGAAGGAATCAACGATGTCCGTGGGTTGGAGGTACTGTGTCCTTATTTTTTTGTTCGGGAGGGGGAATACTTGAAGATTTTGTCAAAATGGCAGACTTGCTCGTTTGCAATTTTCGGGTTTCATTTTATACATATCTCTCGGGAAGTGTGAATGTGCAATCAATTTTCACCGCGCTTGATTTGAATAACGCGCGAGAAATGTGTTTATGTGTCTAAACCAGGGGTCTCCAAACTTTACAGCCAGAGGGCCACATGAACTTTCATCCAGCTTGTTGAGGGCCGACGAATCGTATACCGCTGGTCAAAGTGCGAATATTTTAATAAAACGAAGTATATAACACAAGCTTCATTAGTTAAGAAAATATTTATTCAAAATTTAAAGGTTAAATTTCAACCAAGTGTAATATCATAACAAAATCACAATTAGTGAATGTGAATCAAATTTCTTCGTGTCTCTGGTTTGAGAGGCCCAACGGGCCGCATCTGGCCCGCGTTTATGTGTCTAAACCAATGGCGTGTCTGTGGAAAGTTGGGCTCTTTGTAAATTTGGGACGGCGGCCCACTTTGACTGTTATCGTAATTTAACTTAGCGATTACAAATGCTCACCGCATTTTGTTTTGATTTTAGCCCACTACCAAGAACAATTCAAGATGGAACAATGACGAACTCTCTTTGGCTGTGAAATGTGAGTCTAGAGATCACAATATATCGTAACCGCAGCACTGACACCGTTTGTTTTGTGTTTTTTTTTTCACTTGCGTAACATGTTAACATCGGTAATCATACCAGATTTTCCGAGCTTTGCATTCTTCCATGCGTCGCGAGCATAAGCCAAACCACTTTTTTACCTCGATTTTTATCGAAATGTAATTCACTTTAACATCACACGTTGCTAAAGTTGTTGTTTCGTGGCTGATCGCTCGGACCTGTTTTTTCATCGCTTTGCCGTTTTCTTTAGCTGTTCGTCGTTACGGAAAAGATTTTCAAGCAATGGCGGACGTTCTGCAAAACAAAACCGTGAGCCAGTGTCGCAATTTCTTCGTGAACCATCGGAAGCGTTACGGTCTCGAACGTGAACTGGACGAGTACGAACGAGAACAGGGAATCGTGAGGCCAGAGAAGAAAGATGGAGATCAAGCTCCCTCTCCTGACTCAGGTGGATCATCCGTTCCTTCACCAATTAACAACGGTGGACAAGGTAGTTGTCAAGAAATTCTAATACGCAATGAACTCTGGGAATTTGCCTGGGGATTTGGTACTGAACGTTGATATGCAATTGAGGAAGGTTGTTTTATGAATGTTGGTGTTCAATGTCAAGCTTTATTTTGTGATGTCATGATCACGTGTACTTTGAATGTTGGTGTTCAATGTCAAGCTTTATTTCGTGATGTCTTGATCACGTGTACTTTGAACGTTGGTGTTCAATGTCAAGCTTTATTCGTGATGTCATGATCACGTGTACTTTGAATGTTGGTGTTCAATGTCAAGCTTTATTTCGTGATGTCATGATCACGTGTACTTTGAATGTTGGTGTTCAATGTCAAGCTTTATTTCGTGATGTCATGATCACGTGTGCTTTGTGTAATAAATCATGTCTTGATAACTTGTGCTTCATCCTTTGATAACATTCTTTATTCGTTTTAATTAGACTAGAATATCTGTGAATTAAACTTTTAATGTATAAGTTGGAACTTTACTTTAACTCGTCTTCGTTTTAGGCAACCCTCCGCCCCTGATGAAGACCAACCCTGGCGTCTCCCCGCATACAATGTTTAATAACGCTGCAGTATTTCGTCATGCCATACCTAGCACGGGGCCGCCGCCTCCGTTGGTTAAACCAACACCGGTATCATATCCGATGCAGGTTTGTAAAATTCATCGTTCATGCATAGAGCTATTTTGCACAAATATCTTTACGTCGCTTGGCTGATTTGAGCTGTGATTTTATATGGCAGTGTCCCCAGCCTGCTGATAATGTGTACCTCTAGATTAAGACACATAGTGATGTTGATGTCTACATCTATATTCACACACACAGTGATGTCTACCTCTAGATTCACACACACAGTGATGTCTACCTCTAGATTCACACACACAGTGATGTCTACCTCTAGATTCACACAGACACACAGTGATGTCTACCTCTAGATTCACACAGACACACAGTGAAGTCTACCTCTAGATTCATACACACAGTGATGTCTACCTCTAGATTCACACAGACACACAGTGATGTCTACCTCTAGATTCACACAGACACACAGTGATGTCTACCTCTAGATTCATACACACAGTGATGTCTACCTCTAGATTCACACACACAGTGATGTCTACCTCTAGATTCACACACAGTGATGTCTACCTCTAGATTCACACAGACACACAGTGATGTCTACCAGCAGATTCACACACACAGTGATGTCTACCTCTAGATTCACACACATATTGATATCTACCTCTCTCAGGTGGAGAGTTAAAGCTGTTCAGACCAAATCTAGTGAAAGAATTTGCATGTATGTCCTTACTGTTTTAAAATTTCAAACTATGGAGGCTACGTATCTGTAGTTCTTGGTGTAATGTAGTTCTTATGTATCCATCGTTTTTTTCTATGCAGATTCGTGTATCGGCATCAACCACCACTCCTCCTCCGCAGCTTGTGACCCAGGATCACGCACCTTTCCTGCCTCCGCATTCAGGCTCAACGCCCCCACTGCGGTCAACGCAGGTGTGACGTTTTTTTTGGAGAAGAAAACTTTTTGATACCGTCGATTTTTTTTCCTTTTCAACTTTTTGATGAAATGATAATATTTATTCAAGATCTTTGTAGTTTGTGTAAATGGAGAGGGGAAATGAGTCTTATAAAGAATGAAAGTTGAAAGGAGAAAACTGTATTTAATGACTGATGAAATATTGCTAAAACAAAGTGGTTTCTTTTGTATGAATTGAGCGTAGCGAAGGGATCTGGGATTGGTCAGAATGTCTTTCTAAATTGTTTTTTTAAGTACTTTACTTCGGAGTGTTTTAAAATATCTTTCAGCAAGTTCTAGCAAACAGGGTTGTTTAGTATTTGGACTTCAAAAATAAATTTTTATAATTTATTTTGTCCCACCCCAGGTCCGCTTCTATGTACAAAACTCTATCATCAAAATATCTGTAAATGAACTCTCTAATTAATCAATACAAACGCACCATAAAACGTTATACATATGCTGTGAGGATTTCAAACAAACTCTGTTTAAATAGCTGTTATGAACTTTTGCGATTTTTCATCGCTAGGATCGTAAAAATTAGGTCCGAAGCGCGTGTTTCAGAATTATATGGAACTTTATCGAGTTGAAGAGCGAGAAGACAGGAAGTCTGGCTCTACTTCATGTAAGCGTGTTGTTACGCCAACATGGCGGCAAACGGTGAAGATTTGCAGAATTTAAACAGTTTACTGGCTGCCACTGAAACTTTAGACAATCAGTTGTTTGATTATAGTGAAACCAGTACTGATAAGTATGCTTCTGCTTCCTCGAAATATTCAAGAAATTCGCCCATGGTAAGATTTACGGGCAAAATTACATGTCGTTAAGTTTCCAATAAGTCCATTTCCTGCTTTTGTAGCGATAGTGTAAAAATATGTGTTATTTAACGTTTGATTTGAACTGAGAATTTCACGGTTTTGTGTTGAGTTGTTTTATCTCTGTTAGTTTAGACAGTTTTGACACTAAATAGTCCATTGCCGTGTAAATCAATGGTTCAGGTTGGTTTGGTGTTAAGTCACACGAATCTTCAATTTGACAGGTTGACTTTGAGTCGGATTTACCGGCTGTGAATGACGTGCCTACATTGGAAAGCATCTTAAACGAAGTATGTCTATTTGAAATGGTACAAAAGTGTCTTATAACTGTGCTGTGAAATCTGAGTTTTTGCCTTTTGTATTCACAACAGAAAGATGATTTTGGTGAAATGGAGGTTGCTGCCGACGTGAAATTGGAAGATATTCTAAATGAACGAAAGCCTTCAAAGGACAACACACCAAGGTGAAATAAAACACAGTGATGTGTCCATGCTTGCTCATTGTCCTTTAAAAATAAAATTTCGCTCTAGTCCTGTGAAGGAAAACGTCCACGGTTCCCTATTAAGACATGTTGTCTTGCACAAAGTTTCTGCGCAAGTTTTATCAGCATCAGTAAGTGAAAAAAGTTGAACACTTATGCATCTAAATATATGAGATGTTGATGGCCCAATGGGCTTATTTTCATCGTTCTTTTTATAAAAATGTTTAGTTTATTGATCACATTATTTAAGTTGCCCTTTTTTTATATTTTGTCTGTTGGTTTTGCTTATATATGTAGAGTCGTATGGATGCTGGATTGCCTACAGCCATGGTAAGTTTTAATATTAGCCAACAGCTTGAGCATATATTTTAGGTGTTGTTCAACGTTCATGCCCTTGAAAACAAGGTTGGCATTTGACAATGCTGATGCAAATGGCAACTTGTCTGTCTCCAAGATTTGTTGCATTTTATCGTAGAAAAATTCATAGTGTTTTTTTGTAAATTGCATATTGTATAAGTAAACCTTTCTAATTGCTTGACGATCATGATCGAATTTAGATGGAGAATTGAAGTTAGAACTATTTTGTCATCTTTTCAAACGTTCAATGCGGTGTAAACTCCAAGTACTTTTAATTTGCCATCAAACATTCCATCATAGAAATTGCTGAAATTTCTGACTTTAGTCTCGCAAAGGTCCGCATTTCTTTGCCAGGCTTACTTTTGGCTATTTTCATGACTGATTTATACATACTCATCCAAAGAATGGTTGTTGGTTCAATGAAGGTCCTTTGTTCTTTGTACACATTTTGATTTGATGTAAATAAATATTTATAACTATTTAAGGCTGTTTCTACTGTGGTTGCTGTGGGAACCTCTCATGGGATCGTCTTGATATTTGGTAGGTCACATGACTATCTAACCTAGTTGGCAGAACTAGCTTAGACAATTGATCACTATTGACTTTGAAGATGACTACCGCTAAGGTTGTCTAAATGTCTGTCAACACCAACACCAAGGTCTTTCTCAGTACTGCACTCACCTGGACAATCTACATCTACAAACATTTAAATATATTGTTATTAGATGCCAAACAAGCTTTGCAACTTGTGCTTGGAACAAAAGCTCAAGGTATCTATATGCTTGATAACAAATGACCTGCTCTTGTGGTATATTCAAATCATTCTGTGAGTTTTTATCTGTCATTAGGCGCCGAATATGGTGCAGTTACTGCTTTGGGTATCAACACAAATTCCACAAGATTATTGTGTGGCCATGCTAAAGGACAGGTATTTTTCACATGCTACGATGATCTCTTTATTATTTGTGTATTGTCGTTGAAGCTTTTGCGGTTAATTACGCAAGGATGGATAAACTTTAGTTGTGTAGGGGAGGGAGCTTGAGTTTGGATTAGGTGTAGTTTGGTGGAGTATTGTATCTTGTTAATGTTGTTATGTGTGACATTGATGGCCCAAATTCATACAGTAAGCGATGTGAAGCTCGGTTGTATGATGATATTATTACATGTTTGTAGATGTAGATCGTCCAGGTTGGTATAGTCCTGAGAAGGACTGTTTGTTTTGTTGACTGACGTTTCGACAACCTTAGCGGTAGTCATCTTCAGAGTCAAATGAGGAGTAAAGATGACTACCGTTAAGGTTGTCGAAACGTCAGACAACAACAACAAAAACAGTCCTTCTCAGGACTATACTAACCTGGACGGCCTACATCTACAAACATGTAACGATACTCCCGGGTTCAAACCATTTACTTTATAATATTATTGTTTGTTCTTTACCCAAACTAATTCTTGTCGTTTGTGAAACAATAAGAAATTTTTATCACAATACTCTGCAACGTACAATCGAGGCACTGGGACTTTCCCATAGCGCGTGTGTTTGATTTTATTTTATAAAAGGAAGACCCCGCCGTTAGGCAGGGTGAAGAAAAATTAGTCTATAGACTCATTCTGTTGTTCTCCTCCACGGAAATCTTTAGTAAAAGGCGAAAGATTTATACGCGGATTGAAGGAAAACCAGAGTTTGTTGATTGTTGACAGCGTTATTACATTGTTTATCTGAAGAATCAAGCTCATTGAATTGCGGTTTGTGTAAGGCGTGGGTTTTATCTAGTTGGATGTTTACGAGCATGCGTAGAAAAGTCAAACAGTGGGCGTCTCGAAAAATTAGTTTATGGACCAGTATGGATTCATTTTGTTGTTCTCTTCGCTGATGTCGTAAAAACGCCGGTTTTCCTTCAAGTACGAAATTTTGACGGTTCATAGCAGTATTCCATTTTTTATATGAATAATCATGTTCATTGAATTGCGATTCATAAAAAGCGCGGATTCTTTCTTGCGAATCGTTTGAACATACTACGCAAAAATCTTTGTTGATTCAAAGCGACATCAACCGAGTTACAACAGCCACAGGAACGTAGTCGTGTTTTCCTCATAAGTTGCAACGAGGATGGACAAACTAGCGTTTAACTAAATCAAGCAGGCGAAACAAATAGCCAGTGCAGACTAAATTTCATTTCAATGCGTTAGATAATTAATTTTGCTGTTTGTTTTTTCTTTTTGGACACACTGTAGTTTGAAGTTCATCGGTGTCACCAGATCTATAGTTGATTCATACTGGATGTGCCGTTTCTGTTGCTTTTTGGACACACTGTAGTTTGAAGTACATCGGTGTCACCAGATCTATAGTTGATTCATACTGGATGTGCCGTTTCTGTTGCTTTTTGGACACACTGTAGTTTGAAGTACATCGGTGTCGCCAGATCTATAGTTGATTCATACTGGATGTGCCGTTTCTGTTGCTTTTTGGACACACTGTAGTTTGAAGTACATCGGTGTCACCAGATCTATAGTTGCTTCATTCTAGATGTGCCGTTTCGGTAGCAAATAATGTTTATGAACATATTTCTGGACCGCTTTGTGTATAGATACTTGACAGCTAAATTTATGCTCCCCTCCCCCTTACACCCTCCCGAGGCATTGCTTCGGAAGGAAGGTCTACACATCGCCGGTCGGCCAATTTCTGAAATATGACCATTTGTTGCATTTTGTGTTTTAGATAACAATGTGGGATCTCTTGACGGGCAAATGCGTTCGATCTATCTTAGATGCCCACCCCCCGGGTTCCGCTGTGCTTCATGTTCAGGTGAGTATAACTGAGTTAACTTAGATACGAAACAGGATGCTCTTCGATCCATTGTTATCCCTCAGTTTACAGATGATCTCACGGAAGCAGTGTGCAGTGACAGCGGAGGCTCCGTGTTTCTCCTGACATTCAAGTGAGTCCATTGATTATCACATGAAGAAACATCAGTTTTTTCATGTGACTCGGTACGTTTTGTTCATCGTGTGAACTGTTTCTTATAGCTAAATCGAGAAATTTTATATTGTTACTGTTACAGAAAGATGATTGGCATGCGCACTTACGATTCCCAGGTGGTGTTTTCGGGCAGGTTAGGATAGTAAATTTCTGCGTTGATTTTTTTTGCGCGCCGACAGGAGTAGTCCAACCGGCACAATTTTTAATCCATTTTGCGAACATCTTAGCGTTCGCTGATTGCGTGGGTAATCAGATGTAGTTGAAAAAAATGGTTCACGATACTGTTGTGAAAATGCAGGCTGGCTACTCTAACTGCTTTGGGGTCAGCAATCTACTAATGCTCCGGGGCACTTTTTTTCATTTTGTCTCTTTCGCTTTTAGCCGGGGTGAAGTATGTGTGCTTTCACCTCTCCATTTTCCGGAATCATTGAAAAACTATTCGCTTGCCGAAAGATCCGTGCTGGCTCTTGCAACTCTCACCAAGGTTTGCTTGTGGTCTTTTGATATTTACAACAAGATGCTTGAAGCCATGGATTTAACAGGATGCATGTGTACAATGTAGTTTTGCAACCACGGATTAAACAGGATGCATGTGTATACAATATAGTTTGGAAACCATGGATTAAACTGGATGCATGTGTATACAATGTAGTTTGGAATCCATGGATTAAACAGGATGCATGTGTATACAATATAGTTTGGAAACCATGGATTAAACTGGATGCATGTGTATACAATGTAGTTTGGAAACCATGGATTAAACAGGATGCATGTGTATACAATGTAGTTTGGAAATAATGCATTAAACAGGATGCATGTGTATGAAATGTAGTTTGGAAACCATGGATTAAACAGGAGGCATGTGTATACAATGTAGTTTGGAAACCATGGATTAAACTGGATGCATGTGTATACAATGTAGTTTGGAAATAATGCATTAAACAGGATGCATGTGTATACAATGTAGTTTGGAAACCATGGATTAAACTGGATGCATGTGTATACAATGTAGTTTGGAAATAATGCATTAAACAGGATGCATGTGTATACAATGTAGTTTGGAAACCATGGATTAAACAGGATGCATGTGTATAATGTAGATTGTTATTATTCCTTCTGACAGATCGTTGTTCTTGCTCTGAAGCCACACTTTTCAGTCATCTTTACATTTGGTTTGAAGGTAAGATATCAGAGATCGTTTGAAGTTTAACTTCTCCGGCTTGCTTTTCTTGTTGTCAGCAATCGAGTTACAGTCAACACAAATCAAAATCAAAATGTTTCGGTATTTCGTGAGCTGTAGTTAGTTCCCTTTGCCTAAACCTTAATTCCTAGGAGAGTTGTTGGTCGCGGTTTCGTTTTCCCATCAATGCTTGTTGTGAGCATCTTACTCTTTAATTGAGGCCCAATTCTTCCATCCTTTTTCAATCCATCATTTCGTAAGTGCTGCCCCTCCAAGTCTTTCTTTCCATTGTTTTATTTACATGCTCTTATCCCATGATACTTCATGTTGATTAACGTAAAAACCACCACCACTCTTGGTACATCGAGTTCACTTTAGAATGCTTGCCATCTCCTGCTCGGCTACAACGGTTTTTCAATTATTAGTCCGTAGCAAACGAGTTTAGCTACGGACTTCTTCATTTCCTTATTATCTTAGTATCTGTTGACAGCATTGAGGGCCCGTTCACACAATGCGATTTCGTCGGATCCCGATAAACGGACGTGTGAACACGTATAAAGTGAGCATTCGACAGTCGGATCCGTCAATCTCAAAAATCGGATGGAAATAGAACTTGCTCTATTTTCTTCCGCCAACATCAAAGGAAGCCGACTAGGCTGAAGCTTTTTACTCTCTATACTTCCGAAATTTGAGCTAACGCGAGAAATTAGATTTGAAAAAGACTTGAAAACGAGTATAAAAATATGCAAATATATCGATGAATGTGCTGGATAACACAAATTGCTGCTTTCAAGACTATAAACATCTAAACGAATATAAATATCAACAAAACTATCGGACAGTCTAAACAAGCAACCAACAGTCGGAACCGAAACAGTCGGATCCGAAAAATCGGATCGTGTGAACGGGCTTTTTAAACAGAGGGTTTTTTCCTCAGAAAATGTGTTTACTTCTACGTCTTTTGCTCCAACTGCAAAGCAGATACTTTTGATTTTGGCGGTTATGACTTCAAAGTTGCATTTAACCAGTATTTATAGCGAAATGCGTTTTGCTCACTTGTATATTTCTATAAAAGATTTGTGCTTTTGCAGTTATCTATACGAGTAAACCGTTGTTGTTTTGTTGCAAGAGTGAACGCAAATTGCTTCAGCGAAATACAAATATTTTTTAATACCCATAGGGATCCCCAGACAGTCTTCCGTTACTTGCTTGGAATTTCGTTCTCATTCAACACGAAAATTCAAACACCTCCTTACACCCGGTTGGTAAAATAATCGCAGATAAAGTGATGTGTGGAAAGTTTGGTTGTTTATTGTTAAGTGGACTCTGAGTAATGGATGTTGTTTGTAGGTCCTCGCTTTTGCAAGAGACTCCAAGATTTATTTCTTTGGCGTAAGTGTTTCTCTAGCCCCAAGCAGCGTACGTCATAGACCCAGGCTTGTCATAATGCATTGGTCCATGCAATATCGAAGAAATCTTGTCCCTCCTACGTCACATCCGTTTAAGCCGTCGCATAATTATACTGCCTTACACTCAAGCACACGTGAACGGCTTCCAACTTTGTTCCGACGTCATCGTTCGTACAATTTCTATCGTTTTAATCATTCCAGCCGGCGAAATATACGAAAAATACACTACTAAGCTGTGAATAACTCATTTGGCAATAACATTTCGATATAAATATTTGCAAATGGAAATTACAAAGTGAAATAATTATGAATAAGGCAGTATAATTTATGCGACAGCTCAAACGCATGCGACGTTTGCTACGGCACCGAGCAAACTTTTCTGTCATGTCATTGCTTATAAGGCATAGACCAATGGAAGAGATATGGGCTTATGACGTAGGCTAGTGTGTGTCTGAACCTGAACAAAGCCTTTTGCTGTCCATACCAAAGAGTTGCCTGCGACCGGGATGCTCATCTTTTATACGATATCTCTGCATCGTTTTAGTTTCACAAGCGACATGAAGAGGAAAACGTTGGGTTCAGCAAATTTGATGAAGTGACAACTCAGTTTAAGATCATAGCACTTCATGTAAGTTTTTTTTCTGCGCCCGAATATATTGATTCTTGAGTATTATCCACGCGAAGAGCACGTGCAAGAGAAGTAGAGGGGATTTATTACGTTTTCTGTCCCCGCGCCGTCCCGTGTTTCCATCTTTCGTAATCCTACATCACTCCCCAACTTTATTTTGAATTAGCGGGAAAGAAATTGTGCTTGGGTAAGCACACCAAATCGAAGGTAGAATGTACATGCCCTAATGTCGCATCATCTGTTGTATTTCAAGTGGCTCGATGCGCAGTTGATTTGTCTCGTTGACGCCATGGAGGGGATTCATTTGATGAATGTCAGAAACGGTGAAATTCTCGAGGTATGTCTTTGTCTAATTAGCGTACTCTACTGGAATTTAGTGAGAACGGAGATGTGATTAATTTAGAGTAACAAACTCCACAACGCGTATTTCAAACTATAACAAACAAATCATACAAAATCATTTGTTACGTTTTGTTCCACTCGCTGTTCTTGAAATAGTCAAGTCCCATGCTTGGAACCGGTAGAGTTTGTCACTCTAAATTTATTTAATTTTTACGAGCGCGTACGATGAAATTCTTCAACGGAGATATGGTTAAAATACGTAAACGCATCCCAGGTAGTTGCGCAAAAATTTTCAACTTCCCATCGGTTTTAACGTTTCTCGCTATCATCGATTTTGTTTTCATTGTATAATACCCTGCCGTGAGGGACAGCAGGGTGAAGAAAAATTAGTCTATAGACTCATTCTGTTGTTCTCCTCCACGGAAATCTTTAGTAAAAGGCGAAAGATTTATACGCGGATTGAAGGAAAACCAGAGTTGATGCTGACTTCGGCGTAATTCTTCTTATTTATATGAACAATTAAGCTCTTGAAATTACGGTTTGTGAAAAGCGTGGGCCGTATTTAGTTTGAACATGCGTAGAAGGTGAAATCACAAAAAAGCGATGAGGTCAATCGGGTCAAAGCACTCGCGTCGTCGTGTTCACTTGTAAGCTGAGCTGGTTTTTTAAGCCGGAGACTTTGAATTGAGACTCCATTCGGCTCCATTTTTCCGTCTTCCTATGAGACGTTATTGTTTATCATAATCCTAACTAGTTTGCGTCATGAATTAATATAGCATCATAAATTGTCATGACTAAACAACCTAGAACTGAAGCAATGCGAGCGTCCATGAAATATAACTTTATACAGGGTGTATCTCAAGAAAGTAGATAATTTTGAAATGCTTCGTGGATTATGAATTTAACCAAATATCTCATAGATTTCTGCTAGTATGGGTACCAGAAAATTCAATTTCGAAAAACATTACGGTGGTTTACGGAACTTACAGAAACCGCGATTTGAAGGCTTGTGCAAGCGCGAATGATATGTGATACAAGTCAAACAAAAAGAATGATAGCATAATGCTATAACCAACAACTACAAACAATAACGACCTTATCTAACGAAATTTGAGAAATTAACCTTCCACTCCTCTTCTTTGTAAACGAGACAAGTCTACTCAAAAGCAGAGAGCCTTATATGCTACAAGTCCCGGGCTTGTGACCGGTATAGCATAGTTAAAAGGTGAAAGGTTTATCAATTTTGTTTTCTTGGTATGAAAGTTTGGGTCTTGTTTTACAAAGTACGTAAATTTCAGAAAATTTGATGAATAGTGCACATGTTATTCTCTGTTTTGACTCATAGCTAGCTTGACCTTCTTTGAGCACGAATGATTGTTCATATGCACCCTGTATAAAGGTCTGCTTAGTGACTGGCCAGTTAAAGGATCGGAGGATGTGTTTGATTTATGATTTGAAGATAGACCCCGCCGTTGACCTGGCCTTCATCCCGGCTGGGTGAAGAAAAATTAGTCTATAGACTCATTCTGTTGTTCTCCTCCACGGAAATCTTTAGTAAAAGGCGAAAGATTTATAGGCGGGTTGAAGGAAAACCAGAGTTTGTTACTGATTTAACGTTTTATTATTTGAATAACAAAACAGTTTGCAATAATGTAAATGGCTTGAACCCGGGAGTATCCTTACATGTTTGTAAATGTAGATCGTCCAGGTCTACTTACCTTGACGATCTACATCCACAAACATCTAAAACACTTTGCATCAGTTACGGTTTAAGAAAAAGCGTCGGTTTATTAGTTCTCAAAGCATGCGTGATCATAATTTGTGCTTTTTCTTTTGAGTTCATCGTAAGTGTCAACGAATTCGCTTCTCCTTTGCATTTCTTAGGTTTAATTTCAACTTTATTTTTCTTTAATACCAGAAGTTGGATCTTGACAGCGTGGAACTTGTCTACGGCAGCAGTTTCTTCAAATCTTTGTCGAACGGTGGCAACGTTAGCGAAGCTCTGGTAAGGTTGTATATTGGGCTGTGTATAGTTATTGGCGGTACCAACATAACTTTATTTTTTGTATTATTATACACGACAGGCTCTTGCGAGCGAGCATTCCTGTTATCAGTCGGTTATCGCCTATAATTCACAGCTGTTGATGTTAGGACGGAAGGTTAGGACAAAGTATTGGTAGGGCCAGTACCATCATTACTGTTTGTGCATTTGTCTTAAGTGTGACGAATCTTTAACATGGATTTACATTCTTCCTTGCAAACATTATATCCACGACTGTTCCCTTTTTCATTGCGGTTGAACCCGAACCTCAAGAGTCTCTTTCATTTATGTTCTGAAATGTTTTTACAGTCCATCCACGTGTTCACCGTGAGGACTTGGAACGATGTGAGTATACTTAATATGGCTCCTCTTAAGTCCTTATTATCACTTATTGTCCTTCACGATCCCTCGCAATATACTGTTTATCACACCTAAACTTTGTCGAGCAGAGGATAGCGGTTTTCTTACGTGAAGATGATTTTGTCGGAGCCCTGAAATTGGCGTTTTCATTCTACAATCGCTCTGCTAAGGGTGTGCTAGGTATGTTCATCTGCATTTGGTACATTCTGGGCATTTTTTGGTCCATGTTATCAGACTGTATAAAGGACTCATTTGTCTCACAATCAAACACGTTTAATCGTTAAGGTCTATACGGAAACAAGGAGGAAAAAGCAAATATCCTTGCTCATACGGTAACATAATGAATTGCACGAAAATGTATAAGTTGTATAGTTTTCTCTCGTCATGAATATTGACATATGTCACTTACAATCAACGTTCTCGTTGTTCCATTATTTTGTCAATTTTTCTCGACATTTCAGATCGAAAACCTTGTTCAAAGTTATGTCGAGAAGATTGTAAAGGAATTCCACGAAACGTCAGGTGACGAAAATCCACGAGGGTACTACGAGGTGAATACGATTGTACAACCGTCAGCGTTCATTTATTTCCTTTAAAGACGATATCCCTTATTTGCTAGAGTTGATATTTTTCCTAAAATGTATCTGATTGTCAAATACTTATATTTTATATAGAAGGCAATGGCAGTTTGCATAGAATATTGTGTGGTTATCGATGCAATGTAAGAACACGTAATGTTGTCATTTTCTTCTTCGCGTTTGCTATAACAACAATGGCTTTGGTTGAATTTTCATCTCATCCGCGAGATCATGTCACTCTATTGCTGTATGCTAAGCTATATGCGTTACACTAAACCTATCCTCTCCTGTAATAAACCGCTGAGCATTTTTTAAATATATAACTACTGGCGCATTTACCTCACTTGGCCCTAAGGTTGCCTTGTAATGAACCTTCATTTCCTGATAGAATGGCTCTTATTGCTTTGCTTGCAACTGGTTCGATGAGAAAATATGACCAGGTGTTTAATGGACTAATTCAGATTAACCTTACTAATCAAAATTGTTTTGAAAAATTCCTTGGTAAACCGTAATTGTAACTCGTACCGTATTTCTAGTGACATATTATTCTCCGTTATCTACGAGAAAATATCACCTGCAGTGCTTATTAAAGAGGCTTTTCTCGAATGTTTACAATCCTATATTGAAGAAGAAAGGTATATGCATATAACAGTGTCATATGTACATATTTCCATTGTTTAATACTTGTAGTGCTTACGAAAACTTCAATTATTGAAGAAGATTTTGACAGTTTTTGAATGTTTGCTGCATTTGGTTCCTTGGCTTTGTGTTTATGCTTTTTAAAGAGATTTGTTGACATGTCAATCGCTTGTCTTTGCTACGTAGTCTTTGTGTACGTAGTCTTTGTGTACGTAGTCTTTGTCTACGTAGTCTTTGTGTACGTAGTCTTTGTGTACGTGGTCTTTGTCTACGTAGTCTTTTTGTACGTAGTCTTTGTGTACGTAGTCTTTGTGTACGTAGTCTTTGTCTACGTAGTCTTTTGTACGTAGTCTTTGTGTACGTAGTCTTTGTGTACGTAGTCTTTGTGTACGTAGTCTTTGTGTACGTAGTCTTTGTGTACGTAGTCTTTGTCTACGTAGTCTTTGTGTACGTAGTCTTTGTGTACGTAGTCTTTGTGTACGTAGTCTTTGTGTACGTAGTCTTTGTACGTAGTCTTTGTACGTAGTCTTTGTGTACGTAGTCTTTGTGTGTCGTAGTCTTTGTCTACGTAGTCTTTGTCTACGTAGTCTTTGTGTACGTAGTCTTTGTCTACGTAGTCTCATTTGTAGCAACAACGATGAAATTTCTTCGCACGAAAGATAGAGGACAACTTTGACATTTCCGCGTATGATTGACAACTTTTTTTGTCTTCACACGTAAAAAACGATCGCAGTTTTTTTGCATCGTAAAGTTGAAAATATTTTTTATTTTTATAGGCTCGTTTCACTTACACCTATTGTCATGAAAGATTTTATTGGTGAGTGGGTCGGGGTTTCGCGACTTATAGTCATGTTTGATTAGTCATGTAAATTTTATGTTCTTTTTACTCGTGGTCTTGTGTTTGCTAGATCACTATCAAAAGATGGAGAGACTTAAAGACGTTGAAAGATGTCTCGTTCACTTGGACTTAGTCGATGTTGATATTGATCAGGTTTTGTATATGCGAGCACCTTATCCATTATTTGACAATCGTTGCAATATCTTTTAGTGACCACTAAACTTGCTTTTCTTCACACACCATAATTTTCCTCTATCACCTTCTTTGTCCTTAGTCACCTTCCTTGTCCTTAGTCACCTTCGTTGTCCTTAGTCACCTTCCTTGTCCTTAGTCACCTTCCTTGTCCTTAGTCACCTTCCTTGTCCTTAGTCACCTTTCTTCTCCTTACTCACCTTCCTTGTCTTTAGTCACCTTCCTTGTCCTTAGTCACCTTTCTTGTCCTTAGTCACCTTCTTGTCCTTAGTCACCTTCCTTGTCCTTAGTCACCTTCTTTGTCCTTAGTCACCTTCCTTGTCCTTAGTCACCTTCTTGTCCTTAGTCACCTTCCTTGTCCTTAGTCACCTTCCTTGTCCTTAGTCACCTTCCTTGTCCTTAGTCACCTTCCTTGTCTTTAGTGCTTTTCCTGGTCCTTAGTCATCCTCCTTGTCCTCAGTTATCCTTCTTGTCTTAAATCAACTTCTTCTTTTTAATTTACCATTGCTGTCTTCAATTGCTATGTTCACTCTTTACTCAAAATTCTGATCTTCAGTCACCATCTTCATTCAAAACGACATTTGTCTTCTCCTGTCACCATCATGTTCTACAGAGTGACCACAACTCTTCTCTTCGTTCTCCCTACCCTCTTCAATCGCTGTTCTTCTATTTTCCCATTATCCATCCATTCATTTCATTAAAGAGCAGCATCTTACGTTATCTTCAATCTTTTTCTTACAGACGGTAAAATTATGTTGGAAGTATAAATTGTACGATGCAGTTATATATGTTTACAATCGTGGCATGGCTGATTTTTCCACTCCCCTTGAGGTACGCTGATTTTCCAACAAATATCTTACAATATAACCAACTCAGTCATTACATATAGCCATACCTCACATTTGTCATTTTGCTCTGTCTTATCTGCGTTTTTAGGAACTGTTACGGATCCTTAGGGAAACTGCGGAGTCTAAACTTCCATTGAAAGGTGACTTCAAGCGATTATTATTCTTTTTCATCGATTTTTATATTGAATTCTCGTGGCTAGTTGTTAGAAAGTTGAACAGTTGTTAAGAGGTCTTAATTTTTAGTTGTTTGTCCTACAATAATGTAAAAATTGTTCGGGTATTTCGCAGAATGGCTATCTTCTGCGCGACCGTTAATTTACGTTTTATTAATTTAAACTTATTTTCTTATTACCGTTGTTGTGTAGAAGAAACACAAGATCTTGGCAACAAGCTACTTGTCTATATAAGCAGTTGTTTTGCTGGAAGAGCTTATTCCGTCGGTAACATACCTCAAGAACTGGTCAAACCAGTTAGGGAACAGGTATTTAGTTGTTATAGTCGACTTTACCTTTAATAGTTGGTTGGGTGCGTTCAATTAAGGAAAATACTTTCAATCTAGTGATTGTCTTGTCCCCAGCTGTAAGTGTAGCATTATTATTGCTACATTGACTTAGCAAAATCGATAGTTGCGGGTGATAATATTCATATATTCATACCCTGGCGTATATAACCCACTGATATGTATAAAACTGGATAACACTACTCAGTGCTTGACTTGAAGCCGGGTGGCGGCCATATTGGAATATGCACTTTTTCAGTTTTTATATAAGTTTTATACAACAAACTGCTACTTTCGCATTTATTTTTGATCATATGTCTTACTATTGGGACAAAGAAGAATTATTATGATGGCAAGACTACATGAGAACGGTTTTGGGCAAAAACTCATGTTTGCTAAATTTCTTAGATTAATCTTCTCACGTTGCGTAAATATCATAACAAAAGATTTGGCGTGATTTCTGGAAGAGAAAATAACAGGAATACAAAATATGATAAAAATTCATTATAAAATATAAACTAGAAGTGGATAGTCCAATACGGCCGCCGCTGTCAAAAGTTGGCTTCAAAATTTTCTAGGCGCATGAATTAGGTTGCGTTATCCAGTCTTTATATATATCAGAGGTATAACCATAATCATGTGGTGTTTCCATTTCGCAGCGAAAGAACTTCGCTAAAATTCGTTTTAAATTATGCACCAAGATGGCGTAGATCGACAATTTCTGATAACTTCTAAGTATTGCTTTCCGACAATTCAAACACCAACGCCGTTTTCATTTAACACACGCAAGGAATATTCGAGAGAGCAATGTTTTCTTTCTTCTTAGGTTGCAGGAACGCTTTTAAAAACGTTACAAAGTCGAGGCTCTGTCGGTTAGTTGTGTCTTTGTTTTTTTACCTTGTTCACAGTTCATTTATTAAATATTATGACATTAGTTTTTCATTTTTTTTAGGCGTGAGATATCCGAATATTTTAACATTATTGCAGTTTGATACGCCTGAATTTTTGAATGTCCTATCATTGGTAAGAATTTAAAAAAAAACTTCTAAACTAATTTCGACGTTTAAGCATGCGCATTTTGTTTCTTATTGTTCTTCATTTTTCGTCCCACAATTATTCTGTAGGCGTTTGAGGAGCCTGGTTTTGACGAAGATTGTGCGTGAGTATTTAATCCTTCTCATTTTCTCCAATAACGTTTTTTGTTTTATACCATATATGACACATTTTCTGCTGGGTTATAATTAATTTTCTGATTCATTTGAGCTCTAAGAGTACTTGAATTTATTAAATTGTTCTTGAAATTTGTTGAATTCAATTTTTTATCGCATTTTTGTATCTTAACCCTTTAATGCAAAAAAAGGCCTTTGGGGTTGATGTCGGAACTTTGAAGGAACCTACCAACATGGCGGCTTTCAAGTCATATGAAAACACAACATTTCCTCTTGATTCATAAGAAAAAGTTTTTTGTTTTAATTTTGATGATGTTTTTAATGATTTCTTGCTTTCGCAGTGTTTTGTGTGCAAATTCATGGTCTTCCTCGTTCTTAAATTTTTCAAAATATGTCCTTGAAAGTCCTTGAAAAGTGCTTGAATTTCTAAATTACTTAGCATTATGCGAACCATGCTTTATGTCCACAGACTAAACGGCCATTATAGCTGGCTGGCTTTTTTCAACCAAGTTGACGGGATCTCAAAATTCTCGATTTTGTTTTGTTTGTGATCAATGTTCTTTCTTTGAACAAGCCGTACTTTTTGTGAAAGTAAATCTTATTGTCTATTTGACATGGTTTAAAATCCCTTATACCTAGTACTTTGTTGTAATCCGTTGGATTAGCTCAAATTCACTTCGATTCGTGATTTGTGTACGATTTGAACTTTCTTAAGTCATTGCTCAGAGCCACAGATGTTCCTTATTGAAGCATGTTATCTTTTCATGGAAAGTGGCTTTTACATCACAGCAATTTTTAACTGACTAAACTCATTCATATCACAGCTAAAATCATGACCTTATATATATAACGATGTTCATCTGTTTTTAGTGCAACTGCAACTGTGCTTGGACGACAAAGATTTATAAATGTTCTCCTTGAAGTTATCGTTCAGGGAACAGGCTTTTCTGTACGTATTCGTATTCGGTTACATGTGACGCTTTCAATCAAAGACGTTGTTGCACAAATCAATTGTTTTTGCTGTGGTTTTTCAGCCGACTCAAGTTGGTTCCTTCTTTACGTTTCTCGCTCGTCAAATGGCCAAAACTTCTGGCATCTATTTGGACAAAGTGATTTTTGAGCAGGTACCAAATCACGATTTTGCACAACTTTTTTTTCGCCTATGCAACGATGGGGAGAAGGCGTTCGAAAAGAAGCGACATTTTTGGAATGTTTGGATTGTTAAGTCATAGAAATTTTGTATGTTTTTGTAATACGGGTACTAAAGCGTAGTTTTTTTTTGTGAGTATATTTTTCTCCAAATTGTGCATCTTTACTTTTGTACTTTATTGTAACTCTACAATGACCGCGCATCATCATGACGTCATTATATCATGACATCACTAAATCATAGCATCATCATCATGACATCATGAGATCATGACATCACTGGATCATAGCATCATCATCATGACATCATATAATCAAGACATCACTGAATCATAGCATCAACATCATGACATCATGAGATCATGACATCACTGGATCATAGCATCATCATCATGACATCATATAATCAAGACATCACTGAATCATAGCATCAACATCATGACATCATGAGATCATGACATCACTGGATCATAGCATCATCATCATGACATCATGAGATCATGACATCACTGAATCATAGCATCAACATCATGACATCATAAGATCATGACATCACTGAATCATAGGATCATCATCATGACATCATAAGATCATGACATCACTAAATCTTAGCATCATCGTCATGACGTCATATCGCACCATGTCCACATTATAACATTAACGCATTTCTACCTTGTACATAATCCTTTATTATGACCATCTTTAGGTACTGGAATATCTGTCTAATCCTGAAGAGACCGTTCGTCATGACGAAAGAGAACAAGCTTTGTTGGAGCTCATGGACTCGGGAGCTTTGAAACAGTTCGACGATGAACGAATTCTGGTTTTAGCTGAAAATGGAAAATTGTTAGTATAAAATATTAATATGCTTTGGTGAAAATCCCAAAGATCTTGTTTCGTTCTTTATGCAATCACGTTTTCAATGTTTTTTTGTTTATTAATATGCTTTTACATAAAACGACGACAGTATGGTAATGTTTCCTCGTTCTTTACGTGCAATCATACATTTTCTTTTATTGATTAACATGTTGTTTTCCTGTTTTTGTATTTCAGCCACTGAAACACATGATGAAATAGTTTACATGCTGAAAACATGATGTTCACAGTATGGCTGAATGTTCACTTTAACTAAGTAGTTTATCTTGCTGAGATCAATCTAGACTAAGGTAAGTTGTCACATGCACTTTAACTAAGTAGTTTATCATGCTGAAACACATGATGTTCACTTTAACTAAGTAGTTTATCATGCTGAAACACATGATGTTCACTTTAACTAAGTAGTTTATCATGCTGAAACACATGATGTTCACTTTAATTAAGTAGTTTACCATGCTGAAACACATGATGTTCACTTTAACTAAGTAGTTTACCATGCTGAAACACATGATGTTCACTTTAACTAAGTAGTTTACCATGCTGAAACACATGATGTTCACTTTAACTAAGTAGTTTATCATGCTGAAACACATGATGTTCACTTTAACTAAGTAGTTTATCATGCTGAAACACATGATGTTCACTTTAACTAAGTAGTTTATCATGCTGAAACACATGATGTTCACTTTAATTAAGTAGTTTACCATGCTGAAACACATGATGTTCACTTTAACTAAGTAGTTTATCATGCTGAAACACATGATGTTCACTCAAGTAGTCATGCACTGATCAAACTAAGTAGTTTGCTGAAACACATGATGTTCACTTTAACAACAGTTTATCATGCTGAAACACATGATGTTCACTTTAGCAAAGTAGTTTACCATGCTGAAACACATGATGTTCACTTTAACTAAGTAGTTTATCATGCTGAAGAAAATAAAGAAAATTAATACTTGTTGAACGTTTTTAAATGCAGCACCAAGCTTTCGAGTTTGTTAAATCGAAGATGAGCGATGATGCATACACTGACCTCGATAGAGATGAACTAAAACAGACTGTTCTTGAAAAATTATCGGTTAGTGTAAAATAATACTGTTTAGGGATATACTGATGTATGTGTAGTTGAACGAAAACTGACAATTCTTGAAAAATTACTGGCTAGTATCAATGACTTATAAGTCAATATAGTACTGGATACTTGTAACCTGTTTCCACGACAAAAATTCTATAGTTACAAGTGAGGAAAGCCGCCATCTTGAAAGGTGGCAAATCTGACGTTATTTACACTAAAATCTGCTTTTCCTGTGTTGATATGTACAGTTGCAGAGTTGACAGACTAGGTTTGGTTTTAAAATGTTCGATAGAGTTGGTTTTGAACTTTCTTTAACTTATTTTTGACTGTGAGTTTTGCATTTTGCCACCTTTTAAGATAGCGTCCTCGCGTCACCTTGATACGGTACTTAAACATCCAAGGGATTGGGCTCTAAATCATTGATTAGTATAAATTACTGTCTGAGGGGAGGGGAGGGTGTACATTGATTCATATTTATATATAAGTGAATTAAAACACAATCATTGTTGTTGAAGTGTTGTTGCTTTTATACAAATTTTCAATGCGTTTTGATTTAAGTATATTTTATTTTGAAGTTAAAACTTTCTTTTCTCCAGGATTTTGTCTCCGTCGATACACGGGAGACATCTCATATGTTCATGATCCATTTTCCTGATTCTTTGAAGTGGGCTATTGCAAAATTGGAGGTTGTCTTGCTCTGTTTATGTCTTCAAAATGAAATGAAAGTTTAATTGTTCAACACTTTTTTTACCCTTTTGCTGCCCAGGATCAGCGACAAATTCTTTACAATTTTCTGAAAAGTATATTCGATATGAGGTTTGTTCGTTTTTACTCATTATGTCCATTCACTGATTTTCGTCTTTATGCAGAGCCGTATGTGAATGTGAATTGTTAATTCCTTAAGTGAATTCTTATAATAAGTATTAAAGCCCAGCCGAGAGCTTTTAAATGAGCCATTAAATACAAGTATATATGTAAGAAAAAATAAATATTTATTGAATAGCGTCATATATTAATATACTTTGCTAGATTTCTTAAGTGAATTATTATTAAAAGAAATCGATCTGGCACAACTGAATATATGAAAAAAAAAACACTTCCCCCCCTCCCAATGAACGTTTCAATGACGGCTCTGTGTATATGATTGAATGCTTTAATCACTTCGTGTTCTCTCTTCAGTAATTCATCGAAATTTGAAATACCGTCGGATGCATCAATAAACGAACAGTTTATCCAGTTGATGTGCGAATTTGAAGCCTCTGCCGTGTATCGTTACTTGCTTTCCGGAAGCAACTATCGACTGCAGGAAACATTGGAGGTACCTACCACTTTATCAAAATTATGAGGGTCTTTAAAGCCTCAAATATCAAACCCACTTTCAAAATCAAAATTTCCCAATTGCTAATTAATTCACACCTCCACATTACACCAAGCACACCCTTTCTCTATTGGCTTCTTGCAATGGCTTGTTCGACACGTAATTGCTAATAATTCCGAAGGCCATTTTCAAACTGCGCATGCCTAGCAATACCTCAACATACGTTATGGTACCGTCATTACCGTAAAAGGTGGAAGACATGAATCGAATGTGACGTCATCGCGGTGATTGTGACGTCAAGGATAAAATACAGTTTTAATATTGTGACATTAATATAGATTGTTAAAAGATACGAGGTGACCGATGCAACTGCGTATTTGTTAGAGAGATCCGGCGACATCCAAGCGGCGTTTTCTCTACTACTTCAGGTAACTTGATGTTTTCGTAATTTGCCTCCTGCTGTTTGTGCACATGTATATGCCGTTCGTACTATTTGAATACTTCAATTTTTCATGCGAAAGGCGTTGGAGAAACGTGTAGTAGCTTTGGATCGAGGTTTCACGAATAGAGTCAGCGCAAGAGGTACGATGTGTGTGATAATAATGAAAATCGTGGACGGGGTCAAAAATAGGGGTGGAGGGGTGCCATCCCTCTAAACATCAGATTTAATCCCCCATAAATCAGTTCTTCGCCACTCTGAAAAATGTTTCCACACACCCTCCCCACCATTTTTAGCAAAACAAATTAGTAGTACTGTTTAGAAGAGTTTTTCTTGGCATTGTTTCAACTTTCTTCGATGGCTGAACTACCAGACCGCACTCAGTTCTAAACACTTAGTTTGCCTTACGTCACATCCTTACCAGCTCACCCTCCTAGAATTTTTAGCGTCACCCCCTGTAAATAATATGAAAATCTATTCACGATGAAAACACGAGGACATTTGATTTTATGAAGCTTCGGTCAGTTTTTCCTAGCGCTGCTTATGAATAGTGAGGATTTCTACGAACAGTTATGCATGTCTATGAATTACTGAGGGTATTTTGCCAACAGTTATTTTGAACTATGAATTGTTGAGGGTATTTACCAACAGTTATATATAACTATGAATTACTGATATTTTTCAACAATTATTATTGAACAGTTATATATAACTATGAATTACTGAGGGTATTTACCAACAGTTATATATAACTATGAATTACTGAGGGTATTTACCAACAGGAACAGTTATGTATAACTATGAATTACTGAGGGTATTTACCAACAGTTATATATAACTATGAATTACTGAGGGTATTTACCAACAGGAACAGTTATGTATAACTATGAATTACTGAGGGTATTTACCAACAGGAACAGTTATGTATAACTATGAATTACTGAGCGTATTTACCAACAGGAACAGTTATGTATAACTATGAATTACTGAGGGTATTTACCAACAGGAACAGTTATGTATAACTATGAATTACTGAGGGTATTTACCAACAGGAACAGTTATATATAACTATGATTTACTGAGGGTATTTACCAACAATAATGTATGATCGAGAATTTTATCTGTAAAGAATTAAAACATTTGTGTATATTTTATAGAACTGAGTAATTTGCTGACAACATGTAAGACGACGCTGGTGGTTGTTATACAGTTGTGTCAGCGTAATTCTCGAAAAATGAACGAGACTGAGCGGGAGGTGTGTATTACCATGTTTTGATATTTTGCCTATGAATTGTTGATCAACACTGTGTTCATTTTGCCGTATACATAGCTTTTCCATTCGTCTAACAAAAAATATACTTAACTATTTTACCCTAACATACGGGGTGAGGTCGTACGAAGACTGGGTAGCGTTATACATTGGATTGTAAAATTTTCAAACTTGTAAAAAACGTGTTTGTGTTTCCCTTACGACGTAGAAATTTTTGCAATCACCGAAGAAGTATTTTCTTTTAGTGAATTGCTCATTTCGAATCTTACATTTTTCTCATTTATGAGGTTTCTTTAAACGTTCAAAAAATTTGCCATCCAGGGGATAGCGCTATTCCCGAGTTGCCGAAGAGTTCAACCTTTCTCCGGGTTAGGATTTCGTGTCTTGAAAACAAGTGACGTGAGAGGATGCTGAATTTTTGACAGAATTATTTGATGATTTTCCTCAGCTTTTATTCATCATTTTTTGTGGTTTGTTAATTTCCTTCAAATTTGATATAGTTTTTTTCTCCCTTTATACTTGCCTTACCTGCTGTTCATATCGTAATTATGGGTAACTATGGGTTTTACATATTATAATTAAGCAATTAACCTTAATAGTAAAGTATAATGCGCTTCAATTGCACCAAAGTTATTACTAAGGTCTTTCTTGGTATTATCTTGTGTTATATTATTAGTTATATTGTGTTAGTTTATACATTGTTAACCAACACAACAGTCTCTGACTCAAGAAGGAATTAGCATTGTGCAGTATTATTTTTCATATACATTCATGTGATTAATTGGAATGCTGAACTTTCAAAGTTCCTCCGCACAAACCTCATTTAAAGGAAACCTTTCTCACGGGTGGTGCCTTTGTAGCCGCAGCTTTTTTGCAACTCTGCGTTCTTCGTGCGACCGACCCCTGGAGTGTATGGATTGTGTAGATCACTTTCCTCTTTATCACTTTTGAGGGGTTTTTTTAATCTATGTTTTCAGAATTTGTGGTTTCCTTTGCTGGAAGCAGTCATGTCTCCACAGCGAAGGCTCACTGATATGACGAGCAATCATTTTTGTGGTAACTTTTCATATTTCTTTTTGCGAATGGATTTTATTATCGACAGATTGTGATGTGCACGTCATAGAAGTGCATATAAAATGTGCTCTACCGGCGTTTGAGACTTATCGTTATCCCTTGATATCTGGTCAAACGAGTCTTAAATAGTGTAAGCTTTCCCGGGGGTGAATGCAATTTATGTTTGTCGTGATTTTATATGATTAGTCAATGAATAGAAGATATTTTCAGGTTTTGTTGTTCCATTTCAAAATTCTTTAAACATTTTATCGAGATCAGAAAAACTTTGAGAAATGAATGTTATTTGTGTAAATTTTTTAACATTGTCGGTTGTGTAATGGAAAACAGCGCATACATCAGTCGACGGAGACAAAGAGCACTTGGGCAGTGTTGTTTTCAAATGTAATTCAGACGTGATTATTGAGTAAATCTTCGAGACTCTACGCGTTACATAAATTTATGTACTAAACTAAGCATTTGATTAAGTGCCTAGATTAACTCTGAAATCCCCACTAGCTTGAAGAAGCTTGATAACCGTTACAATCAAAGCTTAAACTCAAACTCAACTGGTATTCTAAATGTTTTCCCACATTTTGATATATTGTGTTCCAGTGACCTCATTGTGTACCCTCCAAGTTTTTCTTTCTCTTTTGTTAAAGCATTCAAAGATCTTACTCGCCATGTTCTCAACAGTATGACAGGCCATATTTCGTTACCAATGATATTACAGAAGATTTTGCAGGTAGGTTACCGTTGGATTGTATAAGGAGGCTCTCGTTCATAACGAGAGAGTTATGAGAAATTTACATCGTAAAAGATCTAAAAACGTATAAACATGTTTAGAGTTGGTTTGTATTATAAATCAAAATAGCAGATGTTGTTTAAACCTTTACAGTATCCTTGGATGTTCTAGTTTCTTTATTAAAAGAATTCTTGTAAAGAAAAATGACAAAGTTTGAAAACAAAAATCCCATTTTCGGTCCATGCCTCCCGATACCTCGAGATAGTTGAACACTAGAGCGTCACATGTTAATTAAGGGAACCAGATAATCCTTGTTTTCCATGAAGCCCTTGCATGGTTTTCTCGTGATACATGAGTAACAGTAAATGAGTGTGTTGAATCAGAAAGATATAAATCAATAAAAATTGTATAAAACATGTTGAAGGTTATCTTGAATTATAAGTGTTAGAAAAAGGCTAAGAAGGTCAGAAGAAGTTAATCGATACATCTGGCAGCTGGTCAGCTGGTCAAGTTGACTGCGCATGCTCAAGCAGACTGCGCATGCGCAGATTATTTATCTGAAATCTTGTTACTTGAGCGAGCTAATTACTCCATAACCGTTGCTAGTACATCCAGTTGAATTGTTACGAAGCATGATATTTACTTGGACAGTTGGTGGAGTGGACTGCGCATGCTCAGATTAATTCTCAATTGAATTGTTACTAAGCATAATATTTACTTAGTCGTGCTCATTGGGGGGAGTATAATTATATTAGTTTGTACATGTAAAGACGGCTGCATGACTATATTCTTCATTCAACCACATTTCCATTCAACTTCGATCAGCTTCAATCACCTAGGACAAATCTTTATAATTTTCTACTCTTTGTCCATCAACTTATCCAGAATTCAAAGTGTGTATGTAGGTCTATCACGTAGAGGATTTTAATTTTCGTTGCTACTTATGTCTCATAGGATCCAACTTATAACTCGGGAAAGTTTGGCGAAATTCGCGAACTGATCATGGGAATGTTGGACACTTACAGTTATGAAGAGGTAGAGGTCTTAACTTCAGCATATGTAGTTTTTGCAAGCTACTTTCATATTGCTTTTTAAACTTTACTCTAAGCCTGGTGCTGCTTGATGTGTTGACTTATCGTTTTAACTGCAGTTAATGATTTATGACGAATTGTCGGCGTGTTTTACAGTAAACTTGTTCCTGAAAGGTCGACTTTATCAATTTGCTCATACAAGCAAACATCAAGCTTAAAATGACATTATTCTGGGTCTTCGTTCTTTGTGCAAACTACTATTGCTTATAAAGGTGGCTCGCTTCGGTTCCGTATAATTAATAGCGCGAATTAAGATTCACAGCGATTTTTTGTTAATTTTTCTAAACTTGTCTGGTCACTCCACTTTTTTTGATTATTTGTTTACTTGTTATTTTGGTATTTTATACGATGAATAAAAAAAATTGTTTTTACAACTTACCAATAATATGCTATTTGATTTTTTACCAGACGCTGCTGACCACAACAAACCACCTGCTCGCCTCAGATCTCCATCGCTCGCTAAGTTACATGAAAAGTTTGATGAATCGCGGTGTGAAGCTAAAACAGACAATTTGTCCGCTTTGTCAGCGACGCATTTTGAAGGAGGAGACGGTAGCCAACGATCGTGGTGATCTAGTGATATTTAGGTCAGTAATAGTTATCTAACATTATGAATTAACATACAGAGGTTTTCTCCATTGAATTTTGATCAAGTACTTTATGTAGGTTATTATTTTGCCACTCAGCTTGTGTGCAGGCAATTGCTCCCCTCCCTGGATAGATTTTTGTCAGAATGTTTTGTCAGCCATTTTGTTTCCCGCACTACCGGAAATACGAAATAATGACGTATAACGCTTACCCAAAAATAACTGAGGATGTTCTTGATGTTCTGTTCCGATTTTGTGGATACTATTCGGTTAAAAATGCGGTATATTTTTCTCTACGCCATAGAAATGGTAATTGCTATCATATGGGTTGCTTGCGTAGCCATTATGGCGATGAGGACAACTGGTTTTCCACACAATTTTCAAAGAGCAACGTCGGCAAGCGTAATAACGTCGCTATACGTCGTGAAGCATCGGCATCAAAACAGGTCGAGGTAGGAACGAGCACACGATATTCTGTGTCTGCGGTGTTCGATTGCTTTTCAAAGAACTGTTCTTTGTTTTTATTGTCGAATCTTTTACAGCCTTTGAAGAAAACATTTAACTTGAGTGAGGAACAAACGGAAGCACTACAAAGACTAAGAAAACATCAAAAAGGAACATCGCGGGTTGGTTTTCTTTCTAAAACGGTTTTTTCTGTTTGTCACAGCCAGTTGAAACGATGGATTGAAAAAATATAATCTGTGAAAGTCACTGTTTGTTAGTGAGAGCTGCATTCTCCTTCGTGTAGAATGTTTTTTCCATCATCAGTAAACGTTTTATGTTTAGCTGTAAGAAATGGCCTTTGCCTATGCACCGTCAGTTAAAGAGAAAGGATTTTTTATTTCTGAAATTTTTATTGATTACCAGCTGCTAACAAAAATATTCGTTTAACAAGAAGCCAAAAATGCAAACACAAATTTTTATGAATTAAAGCAACTCGTCGATAACTTGCTGTACAGTAGATGTAAAACATACCCACTGCTAACATGGTGCAGACACATAAACACCGAATATTAAAGTGTACGTAAATTAATACAAAATCAAATGCAAAAGCAGACACAAAAGAAGGCATTAAATACAAACACAAGTTTAAATAATGTAGAGTATCTCTTTCTTAAACAGTCGATAACTTGTTCGTAGATTAAATGGTGTATAGTCACATTTATGACTGAAAACAACCAGTAAAAGTCCACATAAAATACACAGAGTTTTAAATACGAAAGCCAGGGGCAAAACAAGAAAAAAATGCAAACATAGATTTAAGTCGTATTGGGGTAACTAAACGAGAACTGTCGATACAGACGATGCAATAGTAAACCCATTACTAACTCGGTGTAGAAACGAAGAAGACAGAAAAGAATGAGGAAAAGTCAATCTAAAATATACACAAAACTGAACACAAAGCAGAACCGAAAAAAGACAAAAGGCAAACGCTAATTTAAGTTAGGTTTGAGCAACTCGTTGCGCTGGTAATTCGTTGATAATAGATATGCGTTAGTATTTCTGTTTTCTTTTTCAATTCTTGTGGTATAGCTTCTGTTTTGAGGTCCTTTATTAAGCAAAATTATTCGGCGTTTTTTTTTAGTTAAAGATGTTGAATGAACTGTTGAAAGACGACGATGTCGGAGGTTTTTCAGCTCGAACACGAAGGTCAAGGTTAGCAACCAAGAACTTGTTACAGGATGACGAATTTCAGTTACATCTTGCCCCTCGTTCCCAGTACACAGACAGGTGAGACGTATTTACTTCCGGTTTCTCATGTGGGTCTCTCTTGAGGTCTTCAATGAAATACTTCATGTATAAAATAACTAAAGCATCACTTCGTGACGTCCACTTGTGACGTTTTCAAATTGATTGCGCACAAGTTTCCATACAGATGCACTGTCACAAGCACTGTTTCTTAATAATTTCACAATCCTACATCAATCGCCGAATTTATGGAATTAATAATTTAATATGTAAATCATTATTTATTAAATTAGTGGTACAATGTAAGCGCACTATCACATTGCTTTTTTGCCATGAACGTATGCCGTATTTCCTAAATTTGGATCTCTCAAAAATCACCCATTTGAAAGGTAGCAAAACGCGACTGATCCTCGGCCTTTACTTCTACCCAACTTGCGGTAAACTAAAAAAAATCATCGTTATGTCTATCTCACGATGAAATCATAACAAAATACGAATGCCAAATAAGCTCTATTCGTTCATATAAGCTTTTATTAGTATGAGATTTACGAATGTAAAAATCAAAATGGTCGCTTGCTTTGTGTCAACATTTCCGACAAAATTATGGTGATGTGTTTAGGTTTTTCTGTTTTCCAAGTGCACTTATGCAAGTACTAGATTGGGCATTTTATTAAGCCCTTAATAGCCGAGCGCGAGGTCTTTACGGAGAAATAACGGATCAAAGTCTTTTTGTGCAGACCGAGCCCGTAGAGCGAGGTTTGTACAAAAAGACAGAGGTCAGATATTTCTCAGTAAAGACCGAGAAAGCGAGGTCATTAAAAGGTTGATTATATGGCATTATTTGACCTTAAACGAAGCTTGCTTTCTTTCTCGTCTTTGCTGTTTTGTACGGGGTCGCTTTCACTTTTCTAGTTTTCGTCAGTAGTAAATCGTTTCAAATTGTATCGTCTGGATAATTTCCACTGATAATTACACTGTTTTTCACGGTGTCTTTCCTCCTGACTCACATTTGCGAATGGTTTTTTACGTTTTGCTGTTTGCATTACGAAGTTCGGTTGTTTACATTTGACTGTAAAATTACGCGTTTTTGGACCGTGGTCGATTACTGGAAAACAATGGACCAGTCAAAATGTTTCTGAGCCAATCAAACCGCGCCATTTTGCTGGAAGTGACGCTGGCCATACAATAATACATAGAAATGAATGTTGAAGCATAAGTTACGCGAATGAGTATGTACAGCAGCAAATGGAGATTGTTAGGTATGTTTCTTTCTGGAAACATCACAACAATATTTTTTAGAGCGTGTTCAAAAACTACTAAAATCAAAAACTATATAAGATCAAAAACTATTACAACATAGCCAACGCCTGTCTAGACAAAACAACATCACTATCGTGCATTTAAACATTCCCTCAAACTAATCTAGTGTACCGTAACGCTATCCTAACCGGGATAACGATATTCGTTGTTTGCGAGTGTCGTTTTGGTGCAAAAATTTATGATCGAAGTTCATGTCTTAACACATGTATTGAAATTCTTTCGATTTGTGATTTATTTGTGATAGAACGCTCTCTCATTTACATTCGGTTGCGAATCCAAATGCCTTTCGATTTGATTGAATGCATTACATCAACTAAACACCAAAATATTTTCATGGCTGAAATAAGTTAACGGTCTGGCTACATCACTATTTTCGTTACTTACTACGACTTGCATGTATGTGTTGATCGTGCTACATTCAAAGCTACATTTGTCAAAGTTAGTAGTATTCAATGTCGTAATGAGGATTCACGAATGCTTTGTATTCTGCTTCGTGTCTCGCCATTATCGTCTCGAATTTTTCTGTCCAAACGTCATTAAACTCCTGGACATCTTGCAAGAGGGAATCCAACAAGTTCATGTTGGCCTTGACTGCCGCGTACGATGGCCCGGCGAGCACAGCGAGGTTATCTACGAAATAGAGAGAGACGAAACGTTTGCATTTGAATTTAATTTGAAGAAAACAGACGAACGCCTTCAGCACTGTAGCAAAATTTTCGTATGTAAAGTCTTGAGGTGGCATGCAAACTGGAAAGGACTTTTGCATATATTTTTTCGTATCATCAGTTTTAAAGTTGGACAAATTCACGAAATTTATTAAATTTTTCAAAGACGCGTTTCAAAAACATGCAGTGACGTAGCCAGTCACTGCATGTCTTGATAATTGCGGGGAGGAGGCAGTGTATTCATGTTCTACCGTAATAACATGCATATGTGAATATTACCGACCACCCCCCTCTCCCACGCCTCCAATAGTTGATACTGGCTGTTGCACTGAAAACATTGCAAGATATAATGCAATTTGACAGAAGGATCATTGGAGAGTTATGAAAACTGACCCAAATCGGATTTCTTCTTCAAATATCTGTGATATCCATAATCCCAAAGAAGACCACATGCGCAAAAAAATAACAGAAGACCGATGCAGCTGAACAAAGCTCTTCTAAACATCGCAGTTTTAGCATCGAACAATCCAGATGCAGCCTCTTCTGAAGCGCTTTTCTTCGGCTCCTAAAATTTTAAGAAGACATGTAACAGTTGTTTTCATTTTCGATAGGACCAGTTTGTTTGTGGATTCGATAAGATCTGTTGTTTATTGAAATACCGAGTTGTTAGTATGGTGCATTCTGAATATGGTATAAACTGAGTATGGTGTATCCTTAGAATGGTGTATCCTGAGTGTGGTGTATCCTGAGTATGGTGCATCCTGAGTATGGTGTATCCTGAGTATGGTGCATCCTTAGAATGGTGCATCCTCATCCTGAGTATGGTATGCATCCTTAGAATGGTGCATATCCTGAATAATGGTGCATCACCTGAATGGTGCATAATGATCCTGAAATCCTCCTGACTTGCCTTTGTCTGAGCATCCTGCCTGAGTATGGTGCATCCTTAGAATGGTGCATCCTGAGTGTGGTGTGTCCTGAGTATAGTACATTCTGAGTATGGTGTAAACTGAATATGGTGCATCTATGGTATGGTGCATCCTGAACATGCATTCTAAATACAATGTATTTTAACACAAGTGTGCACTTGCCTTTACTGGTGATGTATTGTCTTCGACGATTTTAGAAATTATATTTTTCTTGGTTGTTGCAAAGTTTGTGAAGCATTGTTTCAAATGTGGTGATGCCATTTTATCGCGAAAAACGACGCCATAAGAAGAGGCATATGACACAAGCTTATTCACACGAACCGATGAAGACATGGTATCACGTTTGGCGCCCGCGACAAAACTCTCCAGCAGCACACCGTCAATTTTCCTGCTGTACAATGCGTCCAACATCGAGGCTAGATCTTTGAAAGCTAAAATAATGAAAAAAAAGTGTACTTTTCAAAGGCAACAGCTAAAATCCTGTTCCGTGAAAAAGTTCCGCTATTAAACTTTTGTAAGAATATCTATTAAGATAAGACGTCGTTGCTCTGATTTGAAAACGTTTTAAAATCTACTTTCGGTTAAAGTTGTATCGAGTCATGTAAGGCTATCAAGGGTACAATCAAACGTGAGAATCATGTACTATGCTGTATAATTATTCGCTAAGATCTTAGAGATTTTTCAACGCAGTGTATTAGTGTTTTGTTGTTTGTTTGTTTTTTTGTACTTCGGTAATTTATCAGTTACATACCAAAACGGACTTTGCCATCCTTAATGTAAAGAAATGAATATGTTATGAAAAGATAACTTACGTTGCACGTTGGAATTCTTCAAAACCCCCATACGATACTCTGTCGTGTTCTCCAATGCACCAACCTGAAGAGAGAGATGGCTGCAAAATCATCTCTCTTCCATTTTCTAATTCGTATTGAATCACGTGCTCCTACCTTGGCACCGTATAACTTGAGATCAGTGTTCTGTGTGATGGCGGTCAGCGAAGTCGTGATCACTCCAGTTGTTATAGAAATGACGATGAGACCCACTAGTACCCAGGCTATCGCAAACAATCGTGCTGTGTATCCTCGAGGGGAGCGATCGCCGTATCTTCAATGTAAAAGTTCAAAGTAACATAATACCGTTCATACGTCATAAAGAATTAGTTGCTTACGTACCCTACTGTTGTCATGGTAACAAAAGCCCACCAGAAACCTTCCAGAACCCCGATGTGAAATGAACGCGGGAACTCGTCTGGATTATTCCATGTATCCTATAAGTGGAAGCATGTGAAGTACTTTACGAGTATGTTGATGTTGAAGTGGAAGCATGTAAAATAGCATGACGAGTATGCTGATGTTAGTTGTGGCGAAAGCTCTCCGTGTCATTATGCCCTTCGGCGTTTAGCCGGAGGATTCAAAAATGTATGATTATGTCCTTCAGTATTGCTTGTTTGAAACAAAGCAGTCGAAAAGAATTTGGGAACGCCATTAACCTAAGAATATAATCATACCAATGCCCAAATGGCAATACCAGCCAACCAGGCCATGAGTAAAGTGAGCAAAAGTACTGGCCATGCCGACATCACTGCATTTAAGATTGCATCTGCGCTCTCGCTCGAATCGTCTTTCATTACTAAGACTGCGATCCCAGGTGAAGTGAACAGCGGTTTGTAGTATTCACCCTAAAGACGTCATGTCTGGGTTAGTTTATGATACTCTATACTACCACATATCCGTGGAAGTACTACTGTATAACGTCCTGTTTCGTCCTATCTCTATATACTCCTTCGCGTACCTTATATTCGTCGTCTGTTTCCTTGCCCGCGATTGGGAAGGTCAGATGAAACACCTCGTCAGAGCTAAGGCTATTTTTCACTTGTAATAAGGATTTTGGGTCTTCCGTATTCAACATTGGACACACCGTGGCCGGCGCTACAGTTGCCGCAACATGTATCGACGATTTCTTTTAGGAGTTTGGGAAAAATGCCACTAACGTTACCATTGTGCTCATATATAAACGGTCGTGTATTGAACCAGCTTGTGGATATCTTTGCTGGACATGCGCAGTCAGCTGTAAAAAATTCAAAACTTTTTTTTTATATTGTATGAGCAGTTCGTCGATACGAATAAAGTGAACAATAGTACAAGTGAAATTCTTCCACAAAACTCGCTTGCGGCATTGACATCTATGATACAGTGGCGAGGAACTTTGTTCTTTTAGTGGATGCTATTCATAGAGATTTAAACTGCAGAGAATGATATAGTGGCGAGGAACTTTGTCTTATTGGCGGATGTTATTCCTAGAGATTTAAACTGCAGAGAGTGATATAGTGGCGAGGAACTTTGTTCTTTTGGTGGATGCTATTCATAGAGATTTGAGCTACAGTGAAAACATTTTCTACAAATTTTGAAATTACAGTCAAACTAGCTTTAGCTGACATCCGCGTCATAAGCGTAGACAACGTGTGTTTTCTCTTCCGTACGTAGATCTGCACATACCTTTTATACGATATATATCTGAATATTTGTTTGAAAAAATTGTACCCTACGACCGGAGTTTGATACAACCCTGCAGATTAGTTGATGTTGAATACTCATTTTGGAAATCAAGCTGAGTGTAAATACTCGAGCAATCCCACAGTTTGGATGGATTTTCAAGCTCTGGGTACTTCGATTTGTTTATCAGTCAACAAAAAGATGCATTCGAATACAATTTCGTGAATGTTTCGAAATATGCAAAAACTCTTCGTTCTTACGCGTGACTCTGAGAGTTGCAATTTTCTGGTCGCCTCCCCGAACGTTTTCTGCCTTGCAAACGTATCTCCCTGTGTCCTGAGGATAACGCAGGCTCGGTATGGTCAGCGTTTCATTCTCTTCGATGACATCAGCTGGTAACGGTTCTCCGTCTTCTCGTGCCCAGGAACGTTTCGGATGTGGATAACCGTCGACACGACAGTAGAGTAAGAACGATTCTCCTGCTGTTTTGACTATGTCCGTGCGCCCGTCCTTGTCACCGAACGAAACAATTTGTGGTGCATCTGTTAAAGCAGAATAATACCTTTAAGAATTTAAGGTGAAGTTCATCGAGCTTTGTACACTTAATATATTCTTTGGATTTATACAAATGTGTACTCTAATGTATCGCTATGTATCTCTTGAATATCATTTTCACTCACCTGGTGTTTTGTTTATTGTATACTTAGCACGAAAACCTCTCTCGGTATCGCTGTCGTCAGATTTGAACTCGATATAAAGTTCGCTGCAAGTTGACACGATTGGCGGCGGCATTTCTGATCCACAATAACCGTTAGGTGTACCCCCAAGATTCTCGGACATTCTGCCCCCCCGGCACTTCTCCTTAATGGTGACGTAATCGTAATTTATGCAATTTTTGTCAATCTCTAAACGAAACGCTTCGAACGTAAGCGAGATCGTGGAGGCAGGTGGACCCGCGATGATCCAATAACATATTTTTTCTGTCGGATAGTTCTTTCCTTCCGAATAACCGGGACTTTCTATCGTTCCTTCCGGTTCCATCATTCGAATGGGAGTTTCACAAACTGTAAACGTCACAAGAACGTTATTTAGTTGTGGACATGTTTGTGCGCTGCTGTCTTCTATGTTCGTGCTTTTGCATTAACGTAACTTCAAACCGTTGTTATTTTGAAAAGAAAATAGTTGAAACTTCATTATCATCGCAGGCATTTGTAGCTTTGGGTATTAATTCATTTTCATTATTTCATTTCTGAAGCATAAACAGAATCTTCAATCTACATAAATTATGTTCACTCCACACATCGTCACGAAACAGCTGGGCGAGGGAGAAAAATAAAGTCGAGTTTGTTATTTGTTTTTACTCGAACGAAAATCTCTTGTGGGTATTTTTTACTTTCTTCTAAATATACCGCGCTCTTCTCTGCAGCTGCGAAACTGTACAATCGTAAAATATGAACTAAAATATTTTATGTTTTGTATCCGCGTCATCCTTGGTTACAACATAGCAACGATGATAACACTTACCAGTTGCATCTGTCAACATGTCGTAGAATATCTAAAGATGAGATTAAAACTAGAAATTCATCATTTATACAAAAACAGTCATTTTTAAGGACTTTCCTCAGGAGTACAGCATGTATCCTGTTTCATGGTACTCGGTCCTAGGTACAAGGTCAAGCCCCCATTCAACTACTTTAGTTCGAAGAAACAGACGAGGAAATTTATAACAGTTAGGAATGCCGTGGTATTTGTATCGTTTTTAAAACATGTTTAAGCACACAAGTGTTATATATTGCTTTACTTACCAAAACTATTAGACCAAATAAGAAATCGTGACTTAGCAATATCATCTTTGAGTCGTCTAAATTTGCTGTGCGATTTTCATGCACTTTACCTCCAGCTATTTTACTTTCGTATTGAAGACATCAATTATGAATGTATGTAAATTATTATACCAGTTCACAGCGACGCACGTTAATGTTTGTTAATTATTTATAATCTACCGCAAGTGGCATGCACTAGTTTCTTGACCAAATGGTGTAAATAACTCAGCCACGGTATGCTTGAAGTTTAAAGTTTGTTTAACACTGCGCCATTTCAAACTTTGCCATGGAATTTTCCGCCATAAACTTTACTGAATATCAATCACTCCATTTTTTTTATATCATCTGAACGCGTACCCTCGATAGTTACTAAAGAATATTTGAAAATAACTCCAGACCTAGATCTTAAATTGATTTCCTAGCATCACGCATTATGCTCTGTTTATGTGGTCCTGTTCCATCAAATCCCTAACTTTCCTTACTCTTTTCTTCATTTCTTTGTCTTTTTTAGTCCTTATTTTCTTTAGTGATCTTTCTTTAATTCACCTTTGATTCGTGTCTCTTCCTATCATGCGACTGTGAGATTGCATGTTTCGAAGATTTATTCGTTTCAATGTATCCATAGCCCTTCTATCCTTGTTCAAAATAGTTTAACCGACGGCTAACATTTCTTTAATTTTTCCTGACATTCTCGTTCTCTGTTGTTCATTCGTCATTGCCTACACTGACATACGTTATCTTATTTCTTATATATTTTATTAAGAGGAAAGACTGTTCTTGTTCTCTGTAGTTCATTCATCTCTACCTACACTTATACATGCAATCTTAGTTTATATTTTAGATAGTGTAAAGACTGTTCTTGTTCTCAGTTGTTCATTCATCACTACCTACAATGATACATTTCATCCTAGTTTATATTTTAGATAGTGTAAAGACCTCTTCTCGTTCTCTGTAGTTCATTCATCTCTACCTACACTTATACATGCAATCTTAGTTTATATTTTAGATAGTGTAAAGACTGTTCTTGTTCTCAGTTGTTCATTCATCACTGCCTACAATGATACATTTCATCCTAGTTTATATTTTAGATAGTGTAAAGACCTCTTCTCGTTCTCTGTTGTTCATTCATCACTACCTACACTGACACACGTTATCTTAGTTTATATTTTAGATAGTGCAAAGACTCTTTTCGTTCTCTGTTGTTCATTCATCACTACCTACACTGACACACGTTATCTTAGTTTATATTTTAGATAGTGTAAAGACTTTTCCCTGACATCATTAATGCAGTTTTCCTTAATTATGAGTGAGAACTCTGGTTACTGCTTCACGTATAAATAGCTTGAATGATGCAAGCACATGCGTATATAATCAGTGTATATGCTCTGCGTTTCACACGCACATCATGTCCGTATCACACGCGTATCATAGGTTTATTATAGATATATCACACGCGTATTTAAGTGTATCATGCGTGCATCTCATACTGGTATCATAGTTGTATAATACTCGTATCATAAGCGTAGTTTATGTTAAGAAATACGCTAGCGGTACTGCAAGAATGTTGTGTTAAGAACTGTCAGTTTGGAAGTGACTGCAAGAAAACAAAAAAGCTTTATACGAGCCCTGAAAGAGAGGGCACTAAAGTACGTGGTTTGAGGCAAAAGGATACATTACGGACAAATAGATGGAGGCCGATGACTTGCTATGTCCATCACTTAGAAGAGGAGAAGCCCAAAGAGAAAAGGGAAAGTATATGCATTCATTTTGATATCGAAAATTTCTTATCGTAACTCCAAAACAATAGGCAATGTATCTTTTATAGGTTTGAAAATTTCTCTTCGGGAATAACATTAATCACAACGCATGTTAGTACAGGTATGAAATTCTATGGTATCCGTGTCATTTTTCAACGTATTCAATGTTACATTTCAATTTTTTATATTTTGAGGAGTTTTCCAGCAACAGCGGCAACCCACGACAAATTGATTCTCTAAGAAAGTTGGAAAAAACTCACCGGAGAACTCTTCGCCTCACCCGCGGAGGTTTGTAAAAACTGTAGCACACTTTTTCTTTATGATAAAAGCGTCTGCAAAAAAGCTACTTTTCCAGGATTGCTCTCACGTCCGGTAAAGTCGTTTTTCTAAGTGTTCGCGCGTAGAAACCATTGAACTAAAATACATGGAACGCTACCTGAAGCAAAAAATTGAAGCCAAATCTTACACCCAGACACGCGAAGTATTAATTGATTGACTACACTCGCGTGTCTGGGGTAAAATCACGGCTTCAAAAAACTATTGGGGTTTTGTACTACAGGTAGCGTTCCATGTATTTTAGTTCAATGGTAGAAACTGTAAATTTTTCATCACATACGTGTGCACAGCATCGCCGCCGGCATTGCAAAAAAAAATCCAGCCAACTTGTTTTCGAAATCACCTGCTTGCCCAAATAGCGCTGTTGCGTGTTATGTTGACGTAAGGTTACCGTCAATAAGCAAGACCACCAGTAAATGTGTCAGATGATAAACAAAATATATTGTTTCACGAAGGTGTGATAATTCTTTTTATGTATCTATAGTGAAAATTAATGGAGGACAAGTGAAATCTTAAATCACACTTTGCGATATCAATTTGCCAAAGTTGAAGCTCTTCAGGAACCCGTTACAATTGTAAGTAATTAAAATGGCACTTAACATCTTCATTGACGGACGAAGAATTCTTACTCGTGTTTATCGCTTACAAATTTCTGGCAACAACTGTTTTTATAACATTATTTTTTCTTCTTTTCTTGTGCATGTTGTGTCGATAAAATGCTAATACCTAAACACTTTCTTTTGTTTTCAAACGTGCCTTGTTTCATCTAGTAAGTGTAAAAACACATTCTTCTTATTTATAAGTTCAGTATTTGATGGAGAGAAATCTCTACTCTAAGCTTATTTTCCAAACGAAACGATATCCATAGCATCTATATTTACGAAAAAGACATCCGTTTACTGTTTCTGTCCTCTTAACATCACGTGATCATACTGAACATGCGTGTTCTTACCGAAAGAATTATTTCTATTCGGCATCGGGCGTCAGACCACAAGGACGCTTGAACTCCTGACCGCGTTCGTGAAACCATTTGTTGGCAACTTAAAATAAAACAAACAAACTTTCGTGAAAAACAAGGCTGTAGTCATTTTAAAGCTGTGACACTTTGAACTGAATAGATATTTTTCACGCATGAAGTCTTCGCAGACTCTTTCTCGAAAACTTGTTTACTAGGGGAGTGTTTATGCGGTTAGTTCGACAATGGGTATGTTCGATGGGTTTGTCTATAAAATTTTTTTGAGGAATCGTCTTCAATTGTATTATATGTGAAAGGGTTTATTCATATTGGAATCTTTAACATCTCAACATTGTTCAACTCTCAGCCATTTTTCTACAGCTAATTAGTATAAAAGAAAATGGTTTTGTTTGCAAAGCAAGTATTGGACTTTACATGAAAGTTCGATAAATGCTATTGTAAGTCTTGACCACAAACACTTCTTTTAACATACATGCAATGGAATCCCTCTTTTTGAACACATCAGCATAAAAATCAACTGTCATAGCGTACATGCGGCACAGGATAGCTACAACGCTGGATTGTTTTAAATTGTTTTCAATACACGCTTACCCCATTTTGTCCCCGAGATAATGGGACATCCCGCATGCCTCGTTCTGAAATCACCGTCTCCGGATCTCATCAAATTGTGCCAAAAGACCAAGTCACCCTTTTCGGAAGAAACCATTTATATTTAACTGTAAATTTTGTGGCTACGCGACGCTAACTAGTGCGAACTTATAAGTTATTTTAAGAGATTCTTATCAAAAATTTTACAGAAAAAAACGATACCACAAATTATTTTTTTTGTGGATTTAAGATTTACCTCCGATGGTTTAAGTCGTGCGCCGACGTAAGGGAAAACTGTCGCTCCACCTGCCTCGGCTTTGTTCATCTGAAAGTAGTGAGTCATTGTTAATCATCAGCAAAGGTAGGGATTTTTTATTAATGTAGTGTGTTTGGAAGTTAACCACATTGGTTGCAATGCAAAGACTGTTTGAAATGTTTACTTCTTTCTATGTGTATAGAACATTGTTCGTTATGCAAATAAACGTCATTGTGACATCACGCTGAATAGTCAGCAAAGAAAACAGTTGTTTTGTCGACAGTTTGCCATGAAATATCTATCTTTGACGCGTTTAAAAATATTTTTGTATTCATCTACAAAGATATATTCGTTAAACTGTTGTACTTGATGTCATAAACAATTTATGAAAATGATGCTTTTGATGTCAAGTACGCCAACCGAAAATCATCCTACACAAGTCCAGAACTCGTGTTTCTGAGGTTTGAGTGCGGTTGTGATTTTCATCTCCCCCTGCGTTTACCTAATTGTCGTTTGCGATTGTGTTGGACGTACTGAACCGATAAAATCAACCCTAGCATAGTTAAAGACCCAATCATAATACAGTGTTTAGGTCACGTGTTTATGGCGTATTTATAAGAAAATAAAGTGGAGTTTTTTCTTGACTGTTAAGATAAATTATTAATTTATTTGTTAACTTTTCTAGTAGCAATATGATATTCATAAATTCTGTTTCGTCTTTCGCGATTACATCGAAATACTTGTGACATATGTATGTGAAGTGCTGTTGTAAACATCCCCCTAAAAAAATTCATCACATGTACTTGAAGACTGGTGCAAAACCTACATACTTACATACTTAACAAAAAAGAACTATGGATCTAACATAAGTAAGTTGTACGTAGGGGCTTTGGAAGCTTTTAAAAGTTGCGGGTGTTTCGTCCTCACGTAAAGATAAGTCACGAAAGTCGAACAGGTAATTAAACTGCTTGCTTTTTGGTTATTTTCAGTTGGCTTTTCTTTGACTTCATCATGTAGAAGTCAAAATCGCGTACCTTAATTTAAAAGCATATCACACCAGAAGCGGGCATTCAACGTATCGTAGAAGGTAAAGCAAGAAGCGAAATTTGCAGATATCATTCAAAAATAAGGGAAGCTCGCTTACTTAGTCGTGCTGTGGTCATGCTTTGCAAATATTTCTTTGTTCAACCAATGTAATAGCAAAGCAAAGCATTTCAAAAGAAACGAATGATGAAAATGTTTCAAAATTTACATATGGCATTACCAAAACTTGCGAGATCGCTTAGCTGCTGGTGTCCAAACACCCTGACACCCACTGCCTCTCAAGCTCTTGAGAAATTGACATGTTTGTATTATTGAAAGCCATCCATAAAAGCATCATATTAATTTTTCAAAGCGAAAGACTTGTCAGTTAATGGAGGAGGCGTGAAATCACACGTTTTTAGACAACCTGTCAAAGTATTTTCATGCCAAAAAAACATTTCCGTATTCACTTACGTATAAAAGGGCGGTAGCGATACGATTTCCATCACCAAAGCTCTTGATCAACTTCAGTTCACTTTCCTGCAAAGTGAAGATTGTTTAAAGACGTTTGCTGATATTCTGTGCCCAGCGTCATTCATCGTCCATGCTCACCGCTCAAACGTTAAGAAAGCCAGAAAGTATAAATTGTTAAAAATTTGATAGGTATGATAAATTATTATTTTTTAACTAAATTTTATGACCACTTAAACTTACTTTGGCCGCGCGAGCTTTTTCAAGTTTGAGCTGTGAATACAGAGAATAGAAGTATAATGTAAAAATTCTTTCGTCAGCATCCCTCGGCATGCATTTTCCATAAAAAAATTGACCCATGCTGGCCATGCAGCATGACTATATAGACAGAGCATTCAACTTATCTTCGTTCTGTAAATTCTTTTTGAATGAATACCATCATAACTTACCCGAGAGAAGTCAAAGTGTGGAGCATATTGACCGGCCATTCCATAATTTTGTACCTAAACAGAATATTTCGCTTTTTTACTGAACCTTTCGTGATGTGTGTAAAGCTAGGATATTCGCACCTGGGGGAAATTTTACCGAAATATACACGCATGTGATACCCACTTCAACTACACTCAAAATAAGTTGTTATATTCTCCATTACCTGAAGACCTTCAGCTGTCGTCACATCTAACTGCGTAACGGCACCTAATCTTGCGTTGATTTTGGCCACAGTGTGTCCGTCTTCGTCATTTAACCAGGCACTAAACACAAGCAAGAGTTTGAAGGCTTGAACCGTTTCTTCATGCAAATGTAAGAATAAATTGGAATCCACGAGAAGTTTTTCTTACAATTCACTGATCCTGTAGCTCGCAAACTCTATTACTCCCGTCGTTGGATTATGTACAGTTGCTCTAGAAAGCTGTGTGATAAAAATAAATTAAAGATGAGAGCCCTCCTTTTGCTAATGGAGTCAAAAATGAGCCTTTAAAGAGGCATCCTTTGTAATTTTCGCACTTTGAATAGAATTGTATGCAACACACTAAAATTGCTTTAAAAATCACAGTTGAAAGTTTTTCGTCTATCATGAATGTACCTGTGGTTCAGAGATCGCCTTAAGGTCTTCAATTTCTTCTTTTGTGGCAAAGTTTCTGAATATGTATAGTGGTGGTTTTTCCCATACTCGCTCCATTCTTGCAGGTTTGATTCTTAAAAGCGGATCTTTGTTGAAAAACGAGCACTTGAGCTTGTTGACGTTCTGCTTTTCCTGCCAATATAGATGGGTTGAATGTTCAAATCACGCTCAGCTAAGGATGTTAGAAAGTGAAGAGAAAAAGATATCGTGAAATTTAACTGCGAGGATAGGAACGCAATAGTGTTGATGTTGATAAAATATGAAAGAAGATGACAGGAAAAGAAGTGCGTAAGAGTTCCGTTGCATGAGATGACTTCTTTGGCGATACAGCCAATACCTCAGGATACAAAACTATCCCCTTGGCATACCTGTATGTACAGCAATAACTTCATATGATACAACACTATCCTCTCAACATGACACTTGTCCTACAACAGTTACCTCATAAGTGAGAATACTGTCCCCTCGACATAACCTTTTGTAGTTTTCTCGCTCTGTTGGCCAATCAAAGTTATCGTAATCGTAGCGTTTTCTCTGATGTGGTTTCAGTTTTCGTTTCCGTTTTCGTTTTCTTGCATTCGGTTTTCGAGGTTTTTCGCCAATTTTTTCCATGTTTCTCTCGCTCTCTCGTTGTAAGTATATCAGATTTGTCTGCGCTCTTTCGTGGTCCGGCTCTGTAAACATCAATTGTATATTTTTACTTTAAGTTTTTCTGTTGCAAGGCACAATTTCATCTGCAATTATGAAGCTCAGCTGTCATTTCTTCATTACTTATGTTAAAATCATATGTCGTTCTATGGTTGATCAACTTACCCAAAAGTAACCATTCTCTTGTGTAGTTGACTGCGTTTTGTATGTTTCCCAACTAAAGTTAAGAAATGGAATGTGAATGATTTGAACCCGGGAGTATCGTTACATGTTGTAGATGTAGATCGTCCAGGTTAGTAGAGTCCTGAGGACTGTTTTTGTTGTTGTTGACTGACGTTTCGACAACCTTAGCGGTAATCATTAACTCTAAAGATGACTACCGCTAATGATTTGTCCAAACGTCAGTCAACAACAACACCAACAGTCTTCCTCAGGACTCAACTAACCTGGACGATCTACATTCAAAAACATGAAATGTAGCTATCTTTGTTAAATAATGCGATATCTCATTATGTGTAATGCGTATATAAGAACACGTTTCTTGATTAAGAAGATTCCATCCATTCCAAGCTTAAGTGTAACGGTGAACAAATACAATGGGAAATATCTTCTGGATGTTAACTTAAATCTGTGAAAGGTACTGGAAATACTAACAAGAATCGAAATGGCGTCTATTAGTTGTGGGAACCGAACCTATCTGACTGACGACTAAATGGGCAACCTAACTTCTAAATGAACAGATAAACAAACTGATGACTGAACTGGTAACCTAACCTAAGAAATGAACCGATAAACGAACTGATTGCCAAACCACCAAACGAAAGACACAAGGTCAGTTTTCACCTATGTTCTCGTTTTTTTCATGTGTGTTCATACCTCAAAAAGACTCGCTTAAAACATATTTACATTCTTTTTATTTGAATGGAATAATAAAGTTGTATAAAAATGGTTACCTTGTACTCGACCCAACTCAGATGATCCAAAATGTCGCTCATCTTCACTCCATTTTTATAACTTGTTCCGTTCATTTGTCTTCTTGCCTCTCTCATCCAAATCTTCGTATGTAAATACTGCTCGTTTCGATAAGCGTCTCTTCCGATTGTGAAAATATCCTCTACTCCCAGTTGTTCTTCGTTCGTTGGAACCTTACGCAAGCCCGCGCTGATGTAAGACGGGGGGAGTCGGTAGGTTTCTTGTATGCGTGCTATTGCTTTCAACGCACCGTCCAAATCTACCTCAGATGGCATAAGATCTTTGTAAGTTCTTAAACGAGCTAGAAGTAGGTCTGGAAGGAAAATCATTGTTGATGTTAGCTTGCGATTTAAAATAAACACTTAATAATGATATCTAGTCTCGTTTCTTTTGTCGCTAAGGTTCTGCGCATTGTATAATCTTATCTCAAATAGGTGTTAAAGCATAAGGCCCATTTGTGTTTCGTCGAGGTTTGCGAATTTAACTATTTCTATGAATCCCAACATTGATATTAAATATTTAATATCCTCATCCAGTTTGTGTCAAATATGCACAGTATCAATGCATCATTAATGAATATTTCTTCGGTGCCTTGTTTTTATAAGTGATTTAAAAAAAACCCCAGAAAGGCCATGTCAGAATGAGAAATGAATATTTTTTAAAAAATAGGTCAACTTTTTGTTGCCATAACTCGACTCAACTAGACTTTTCCTATCATTTAAATCAATATTATTTCGCGACAATCGTTCCAAAAACTCGACACAAAATGGGCAAACACATTTTTACAGATATTGACCGTTGTCAAGGTTTTGTCAAGGTTGAAATAAATCGCCTTTTGTCTTTTAATACGCTCTTCGTGTTGATTTAATTTTAAATGTCATACAGTAACTCCATAAAGACACGGTGTTTTGAAAGAAACTTAGAAAGTTCCAGGAAGTGTAGTCGGTTGCGAAGCAGCCAAATGAGTTGCTAAAGAATGCATGTTAAAAACCATGACCCACACATGGAATATAAAAACTCCGCTATAACATATTATTTCATCTTAGCAAGCTTTCCGAATAATCACCTTGGTTCACTTCCATCGTCTCCTTCATTTGACGCCAAGATCCTACAAAGCGCTTTAACATTCGATAAGCGCGGATTGGATTGGCTGCGTACTCCATTAATGACGTCCCCGTGTCAAGATTTAACTGTCTAGCGCTCGCTATTTCGTTGGAAAATTTGCGTAACTCTCTCAATTTTGTCTCCTCTGAATTTATGTATTCTCCCAAGGCCCGGTGGAGTTCTAACTCGACGGAGGCGAGTTTTGCCATATGATTGTATGCAGTAAATATGTCGCGACAGAGCACCTTTTGCAATGATAAACATACCACCAAAATATATAACATTGTCTGTGATCTAAATGCCATAGTTCTTCGTTCAATTTTTTTTTGATTTTGTAATAATTGTCAAGCGAATCAATTTTACTTCATAATAGAACGCTCCCCTGTAGATGTCTTCATATTTAACGTCAATGGAAATCACATATGAATGAGACTTTGTTTAGAACTTTGTGTATTGTCTTTCAAAGATCCGCTTTACCATGACGTAACCGCGTTAAGTGTCGTCTTTCAATGGACCGTAGGATGTTTTGGGATGTTTAGGAATGTTCGGGATATTCATAACGTTTATGTTTCTTTGTGATTTGTTGATGAGTTTAGAGAGGATGCACTATACAAGGTACAACAAACGATGTGCACACAAACTCCGAAATACTAAAAACACACGGTTGAACTTCTGGCGGGTGGAATGTGAGCCAGCAATGCCTGCAAGCGGGAAGGCATTTCCGAAAAGTACGCGTAGTTTTAACTATCGCTTTTTGATGTCGAAATGCTTTTTTAATTATTTTATGCTACGTGTGTAAAAGCACGTTCAAATTAGTTCATCTTTGGAGGCGCGTACTTCAGATCTCCCCTTAAAAACTCTTTGCCCTCTCTCGACCTTCACTGGCGCATCCTAACAGATATCTCATGTGCAGAAGTAGAGTAAAACATGGCTAATACCGACTTTCAAAGTATTTTTTGTCATAAAACAATGGTGACACGAAGAGAAATTGCGCGCTTTCCAATCTAAAAAGATCTCTATTTAACATTTGCTAATAATGAGGTGTGCAAAAATTTAAAATTATTTGTGGTTTCTCTCGTTAAAAGACCGTGCAAGATCATAAATATGGAAAGAGACCAACGATTCGATATAAAATATTAAAAATCTCATTGTAAGGGCCGTTTTAAGAGCATTGCTTTTTTTGAGAAAAAAAAACAGTCTTAGCTATCTCTGTACGTTCATGCTGCACCTGTATAAACAAAATATTTGCTAACGATTTCTTGCACATTTGAATTCATGTCTTCAAGCAGCGACGCAGTTTTGTAATACTTCCAACCTTTTAATCTATTCCAATAAATGATGGCGACGAATTTGGGGTTTTTTTTATTATCAATTAATTGTGCTCCGCAACATCTATTAGGAATAAAGTAAATGGTTTACAAACATCTATTAGGAATGTCAGAAATTAATGCTGAAAGTATTCTTATTTTCAATTAAAGTTGACATCAAACACCAATGTACTTTAGTAAGCCACATTGATTCTTGCATGTAAGATCCATGTGGGATATTGGAGTTTCGGACATATGATTGAAATGCCCGCTTTGAGCGACGCGCCAATTATTTTTTAACACAATATTTACCGACAATGTGCGATTTTAATTACTTCCAATTTAATGTTTAATTATCGGTTTTAGTTAATCGACAGTCGTTGGAATCGAAATGTTAACATGGAAACAAACGTGGAAAATAATCAATAGCAACTCGTAAAGATATGGGCTTTAATTGGAACACGAAATAAAACTGAGCGTTAATCTACAATAATTTCCAAGTTGGAAAAAAGAACAAGGTATGCCAAGCATTGTTGTTGAAATATAATGGCCTTTTTTGGAGCTTTTATTAGACTACCGTTTAGCAGTATTTTCGTTCTGAAATGATGCTAGCCTCGAGATAGTCATGTTTTAGCTGCAAAAGACGCTTTCGCGTAAATAAGCTCGTGCAAGACTCGAATGTTTTATATAGACAGCAGACGTATTAAAGGTGAAATATATTAAATTCTTTAATGAATAAATCAAATTGTTTTTCAGGACTACCGTAAAGTTGTGCAATTCTCTCTCAGCTGGATAAAGTTTGTTAATATTTAATGATTTTTTCAAATGTCTGATGCAAATACGCTCTCTCGTGTTTATTGAATTGAACAGAAAAGAAAGACTTCAAGACTGAAATATAAAAATTACCATACAAAGGGATTTTGATGTTGGGCTGATGCTGCACTTTTCGTGTTGTGTTAAAATTCTATATTTTTAATGCAGACACTGAAAAGATTTTCAATTGAAATCGATAACAAAATCCGAGCATTTTCACATCCAACAATGCCGAATATTTTTAACTAAACCAGTCAAAACTTTGTTTTCATAAAACACAAATCCGCGCTATTGACATTTTTTGGATAAAAAAATGCGTTTTCACTCGCGAATTGAAGAATTTTCTTCACTAATTGTCTTAGTGCAAAATTTACTGCTTGTCCCCACACTCTCTTTTGTAATCCAGTAATTTTATATAATTGTATTTTTTCCAAACAAGTCAAATCCTTTGATCAAGCTACAGCATGAACCCAACCCATATAGTCCCTCTAGTAAATTTTCTTTATTTTGGGGCTATTTGTGTAGCTACGGCTGAATAGTATCTCATGTCCATTCCATAGATTTCTCTGACCAACTTATTTTTATTATTTTCAATTTAATTTAATTTCGTCTCAACTATTCAGATTTTCCTCCGGGTTTGGCCCACAATTTTTATTCCATCACAATCGATTATTTACTTTTGTCTTTATAAGCCGTTGGCCCTCCTTCATCAGTGTGTTTCATAGATGTAAATTTGATGAATTTTTTTTTAAACATGAGCAAAAACTATCGTATCAACGCAGTAAAGACCAAATCCTATTACGCCGACCGAGAAAAATTTAATCTTGGTTTTAATAAAAGGAACTGCGGTTGTCAAGTGGAGATAAAATAGTTGTTAGCCATGCATGATTAGACTTATCATTTCACCCAGCGATTGAATTATAGTGAATCAATTTTGTACATCCCCGTAAGCAAATCTCGAAATTTTCTTTTGTTGCAGAATGCCGTTTGAAAAGGGCTACCGATGAAGAGACTCTGTTTAATCTCTGGCTTTCTAAAAGCAGTAAGTATACTAAAAAAGCCTCAAGCTCTTGGACAATACGTTAAAAAACAGACAAAGTGTAATTAGTGTGAAGACAAAGCAAACAGAATTTTCTATTGATTTTGCTCAAGTCAGTTTTACTTTGAGCTTGTTTTAAAGTCAAGGCGTTTGTGTGGATACTTTGCTACATCTTGCAAAGTTATAGGTAGTCTTTGTTTCCTTGTGTTAATTTATGTTGCTGGTGAATACATAGTTGAAAATTTTAAGTGCTCAAAGCATGGGTCATGTTTGCTTCAAAATGTCACCGTTTTACTTAGTTTCAACATGGTTGCTTGTAAGTTTTTGTATATTAAATATTTCATCGTGACCATTTCGTCTCCTGGGTGTTTTATAACTCCTCGTTGTCTGTAAAAAAAGATAAACGAACAGTCTGTTTATGGTAAAGTCTTCACTGCGTGGGTTGTCTCAACACTCAAGTTACCTGTACTCTACTTAGGACAGAACTGACTTTTGTTTTTGTTGCTTTTCTGTTCTTTAGTTTAAATGTACGGTTTTTTTCATCGTCCTCACCGAAATCCCTTTTCTGAAAGCACAAAATGGTAAGAAAACATATCTATGTATATGTACTTCAAACCAACAAAGATAACTTTCGTTTTTTATGTTCCTCTTCGTTCACATTCCAATTTTATCATTGGTCGTGATGTTGAGAAAGTTTGTTTCAGTTTGTCCCCGATGTTTCGTTTCGCTTGAGTTTAATGAACTAAAACGTCCAATTCATCACTACTCACCAATCCTTCTTCATCTTTCTCTAACCTTATCTGTCTTCTTTAATTTATTAAATTATTATTCACTTTTTCGCTCCTTTTCTTGTGAATTTGACATGATAATTACTCTTGTCTTACCCTTGTACATTAGCAAATATTTAAGTTTCTCGTTTAGTTTTTAAAAATTACGAGAAGGAATTCGTTTACACTTATGAAAACCATTCATTAAGTTGGCAGAAATAGTTCTCTTAAAGAATTACGACTAGTTGCTACATACTTTAGCCATATAATTGGAATACTCACTGAAAAACCACGAGGCGTAAAGCGTTACTAGCAAAGCGAACTGTCTTCATCTCGCATATTAACAACAGAAGACTTCATTATCTTCCCCGCTGGTGTAATGTATTTTTTGAAAAATTAACAATATTGGTAAAATAATGACTCGTCACTTGTACATGTCGTTTTTGTCTTGTTATAGATTCTCATCTGCCATGGTTCCACGACGCTGATAATTTTTGGGACTTTGACTATGTCGAAAACAACACAGTTTTGGATTTAAAAGGAAAGCCCTCCTCCGCTATTATTGGTAAATACGCCATCGTTCCAGGTCAAAAAGATAATGCGCTCGAGTTACAAGGAAGCAAATTTAACAAATCCTATATTACACTCGCGGACTTCAATCATACATGTCTACCGAAACCTTCGACGTGTTTTATGGTTTCACTTTCAGTTTTTGGTTGAAGTTAGGAGAAGTTCAGAACAATGGCGTGTTGTTGCAGCTTTCTATAAGCCGAAAACATCCTGGTATTACCATGAATGTTATTGTAAGTCCTCGGTTTGTTTTAGAATTTCATATCAATACACAATCTTATATGTACACAACTTCTGAGAGTCTTGGCATCAACACCTGGCATCACATTGTTCTGATGTGGAACCCGAAAAGCGGAAGATGACTTTATTTTTGAATTGCGTCACAATGGATGATCTCAATACGATCGTCAAAAAAAGGACACGAAGTAACAAGACAGGTGAAGATACGAAATTAGTTCTTGGTGCAAATCATTCTGGCAAAAGAACACTTCCTATTATCATCGACAACCTTGCGATCTGGTTCAAAAATTTACCAGATCATAGAATCTGTGATATATTCAAGCAAGATAGAGGTTAGTTTTATACTGTGTGAAATCATAAAATATACGATCATCTTATATATATATGGTTCATATTCCCTTTAATTTTCGAGATGAAGTCTCGTTTATTAGATAAAATTCATTCATACCACTGGAAAAATGTTTAGCTTTTGAAAAATACCTTATAAAATCATTGTAAAGCGAGGTTTTTAATGACTTTTCGAGTAATGGTCCTATATTCCTATCATTAAAACATCTAATCGTTTCCTTTGAGAAATCCACTTCGATTTTTTACCCTTAAATTTAGTTCATGGCAACTACTCCTCGTGGTCGATGTTTTCTCCGTGTTCTGTCTCGTGTGGATCTGGATTTAAGATTCGTAGGAGAACCTGCGATAATCCTGTTCCTGATTACGGTGGACGAGATTGTGAAAGATTAGGTTCGAGTTTTGAAACATTAGGGTGTGCGAGGGAACCTTGTCCTGTACACGGAGGTTACACCCTTGGTCTAATTTCTCAGAATGCTTTCCAATTTGTGGAAATGGAAGTACAAAGTACAGAACTCGAAACTGTTCTAATCCTGAACCACAGTATGATGGAGATAACTGTTCTGTTATTGGTCCAGCAATAGAGACGATGGATTGTCCGTTGATTCATTGTCCCGTACACGGAGGGTACACCCCTTGGTCTAATTTCTCAGAATGCTTTCCAGTTTGTGGAAATGGAAGTACAAAGTACAGAACTCGAAACTGTTCTAATCCTCAACCACAGTACGGTGGAGATAACTGTTCTGTCATTGGTCCAGCAATAGAGACGATGGATTGTCCGTTGCTTCCTTGTCCCGTACACGGAGGGTACACCCCTTGGTCTAATTTCTCAGAATGCTTTCCAATTTGTGGAAAGGGAAGTACAAAGTACAGAACTCGAAACTGTTCTAATCCTGAACCACAGTACGGTGGAGATAACTGTTCTGTCATTGGTCCACCAATAGAGACGATGGATTGTCCGTTGATTCCTTGTCCCGTAGAGGGTACACTTGGTCTAATTTCTCAGAATGCTTTCCAGTTTGTGGAAATGGAAGAACAAAGTACAGAACTCGAAACTGTTCTAATCCTGAACCACAGTACGGTGGAGATAACTGTTCTGTCATTGGTCCAGCAATAGAGACGATGGATTGTCCGTTGCTTCCTTGTCCCGTACACGGAGGGTACACCCCTTGGTCTAATTTCTCAGAATGCTTTCCAATTTGTGGAAATGGAAGTACAAAGTACAGAACTCGAAACTGTTCTAATCCTCAACCACAGTACGGTGGAGATAACTGTTCTGTCATTGGTCCAGCAATAGAGACGATGGATTGTCCGTTGATTCATTGTCCTGTTGATGGTAATTATTAGTTACGTGTGTCGTTGAAAAGTCATAAGTAGACATTTAAAGAAAACGAAAACTTTGGGTTTTTTTTTCACCGTAGATATCGATGTGACTGTCACCTTTAAGTTAAACAATATTTCTCAGATGAACGATTGTCGTAGTACTTCAAGTATGGCAAGACAACATTTTGAAGAAAAGCTTGAAAACGCGGTGAGATGAACGATGACTTTGTACACTTGAAAAAGACATGAAACAAACTCTGAATCGTTTCATATTCTTGACAGATAAACGGATTGTATGGAGACAAAAATGTGAAAGAAGTGAACATCAAGAACATCTGGTAAAACTATTTTAGCATTTATTGCTTTTTGAGACTTCGGGAAAGTATATTTTGGCGACAAAGCCTCTTTTACAACGACTTCGATTATTGGGAAAATGTCGTGTTGAGCTGTCTCTCTGTTCTATACTTTCAAATATTTTGCATTCCCCTCCTCAGTACTAGGTCGAAAGTCATGGTCATATTATTAACGAAGTTTTTGTGTATGTAGTATTTTTTATCGCTTTTGCACATACATTGTTGTTAAGAGATCGTTATGATGATTAATAGCTATTTATTAGCTATAGCTTTTAACAAGAGGTTTATGGTTTCGTCTACGGCTTTATTTACAACCTAATGAGTTAAGGCGCATACTTATTAAGATTTACCTTTCTTATATTCATGTGGTAGCTACATAAAGTATGACAAATTTGTCGACTTTGTAAAGTCCCCACAGAACTAAAATCCTTAAGAGACGTTGTTTGGCAAGGTTAAAAATTCGAAAAACGCTTTTTCTTCTATGTCTCAATGGTTATCTCCCTTTAACTTAGAGAAAACTGTTTCTTTTCATAGCAACGACAGCTTTCCTGTTGTTCAAGCAAAAGTTATTTACGAGCCACTAGACTTTCCTGGTCTGATATCTCTTCACGATGCTTTCTACGAAGATCGAATGATCGGTCCCTACAATGTAACCCCACTTCGCTTTTTCTCAAAATACGGTAAGGTGAAATTCCTTTTGGACCTTGCATTCGTTATGTTGAAGATTTGGAGGAAAAAATAACCTGACTTGATGACAAGTTCATTTCACGTTCGGTAGCATCAGCGTGACCTGCCCGTGTGCAGGCAATTGTCGACCATCCCAACGTAGACAAAGAAATATATTTGAAACTTCATCCTTTATCTAATGTCCATCATTTATACAACTAATTATTACAGTTGCTTTTCAAAATTTTCGCTTTACCATTTTTACCTGTAAACAGCTGCGGTTATTTTTCTACTTTTCATTTAGTTCCAACAGACATTGTTCAAAACCTTTCTGCCTTTAATCAAAGTTCTACGAGTCTAGTCCTACAATGGAGTCCTCTGGTGAACCATCCAGATAACGATGCCGTCATCGGTTATTCTGTCATGCACAAAGAACTTCTTGGATCGAAAAAGATGAAATCAAATTTTTCGGTGATCACCGCCTTTTTTAACCGATCTGAGGGAATTTTAACTGGGTTGAAAAAGTATACTTGGTACGAGATGCGAATAGCTGGCATGAGCAGGCGTGGAGTTGGATCTCCTAATGGAAAAATGCAGGTCCTTACTGATGAAGATGGTACGTGTTGAGATGACAATTTCTCATTATAATACAATGTCTTGTATGCCAATCTATTGTTTTTTGTTGAGAAGCCAACAAAGTTAATTTGTGATTCTTGCTGAGAATGTTTGTACGAAGATATGAAATCTCATAATTTCAGTGCCAAACGCTTCATCAAACTTGAAACCTTTTGGTCAAAATACGAGCTCGACATCCTTGAACATTCAATGGAAAGAAATACCGAGAGCTGACATAAACGGTGTTTTGCTGGGTTATGTCGCGTTTTACAGGCCTTCCTTTCCATTGGCGACGTCCTTTCAAAATGTCACAGTGTCTGCGAGAAATCTTTCGCTTCATTTGACCGGACTTCGAAAGTTTACGAAATACGAGTTACGTGTTGCTGGTGTAACGTCGAAAGGAGTGGGAAGAAAGTCCAACAGCACTTTTCTTTTCACTGATGAAGATGGTAATATACATTATTTTACTTGTTTTGACTTGCAAGTTTTTCTCTTTTTTTTGTAAAACAACTAAAAGTCATTCATAATGTTTAGTACCGGATGAAGCACCAATCTTTCAGTCTTTTCATAATCTCAGCTCAACTTCGATTCAAGTTCGATGGTCGAAGGTGCCCAACGATCATGAAAATGGTATAATCAAAAGCTACAAATTGTACTACAGAGCGTATATTACTAACTCCTCGTGGTTGGTGAAAGTACTTGCGGAAAACACTACCCTTCTTGTTATTGACGGCTTAGAGATGTTCCAAAATTATTCCTTTCGCATTTCTGCTTTCACGAAGAAAGGAGAAGGGAAGATTAGCGAAGCAGTCGTTGTTTCAACTGACGAGGATGGTAAGACATGACAAGCGTAGCAATGTTCAAAATTCTACCTTTGAAATGCTCGCGATTTCTCTCAAATGTTGAACTTTAGATACACAATGTTCTTTAGTCCACAGTGTTCATCAATGGTATTATTAATTAACAATTTCTATTTCTATATTATTTTTAGTGCCCTGTGCTTCACCAAACAATATTTCTGTCGTTGCCACCAGCTCGACGTCGTTGATGATAAAATGGGAGCCCATACCAGGCCCCTGTCGCCGCGGTATTTTGCGCGGTTATACAGTGTTCTTTAGGATGAAAAGCGAAATAAAGTACAAGAACATTAGCGTAAGGCCATCTTTTACTGGCGCCACTCTAGAAAACCTCACGAAGTATAAAGCATACCATATTAAAGTGGCAGGATTTACGTATAAAGGACACGGACCTCAAACAAAAGACTTCACGGAACGAACATTTGAAGATGGTACAACAAGATTTTTTTAAAAAAGGGTTCGCATTAATAAGAAGAGAGAATGTAGTCTCGCCATTACCTTTGTAATGGATCGTACATTAATTGCAGGAGAGGGTGATATTTTGTTTTCACTGCCTTAATTGGTTATACAAAGATAGGATAGGAGATGGGGTCCTTTAGAAAGACGAAAAAGTACTTTAGAAAGAAGGGGGGTAATCGTTAGTATTTTTATTTTTTTATCAACGCAAGAATATCTAGTGATCACTTAAGCCACGCTTTAAAAATATTCACTTCTATCAATGGGGCGAACCTTGTGTTAGTGTCTTGATCAATACTTAAGAAAGTTCGAAGGTAACTTTTTCTGTGAATGGGAGTGAAATTGTGTTGTTGCTGATACATTTTTCTCCATAGTCTGTATCGCTTGCTCGCGTAAATAACTTTCTTGATAAATTTTGCTTTTCATTGCACAGCGAGTCGTTCTCATTCCATGATCAAGAAGTCAAAACTTACGCTAACTTAATATGCCTTGCGTTGTTGTATAATTCGACTTAATACATCCACGTTTGTCTATTTATCCAGTTCCAAGTACATGGCCTAAAAAAATAAAAGCTTTCAATACCAGCTCCACCAGTATCAAGATAATCTGGAGTAAGATCCCACTCTCAAAAGTAAACGGACGTCTCGAAGGTTACACTATTTTGTTGAAGAAAGCGAACGAAACTGTTTGGAAGCAGGTGAACGTCTCGAAGATCGACTTGAGTCATGAATTCATTAATCTTTGGAAATATACCGTGTACCATTATCGTGTAGCTGGTTTCACATCAAAAGGTGAAGGGCCCTGGAGTAAGAGCGAATCCGTGAGGACAGATGAGGATGGTAAGGGTTTTTTTAGAACATTTGGCTAATCAATCCTGACTCATTAAAGGTAGTCAATATTTTGTACTGTGGTCGTTGAGCTTAAAGCAAAGGAAACATCTGACATTGCACTAATCAGGAAATTGCAAGTGATAAAAATCTTACAAAGATGTTATTGAATTGAATAACAACTGTTGATTGTTCTTAAACAAACAACTTTGAACAGCTGCTTGGACGTTTTGTCTTGGAAACTCATAATCAACGCACATTTGATGTTTTATGAAAACGAATACGGCTCATCAATTTTAAAATTGGACATGTTGTTGCAAACCTTTGTTTTCACAGCCAATTGAATCTTGGATCATCTCGTTTATCTTAAAAATCTATACAAGTCTTAATCACAATGTTAAAGAAAGCTCTCTCCGACTCTTGATCGTTTCCAACATGATACATGCAAAACGAAAAATCAGTTTCTTTCTGATTTCCTGAATTTTCGCCTATTTCAAACGTCGGTTATCAATTCATTTGCCAGATTCCATTGAGACATACGATAATGAAGATCACATAACTTTAAAACATTTGCTGCTTAAAAAGTTCACCGTTCTAACTAGGTCTATCCTGCTTCTTTAGTTCCAAGTCGTACGCCAGAGATGTTCACAGCTGTCAACAAGTCTGGACCAACCTCCATTCATTTAAGTTGGAAGCCGTTGCGTGATTCCTTTTACCTCCATGGTCTCCTACGGGGCTACAAAATAGTCTATAAAATGATTCGTCTTGCCGGAAGCGCTATGACTGTGGAAGCTGAGACTATGAATGTTAGTGTTTCGCCAAAAACACTGTCTTATAAATTGACGAATCTGGAAATTTATGCGCTATATAGGATACAAATAAACGCTTTTACAATCAAAGGTGATGGTGTCACTGCCGAATTATTTGAAGGTAAACATTTTCTTTACTTTAATTTCCACGAATGTTAAATTCAAGCGATTCCTGACCAAATTCTGTTTGTAGTCGTCACAAAATCACACTGTTGTAAAAAATTTTCATTGCGTCGTGTTGTATAAAGGGAACCAAACAAAGACAATAGTCATGCATAGCGACTTTCAGCTAGATTTTATTCTTTCGATTGTTTGAAGGAAAAAGTCCTAGACTCTATAATGTGTCAGTTTCTTTGAAATAACATCGAGAATTTCGATCTCTTTAGAAACCTGCAAATGTGCTTCAGCTTATAAAACAAATTGGTGGATCAATTCTCCCTATATGGATCAGAACAATAGCAAGGTCACTGGGATTTTTTCACATGTACTTCCTTTGATGGTATCGAAATGTTGTGGCTCCTGTCACGAACACAATCAGACTGTCACTCACTTCGAGAATCCTTCAAAAACCATTTCCTATCGCAAATCTGGAGTGAATGCATTTCGTTCTGCTGTGAACGATGACATAGAACTCCATTTTCCAATGCACGGCCAGTTGCATCAAGTCAAGTATTACAAGCGCTACGAGTTTATACCCCTGGTACAATCTCCTGGGGTGGTTTTCCTCGTATTGGAAGAGGACGAACACACGCCATCGTTGCTATTATTGAATGCGATCAGCGAATCGTTACCAATCGTTGTACTGATGATTGTATTAAGTTTACTCATGGGAATCGTAGTTTGGTTCGTGGAGCGTTTTCAAAATATTCATGAGTTTCCTACATCGTTCACTGGTGGTGTACAACATGGAGTGTGGTGGGCTATTGTCACAGTAACGACCATTGGGTAAGGTGCATTATATCTATGGTAAGACGTATACGCCATTCAATAATCACACGTGATTAAAATTTACATAATTAATGTTAGGTGTTATCTGGCAATTCCACACCATGTTCAATATTGACCCTATAAGTACCTATAATAGGAACTTCGTTGGAAATGGTTATTACTCGGTCATGGGCGTGCCCTGGGAGGAGCAAAGGAGGCAATCCCCTCCCTTCGCGTTTAAACCCTAAAGTTTGTTTTTTGGAGCGCCTAAGTGACATGATCATCAAAAAAACCAAGTAGGATTGAAACCAGAAGCCTGTTGTTTGAAATGAAGTGCTCAATAGCATTGTTTGTAATGAGCACCGGAACTTTATTCAAATACTGAGTTGGTGTGCAGAAGATTCACTGAAATTTTTTATTCCAATGAAAATGAGATCGAGATTTGATGTTTTTAGGGTTTGAATCACGAATTTAATTTTTCCAGATACGGTGACAAGTCCCTCGCTCAGTAATGGGAAGAATTCTTGGAATTGTTTGGGTTCTCTTTGGTTCCATACTTGTAGCTATGTATACTGCATCAATTACTTCAAGTATTACAAGTGAAGTGGTCAGCGACACGGTGAAGCTCTATGGCACTAAGGTACAAACCACATATAGAGATACATACGTTTACCTATACATGTGTTTACCTATTAAAATTATTGAAAATAGTAGGATTTTTTTGCCAAAGCCTGAACAATAACGAGGCCATTTGTCAGAAGGGTTCTATTTCAAAATTATGTTATCTGTGTAAACTTCCCTGAAAGGCTTCTTATTGCCTTCCATCAATAGTTCAGCTGTTGTCACTCTTCACACTGGAAATTGCTTCAAGAAGCCATTTTACATTAGACTTGCTCTGCTTTCAGGTGGCTGTTATACAGAACTCTTCAGAACATCAATTGGCTGTCAGAAAGAACGCTAAAGCTGATTTAGGTAAGACCAATCGAAGTAAATATTTCTGGCAAACTATTTCGATAGTATTGTGAAATTCAAAAAAACGTATTGTGGAAATTCGTCCTTTCTTAGATCATCTCTATAGCAACCTTACGATGTGTACAATGGTCTTAAAAACCGTTACGTTAAAGGGGCATTGGTTGATGCTTATGCCTTGGGCAGTCAAAGGCACTTGTTCAATAATCTTGAAGTTACACTGCAAGAAATCTATGATTACTCCTCGGCGTATGGAATTGTTTTAGCTGGTGAAGCAAAAAAACTGCAAACGTGTTTCAGAGAATACGTCAGCGAAAATAGGAGTGAAATTTTTCGTGTTATTGAAAGACATGTACACGTGATCGAGGTACGTCGGATTTTAACAATTCCCGCGATTTTTTTGTGTTGCGAATTTGATCTGTAATGGAAATTCGGTGAACATTTAGCTAAGATAGTTTATGGTCGAATCGTGTACTGTGGCAGCTTGCAAAGAATTCTAGCTATTAACATGCTGATATTTTTCTTAAAGTTTTTAAAGAGGAATTATGTTTTATGTGGCAACATTCCAGCTATCGACAGCATCCTTTAAGCCAGGTTTCCATTATTGGTTTATCACGATAAAAGCGATAGCGATAACTTTTATTCGCAATGGTTGCGCGATTAAACGTGTTGTTTACATTATGTTGGATGGCGATTATTTTGTGAAATGGCGTCAGTAAAAAAACACGATCTGATAGTAATTGCAGTAGCTTATGTTTTATGGAGGCGACGGAGACGCCGTAGAAAGGCATCGAAGAAAAGAAAACAACGTTTTTGGATTCGCCATCTTAAATTCCTAAATTTTCATTCAAGATGACGTCATTTTGGCGATTAACGCGAATAAATATCAAAAATTTTTGATATTTTATCGCGATTGTTAGTCGTCGTTTATTGCGATTATTACCACGTTCTCATATAGGATTATCCCGATTAAAGTTAATCGTTGTCGCGTTTGTCGCGTTAAACCAATAGTGGAAACCAGGCTTTAATATCCATTGTCAGTATACACGATTAACTTTTGTCATCTTGTTTCTCCCCTTTAGAAAAGCGAAGTGGCTCAGTCTGTGAAACGAGCGTACTCTTTGATCGATCCTACTTTCATCATTTACCAGAAATGTGTTTTTATTATAAGTGGACTCTTCGTTCTGAGCTTTATCTTAGGGTGTGTATTTGAGTACTTCAAGAAACATTTAAAAGGAGTTTTCTTCCGCGCGACATTCAAAAATGGTGAGTATCTATGATGAGTGTTGGCTTCGTTGAGCTGGTGGATGTTGTTGTCATAAATATGTGCGTTTTCTTGTTTTTAAGACTATCTGGTTTGCTAACTTGTTAACAACTGCAAGTGAATAATGTTGAATGTATAAATAAACTAACACTTATAACATTTTACTCTTTCTTTCTTATAGTTACATGCAAAAAATGGTTACGACGTCAAAGAAATTTGAAAAGGATGAATGATGAGATGTTTAAAGACTTATCGAGGTTGAAAAACAAATTGGAAGAACTGAAAAGGAAGCATTACCTGGAATGGCGAAGCTGGTGGAAACTCAACAAGAATGAAAGACGCAGTTTTGAACTTGCTCTGTCAAAATCGTCACCAATGGTTAGATACAGTGCTCGTTCCAATTCCCCGTTACCAGAATTGACAAGGTTCATACAAATGAGCAGAGATGGTGAGAGGAGAATTTTGATTGTGAAAGAAACGGTGGTGTAACAATGGTGAAGCGAAGGTGTAACGATGGTAGAACGAAGGTGTAACGATGGTGTAACGATGGTAGAACGAAGGTGTAACGATGGTGCAACGATGGTAGAAAGAACATGTAAAGATGGTAAAACTATGATGAAACATAGGAACAAAAGAATCCATTGAGTTTTATATTTTTCTCAGTGATTATGCGTTTGAAGCTAATGACATCGAAGGGAAAAGGCGATGTTCATATTTGTCATCACGTCAGACTGCTTCCAAGGTAACTGAGACTCAGCCTCTCTGATGTATTTGTACGTGTTGGTAAACAATCAAGATCGTCATTATATCAGTGACTGCTACTGAACAAGAAATGAATCTATGAGCTCGAAAAATACTTAATAAAAATATTCTCGCTTAAAACAGCTAAAGTCAATTGTTGTTCCAGTGGTTTATAATGATAACAAATCATGAAGGAAAAGTCGCCAAAATTGTAAAAAATTAGTAACGAAAGCAATATCGCTTCCATTCTTTATAGGAACTAATATAGATGCTATAACCATAAACTGAACATTTCATGGTTATTTGTATTTCAAACGTTATTTCAAGATTACATTAAAGTGAAAATCTTTTATAATCATCGGTTTTGACTATATTTCAGACATCTCGCCCTTTATATAATTAAATCCAAAATCAAAATTTGACCGTGACTCCCTCCTTTATTTTGAAGCTGGTCACACCCTTGATCAGCTAGTCTAGTGCAATGATCGTTCGGAGTCATTGCATGATATTAGGGTTCAATACCTATATGGTACTTTCGTGTTGCAGCAAAAGCTTTTTATTAAAATGCACAAATGAAATGGTGAAATAGAAATTCCAACATGTCATGTTATCGAAAAGGTTTAGTCCCTGCGTAACGCGTGTACCTTCATTGCGTCTCTATCCTGGTTCAAGACTATTCTAGTAATTTTATGCAGCAATAGTCGTTATTTATTAAAAATATACGAAAGAAAAGTGTTAAATATAAGTTCCAAGATTTCTTAGTATCTTAAACATTTAGCTCAAGAGAATTGCTATCGGCTGCAGGGCTCTTGACTGCGTGTACAAATTTCTTCGCCAAAATTTTTCGTTCACAATTTTAAGAAAAATTAAGTGATATTTCAACCAACCTTCTAACTGTCAGCTCTTTCTTTTCAACGATGTATAAACATTTTTCCACCATGAAACAAGATCGTTTCCACTGCAAAAGAAAGATATTTTGCTGTTTATTAATTAGATTTAATAATAATTGCCTTTCACTTCTCGAAAGTAGATCACATAGTGGAGTGGTATGACGCACTGCCTTCGGTGCATTGCTTCCGGGTTCAAAATCCATGAAACGTTTTATTGTACCAACATTTGCTTTTTCTAATATTCACAAATAAAAACGTGATGTAGAGGTCGGAAATCATTGGCTCTGAAGAAATCCGTTCGGCTTTAATACACTCATCTGCGAGTTCAAGCCCGTTCTGCCATGCCCGACAGGAATTCTGCCAAAAAATTTTTATACAAAAAGAAAATTGAATTTCACATCTCTTCACGCTCATATGATATTTTTGCATAGCAGCAACGGCTTTTTCTTAGAACGGATGCATCTGGCAATGCATGCAAGGTGTAATAAAGATCAAAAATCATTTTGCAACGGGAACATTCAGCTACAGAAAATTACTTAAGGCTGCAGCACAATTGAGCGCGGGTTCATTCTATGTTATCAAAATTGTTTCATAAAATTATGAAGAAAAAATAAAAAAGATATATCAACTTATGTTCTCGCCTTAATATATCTTTCCATCACCTTTCTTCATCATTCACCACCTTTACTCATCTTTCAGACGCTCTTGCAACTAGCACATGGACATTAGTGGACTTGGAAGAACACTCTTTCCATTAAACAAGTAAACATCAAGTAGAGAAGCCACCATACTTTTGCAGCCTGTCGAAGATGCATAAGAAAAGTTATTTAGTTTACTTGTGTAATTTAAAGTTGTATTTCTTGCAATATAAAGAAATGCCTCCGTTTTACATTAGTCTACACACAAAACAAAGAGAGAGTAGGCAAATTAGATCTCTAAAATTTTACACTCGAACCATTAATTCAATATACATGTGTATTTTGAAATAGTACAGCATGTCATTCATTGAGGGTCATATCAGATGGTCTGCTTACATCAGAAACATCATGTAAAAACAATCGATGAGTTTATGATGCTCGTTGCTCACAGAAAGTACAGAACCATTTCTAGTGACTTTAACGCAGCCGCAAATGTTTGGTCCTTCAATTGTATTGTGATAAACATCCTCCATAAACTCATGTTTATCAACATCTTAATGTTTTAAACTCATAGAATGAATAACTAATGCCTGGCTCGAACGAGCAAAATAAGCATGAACAAGAAAAGTTTTGTTTCTTTTCCTCTTTTTCTTTTACTCGGGATTTTATTTAAAACTTCTTTTGCTCTTCTCTTATCATCATGTTATTATTTTCATCATCATACAGCCAACCACTTATTGTGAAAGCTTCTACAAAAGCACAAGGTTTTTTCCAACTTTTACATTGCAAATTCTAACTTTTTTATACTGTAATTTTTTATAGTTTCTCTGAACAAAAAGAGTCGACATTTCAAAAAGTTCTCATTCCATAAGAGTAAAAGTCTTCATTCCATTTGATACGACATCTTTAAAAGTTGTCATTCCATACTCGAATGTAATCATTGTAATCAACGTAATGCAATCATATGTATTCAAACAGTCGTTATTTCTATTTAGAAAAGTCCTTATTTCACATACGACATTTGAAAAAATCATGATTTAATACTTGATTGAAGTAGACATTTTAACAATCACCAAATCATTGCAGTCGTTTATTCAAATGGTCGTCACTAAAACTGTGAATGAAATTGTGAAAAACGACGAAGTTCCAAATAAAAATTATATTCAGAAGTTAAAGCGTATTTTAAGTGTCAGTCTATGTCCTTTTACAGTTTGAGTAATATTTCTTTTACTTGACGTAAGGTACTGAAAAGAGTACAGTATATTTGCTATAGTCGAAGCGTGCGTTAACTTAGTTTATAATAGAAAAAGACACCTTTGAACATAGGTAGAATATGAACTATAAAATACACATTCATAATGTTTCATTTCAATATTGTTCAATCATACGGATTCAGAACACTGCAAATGTCAATACTAAAATGCTAGTTTTTACAAAGTAAAGAAAAAATAAGCAAGGACAAAGCAAAAGTCAGCGTGCTTTGGTGAATGGTATGGTGAAAAAATAAGGCTCTTACCATTTCTTCGAAACAAGAGTAAAAAGTAAGCAATGGCAAGGCAAAAGTTGGCAAAAATAATTTAGTTTGATAGAAGCCATTGCAGTAAGAGGTTGATGTAAAAATATAAATTGTTTAGTCAAATAATCCGGACGCCATTCAATAAAAAAATTGACTAAGGACATGCGCATCACTGCCCTGGTTTACCACATGGCAATGGATGACATTTGCCTACTTTTTTCGTCTTCTTTCATCTTCTTGAAGACATCATTGGCATGTAATGCGAAGTTTCGACATGAAAACTTCAAAAAGACAAAACCTTTGCGTTTATATTTCTTTTATCGAATTGTTTTGGTGAAAAACATTTGTTAAACATAGAGTATGTTAGTATTAATGAATTTTTCTTCAAATGCACGGAAAAAAGTCTTGATACAAGTTTGAAAGCCGCTTTCGTATGTGAAAGGTGTGGCGCCAGCGAAAGCACACTCGATGTCAGCATAAGAGTAAACGGGTTCAAGACCTGTCTGGCTTACGTAGCAGCAATTTCTCTTTATTAAAATTCATTAAAAGTAAACGATTAAATAGAAGTTCCAAAATTTTTAAGAGTCGGAAACATTTAGCTCAAAAGAAATACCCTCGGCTTCGGTGCACTTGAATGCAGGTTCAAAGCGCACTGGCTAAATTTTTCGTGAAAATTTATGAAGAAAAATTAGTTAGAAAGAATTTAAAATGCTTTGCTTTTCTTCACATCTCATCTCTCGTCTTCACATCTTTCCATTATATCTCTTTATCACTTCTCTCTATCATTCACCATCATCAACTATCGTTGAGACATCCTTCTAACTTGCACACTGACATTTGTCGATCTGTCTAAGCTTTGCATCTTTCATGGTAACGGGCAGGCTTCGAACCGGGATGTCTAGCGGAGAAGGCATGGACGGTGGCCACCATACTTTTGCTGCTGGTCGATGATGCATAACAAAAATTGGGACTTTTTACATATTTTTTGTCACGTCACAGTACAAAATTTCCATGATACTTCATGTAAGAAACATAAAACATCTACACAAATAGTACAAGTCTATTGCAATATAAAGAAATTCCAAAATTTCAGTTTATTATAGTAACAATAGGGTTAGCAAGTAAATTGCTAGAAAATCTTTTATTTTACTTTCTCTTACCATGAATTTCTATATACAAAAGTGTATTTAGAAATCCATGGTAAGATATCTCATAATTGACCTTTGCATCTGATCGTCTGTTTACAGAACAAACGTGTTTACAAATGATCAATGAATTTATGTTGCCCGTTGCTCACTAAACGCACATTATCATTTGTAGCTGTATTTACGAAGCCGCCAGTGTTCGTACTACTTCACCATTTCTAACTTTCAATAACCATCTCCAAGTTCATAATGATAAACAATCGTTTCCAACACAACTTAACGCTTATAAAAAGTGCCCAAACTTTAAGTCACAATCATCTTAATGCTTCTAACTCACAGAATGCATGACTAAGCGATTAAGATAACACATGCTTTATTTGACAGGGTGAATAAATTTCATTTAATGATTTGCATAATACCATAGAATAATGCTCCATCATCATTTGCACTTTACGTATATTTAATGAAGGAGAACTTAGCTCTTTTGTTCTAAGAAACAATAACAATTGTTTTCAGAATTAAATTTAATAGACATCCTGTAACTTGCACATACACGAACAATGAACATCAAACAATGATGTAGAACAAACACATCATGAATGTCTAACGTCATGCATAAGATATTATTCACCTCAAGTTATTGCCACTTGTAAACTACACGGCCTCATGGTAAACACTTGTTTTTTTGTAAGAAGTTGATAAACACGACTAAACAAAGAAAAGTAAAGTTGGTGCCTTATATGTAGTAGACGGCGAGTATCGTTAATTTTCTGCTAGTCACCGAAAGACGTCTATTTGACTCCAATGTGTTTGAACGTGTTGATAAAAAATGAAGATCGTCGACATCTGTGATTACAAAAAAACAAGAAATGAAAGTGTGACCTTGATTTCGAAAAGCATATGAAATACAGTTGAAAATAGAAACGCTCAATTTCAAGGAAAACCAATACACACAATGGTAGAGCGAGTGAGAAATCAAAATACACGAAAAGAAAGAAAAAGATTCGTTAGTATTTTGAAGACTACTTGGTAATACCGAAGAATTTGCAGAAAAAAGATCAATAGCAAGACAAACCATTTATCGACAATTGCAGATATCTTGCGAGAAAACAGGGTTTACAAACCAAACGAACCTCGGAAGCGATTCTCAACGAAAAATTCTCGTTGACTTTAGAAGATATCAAAGCAGAGTTGCAACGACGTCGATCATAAAGGACTATTTACCAAAACTAAACATTTGAAAGGCATGCTATTTGGATGGAAACTATCACATCGAGTACCTGCAGAGCGCATATAAGACCAGAGTTTGTACAACGTTATTAAGATAATTATACAAAATGGCATCTTATAGTTCCATCCACACAGTTCGTAGAGATGAATGTTTATCTATAAAATTGGAACGAAGAGAAACCATGGCTGAGAACAGAGGATTTAGTCTACAGTGAAATATGCTCTCTAAAGGAAGGAATTTATTCGAATCTTGACTATGTCTCCAGTCATAATAACACTTGTGAAATAATCACGACATTTTTTTTGACATCTATAATATATTATGGTGCATCAGTTCATAGAGAAGCAACAGACTACACTGATGACATACTTGTGAAGGTGCTCCTTCTGTTCATGCAGCTAGCTGTTCAGTCCTTTCCAAATAGTTATAAGCTAGTTGTCTTATACAATATTTGAAATTGCTATTTGGTGAAAAGAAATAGTAGAAGCTGATGGCCATTTTGAAATATGCTACAGTTCTATGTGCTGCGATATTATGTATAAAAATATAGATCCCATGCATGCCTGGGAACTATTAACGTATTGTTCTTCTGTGATAAAAATGACGATAAACGATTATTTCTTTCAACTCAATTTTTCTTGCTTTCTTTCTTAAATTTACCCTTATAAAGTTCTCATAAAAATCTCAACATTTTATAGATTGATACTACTATAATTTTTGGCTTATTTCATTGATTATCCCTTTACAGAATACATATTTTTTTATTTGCTGTATTAAAATGCATTATAGTAAATACAATAAATTTTCGCTATGTTTCCGTCGATCTGCGTGGTCGAGTGGTTAGATACAGGTTTCACAGGTTGAGGTGTGAGGTTCGAATCCTTCGAGGGTCAGTTGATGTTGGGCATGGTGTGATAGACATTAGACTTGCAACGAACGAGAGCCGTAAGTGTGAGAGTGATGCAGTTGGAACAGTTGAGGATGGTAATGTTGTGCACAAAGTGCGCAATTGGTATTTCTCTTGTTGAATTTTTCGAGAATGGAATGCGACACTTAGAAATAAAATCGAAAAAAATAGTGGATACCCATAAAATTTTTTGGCTGAAAAAAACTAAGTCTTTTGATCAAATTTTTCTATGACTCCCTAGTAATTAGGGAGTCATATTTTTAATAGTCAAGAACCTCAGAGCAAACAGATCGCTCTTTAACTCTCTCCTAACCTCAACCTTGCACTCAATCCTCAAGCTACAACCCATACCAGCACCGACAC